CCGGATTTATATATTAGAGAATAAGTTTTACTAGTCTTAGATAGAAGTTTAAGTTATAATTATTAATAACGCGAAGAAGAGAAATAAATAAGGTAAAGCTTATAAGAGTATAGTAAAGAACTAAATAGACCCGGAAGTACTAGCTTAGCTAGTAACTAAGTTAGGGGAATTTATAAGTCGCTATTAATAAGTCTCTATAAAGATATCCGTTAAAGAAGCTAGATTATAAGTTAACTTAGAAGTCTAGAGATAAGTCTTAGGGCTACCTTATTAAAGGATATCTAGAGTAAAGAAAGTTACTATAATAGATATAACTTATATAATAAGCGTGAAAGCGAGAGGAGAGGAGGTAAGGAAGTTATTAAAAGGGGAATAAAGGAGTATTAGAATAAGAGTTAGTATAAGAGGCTTTATAAAAGAAAGGGTATTTATAGAGGAATTAGAAGATACGCCTATAGCTATAAGTAAAAAGGAAGGGAGCTCTAGTAATATTAATAATTTAGCTCGCTTAGCAGAGGAAATTATTATAAGCACTATAGTAGCTTTAGCTCTTTAATCGTATTAGTCCCGGCGCTAGGAGGAAATAAGTAAAGCTATAAAAGAGTTTAGGTTTATATATAAGAAAGGGGTTAAGATTAATAAAGAAGAAGTTAACTTAGTTAAGAAAGAACTAGAGAAATAGGAAAAGTAAGAGGTTAATAAGAAAGGCGGAGATAAGTAGAAGTATAACTATAAGAAGGACGTAACTATTAGCTAGAAAACTATAATAGAAGGAAAGAAAGTTCTACTAATTATAATAATAATAAAGCTCTTAGGTAAGATACTAGGATTTCAGCGAGTTTACTATAGTTACTTGCGATTAATAGCAGGGCGTATAGGTCTTTATATAAAGCGACTCTTAGAAGGTTTAGCTATTAAGAGACTATATATTATATATAATAGGAGGTTAGAAATCGGAAAGCTGAAGATAGACCCGGAGACTTATATTTAGTTTTATATAGCTAATCACTCTCCCTACTTATTAGATAAGCTCAGACCTTATAAATTTTATAAGAAAAAGGAGCTTGAATTATTTAATTATAATTAAAAGCTAATTCTAAATAGCTAGGATCTAATAATCTTACTATAGTAAGAAGAGAATAAATAAATTATTCGCTTTTTCTTTAAATAGTAATTTAGTTCCCCTCTTATAAAGTAAATCTATAATAAATTAGATATATACTAGTACTACTTATAAGAGATTAATAGGCATAAGAATATTAGATAGCTATAGAATATATTTTTTTAGTAACTTAGCAGCTTATACGTTAAGACCCCGCCTACTATATATTATATACAGCTCTTTATCCTAATAAGAAGTAGAGACTAGTTAGTTACCCTTACTACGCTAAATATACTATACTAGGAGATAGAACCTTTTTCTATTATATTAATTTAAATATTAATAATATACTTACTACTAATTAAGAGGCTACTATAATTTAAGGTAGTATCTCGCTAGATTAGAAGAATAAGGATAATTATACTTTCTATTATCCGGGGATATAATATAAGCTAAGCGAGTAGTAAGCGTATATTCGTAAGCGAAGATAGGATACTAATTACTATATTTACTAAATTATAGACTAAATATTTACTCGAGAGGATATAAAAGTCCTAAGAGTGAATTAGGTTAGGACTCCTTATAGCCCTAGAGATATATAGATTACGCTACTAAAGATCTTATATAAGTTAATTAGGCCCGTGATAAAGGTTTATCGGACTATCTTACTATAGTTTATTATAATTTAGGATAATAAAGAAACCTTAAAGGTTATAAAAGGGGGAACTTAAAGAGATCTAGCTAACTTCTATTAAGATTTCACTGTACCCCTAGCTACTCTATTAAGCCTTATAAATTAGTATAAAGCTATTCCCTTTTAGTTCGCTATTATAGTTAAGTTTTCCGGGTTAGGTACTTTATCTAATACTCTAGTTATATAATAATAATAGAGTTCGCTAGTAGTAATAGCTTAGAGAAACGTTCTATTAGAAGGGGATTAAGCGGCAGCTTATAGTCTTATTAATAAGTAGAGAGTTAAAGTATTAGTTATAGCTATAAAGGCTTTTAAGATAGTAAAGAGAGTAAAGAAAAAGGCGTTTAGAGAGAAGTCCTTTTACTACCTAAAGGAGGTATTAAAAGCTATAGGTGTTCTAATAAGAGAAGTAAAGGCTAACGCTAACTAACTAAGTAAGGAAGTAATAGAGATCACGTTAAAAAAGAGCTTATTATTTACAGAGGAGGCTAAGGAGTGCTTAATAGCAGGTATAAGTGATATAATAAAGATAGATAGTTAGAAGGAGTATCTATATATTTCTTTTATTTATATAATATATCAGGGGATATAGTTAAGGGGCGACTACTTAGTTAAAGGGGGATATATATAGTAGGGTAGTATAGTTCTAAGTTAGAAGATAGTTAGCTTATTTTATAAGGTTATATAGATAGGCGTGATAGTATATAACAAATATATTATCTTCTCTCTCCTACTCTTACTAACTGTTTAGTTAGTAGTCCTCTACGTCCCTGCTTACTATACACTTTAACGGCACTACCCCACTTCTTTATAATATAAAGACCTTATATATTATACTTAAAAGCTAAAAGGAAGTACTAAATAGTATAAAGAGCTTTACTACTTCAACTAGTGTGCTTCTAATAGCTCTTAGAAAGCTTATAAACGATTCCTATATATATTATTAGTCTTAAGGCTTTAGTATTAATTTAACTCTAATTAAGCGGAGGTAATATCGACTTACTACGCTTCTTTTAATTAACGAAAGCCTTTAGATCCTTAAAGAGATATTTTTAATAGAGATCTCTATTAAAAACACTATTATACTATCTTTAGTATTTTTCAGAAGTAAGGATAGCTTTATTATACTCTCTATATAATTAAATCTCTACTATTAATATTAATAAGGCTACTAATATCGCTTTCTCTTTACTATTAGATAGAGCTCTAATAATAGATATTACGAATTATACTTATACTTCTATCTTACTATTTAACCTTAACTTACCCCCTAAGCTTCACTTCTTAAAGGAGAATATACTTTTAGTACTACTAATACTAGAACTATATAAGTATAGTGACCTAGATTTATTTCTATAGCTATTAGTCTAAGAGTTTATATCCTTAGATACCGGGATATCTAGAGTCTATAATAAATATACTTAAAAATAGTTTACTCTTTAATCCTAGATTACTTATATTAGCGCTAATAGACTAGCTTATACTAATATAATAAGTTTAATAAGGCTAGGGAGTAGAATCCGGCTATATACTTAGTGTTTTATCCTAGGGGTTATTACTGAAAATAAGCACTATTATATACTATATATACTAGATTAGTTAATATCAGATTTACTACTTAGAACTAGTCTTTAGTATAATATTAATTAATAGGATTTAATCTATACTATTAGTCTAAAGAACGATATAAGGAAGGACTTTAGAATTAAAAGGAAAAGTATCTTATTATAATTATATTCTTTATATTTCCTATATAGTTTTCCTCTAGATTTAATATACTATGTTTTACTAAATATAGTACTAAAGCTATTTGAACTCTAAGGAAGTAAGAGATTTAAAGAAAATTAGAAGATTACTAAAGCTATTACTAAAAGTAAAGAGAGAATACTTTCTAATCTCTCTCTACTCTAAAGTTATATTATTAGAGATAAGAAGTTTTAGGAATATCTTAAGGATTATTAAAAGAAATCTACGCTATATATTCTAAGGTTAATAAGTTAAGTACCTTATTAGCTTAATAGATATTCTAGCAGATATAAGGCTAAGGAGTAAGAGGCTTTCCTAGTTTAAGATAGAGTAGTACTTCTTTATTATTTACTAAGGTTCGAGTTATACCTTAAGAACTTTATACTCCTATAAGATATATACTTTATAGCGTGAAGTTAAGAGATCTCTAAAGTAAACTTAGTTAAGTTAAAATAAGATTACTAGAAGTAAGTCGAATAGTATAAAGAGTTATACTTCTAGAATAATAAAGCACGCTTAAAAGTATACTTAATTAATAACTATTCTATCCTTTACCTTAGTATATATTTTAAATTATTCTACCTCTTATTATTTTATAGTACTAATATTCTCTTAGCTAATTATATATAAGATCTTAAACTAACTTAAGGATAGTAGGCTATACTAATAGAACGCTATATTAGCTAAGTTAAGAGAACACTTAATAACTTATCTAATATCGATATAAACCTAGTAAATTAAGCTCTTAAGACTAACCTCTTAAATTATATACTATAATAGGAGGTCCCTACTAATAGAGAACTAAGATACCTCAGAGTAAGCTAGAAAATCGCTATTTAATATATCTTATTCTTAGACTATTCTATAAGAGTAATATTTATTCGTTTACTACTAATTTAGAAAGCTATACTAGAGAACCGATTTTAAGACTAGATATATAAAAGCTACTCTATAGTATATAGTAAAAGCGAAGTTTAGCTTTATACTATTCTTAAAGTTAAATAGAAAGTCTTAATTAGATATAAGTATAGCTAAAGAGACTAATTAAATATCAGGAATTATAATAATAGCTATCTCTCTTTTTAGTATATAAGAAATAGTAAGCTACGATATAAGAGAGCTATAGTATTCTATTAAGTATATAACTGAACTAATATTATAGTTATTATCTGAGAATTTAAAAGTACTAAGTTAATAACTAATAGTAAGTTACTTTTCCTAAAAGATAATACTTTAAGGCTTATTAAGTCTATTCTCTATTTAGAAATTATTAAGCTACTTAGTTTTATTAAGAAAGTTGAACTAAATAAGACTATATTATATTTATTACTATATAAAGAGGAAATTAACTAAGACTAAATACTAGGTAGCTTTATATATAGAAATTTATAGCTATACTACTCTAAAAATAAAGTAGATATTATCTATAAAATACTTAATTATCTATATTTTTTTAATACGTTTATAGCAGATATTATCTGAATTTTATCTGTATTTTACTACTTTTTACTACTACTAGGAATACAGATAAAATACAGATAATTTACAGACGTTATCTGTATAAAAAGCCCCGTAGGGTAGGTAAGCCTTTGTTGCACATCGCATTTCGCCGCATAGTTATCTGCCACATCCCAGCAACCACGAGCTGGCTATCTTCTCTCCTCGGCAAGTGACGAAATACAGGTGTACAACATCGGCAGTGTAAGAATCAGCTCCGGTGGGTCTTGAGCTTGATTTATTCACTGAATTTAGATTGGTATAGTTTCTTGGGTCTTCGAACGAGCCTGGCCGCATCCACACAATGACGAGGAATACCTGGCTGCTCTACTTGGGGCTATGAACATGGCGAATGGCGAACAGCTGTAAAATAGATTACTTCAGGTTCGATAGGTACCACATGCATGGTGAGTCGTAATTCAATATCGAGAAACCGTCGGTGTCTTCCTCAGAAGACAGCAAGCCACAATCGAGGAGCAAACTCGAGTAGTCTCAAGTACGTGGAAACAGTAAGTTAGGCCAGGAATCATTCTGCTATGGATAGCTTCAAAGACATATCGACCTACGTTGTTATTTGGACCATTGCTGTACATATCTGCACGTAGCCTCGACAGGAGCAAGATTTCCAGATGATTGCTTAAACATTCATAATTCCAAGGTGAAGATGGTAGGAGCTTTCATTTGTGCATCTAAATGCCCTCCATTTTCTATCTTTTCTTGTTTCGGCTATTTGTGCAGTCACATACAAGAAGTAGCACAACAATCCATCCATTCTCTCCACTGTATCGCAGCAAACAAGGACCGAACAAAAAATCAAGATCAGACCCTCGCGCCATGTGACTAAAAGAGGACGTGATAGAATACGATAAGAACGATTTGATTCGATTTTCCCTCCGGAACGCCAGCCAGTCATGCCCTGCCAAGCCCAAGTCAAAAGCGAAGAACGATAGAAGCGGCATCGAGTCGTGAGAGTGAGTTGTAAACAAGAGATCGCGAGAGTAGGAGGTATGTTTGCAAAACAGAGACGTTTTTAACGACTGTTTGTCTTGCCCATGCCACGCTTGCCGGAGAACTGGCAATTGAGTTAGTAACTGGACTTTGCAGTTTGACTTTTGTATATCGAATGCATTTGGAGAGTGATAGGGAATGTGCAATGGAATCATCGGGGGAAAATATACCAAATGCTTGGGCATAGCTGCGGCAACATGCCTATCAGCCTCACCCTGTCTAGCCATCCTATTCATCTTCCTCTGTCCCAACTTCTGCGCACGCTCGGCCTTCGTTCTAGAAACCTCGTTCGTAACACCGTCATCACGTCTGTTGCTCTGACTTCTCGCCCTGCTCTTCGCGCGCATCTTAGCCTCGTAGTCAGGAGAATCCACATCCATGATATCTTCAGTGCCAGTGCGAGAGCGAAGCACACTGCGGCCACGGCTGCGGGAGCGAGCACGCTCGCTAATAGCACCGGTATCGAGACCAAGCGAGTCGAGGTGGTCTTCCATGTCAGTGAGCTTCTTGCGGATAGCGGTGCGGGGGATGATGGCGCGGTTCTTGAGCGACTTCTTCATCTTGGCCTCGTTGCGGATCAGCATGCGCTTCTCGCGGATGAGCTCGGCCTTCATTCTGATCTCTGCATCTTCAGCATCCTCCAGCTCCTCGTCGGAATCGTAGTAGCCTTCCGCCTCCAGCTTCTCTTCTTCCTCTTCCAAGGCTGCGAGCTTGGCTTCGATGTCTGGGTCGATGAAGTCGTAGACATTCTTGCCGTCGAAGACTTCGGGGATTTTGTCGTGCTTCCAATCGTCGTTCTCGAGGAGATATTTGTCCTTGAGATCGACGTTGTAAACACCTGCACCGCCGTTCTCCTCCTCGATATCCCTCGCGAGCTTGATGCGCTCGGGGTCGTTCTTGTCGTACTTCTTCTTGTTCTTGACAGCTTCGGGAATGAAAGCTTCGCGGACGATACCATCCATTGGCTTAGCGACGTGGATTCGGCCAAGGACATCTGCGAGACGTCCACCGGGCCCACTGCTGTTTGTGCCTGCCTTGAATTTCTGTGCTACGCGGTCGGCGATCAAACGCTCGCAAGCCGCGTTCTTGACGTCTTGGACTCCTTCGGTGGTGGTACATGAGAGTTGGAGCATCTCCACATCTCCGGGTTTGAGGAGTGCTTGGAGAGCGGCCTGAGTCTCCTCGTCGAGATCTTCTGGTCGAGTAACGTCAATCTTGTTGATGACGATAAAAACAAGCTTGTTGGCGAAGAGAGGCTTGATGCTTTGGAATAATTGCATCTGTGCTTGAACGGTGTATCCGCACTGCTCGGAAAGATCCATGAAATACAAGATAGCTGATCTCAAATGTGCGATTGCGGTAATCGATTGCATTTCAATCGTGTTCATCTCCTCCAGAGGGTGATCCAAAATACCGGGGGTATCAATCGCTTGGAATCGCAAGTACTTGTAGTCGAAATGTCCAACGAACAGACTCTTGGTTGTGAAAGCATATGGCTGCACATCAACATCGGCTCTGGTAACGCTCTTCAAGAAACTGGACTTTCCAACATTGGGGTATCCGCAGATGAGGAGGGTTCTGGTATTAGGATCGATCGAGGGGAGACGACCAAGATGTTGTCGGACTTGATCGAGGTAGAGCAGAGGGTCTTTCAATCTTCTGCAGATGGTTGCCATTCGACCCAATGCTGCACGCTTGAGCTGCTTGCACTGGAACAGAGACTGCGCATATTTGAGTAGACGGACATAATCGCGGGAGACGATTTCGATCAAGTGCTTCGCAGTGGAGAGCTGGCCGAGCGCAATTCTGAAATGGTCGGCATCGTAGAGGGTATTGAGGAGATCTTTGTGGAAAGGATGAATATCTTGGAGGCGTGGGAATCCGTCGAGGATGAGGGAAAGCTTCTCGCAGAAAGTCTCTTGCGTGAATTTGACCTTTCTGGTATAGAAATTCCTAATTCTGGAGATTTGAAATCCTGCTCGAATCTGTGTTGGAAGACGTCGTTGTGTTCTGCTCAGGACGATGTCGAGAAATTCCTGCGACGTCGGAACGGGCTGGATATCCTTCCAAGTGGTCTTCATGACGGGCAACCTTTCGTGTGTGTGTTCGAGAGGTTGGTTGGGAGGAGGTAGAGGTGAAAAAGCAGCCTGGAGATCTCGAGCTGGGACAATTTTCAGATTTGGATGGGGAATATTTTTTGTTGCGCTAACCGACGCTAGTGCCTATCAAAGTGGCTATCAAGCATCAGACTTGGGGTCTTCTTAAAGCGGCATGAAGGAGCAAGGAGTGATTTCTGAAGCATCTCAGCATCCCTTTGATATTCGAGCAGTGGTTCAGTCCTTTGGCTTTGTCTAAATCCTTCTCGTCTGTCCACGAATTCAGACGCTTGTTCAATTTGTCATTAAAAGTTGTACAGATTGTGTCCCCATCCTATGGGTCAGTTACCATGCCGCTTTTCCTGGGAGCCTTATCGGCGATAAACCCCTCCAAAGAAGTAAAAGTTTTTGGATGGAATTCCTCCCCACTGTCACTGTCTTCCTCCCGAATCCAACTCTCACAACAGTCACGGTCACAATGTCCTCCACCGATCTCCCTCAATTCAGAAAAGACTTCCTCCAAGCAGCTATAGATGGCAAAATCCTAAAATTCGGCAGCTTTGAGCTAAAATCCAAGCGTATCTCTCCCTACTTCTTCAATGCGGGCCTCTTCTACACAGCATCTCTCCTTCGCTCTATCTCGACCGCTTACGCGAAAACCATAATCGAAGCCTCTTCTTCCTCTAACCCTATCGAATTCGACATCTTATTTGGCCCTGCCTACAAAGGCATCCCTCTCGCTGCCGCTACAGTCGATAAGCTCGCTGATCTACAGCCCGAGAAGTACGGATCTATTTGCTATTCTTTTGATCGTAAGGAGGCAAAGGATCATGGCGAGGGAGGCAATATTGTTGGCGCGCCATTGAAGGGCAAGAGAGTACTTATTGTAGACGATGTCGTTACCGCTGGGACCGCGAAGAGGGAAGCGATTGCAAAAATTCGCTCGGAGGGCGGCATTGTAGTCGGTATTCTTGTCGCGCTGGATCGCATGGAGAAGTTGCCCAGTCCAGATGGAGATGATCTGAAGGCAATGCCGAGCGCAATTGGAGAGATCAGGAAGGAATATGGAATTCCGGTGTTAGCTATTTTGACGCTGGATGACATTATTGGGGGTGTTAAGGGAGCGGTCTCGGATGAAGATGTTAAGAGGATGGAGGAGTACAGAGCGAAGTACAAAGCAAGTGATTAGACTATGATACCCTTCGAGATCTGGGAGAGCTGTGGCTGAGATAGGTGAGTGAGTGATTTGGTGGATTGCTTAAAATGTCAAATGCATGTGGATATGGCCGTGACTGTACTGAATCCGACTGCATGGACGCCACCTGGGGCCTTGTCTAAAGAGTTATCTGTTACACCGATTCAATCCAGGCCATGTATATCACCGGCTGTGGCAAGTACAAGCAGAAATAGAAGGAGACCAGGCTCTTGACGTTTCCATCCCGTTCCATGCGATAGTGATGATTAATCCATTCGGTGGGAATTGATACCAGTGGTGAAGGATGGAGAGGAGAAGGAGGGCATGCTGTGGAGATTGTACGGAGATACACTCATACTCAGTATCATAGTGTTCAGGGCACCAAATGGTCCAGGCGGCTCGCTACCGCCTCGGGTACAGGGACAGGAGAACCAGGACTGGGACCAGGCAAGGCTGGCGAAACGCGGCTACCTTACCTACCCAGGTACTTTCTTACCTTCCCTTCCCTTGCCTTCATCCGCTTTCTGCTCTTGACGTCGTCACCACCCTCCGCCTCTTTTCCTTCGCCTTTAGATCATCTTCAATCTTCTGGCAGTCAAGATTATGATATCTGTGTGGTCTCCTTAATTCATCCTCCATCCCACGCACTTCTTCCAATCTTGAAACACAGCTTTGTCAACATACACTCTCGACCAGCCATCCCTCAAGGTCCTTCAAGATGTTAGTAAAGAATCCCCAGCTGTGTCAGAGTTTGAATTATAGACTCATACCTTCGCAGGCGTATCACCTTATCGATTACTGCACCTACACACGATGGGGACCTCCTCACTCTCGAGATCTCCCAAGACACCTCAGTCAGCACTCTCAAAGAGTCCGTCCAAGCCGAGTCGCAGATACCCAAGACTTCCCAACATCTCTACCACAACGGCCAGCTCCTAAATGACGATACGAAGACGATGGAGCAGCTATCTATTGGGGATGGGGAGATGCTGGCCTTGCACGTTCGAGACATGGGAGGGAGTACAGGCCGTGCAGCAGGTCAACATGCGCCACAGCCTGCTCGTCAGCAACAGAGAAGAGGACAACCCCAGCCAGATGCAGAGACCTTACGGTTACAAATCCTGGGCAACCCAGCGATGAGAGAACAGGTCACGGGTCAACGACCGGAGCTTGGAGCCGCCCTTGATGACCCTGAGAGATTCGCACAAGTCTATCAGCGGATGCATGACGAGGAGCGAGAAGCTCAGGATCAACGGAGTAGAGAAATCGCCGAGTTGAATGCGGACCCTTTCGATATTGATGCGCAGACTAAGATTATGGAAATAATCAGACAAGATCGTGTTCAAGAAAATCTACAGAATGCCATTGAGCACAATCCTGAAGGTTCGCAAACCCACTTGTGACTGTCAATCTATATTAACGTCCTACAGTGTTCGGCCGCGTTCACATGCTGTACATAGATGTCGAGGTCAACGGTCACAAAGTCAAGGCGTTCGTCGATTCCGGTGCCCAGGCTACGATCATGTCCCCTTCATGTGCAGAGATGTGTGGTATCATGAGGCTGGTAGACAAGCGATTCGCGGGCATTGCTCGAGGTGTTGGCACTGCGGCTATTCTTGGACGAGTCCATTCTGCGCAAATTCGGATTGGAAGCTTGTTCCTACCCTGCAGTTTCACTGTCATGGAGGGCAAAGACGTAGATCTTCTACTTGGTTTGGATATGCTTAAACGTCACCAAGCTTGCATAGATCTATCCAAAGATAAGCTGGTGATTCAAGACGTCGAGGTGCCGTTTTTGGGAGAGGCCGACATTCCCAAGAACAAGGAGGAGGAACAAGCCGATGAGCCCAAGGTTGCTGGACCAGGAGGAACTACAATCGGGGGACGGACAGGAGTTGTTTCCGGACCATCTACCCCACAACCTGGCTCTCAACAAGCCCCTGCTCCCCCACCAGCAACCGCCGCACCCCAATCGGCACCTGCGCCCTCTTTCCCTCAAGAATCTGTCGATCAGCTCGTTGCATTGGGTTTCTCACAAGCTGAGGCCGTGAATGCCTTGGCTGCCTGTGGAGGTAATGTAGAATACGCTGCTGGGCTCTTATTTCAAGGTTGATCTAGGGCAGGTAGCTGGGGTATTGGAAAGTGCAGACTGGTTTGGGTGGTGGGCGTATGGGAGATTGGCAAATTGGTTGATTTGGTAGCATAGGATTGCTGGGATAGCTAGGAGCTGACAATATGGCTGGGAAACAGTATCGCATGAATCTGGTGGAGAGAATCAACCCACTTTCTCGAGGCGTTGTATTTTGATGAGTATTTGCTTCATCATTTCCGAAGTGAAAGAGCGAGGTATGGTTTTGATAAGTTCTTAACCTTGATATGTGAGATCGAGAGCTACACAGCAGATGAGCAACGAATCTCATAACCTACCAGCATAGCTGCCAATGTGACCCAATCCCTTGGAGACTTGAAGCTCGTGAAGCTCGTGGAAATCGGCAACTCGAAACAGAATCTCGCTTGATAGCTGCCTCTATCTCAACTTATAAACACAAGGTTTCAAGACCTTTGCTTCGCTACTAACATGCACATCGTCCTCTTCGCCCTTCTCATCCCCAAACTTCCCCTTCGGCGCTTTCCTCTTCCATGTCTCACCACCTTTCACACCGCCCTTCGCAAACTCCTCCGCCCCCTTTGGAGCAGGTACGCATTTTCCCTTAATCGGTGTTGTCCCCTTCACAAAGCACATCCGCACAAACATCTTATTACTTAGATCCACACTCGCTTTCTCACCACCCTGTCCCTCGCCTCTCAGGACAAACCCACGTTTCCTCAGCACTTCCACAAACGCACTAACGTCCGTCTCGCCGCCTCGATCTTCCTGTCCATCAACCTCAATAGCGGCTACCTCATCGTCCGCTGCTTCATCGGCTGCCTTTTTGGCCTTTTTGTCTAGGGGCCTTTTCCTATTCCCAACACTGTGTTCAACTACTTTCTTGTTGCCGGATCCTGCACCAGCATTCGAAACACGTCCAAATCGCGATTTGATCTCAGCGATCCAGAGCTCGCCTTTCCACCGCAGGATGCGGTACGCTTCTTCGATGAAATCGACCCAATTCGTTCCCATCAGCGCGAGGCAGAAGATCGCTATATCGACAGTGCCGTCTTTGAGTGGGAGGTTGGCGATATCTGCTTTTGTGACGAGAGGCGACGGGGATTGTAAATCGAAACTGTGGATTTTGAGTTTCAATTTCTTGAGATGAGGCTGCAGGCTTGTAGCGAGGGCAGCGTCGCCACATCCTAGATCTGCGAGAACGCATGTGCCTTCTGTGCGTGGGAGAGCCTGTTCTTTGGTTTTGTCGAGGGGGTTACCGCGTGATGGGCCACGGATTGGGCCGCGCGAGAGGATCTGGGAGAGGTAGCCGTCAACGGGGTTTTCGGGCCACACTTCTACTTGTCGTCGGAAGCCTTCGTGGTATTCGGTGAACATCTCTGGGTTTTCGGCGAAGAGAGAGAGCGAGTGAGCGGAGGGAGTGGTGTAGAGGGTTTGGTTGAGGTGGCGGAAGCGTGCTGAGATCAGCTTTTGGCGCATGCTAGCTTGAAGGGGAGTGAGTGTCGGCTTGGGGGGTTGAGGAGCTGTGGCTTTGGGTGCTGGTCCTTTTATCGAGTCTGAGGTGGTGGTGGTGGTATTTGTTTGATCTGGAGCCGTGCCATCTGCAAGAGCCTTGAGTTTGGCTTTCTTCTCACGCTTCTTCTCCTTCATCGTTTTGCCCTTCTTGACTCTGTCCTTGGCTGCCTTCGTACCCGCTTCCTCTGGATCCTTGGCTTCATCTGCTGAGCCACTATCCCATGGCTTCTTTCCGTCCTTAGATTTGTGCCCTGACGAGGCCTTGTCCTCCTGTCCATCCGCAACATCATCCGCCATATCCTCGTCGGCGACTTTCTGCTTCTTCTCTCCGTGCTTTTGTTTATGCTTCTTCTCTTTCGGCTTCCCTTCAATGACAGTCTCCCACAACTCCTCCATATTGTTTACATCAACATTCTTAGGACCATTCTTCTCAATTGCAGCATTGCGCTTGCGCTTCTTGCTGCTCTTCTTCGACTCGCCCTCAATCACAGCTTCCGGGTCTGTGACTTTCGCGACTGATTTGGAACCTTCTGGTTTCTCGGCCTTCAGCAGACTTGAAGATACCGACCATCCTGGAACGGCGAACATTTTGACGGCTTGTGGTGGATTTGGTAGCAAAGGTGTTGCGCTGGAGGTCATTCAAGAAATTATATTTTTTTCAAAAGGTTTTGGTCAGAGCTCAGGTGGCCCACTTTGGCTGCGGGAGCGCCCGTCTTGGCATCTTCGAAGTGTCTCGTTTAGCTTGTTTCCATTGACTGCCTAGGTGTACTTCGTTTGAAATCAACTAGCAAATCTGGTCTTGTGATATGAAATGTTAGATGTTGTGAGAATTATCCATGATAAATGTCTACTTGGAGATGAATGCAGAAAGTGAAATTTAATCTGGCAGAAAATATGAAGTAAAGCAAAAAAGACCTCACCCCGGACAGAAAAGGGCCTAATAAGAGATCACGAGCTTGACATTTATCTGTATGTACCCAGATAGATCTTTGACAAAATCATATGTGCTTAGTTCACCTTTCATTTGGTTACTTTCGGGCTCAAGCTGGCTCTATATTCAGCTTGCTGTCCTGGATTCAACCTTGTACCGGCCTGGTCCATCATCATTGTAGTCAGCATCTTAGGCGACTTCTTAAATGGTGTCCTTCATTGAGGAACTCGGCAGCGTCGAAACTCGAACAGCTCGATCAGAACAATACCAACAGACGATCCGAAACCAACAACTAACCAACGAAACGATGTCATCTCAAACGAGGGAAGACAACCTGTGGGCACATCTGCCTCCTCTCCATACCATCAAGTCTGAAGAGTGTAAGTCTTGTCGAGTTCACCTGACGTCCTGAGGCGATCCGTTCATATATACGACTTATAAAGAGTGTCCCGAAAACATTCCAACCAATTAAAATCACCTCAGAAACAAGTTCGCTTGCTGACTTCTTGATCCTCACAGTGGTCCGCTACCAGATTGTTGATTGGGACCCCAACAACCCTCATCACCCCCGCTACCTAGCTGGCCATATCTTGATTAAGTCACTGTTCCGTCGCGACCATTACTACTGGATCGCATGCAGTAACCCTCTCCCAAAGGACAAAACGAAAAATGCACCGCCTATCATTACCGTCAGTCCACCAGCTTCAGCACCAACACCTGCTCTGTCTGCGGCTCCACCTTCGACCTCATCTTCGATGCCATCCTCCAACTTCGCAAGCCCTCGAGCTGATCCACAAGAGCAACAAACTAAGAGTTTTGCGGCTTCTGCATCAACAATAGACTCTGTTTCCAGCCCATATCCTGCGATGAAAACTGTTGCGACGATACCCCCACCTGGATCGCCAGCAGACAAGAACTACACCGATCCCGGCACAATCCCCATCAAAACCTCTATATGTTCTTCACCATCTGCACCCGAGCCCGGTCATCCTTCATTTAGATCGCATAATCCTCCTTCTTCGCTAAGCAATCAGAATGGGTCAGCGAATGATTGTTCGTCAACGGCATCCTCTCCTGATGTACCAACCTCACAAAAGAAGAGAAAACTGAAGGCTACTGAGCAGAAGGGACGAAATGTACGACCAGACCCAAGTGGTCCTCCTCTCAAGGCAGATGGCTGGCCTGTCGGTGTCGAGAAACCCGCTGATGGATGGGCGAACCTGGGAACATTTTCATGGCATTATTGGGGTTCAAGCGAACGAGCTGACAAGTCGTAGGACAAGGGCGGAAGTTCTCAGATTTCAGAAGGCCGTGTGAGTGAATGGAACGCAACAGTTGAAGTATATGGGTCTGGTAATTTGCCAAGGACGTTATGGAAAGGGATTTTGCTATACACCGTGAAGGAATTTTGGCGTTTGAGAGCGCATCAAATTTTACTTTTCCTGCCATGTCTGCTTTGAGAGCAGATCCTTACGAGCACAGGGCCGTGTCTGCACGTGATAGAGCTTTTTACATCTAGATTCACTCAATGTTTCTGCCCAAAACACTTGAGGCCTGACTGCCTAGGTAGCTTGAGCAAATGAGAGCCAGTTTTGCTTCATTATATTCATAATACATCATTCCGTGGCAAACAAGGAGCTGAGGGCTGGCAAACCTATGCTGCTACAAACAGCTCCTGTTACCACCCGTATTGGTATAAAGTAACGCTTCTGCCCTTACTAATACCATCTTCTCTGTGATTTACGTCTCCCAATTCCCAATACTGTTTTGTGATTGGGCAGGATTAAGCGAGTAAAACACCTGGACCCGCGGCTTTTCTCTACCTCACTCTTGACTGATGAAAGACTTCCTCCTCAAGCAATCTTGCATATCCAGCTTAAGCGAAGAAAAGAGGCAAGCCGCCACCTTTTCCTACAATAATCGAAAAAGATGGCACGAATCAAATTGAAGCCGCTACAGACGACTAAAGCCCAAGATTCGTTTCATTAAGTCGTATACCATCGCAACCACAGCGTAAGCTCAGCCACGCCTTATCCCCTCAGCAATTACACCTCCTTCAACCTCGCCTCAATCATTGCCTGGTTCCCCACCACATACGGCCAGATCTTGTGTAACACCAATCCAGCACCTTCCAATAGAGCAACAAACTCTTTCTCGCTCCTCTCTTTTCCACCGATGGAAATCATCACCATGTCCATCCAATACGTGCCCAGATCCTCGCCTATTTCGGTACGGGCTGGAACAATGACTTCGCCTATGAGAAGACGTGATTTAGGTCCCATGGCTGCGGCGATGTTTTTGAGGATTGTGAGACAGACATTGTCCTGGTAATTGTGGATTATGCGGCGGAGGAAGTAGATGTGCGCGTCTGTGCTGTTAGTTGGCTTTTTATTGGCATATGTGTGAATGATGAGGGCTTACTTTTGACCGGCTGCTCAGTGTAGAAATCATACGGCATCTTTTCGATGTTCGGAAGTAGCTCTTGGGGTATTGTGTCCAAAACTTGCGGTCTATCCTGCAACACCATCTTACTTGAAGCACCAAAGAGTGCGGCCGTCTCTTTCTGGATCATGAGAAGAGACTGTCCTCTCCCGCCTCCGATATCGACGACAAAAGCTCGGTCAGGCTCAGCTTCTACTTCTTCTTTCAGAGATGCGAAAGGAAACATGCCCAGGGTAGGGAGTGACGCTTCTTGTTGCATCATGGCTTTGTTGAACATGTTGAAGCGGTCTTTGTCAGCTGTGAGGACTTCGTAGAAGGTTTGCCCTTCGCGGCCGTACGCGAATGTGTATGGTGTCTTTCGGAGGTCAATCAGCTCTTCTGGTGTACGCGTTTTGAAGTAGTCTGGCCAGGTGAGGTCTGCGTAGCAGAGAAGATATTAGTACTTCATAATGCGTATTTTAAATGTCCTCGTTTAAATGTGGTTAAATAACTCACAACAACCGAACATGTTTATACTTGAGCTGTCAGTGAGGGTCTTTTCATGCAGCAAGGAGGACTTACCACAAGTTAAAGAAGTCCATTGCGGCGCCATCAAGGTATGCACGTGATTTTGGAGTGTGAGCATAAGTGTCTTCTCCTGTCAATTCGATTACTCCGGTGCTGGTAAGCATTCGCATTAGACGAACTTTTGCCAGAGTTAGCTGCTTCTTAGATGTTCCATTCGACTCAAGGCCATGGAGTCCAAAAGTTGAAGAATGGATTCTCACCTATCACCGATGGTTCTAAATTGATGAGTGCCCCTAACTCAGTCGCAGTAATGCTTCCCTCTTTCGGCATTTTCTCAAAAGCACCCATCTTAACCATCATGTTCAGAGACGTAGCCGTGTTCATCTACGCCAAGACATATTAGCCTCTAATCTGACCAAGAAACCCTTAAAGATGGTCCCTCTCTCAAAGGTGGTCGACTTATTGCAAAGCCAAGAGATATAGCCTTACAAATGACCATTGTCGCAGCACTATTAATTGAGTTAGTTGACATATGCAAGCCGGGTGGCAACATCTCACTAGCATCCATGGGGTCTTCCAAGTCCAAATAAAGGAGGTCCACTTGCTTCATCAATTCATGGCGTTCTGCTCTATCACCCTTGAACTTCTTTGCACTAGCAAGAATCGCCTCCGCTTTGCTGATGATATCGTCGGCTGAAGCCATAGCGGGATAGTAAGTAGACTGTTCTCAGCTCCGGTGAGTGGAACTGTCTTGTAGAATTCGGTTGATACCGGACTTGCAAAAAGAGCGTAGGTAGATGAGAGAAAGCAACAAAGACCAAAAGGATCCAGATGGAGTTGGACGCTGATACGAGATGTACTGAAGTTGAATTCTTTCTGCAGAAGAGAGTGTGGACGTTGCACGAAGACTCCCCCGCACTAGTGCATGGATGGACTTCTCGCGGCGAGACCCTTAGAAGAGCTGGTCCGGCAGGCTTCTGGACGGGTCACCAGTTGATCCGAATCGCCGACACTACCTACACATCTCCCCTGGCTTTTGATAACCAGAAGCAAAAGCAAACATGCGAATGTCTAGAATCCACAGTGCAAGTACAGTATCCAACGAATCACTCCTTCCTTTCCTTTTGGCAAAAACCTTCTCTAGTACAGATATAAGTATGCTGCACAGGCCACTTCGGCTCGCGTACTTATATAAGCTATTCTTCAGTTTAGCGTGATTCTTCGGTAAATAACGCCGACTTACTAACTTTTACTATAGACCCTACTAAAATATAATAACCTAGAATTATAACCTCTATAACTCTATTAAATCTCTATCGATTTTCTTCGGAATTAGGTTATTTTAAAGCTCTTACCTTAAATATTCGAACTTAAGCCTATAAGCTATCTAATATTATAGCTCCGAACCTGCTAGCTTAGAAAGTATTAAATATCGACTGAATATTATCCTATAGAGTTAATATTAACTTACGAGCTCTTACTAGAGAGTTTAGAACGATATATAAGACGATATATAAGTAGAAATAGACTCTAGATCGTTAGATATTACTTTCGGAATATTATTACTATAGCTTTCTACCTGTTATTACTAATAATATAAGTGAATATATTAAGGCGTTACTTAAGAGGGAGCTAGATTTATATTAGGATAAAATCGTAGTATATTTATAGGAGGCTTACGAAGTTAATATATTAGTTAATTAGGTCTCTAAGGCTCTCTAAAGGCTTAATTATACTAAGAAAGTACTTAAGGTCTCTACGAGTTAAAGGAATAATAAATTAATCGCGGCTTAGAGGCGAAAGATAGTGTTTTAAGAGGCCTAGGACTTATACTTTATTAATAAATCAGCTTATAATAAGCGTATAATAGATAAGTGTAGAGGATAGGCTCTTAGGGGAGCTTCTATAGAGGTTTAAAGAGTACTTAAACAGTTAATAAGGTAGTCGATTCTCCTTACGTACTTACTTTATAGTTATTATTAGCTATTAATATACTAAGGCTCGATTATAGCTGAAATCTTCACTGAATAGCTAAAGAAGAGTATCTTACCTAAATATATAGAGCTTAGAATTAAAGTAGTAATAATAGATAACACGTTAATCTATAGTAACCCTTAAGTATTAGCTCTCTATATAGCTTTCAGTCTTTAACTTAAATATCTCCCTCTATATTACCCTTTTTTTAACTCTATTAAAGAGAGCTTTATAGACTTAAAATCATGGATTAGGAGATACTAGCGCTAGAGTAAGTATACCTAGGAGGAATTTAAAGGCTTTTTAATAATAGCTATAAGGTTAGTTAAAGTAGGAGCTAACGCTGAACATAGAGCTAGAGGCTACTTTCACTATTTAAGCTATTAAGGTATACTAATTAAAGAAGGTGACGAAGTTAATATAGAATAAGAGTTAATTAAATAGAAACTACGTAGAAACTATAGCTATAAATACTACTGAAACTTACTCCTTATATTCTTTATTATTACTCTTATCTTCGCTTTTATTAAGTTCGTTATTTTCCTAAATAAGAGCCTATTAATTATACTACTTCTTAAATAGCTTTAATTACTTCTGAATTATCTTTAAAATACTACTTTTTATTCTAAGCTCTATTACCTCTGAAATCGATATATCTTTAACTATATTAATATTATATTCTTATTTTATAAAAGTTCTAATAGTAAAATCGAAGTAAGAGGCTACTAAAGCTATAATTAGAGGTATAACTTAACAAAGGAACGATTTTAAAGTAAATAATACCTTCTCTACCTCTAAACTACTATTATAGAATAGACTTAACTCCTATAGATCTACTATTAATATAAAGTTACTTTTAACTTATTCCTACAGTTAAATACGTAATAATTAAGGCTCTAGAGTCGTATATTCGTATACCGGAGGAGCTATATTTAGCTAAGGGTAAGGGGCTAGTAAATAGCTATTTAGAGGGTTACTAGTATATAGAGACTATATTAGAGGGGGCGGTATTAGCGGATATTAATATAAGAAGGTATTTAGAGGCTAATATAGTATCTACGAGGGGTATTAAGCTAATTAATATCATTCCGGAGATAACGATTTATTATAGTATATCTTCCGGTACTTTTTTTTCCTCGCGCCTTTAATAACTAAGGCTCTAAACGAGCTATAAGCTCTTTTAAAAAGTTAACTCGATAAAGAATAAAAGGTTTATTAATTATAGTTAATTTATCTTTAATATCACGTCTCTAACGCCTTAAATTATCTAAGGAAAGGTAGTAGTGTTTACTATTATTAATAAAGTAAAACTTTATAGTATAATAATAGGAACTAACTTTATAGGCCTATTATACTTAAATAGCGGTTATAATCTCGTATATAGTTCCCTTTTTAGCTTCCTGATTCTTTTTAACTTCCTCTAAAAGACGAGTTATTATAGTACATGGCTTCTTTACTATTAAGCTTTCCTCCTCTTAATATATACGCTTCAGAATAGTAATAACTAGAGCTTTTAGAATAGGAGGGTCTTTCTAAGGTAGTTGAACTATATTCTAAGGTATTTATATAATACTAAAGTATATTTAAAGCTTTCCTTACTTTAATTTCCTTATGATTCGAGCTTATTTAATAAAGTAGTTAAAATCGGCCTTATTAATAATATTATATTCCGTAGGGTTTTAAATATTTCTATAGGTGCTATACTAGTAAGTATAATCTCTTTATAATAGAGAAATACCCCTTAACTTAATTATAGTATCTACTAACGTCTCTATAGCTTCCTTAATAGATTTATAAGTAACTCTAACGCTTAGCTTATTCGTTACTTTCTTTATTATACTACTTATTCACTTACTATTAAGGTACTACTAAATCTTAAAGTTTATAGCTTATATTTTAATCTACAGAAGTATAAGAGATCGTATAATAAGAGGTTCTAGCAGGGAGAGAGCTTACGGAATTAATAAAGGCTTAGAAGGTAAAGGGGGGGGTAGCGATAGAGGCTCTATTAATCCTATAGCTAGTATAACTACTCCTATACTTAAATTAGGTATAGAAGCTGAAGTATTAATAGTAGAACTAATAGAAGAACTACTAGCTTAACTCGTACTAAGTTTAAGGGTTATTTTAGGTGCTACCGGCAGTAAGGGAAGTGGAGTACGTGGAGCTTTCTTTTTAGAAAGTTTCCTTTAACTATTTCAAGCTTTCTTTAGAGGTATATTCGAGAATATTAAGTAGAAATAAAGAGGGGAGTTTAAGAGCTTTAAAATAACCTAATTTGGAGGTAAATCGATAGAGATTTGATAGAGTTATGGAGGTTATAATTCTAGGTCATCATCTTTTAGTAGGGTCTACAGCAAAAGTCAGTGAGTCGGCGTTATTTACCGAAGAATCACGCCAAACTAAAGAATAGCTGTATCCGCAGAACCAGCCTGCCAGCACAGCACCGCATCCTTTCCAGTCCCTTTCTCCTCCTCTGCTGGACTTCAACCTTTCGACCTTTTATCCACAATAATGATAATAATGTCCAATCTTGAACTGCGAGCCAACGGCGCGGCCATCATGGCTTGGCTTTGGTTGGCCGTTGTACGGCCCCCATCTGCCTTAGTTCTCAAATCCCACTTCAACACAACAGGCTTTAACTTCGAGGACGGCTAGACTGCCGAGCCGTGTATCGCCCGTAGGTGCTCGCCGTCGAAGTGTCATTGTGTTATCCCATTGCAGTATCATTACCGATGCTGCACGCTTCACTGACTGGTGCAAGGAGCAGGCGAGAGGCTCTACCTCATCCAGCCAAAGTCTCGACAGCCATTCCCATTCCCATTCCCATTCCCACCCCCACCGGTTCTCCTCTGCTTGTCTCGTGTCTGCTTCTGGTGGGCGACACGGCTCGGTAGAGAATGGGGAACATGCAACATGTTCTCCGCAGCCAATACGATTTTGGCGATCGGAATAGTCCCCAAGCAGCCTTGCACATGTATTTCCAAGGCCCCTCCAACAGCAATATCCAACAGCCAACGAAGCGAAGGGTCTGCTAAGTTAAAGAACAAGTTGAAGGTGGGTTATTGGTTGCGTGGCAAACAGGGCAAGCGCCTCCCCAGCATGCCAGAAGAGTTCTGGCGCTGTTGTAGTGACTTTCTTAGCTCGACGCCCCGATCGACGGGCTGCTTTTGGAGGTCTCACGGCCCAAGCCTTGAGCCTTAAGCACCCCTCAGACATCGTCACTGCACTCAACTCCAGAGCAAGCCAATCCGAGTTTGTCTGTGGCCCGTACAAATTACTCGGTGGCTAAGTTAGACGTTCGCCCCCTCTTCTACCTTCTCTTCACTCCTTTCTCATACTCCATATTCTTTTGAATATTCATACCCTGCTCCTTTCAAAACGTTAATTCCATTGTTGCTTTCCAGTTGTCGTAGGCTTGAGTGTTGTTCTGGCCAGAGCTGGACCCTGCCGACTACCCCGCCCCTGATATAAACCCCTGCAGTCTGGACCAGACTTTGCGCAACGAGAATACTACCTTAGATCCACGATGATGGAACACGAGGACGAAGCCATTGAAGCTGAGAATGATGTATGGATTTGCCCTCGTGGTGTCTCGTTAGCTGCTTCTGGATACCTGGACCAGCAGCTGCAGCCGGCTGCCACGAATATCGTCAAAACAACCTTCTGACATGTTGTACAGGGTTTCGATAGTGACTCGGCATATGCAGGATCATCGTACGGAAACAATCTACGAGCCTTGGGTTTTGGTAGTGGCTTTCTGACAAGACTCGCAGATCCGGAAGCTTGACCGAAACTTTGTCTTCGACTATTGCACGAGGTGTTGAGGAACACGGCAGGACCTGTGAGTCGGGTTGCACAGCATACCCGCATTCGTTTTCAGACCATGAGGCTGATATCCTTGTTTTCTAGATGCCGCATACGGAAATGAAGGTCTGTTAATCAGTTACCATAACAGTCATACGTGAAGAGCACGAAATTGATCTGAGTGTTTCTTGTAGAGTACGGCCTGCCAATCGATGAGGAGGAGCTGGATAGGATCGATATGTCTCATGCAAAATATGGGATGTTGTTAGAGAAGAAGTTGTTCCTTGCACCCATTGGGGACAAGCCACAAAAGATCCTCGATATTGGAACAGGTAAATACACATCAATGTTTGACAGATGGGTTGGGATGATTGACTGACTGCAAACTTAAGGTACGGGGATATGGGCAATAGATGTATGGGCTCTCTGATATATGACTTGAAAAAGACTAATATTCGACTCCAGATGGCAGAACTGTACCCTTCTGCAGAAGTGAGTCGTATCATTGCCTGACTGGAAGCGAAGACTGACTGAACTTCTGCAGGTTCTAGGTCTTGATATCGCTCCTGTACAACCGCAATGGTATACACATCTTCTTTGCACGCATGAGGTCATGTTACTAACCTGGATTACAGGGTTCCGCCCAATTGTATATTCGAAATCGACGATGTAGAAATGCCCTGGACGCTCGACGAAAACAGCTATGATTTCATTCATGCCCGAGACCTCCTCCTATCGATACGTAACTGGCCAAAATTAGTGAACCAATGTTACAAGTATGGCTTATCCACTGTCAGCCAGCAACTGCTAATCGTCATTTCACCAGAACACTTAAACCCGGTGGTTATCTCGAACTGCAATGCATTTATCCTCGCTTAAAGTGCGACGATGGCTCCACACCCCCAGACAGCGGACTCTGGATGTTCTCTAACTACGCCCTCGATGCCTCCACCAAAATGGGCGCACCCCTCGACGCCTGCACACACTACGGCGAATACATGGCCGAAGCTGGCTTCGTGGACATTGTTGAAAAGAGGTACAAAGTACCCAGTTCTCCATGGGCGAGGGAGAAGCGTATGAAATTGATTGGGGCCTTCGAGCTGCATAATCTCCTGAGAGGCGTGAGTGCGATGAGTCTGAGGATGTTTTCGAAGGGATACGGGTGGAGTCAGAGTCAGATTGAGCTGTTCCTGGTGCAGGCGAGGAAGGACATGCAGAATACGAGGTTTCATTCTTACTATGATTTGTAGGTCATCTGATTCTTATTCGCTATACTCGGACACATTTGGAAGACTGATATCTGTTGATAGCATGATTGTTTATGCAAGGAAACCTGGCGGACCAGCTCCTGCTCCTGAGGGACAAGAGACATGAGCTTTTGATGGAAAATGACCAGATCTCGGCGTTCTAGGAAGATCATTCTTGGGACATTTCACCACACGGAGTATATTTTGGGAGAGAAATGTAAGGGGTATGCTTCTTGTATTTGGTTTTTGTCATCTGTGTATTGGTGGTGGTCGGCTAGGCGGCTTAATTTAGGTACTGAATGAATACCAACTTCCAATGCTGTCTCGATGGATATTTTAGCCGCCACGCATCTAGTCAGCGGACAATTGTAGTACCTAGGATGAGGCGTATCGATTGAACCTTGAGCCACTCCAGCGTTCCACGTATATACATATATCCCTATCTAAGGTAACTGTAGGTATTTTAGGTACATTAGGATTAGCACGTGAGTGAGGGGTGAAAACAGCCCAGGGCAGGCAGCGGGGTCGGATGCAGGGCAAGAGGGGCAACAACCACATCTTCCAATCAGATTACAGTATAAGTACAGCAGCGAGACAGAATCGCACCCACTTGCACTTCGGACTGGATTCCGACGTGGGAAACGGGTGGGCAGAGACGAGAAACGATACCTAAGGTAACCATGCAGAAAATTAAATCGTGTAACTGTCGTCGTCCGTAGACAAACAAGAAGTAAGCAAGCAGGCAGGCAGGCAGGACAGCAAACAAACAGAGAACAAACAAGGACGACAAGTTTCATCTCACTGAAACTAATCTTTCCTTTCTCTTTCTTCCCACCTCTCTCCTTCTCCTTCTCCTTCTCCTTCTACCCCTCTACCCCGTAAGCTTCTCCCAACAGGGATAGGTCTACCGTACCCTCCCCTCCCCTCCCCAGCACCAGCAGGGATTTCGCTACGCAAAAAAGTCTCCCGACTCGACTCAACTCCAACAGATTCGACACCGCTCCTCTCTGCATTCCGGTCCGGCCTCTGTATGCATCTCTGAAAATCTCACGCACCTCACTTTCACCTCACCCACTCAGAGCTGACCATTCTTTCACCTTGTTGTCACCTCTTCCACGCCTTCAGGGCTGCTGGCTTTCGATTGTTATCTGACTTCGGTGACTTTCTGCCTCTGATCACCTCACCATCTCGTCCCACTCAACTGCATTCGAACCCCCGCCACAACACCACGCCCCTCGTCCCCTCCCTCCCATCTCCAACTCGTCGTACATGCAGCGACAAGTCGTAGATCGTTGGGCCCGAAAACGTTACTTCGGATAGCACATGCTGCCGTAGGATATCATCAGAACACAATATCAGATTTCAGTTGCGTGGAGTAATAATACAAACGGTTTGTGCATCTTCCAACGAGCTTTCAATCCTTAAGGACAGAAAGTTGCAAGTCGAACTTTACCACCAAGGTCGAATACACAAGGCCTAGAGAATTCCCGTACAAGTGGGGAGCTTTACTATGGCCTATGGTTTGCTGACAGTACTCGTTATCCAGATCAATCTCTCATTTTAAGCTCCTCAAGGAGCTCTTAAATCGTCAACATGCACATTAAGGACATGCTGGCCGAGGCCGAGCGGTCAGGCCAGCCTACCTTCTCCTTCGAATTCTTCCCTCCCAAGACCGCACAAGGAGTGCAGAACCTCTACGATCGGATGGACCGCATGCACGGATTGGGACCCAGCTTCATTGATATAACCTGGGGTGCTGGTGGCCGTGTGGCACAATTGACCTGCGAGATGGTTAGCGTCGCTCAGTCGCACCATGGCTTGGAGACATGCATGCATTTAACATGTACGGATATGGGGCAAGATACGGTGGATGCTGCTCTAAAGGACGCATATAAGGCAGGATGCACAAACATCCTTGCGCTGCGTGGGGATCCGCCGAGAGAGAAGGAGAAGTGGGTGGCTACTGAAGGAGGCTTCCATTATGCCAAGGATTTGGTGAAGCATATCCGAGATACTTACGGCAATCATTTCGATATTGGTGTTGCGGGATACCCAGAGGGTTGTGACGATCAAGACGACCCAGAGCTTTTGCTGGAGCATTTGAAGCAGAAGGTCGATGCTGGAGCTACCTTCATAGTGACCCAGATGTTCTATGATGCGGAGAACTTCATCGATTGGGTTGGCAAGGTCAGAGCAAAGGGTATTACAATCCCGATTGTTCCTGGTATTATGCCTATCAACACCTATGCCAGCTTCTTGCGCAGATGCAACCATATGGGATGCAGTATTCCACCCGAGTGGAGTGCTGCATTGGAGCAGGCGAAGAATGATGATGCCGCTGTCCGTAACATCGGCACTGGTCTCGTGGCTGATATGTGCCGCAAGCTTCTTGCAGCTGGCATTCACCATTTACATTTTTACACCATGAACTTGGCCCAAGCTACTCGCATGGTCCTTGAGCAATTGAACCTCACACCTTCCGAGCAACGCCCATTGAAGCAAGCTCTACCTTGGAGACAATCGCTCGGTCTTGGCCGTAGAGAAGAAGACGTCCGTCCTATTTTCTGGAAAAACAGAAACAAGTCCTACGTCACTCGAACCCAAGATTGGGACGAATTCCCTAACGGCAGATGGGGTGATTCGAGATCACCAGCATTCGGAGAGCTGGATGCTTATGGTATCGGTCTGAAGGGCACTAATGAGCAGAACCGCAAGCTGTGGGGTGAACCAAAGTCTATCAAGGACGTTGCCGACATTTTCGTGAAATATCTTGAGGGGACTGTTGAGAGTCTTCCGTGGAGTGAAGCGCCTATTAGCAGCGAGGCCGATTCTATTAAGTCAGATCTGATCGAGCTCAACAAGCGAGGCCTGCTCACGATCAATTCCCAGCCAGCTGTGGACGGAGTTAAGTCTTCGCATCCTGTCTATGGCTGGGGTCCTAAGAACGGATATGTCTACCAGAAGGCCTACCTGGAACTTCTTGTCTCTCCAACTCTGATGACCCAGCTCATCGCTCGCATCGAACTCGATCCTGACTTGACCTACTACGCTGTGAACAGAGCTGGCGAGCTGAAGACCAATGCTCCAAGCGATGGACCAAATGCTGTTACATGGGGTGTCTTCCCTGGAAAGGAAATCGTGCAACCTACCATCGTCGAGACGATCAGTTTCCTAGCTTGGAAGGACGAAGCATTCCGCTTGGGAACAGATTGGGCTCATTGTCACTCTGCGCTCAGCCCCAGTCGATCACTCATTGAGGATATGATGGATTCGTGGTACCTCGTGAACATCGGTATGTCTCACTTCCCCCTCACACTTACAGTACCCTTTACTAACCCCGAATACAGTCCACAACGATTTCCACCAAACTCATGGTCTCTTCCCGTTGTTCGACGGCCTCGAAGTTATGGATATCGATGTACCATTCTCGGCGCCTACTAATGGCGCCGAAACCAATGGCGTGAATGGCACGAATGGCACAACTCCAGCACCACCATCGGGCGTTGAAAACGTGCCTCTCACGAACGGCACAGCTGCATCTGCAGCTCACTAATTTCATCACCTCCGCGCACTTCTTCACATCTCAACGAAATGACTTGACGATCACGATTCAACACGACATAGAGACCGACCTTCTACCTGGCTCTCTTTTTTTTTCTTTTCAAAGCTTCTCTTCTCTTCAGACCATGTTTTCAACAAAAACTCAACAACTCATCCAATTTTCAACATTAAAAAGTACAGCAAGGTTATTTGCCTCATCTGCATCTAGCGCTGGTGTTCCGGGAGTGAGCAAACTTCAACAAGTCTGTCTGGCGTTTTTTTTTAAACCAGCTCGTGATCTCAACGATTGGGCTTTCGGTTGCTTCTTATCTTTCCCTTTTAAGATAGTCGGCGAGGGAGCAAATAAACAAATAAACAAAAGCCGTTTTGCATTGTGGTGTGGTGTGGGGAGTTTTGTCCGCATGGGTTATGGGCTATGGGAATTAGGGATAAGAGTAGAGAAGAGAAAGGTCGTTCTTCATCAGAGACCTGGGTGGATGGCGTGGGCAGGCAATGCCTTGATGGGGTCTGGGTCATTAACTGACCGGCTCTGGGATAGATAGATAGATAGATGAACGGGGTGGGATGGAATGGAATATCAATATACTTCCAAACTCCCAATATTGTTCTGGTTTCTTTCGATTTTAAGATGTAAATGATGTGTGAGCTATATAGGATCTCTGAGACGACGCAGACTTGAGACGCTAGCAGCGCTGCCAGTGCCCAGAGTGTGAGAGTGTTGAGGAGTGAAAGGACATCAGGTCTGCTATCTCCTCACTTATGAATTCCACGGCCCTCTTATCAAATCCGTGAATACACATAAATACAGTATTATTAGAACTTAAGTACAAAGAAGTAGAGATTAAACTCCTGCTCTCTCCTAAGGGCTGCAAATGAAGCAGAAGTGGAAGCAGAAGCTTCATCCACGTATTCGGGGAGGAGCAAGCTCTCTCGCTCTCAACAGTTGAAATCAGTATAACCTCAACGCCGCACGTCTGGCCAACCAACCAACCAACCAACCAACCAAACGCCAAATGATACATCAAGCCAGTCTCAATCCCGGTCTCAATTTCAAGTCAAGCTCAGTATTGAGCCTCCCCACTAAGGACTCGCGACCCAATCGCAGTAGCCACCCCTTCAATCCTCCACCGCTTCATCTTCATCCCCCTCCTCATCACTTCCACCACGACTCCCACCCCGCTCCTCCCCATGACTCCGACTCCTCGTCCTAGTCCTCTGTCTCCTCCTCATCCTCACATTCTCCCCACCATCCCCATTCCCGTGCCCATCTCCTCGTCCACCTCGACTCCGACTCCTACTCAGACTCTGACTCCGTCTACTCGATCCCTTGCCTTTCCATCTACCCATGTCGTTGCCAACACCAACACCAACACCAGCATCTGAGTCCGAGTCCAAAAGTCCGAATCGCTGGTATTTCTTCCCGGGGCTCTTCCTAGGTGAATGAGAGCGGTGACGCTCAATTCCTTCCTCGGGTATCACGGACGGGGAGTGTGATGTTTTGGTGGGCGTCAACAGAGTAGAGGGGGATGGAGTGCGATGCCTGCCGCGGCCGCGCAGGGTGGTGCTCCCGTGGGAGGTGGTGTGGTTTGAGGCTGAGCTGCGGCGACGTTTGCGGCCGCGTTGGGTGTCGTCGTCTGGGGTGGGGGGTTCGAGGAGGTAGGCAGTTGAGGAGGTTGTGGTAGAGTGGGAGTGAGAATGAGTGTGGGAGTGGGAGTGAGAAGGAGGTGCTAGGGATGTCATGTTGCTTTGTGATTGAGGTTGCCTTAAAGGAGTGCTGGGTGAGACAGGTATGGTGTGTCGATTGGAGTTGTTTGTTGAGATCCGTTGATCGGGTAAAGCTCTCCGATTCGGTCCAGTCCTTAGAAAGATTGAGGTGTACACTCCGTAGAGAGACGTCTTCAAGTTGTCCTGAGGAATGATCAGCTGATGTACTGTACTCCTGTATCATTCCACTCTGTCCGAATCCTAGACAACAAGAAAAATTGTCCTCTGATCAGGAAACCATTTTGAAAGGCAGAAAGAGAGACATGAAACCGGGCAAGAACCAGAGCGATGAGGAGCAGGAAGATATAACAATGGATTTAAGATGTATACGCCAGTCCTCGGATGACAACTTACACTTTCTCAGCACGACCAAGCATGTGCTCTGCTTAGAAAGTATATCAGCCTCTTCGGTGACCAACATTGAACCATTGGCGTTGTGCTCGTGACTCTCTGCTGAGGCTCGGAATGGGTAGACCAGGACAGCCGCCTCTTCTTTCCGATTGAAGGTTGACTCATCGAAAGATGAGAATGAGGCTACAATTGATCTCAAAGAGAACAGGAACGATAATGGAATGAGGGGTGCATCGGGCAATAGAGTCGGAAAGGTGGGTTACATAAATGACCTGAGCGGCTTGGCCGGCAGTGGAGGTGGAGGTTGAAACGCGGGGAGAGCTTGAACCTCTGATGACTGACTCGCTGGTAGAAGAGAGAGTGGGAAGAAGCACGAGAGAAGTGAAATAAGTACTCACAGTCAAGTATTGTCACGTTGTGATAGTCGCAACCTCATCAATGCTCTACTGTCGCTCATGGTGGATAAATGTAGATCATACAACGCAGCTGACGTTGACTGATCGTATGCCATGAAGGATGAAGGCGTTGAGAGCTGTCGCGTGAGGGATGCCGACGTCAAGCGAGACGTGGAGGGAGCTCGGGCGGGCTTGGAAATATTTTGTCGATCGCCTGAGCGAGCTCTCGGGTGAGCTTCAAAACAGCTACAGATAGAACACTCATTGAACGCCACCACCATACACCTTTACACCCAACTTGCTTGGAAAGAGAAGAAATAGCAATGATGAATGCACGACCAATGATTAGAGCCTCAAGGCTCTGCTGTCGCTGCTATGCAACGGGCACAAGCACCACTCCTCCTATGCTCCTCAAGATCAGGCAAGCTCTCACTCTCTTCCCTCTCTCGTCCCTTAGCCATTGACCAACCATTCTGGATCTCGAAATGCCTTTCCCGTCTTGTCAAGACCCTAGCTAACCCTCATTCCCCAAACAGGAGAGACATGAAAACCGCCATGCAAAACAAAGACAGCAACCGACTCTCCGTCCTCCGCGCCCTACTTTCCCAAACCCTCAACGCATCCAAAACCTCCTCCCCCATAAACACCGACATGCAAATGCTCTCTCTCCTCCGCAAATCCGCCAACGCAGCCAAAGCCGCAGCGGAAGAGTTCAAAAATGCAGGCAGACAGGATCTAGCTGACAAGGAAGACTTGCAGAGAAAGGTGCTGGAAGAGTATGTGGGGAGCGTGGAGGTTATGGGCGAGGAGGAGATTAGAGGTGTTGTTGAGGGGGTGGTGAAGGGTTTGAAAGGCGAGGCGGATGGGAAGGAATTGAAGATTGGAGACGTTATGAAGAGGGTTTTTGAGGGGGAGGGGGGACTAGAGGGGAAGCCTGTGGAGAAGGGGGAGGTTGCTAGGATTGTGAGGGAGGTGTTGAAGGATAATTGAGTTGGGCTGGCTGGACTTGGTTGGATAATTGGCATAGGAGGGTGTATACTATTATGTGTATGATATGTAGCATAGATGGCGTTATTATGATACCAGACTCTAGTTTCCATGACTTGAGCTGGTAGCAAAGGAATTTTACATCAATACTCTAATCTCTCCAAGGGCATTGAGAAAATCAAGGTAGGTGATTTTTTGCTAGCGTTTTCGAACCTTTCATATTGGTATTCCTCGTTACTGCACAGTGTTGATTCTCCACTAATAACTGTTGTTTCCCCTTTGCAAGGCTTGCTGAGGGGAACCGACTATTACTCATCATTTTTAAACTCCTGTCTGCTTGAGGCTGCATGTTTCCATGGCCTCGGTACCAAAGTTTGACCGACGCCGTGGGATCCATTGCTGCCCCTTGTCATCTCCTCTTTTTTCCCCTGTACGGACGTAAACTTTGTGAAATTTTGTGCATGGGATGTCTGGTCCGGTGTCTGTGCCCCTGGAAAGTAGATTACTTGCTGCAAGACCCGCACGAGAAGAAGGAGCAGAGGCTGGAGAGAGGCCAATCTTTACCATCTCGGACGGCATTTCTGAAAGAAGCGTCGGGGAATTCTTTTGAAAGCTCCGCAAGTGAAAGGCTGCCATCCGGAAACAGTGACAGGAGGTGGGAAAGTGATGTAAGACTCCCTACATGTAGGTACCCGGGGCCTGGGAACCCTCAATGGCACTGTAGACGGATGAATAGAGGCGTACCTTTTCTGGTAAGCTTCACCTTGGGATTCGGCGTATTCGGGTCGGGTAGGATGTAGGAGATGGAGATGCTGCACGGCAACGCTGCAAAGAGTTGTCGTTGCGGCCGCGCATGGCGGCCGCAGCTAATATTTCAATAGTCCGGAGCATGAACGTAACAAAAAATTAAAGTCCGAGGCAACTCAAGTACGGGACGATTAAAGCAAAAACCACATCGACAAATAGAAAGCAACTGCGGCTTGCAAGTAGAAATGAGATGAAAGAGGAAGAGGAAAAGACCGGCACTTCTAAGACCAAAACACGCGCATGAAACGCTCATGTCTTGCATTGGGGATATGAACAGACCCGCTGAATCTTGTGTGACAGTACTAAGTCCGTAAGAGATGGTTGCAGAAAAAAGAAAAGCTTCGTGCCAAATATTACAAGTCATATTCGGCAGTGCCAAATGCTCCGTGCCTGACTCGGATCTTTGCTGAAGATGGGCTGGCAGATGTCATGATGTGTTGATTATAAGACTGCGGAGACGAGTGTTGATAACGGGCCGGCTCGAGGTGTTGGTTGGTGAGTTGCGTGGTTTGGTATGGTAAGTATCCTAGAATACTCGAGGGTAGGGCTTCCTACGTAACATCACACTCGTGTATTTTGCTGGTAAATTGCGATACAAGTTCAGAGTGTTGTGGTGTGCGGAGCCTAAACAGAGCAATAATAGATGTAAGACTAGCCAGTCTCACTCGAGCGCCATAACATCCGGGGCCGTTTTAGCTTTACCTGTCTTCGCTCCCCATGTCAAGAAATCATCTCTCCACCGTGCCCTATGATAGGACGCACAGACTTCCGTCAAGGGGAAGAGAGGGGAGGGGATCCCTTAGTTCCGATTGATATTGGCAGTCTAAATCCCATGGCTTCGCAGCGCACACCTCATCTTCAAAAGAAAGTCTTGGATAGAAAATAATACTCGTCCTCACCTGCTTCATCCAGAGAGAGTATTGGAGTACAACACCGACCTAGGTATTCACGGCCCACGCATCCACCAGCACCCCTATCAACTTACAGCCTCTTACTGCACTTGGCTGCAGGACGACGCTGCCCTGCATTGCATCGCATACGGACCAACCGAAATAGCTGGGTCGGCTCCTACCATCGATCCAATTCTCTCGCGGTCCCCTCTCCTGTGTCTGGAATCTTGTCCGACTGGTTCCCAAAATCTCTCACCCATCAATATCCCTCCCAATTGCTGTCCTAGCTCTATTCTAAGCATCCACATCTGACTTCCAAGACCGTGGTCCCATTCTTGCCTCTTCCGGGCGCCGACGGTTAACTGTTACTTCAACAATCATATTTCCAGTCCCAGTCCCGAATCAGCTTCCCCACAACCACATGTTCACGCTCTCAGCTTGTACGATACACCCGTTCCAGCGCAACGGTATTTGAACCACTCAACCGCTGTCACTTGTGCTTCAAGACGGAGCCACGCTGCTTGGAGGACCGCCCTCTCAGCGCCTTCGTCGATCTGTGGTTCCTGACTTGTCAATTGACATTCTTCAACAGCCAGTCATAGAACGTGACCATATCAACGCCCACGTGGAGGAAACCAACTCCATCCAGTAGCAGGAGGTAGACGGAGTATTGATGTTGCGTTATATTCAAAGGTACGTGGTGTCGTCTTGTCTGTTTTGTGATTCCAGACTTTTCCGGAGTGCGGTTCCTCAGATTTGGTGTCGTCTGGAGATAGTACATTTCGGACGATCGATCCTTTCTCGTTTTCTTTGGGAGCCTCAACAGAAAATTAGATCTTTATTTCTATGATGCTGTTTCGCATGATTATCTCGGACCGAAGAGTGCAAGATATCTCCGAGTTTGATATCTCCGTTGCTGGATCTACAGAGCTGTCAACATCGGGCAGCGCTTCCGTTCAGCTGAGGAGCGGCCCCTCCACTAGCTCTCTGGGGCAGCTGTCTTCGTCCCGATTCGAGCATATCAAGCCATCCATACTCGTACCTGCTAGTTTCCGTTCATAGTTCTATTATCTGATTCGATACTTCTTAGAAGAACGGACCAATTTTCAGCACATGCGGCCCGGTGCGACCACATCACATCGCCACAACCGGCCATCTCAACCTCCCAACTCTTCACTCTAGCACAATAGACGGCTCTTCAGTAAGCCTATCCCAAGGGCCAAAGACTTGAAGAAGTGTCTTTACTCATTGGTTTGAGTTTGGTAACAATCTGGATACGTTTTCACTCTCTCAAACAAGTTGAACAAGCTGTCAAAAATTTACTCTTACAAGACAACATCCTGTTCACCTGACGGCATCTGCTCCCGTCCAACGAACATAAAAGGCTCAAGCGCGGCTTACCAATTGACTTTCGGCACCTCGCGGAACCTACCATTAGCCGTGGTGCTCTCACCGGGGATCACTATCTAGAATCGATCCAGAGCTTCAGATACCTGATTTCATTATCGCAATGTGCTTCAACGTCCCTTAAAAGTATCTTTTCACATGTAGCAGCCACTAGTCTGTCTTATTTTTGATCGACTTAGCCTGCGGTTGATCATTTACCAGAGGCTGCCACTTCATCCCAGTCTTATACTGCCCCCTTGCGACATGAAGGGTTCATTCTTATGTGGGTGACCTATCGATAGTGCTGAAAACCTGCAATCATGGAGGATCATGAGGATCTCGACGCAAGCAATAGTCCTGAACTCATCGAAAAGACTCAAGAGGGTACAGACCCACCAGCAAAGAAACCGGGATCAAAAGCGAAAGGAAGAAAAAGGACGAAGACCGGGTGTTTGAGTAAGACTAGCTTGTCGACTATCGATCTCACATTACTGATTCTGGTCTTTAGCATGTCGAAAGAGACGCATTAAGTGTGGCGAAGAGAGACCGACGTGTATGTGATCCAATGGTTCCTTGTGATTTTGCTGTTTCGGTGCCAATGCCTCTTCAGAAAGTGCTGACCACGATGTAGGCAGCAATTGCACGAAGTCTAAACGGCAATGTGAGGGCTACAACCAAAGAGTCGTTTTCAAAGACCCTATGAATGGCTATAGACCGCCAGTACCACCCTTCTCTCATAGTTCATATCAAAATACGAGCTATGGTCAACCATCGGGTCGGCGAGATTCGTACGCGCAATCAGCAAGCGGACAAAATCCACTCCCAATTGCTCCGAAACCTAGCTCTTCTAGCGGTCCTGCGATCAAGATCGAGCAGACACCACTTCCCCAATCTCATGAGCGAAGAGCTAGTTCTACCAACGACAACTTACCAAGTCAAGCAGGACAGGGAGCTAGATTACAACCTCGGATCAAGGTACAGCTCCAAGATAAGCCTCTTGATGCCAGAGGTCATTCTCACGTCTTAGAAAGGCAATCGCCGAATGACCAGGTAACTCATTATGATTTCAATGCTCTCGTGAAGCAAGGGAGTGGCACAAATCAATCTTACAGTCCGTCGCAAGCCACTTCGCCGGATTGGTCCGCAGGCCCACATTGTATGTTCTCCGAGATGGCCCCATCTCTATACTGAGTCTAACGAAGGAGATAAAGCAGCTGGATCTTTTCAACCACCTTACTCGCCGCTCAAATGGGAGCCTATAATTCAAACTCCAACCTCGGCAGGTATTGATGAGCATAGAGCATCCATTGGAAGTTTGCAACCGCCCTATCAGCCACAGCCGAAACAACAACCTCAGACTACGAGTGAAGCAAATCGACAGCCGAGTTATCCTCGAAACTGGCAGGGACACCAACAAGCCGCAGTATATCCTCCTCCAGCACCTAATTGGAGTCTTGGTCAACCAGTTCCTCAGGACTGCCCAGAAGTGGACGATGTTAATGATCCCTTCGATGTGTCTGAAGATGATGATTATGATATGACGGATGAACATTTTGGCGTACTACACGACGATCCTAACGATACCCATCTAAAGCGGAATGATCTTGGGATTGTGGTTGCTGTGCAAGCTGGTCAGGACAAACAGGGGCTCAATCTTCGCTCCTTCGTGTCATTTATTGATCGACCTGATATGTTGGCCAACTACACACCCTCTTCACAGTCAACTCCTCTGAGAGACCCAATGACGGCGAGGATATTTTGTCACTTCGTCAATGTCACTGGGCCTTGCATGTCTATGTTTGAGAGACACCCATCGAACCCCGGGTTGATGTTCCAGGGAACACCAGTCCCGAAATCACAGCAGCATATCTGGGCCTGTAAGTTACTCCCATACTATTGATAATGCTCACTAAGAATGATTAGATACATTCCCCACACTTGCACTTAATAACTCTGCGTTACTGCATGCCATGCTTGCAATTGCAAGTTTACACATATCAAAGCTTCAAGGTGGACCCATCACAGCATCATACAAGCATTACGCACTCAGTCTCCGCCGAATCGGCAAGAGCGTCGGTCTGCCTACACGACGAGGACATCCTGCCACCCTCGCGGCTGCATTGTTACTCGCCTTTTACGAATGCTGGGCAGCTGATCACCAGAAATGGAGCAACCACTTACTAGGTGCAAAGCAACTAGTGAAAGAGATTGAATTCGCCGGAATGACGAGGTATATCAAACGAAAGAAAGCACAGAAACGACAAGAGGTTATCGAAAGACAACATTATGCATATGATAACGGTCTTGAGTACGACTTTGACGATCAAGATCATCTGCGAGCTCATGATGAGGTCGATGAGAACGTTGTAGGAATACTATTGGGAAGGAAGGTTAGCTATGATGAATATGGCCAGATTATAGACGATAGTAGGAATGCGGATATCTGGGACAAGGAGTATACGGAAAGAGATCTGGAGATTTATGAGACGCAAAGGGACCTTTTCTGGTGGTATTGTAAGCAGGACACGTACCAGAGTATTCTCGGTGGAGGAAAGCTTTTGTAAGGCATATATACACTCAGCTATCTGATCTGATCTAACAATAAGCAGTCTGGAGTACTCTTTCTGGAGTCATTGCCCACCACGAGCGCCACTAGGTCGTCTCAATGCCATGTAAGAAAGCTCCCGTCTTAGAGATATGTCTTACTAACAACACAGATACGGTACATTCGACCACATGGTTCTGCTCCTCGGGCGTCTCGCAAATTTCCAAGCCAAAGACATCAAGAGAAAACGTCTAGCAATGAAAGCCAACGGCGGTCGCTGGCAACCCCCAGAATCCATGCGAGCACAACAGCCTCCAGCATCCCAACCGCCAAACAACGCCACTCCACAGACTCCTCCCCAAATGCCTAACTTCACCGGCATGGTCCCAGACGTACAAGAAGCTAAACTGCCCATGGGATTTGAACCATCCAGAGATTCGCCCACAAGCAACCAAAGCGAAGACACGGATCTCCAGTCGCAGACCTACGCCGCCAACGAAGAATGGCAAGAAATCCGCGATGCATTCGACCTCATCGAGAGCCGTTTCGGGGAAGACTTCCAAGCACTCGGCCCAGAGTTCTCCGCACCTATCCAAACACCATTCGGTCCTGCTTTACAGTATAGAACGTATGGCATTGCGGGCATATGGATGAACCTGTACATGGGACTGATAACTTGTTATCGATCACACCCCTCAATGCCGCCTGCTGCTATCATGGCTGCTGGGATTACAGCGAGACAGACTGCGGGCTTTGCGAATCAGCTAGGCAGGATTGCGGCAGGTATTGCGCCAGATTTGAGTATGGCGACAGAAGTCAACCCTGGTGTGGGAGCGGCATTAATTGAGTCGTCGACTTGTATGTTTGTTTCGGCTGTGCAGGTATGTATTTTTTTTTCTCTTTCTCTCTCTCGCTCTCCCCGCCCCAGAATTCGATGTAGTTCTCTCTCTTTCTTCTCGAGAGTCAAGATTGGCATTTTAAGAGCCATAAATTGTTCCTACATGTCACTAACCGTCTTGTCCAGCTCCAAGACGCATCCCAACGCGCCTGGACGATCCTCCGCCTCCGCGACATCGCCCGCCTAACAGGCTGGCAAACCGCGCTCGCCGTCGCCACAGGCTGCGAAACATCCTGGATCAAGATGGGCGAGCTTGGCAAAGGACCCGTCTATGTTCGCACAAAAGACGAGCGCGTCGTGCCTGATAATTGGGTGAATAAGAGAATGATTGATAGGGTGCTGAAGGGGAAGACCACTGAGGAGAGGAGGATGCTGATTGAGAAGGATGACAGAGTGCAGTATGCCCTCGGGGTGCTGGGACTTGAGGAGGACTTTGAGGGGATGGATTTGGAGGGAGGGAGGAGGCAGAGGTAGGCAGAAGTTCAATTGAGGGCGTTTGTTTGGTTATTGTGTGGTGTAAAAGTACTTTGTTATGAACGAATGGCGGATTGAAAATGGGTTTATGGGGCGGCTTGCGTGTGCTGCATTTAGCTGGAGGATTTACTAAATGTCCTGGATACACGATTGACAGGCATGAAAATGTGTAATTTTGGATGAAGCTCCTTATTCGCTTTGCGGTTGGCTGTCTGAGAAAGAAGCTGTGAAAGATTCTGACTTTATGTCTAATGACCTTGATTTCATTTTTATGCCTCATAACTCCGTAGCTCTAACATGCATGTCATTTCTTCCATCCTGACTTTGCAATTGGTCATCCGCTTAGCCTCAACGGTTTCAATTTGCTGGTAATCTCTCTACGACTACCGCCATCTCCTCGTCTGTGTAGATCCGGAACCCCTTCTCCTTGGTAACGCTCGCCAGTTGCACGTTCTTTGAATCGAGCTTCTCCTCCATAACCTGCTTCAACGTCTTCAGAACCAATGTCTCGGCTTCCTCGATGGTCAGGGACTATGCCAGATTGTCAGTTCGTTGCCCATCAAATAAATTGGTGTTCAGGTGTGTACAAGTGGAACTTGTATGAAGCTCAAATGTGTGTCCGTACCTTGTGAAACTCATTCTGCAACTCAGCCTGTGCACCTTCCGATCCCGACCCGATAGCCTTCGCGTCATATCTGTAGAAAGTTCCACTGGGCTCTGCATGGTACAATTGAGGTCCATCCTCATCATATCCAGCAATCAACAACGCAACACCAAACGGCCGACTCATGATACTCTCCTCACCATCAGCACCCTCACCAAAACGCAACGCCAAATCACAGATGGCTTGTGTGCAGCTTTCCACTCTCAGCGGCTCGTTGTAGTGGAAAGCGTGGTTCTGCGACTCGACTCGGGCGTGCTCGACCATGCTGCGTGCGTCGGCTTGGAGGCCGGACATGGCGCATCCGATGTGGCGGTCGATTTCGACAATCTTTTCGACAGAGGAGGTCTCGAGGAGAGTAGAGGTGACGCGCTTCTCAACACCCAGGACGACACCACCGCCGGTGGCAACGCCGATTGCCGTTGATCCTAACTTAATTGCTTCGAGGGAGTATTCGACTTGAAAGAGGCGGCCTTCGGGGGAGAAGGTGCTGGGTTATGTTAGAATCTGTTTGTTTCTGGATGTATAAATAGATTTAGCTGAGAGGATATTGGACATACTTGATACCCCGATCTGCGCAATGTTAGTTTGTATACAAAGCATTTCGTAGGAGCTCTCGTTCACTTACCATATTCAGAGCGAGCAATAAACATCTTGACAGCTTCTGGTGATCAACAGAGAATATTGTAAGAAAGGAGACTGTATGCGAAGCTGCAAGTACTTTTGCAGAGTATCGTCAAGTAGGTATCGGAGGAATTCTGGTGTTGTGGTGAGGAAGACAAGAAGGTGAAGTAAAAGTGTCGTTCGTTGCTCTCCAGGTCCAGGCACTCAATCCACGACGACAGCTCTGTTTGAGCTGAAAGCGGACTAGCGATCTTTACTAGCGCCGTTCAGACGCGCCAATGTTGAAGAAGCGCGTCCCCCAGTTAATCGCAATTATGGAAAGAAACATCAAACTTCCAAGCGCAACCTCGAACAATCTAGGATTCTCGGTTCACTCACTGGTCATTCGGGAATACTTCAGAATCGAGCACAAATGTAAATATCATGTCGTCTTCGTCCCATGCCAGAATCCCGTCGCGGAGCGATCGCAGGACGACCAACGATAGTGGAAGTACACGACCCCGCGCCCCCTCTGGACAACAAGGCGGGAGTCGAACAGAGAGGCCAGATCCAAGGAGACAGCCGTCGCCGCAGCCTTCTACATCGACTGGTGGGCACAAGAGGACGGCTTCTGGGGTACAGCGGTCGAGTAAAGCGGTGGAGGAGCGGAGGACGGAAAGAGTGCAGGTTACGACAAGGGAAACGATAACTTCGAGAACGAGAAGTCCAGAGAGGAGACCCGGGTCAACGCAGCCGCCGGAGCGACAGAGACCGGAACCTAGTAGGACGTATTCGGGCGATCCGAGGCCAAAACCGGCAAAAATGGAAACTCCAACAGGTATATTCTTCCTATGTACAACGAGGTCTAGTTGAGAATAAATCTGATACTCTACGATAGCGCCTTGGGCACCGGAGGCTTCTTTGGTTCCACATACATCTGCTCCTCTTGCATCACGCATATCAATACCTCCGCTGTCATCACAAGCTCCGACCGCTCTCCAACCCCGCCCTCTCCATGAGTTATCTCTTGAAGTCCAGGAGGCAGCCATACTAGAAGATCTTCTTTTTGTCTTTATGGGATATGAGGGACAGTACATACGATTTTCAAAGTCCTATAACCCCTCAATTGAGAAAGACCGCCTTGCCGGACCAGGATACAAGATTCAACCCGGTCTAGACCCCAGTCTCCAAGATCTCACGACTACGATGCTGAAAATGGCCACTCACTATGGTGCTGTAGATGCTTTTGTGGAAGTACAGAGTCGCGAGGAGTTTGGCGCAGTAAATCATGCCCTCTGCGCTGCGATACGGAAGCTCCTCCAGGATTATTTGATCTTGGTGGCTCAGTTAGAGACTCAATTCCTGACGAACCCCTCGTTCACCCTACATGTCCTAAATCTGCACACTTTGCCCACTAGTCATATGATGCTCCAGCTTTATTCCCTGGCTCACGAAATTCTGAAACGAAACTCCATGTTGGAAGAAGACGAGGACTCAGATGATGGTTTTGATGATATTGAGAATATCCTAGAGAGCCTACGAGAAGGCGGGGACCTTGGACCTGGAAATATACCTGGGAAGAAGATATGTAAAGGTGGAAGTGTTTTGGGGCTCATCACAAAACGACTAGAATCGATGTCTGGTGATCCTGCTGCGCGGGCGCTATTAACATCGTTACTGCGCGATGCGAGTCGTCCGTACATGATGATGTTAAATGAGTGGCTCCACCATGGAAGCATCAAGGATCCGCACGCCGAGTTCCTGGTCCGAGAACAGAAAAGTATCAAGCGTGAGAGGCTTGAGGAGGATTACACAGACGAGTATTGGGAGAGGAGGTACACCATTCGTGATCACGATGTTCCACCACAGCTCGAAGGTGTTAAGGACAAAGTTTTACTAGCAGGCAAATACCTGAATGTCGTTCGAGAGTGCGGTGGTGTGGATGTGAGTAAAGCTGTCACTGACGTGCCTCGATCCTTTGACGATAACCGATTCCTGGACAACGTCAACAGTGCTTACGCTCATGCCAACGAATCTTTGCTGAAGCTGTTGCTCACTACACATGCACTACCTGCTCGGTTACGGTCACTCAAGCATTACTTCTTTCTCGATCGGTCGGATTTCTTCTCATATTTCCTGGAACTTGGTACATCTGAGCTTAGGAAACCAGTCAAGAGCGTCAATACAAGCAAGTTGCAATCTTTGCTGGATCTCGTGTTGAGACAACCCGGCAGTGTGGCAGCACAAGACCCGTTCAAAGAGGATATCAAGGTCGAGATGAACGAGATCAGTTTGACCAACTCGTTGACCCGGGTCGTGAATATTTCAGGAATTGAGCAAGGCGAATCTCTACAGACTCCAGCTGCTCAGCCTACCAGCGAAAGCGACAAAGCAGCCGTTGGATTCACTTCCCTCCAGTTAGACTATTCAGTCCCGTTCCCAGTATCACTGGTTATCAGTAGGAAGACGGTATGGAGATATCAAGCACTATTTCGATATCTTCTTTCCCTGCGGCATCTTGAGCAGCAGTTGGTTTCATGCTGGCAGACTCACAATAGATCCGCTAGCTGGGCTCACAAGAGCTCGAATTCGACACTCGAAATGTGGAAACGACGTGTCTTCACATTGCGAGCCCGTATGCTGGTATTTGTGCAACAACTTTTGTACTTCTGCACTGCAGAAGTTATCGAGCCCAACTGGCAAGCCTTGATGGCACGATTGAATGCGAAGGAGGATAGCAAAGGCGGCGCAAGCCCTGTGCGAACGGTCGATGAGCTCATGCAAGATCATGTCGACTTCCTGGACACATGTCTAAAAGAGTGCATGCTTACCAACAGCAGGCTATTGAGGGTAGGTTTATTTGATCTTTCTGGGAGAGGCGTTCTAACGATCACTAGATCCACTCGAAGCTCATGCAGACATGCACATTCTTCGCTTCGTACACAGGTTGGCTCGCCAGGGAACTAGAGAAGGCAGACCCAGATATGACGGGTGCAGAGAAACCAACTTCCATGAACAAGCAGCACTGGATTCGGTATCAAGCGGAGAAGAATCAGCGACACAGTGATTCAGCGAGCTCTAGTGCTGCATCGGGCCCGTTGACCGATGCCGCACGAACAGAAAAAATGGAGAGAATGTTCGAGATCATCAAGAAGTACGAGGACAACTTCAGCAGACATCTCCAGATCCTCCTCGACGCATTGAATCACTATGCCGCAACAGAGACAGTCGTGTTGTTAGGCCTGTGTGCTCGATTGAGCACTGCCAATCAGGGCACGCAGTACAGTGGCCTCAAGACAGATGAAGATGGTGGAGCGCAGGCATGAGAGTCGCGATGTTTGGATGTTAAAGGTTTTGCAGTGTCTTGCTTGTCGAGGTATGGTGGAGGCGTTTACGATATCCAGAACTGATTTCGGTTTGAAGGGTGGTTGGCAAGGTATATAAACCAAATGAATGACGGATGGCGTTCAGATCTTGGAGAAAGCATGCAAAAAGCTGGTATCAGCCTTTGGTACATCCTAAGTCTTAGGCCGTGGAAAAATGAAATTTAAAATACTTTCATGTCTGGTCACCCATTCATATTTCCTGCTTCTTGGACATTGACTGTGTGAGCATTATGAACACCTCGGTAATCTACGTAGTACAGCAAAACTGCAGCTCTCTCGACATATGTCGCTTCGCATGGAAACAGAAGTTTCTCTGTTCGGTGCTTCCAGGACTACATTGTGCTCTGTGTAGATTTTGTGGGGTAATATTAAGCGAGTATCAAAAGAAAACACAGTCACCTGAAGTGAACAAAGACTTTGCAAATTAGACCGCATTCATATTCGACGACGCAACCTATGTCAAAAGTCCGAGCAAGTCATGGAGCGCTACCGCCAGTTTGCAATTCCTTCCTCCATCGTTCGCAAATAGCGCCAAAAAAAAGAAGGCCTGAGTCGACTCATAGGTGAACCCATGCCAACCCTGGAGAATCCCATGTCAAGCCGAGTGGATTCCTATGTCCTCTCGAAAGATTAGTATAGCTACTAGTTGATTGAGTAGACGAATCTCACCTCTCTAAATGCAGTATGGGAGACCAGCGATGATGGTGCATTGCTGGGCTGGTGTATCACAGTGGCCAGCATACTTCCACTTGTAGTTGTAGTCACAGACATACTAAGGCTTGTCAGTAAAGCCACAGAATGCATTGAAAGCAATATTTAGATAGGTGAGTCTGAACTTACCCAGGAGTGAGGAAGGCTCTGGTAACTGCACATGTAGAAGTTGGGGTTGCAGTCACGGGCAGCGTCGGTGGCTTCAACAGCTTCGGTTGGAGCACCGATGGCAGCGACGGCGAGGCCGAGGGCAACGGAGAGAGTCTTAAGTGAGAGTTGCATGTTTGCTGAGTGTTCAAGTTGTTGGGTGGTAGGTGTTGTGCTTGAGGTAAACTTGGGTTCGGAGACGAAATCGTGATTTTGAGGTATCAAGGGGTTGCGAGCTCGAGAGACGAGAAGAGATTGGTGACGAGTCAATAGAGAGGAGACTTTGGTCCTTCTTTTATAGATATTCTTGCAACTAAACGAGAGGAGTCGATCTGAATTAGTCTTTTACTCGAGCGTGACCGGCGAGGACAGAACCGGACACGCAAGGAGAAAATCTTCTTTCAGAAAGTAGATAAGGCAGTCACAAGCGGATTGGTGGCTCAAAGTCGTTACGGTAATAAGTGTTAGATAGTTTAAGTGAAAGCCTAAACGACAAAATGATATTCCGGAAAGTCGTCAAAGACTGCAATATTGAAATCAATAGCTAGCAACCTGGTAATTGACTAACGAAATTCCTGTGACCGCCAAAAACAAAGCACAACGCTACCTATGTCGCCCAGCCGAGCATGAACTCATCTTCAAGAATTTTGTTAGTCAAAACTTCTGCTTTCCAAAGAAGGACTCACTTCAGTCAAAGCAGTGAGGCACTCGGCCAATCTCGCGACATGTCTGTCCAGGGTCGCAGCTGGCAACGTAAACCCAGCTTGACATGCCATTGCAGAAGACCTAGATCGGAAATTAGAAATGGGTGATTCAATCCAATAAGGAAAACTGACAATGCCCTCCGGAATTCTCTTGTGGTCGCAAGCATAAGCGCCGGGAGCACATCCGTCAGTGGCGGGTGCGGCGAGTGTGCTGATGACCAATGTGAGGCAGAGGACCAGGATAGGGCAGAAAGTTGCAAAGACCTTCATGACTGCTGAGTAGATTGATTGGGTAGGTGTAAGTTTGAGGCGTCTGTAGAAGCTCTGATGAGACAGATATGTTTGTGGGAGAGCAGTGATTTGAATCAGAAATATCTTTATACTCCCTTAAATTGGTCCAATATATGTAGCAGTCATCCCTAGTGAATGGCTGCAAAACAGCATCAAAACGTGATAATCGGGAGAGCAACAGTGAATATAATTACTAAACGTGATTGAACAGAAAGCTACAGAGAAGATTACCTAATAAACTTATGGAAGGACGAGGTGCTGTATTTGGAACATATGAAACCCCAGACAGAACTTAATCCAGCAATTCTTCCTGAGCAGCAGCTGCGATATCAGCCCTAACAAACTTGCTCTTGCTCACAATCTTGACAGCAATTTTCACCAAAGGCATCGTGCTTAGGATATCGAAAACAGAGATATCGGCACTGAACTTGCGGAAAACCATATTCCTGATCTCGACTGCCACAAGAGAATCAACTAATTGAATGGTCAGCATAATCACTTCTGTGAGGTATTCTTCAGATCACTAACCACCGTATGCATTCATTGGTTTTTCCAAGTCAACATCGTCTTTCGAGACTGCTAGCGCTTTTGCAAGTTGTGTTGTGATAACATCTTCAACTACCTTACAAGTGTCTTGGAGTGAAGATGCCTTCGTCATCATCTCCTTGATTGCAGCATCCTCATTAGTATTACTGCTTGCATCACCGCTCTCAGCGTGCAAGTGTTTGTACTTGAGATCGATTGACATGGCGGTCCCAATGCTACCATCCTGGAGGAGTTCTTTGCCAACACCGGTGATAAGCTGTGCTGGCACATCCTCTCCATCCCTGGTATGACCAAGCATGACGGCGGAGAGGATCAGGTGCAGATCTCTTTCGGAGATAAAAAGATTCTGGAGGTACTCTAGTCGCTCGAATTGCTCAACATTCTCTGCGATGTAACCAACGTCTGATACGACTCCCAAATCAATCGTCGTTGATGCTAGACCCTTTGAGCGACGATGCCTCGACAAAGCATCTTGAAACGTGCCAGCTGCTGAGTAGTTGGCCTGGCCGGGGTTCCCGATAACGCCAGCCATAGAACTGAGAATGATGAAGAAATCCATATCCTGGGGAAGGCATAGATGCAGATTCAAAGTACCTTGGATCTTTGGCCTCGTCGATTCCGACCACTGTTCATAGGTCATATTGTCGAACATAGAGTCTCTGAGTACCATAGCACACTGGACCAAACCTCTGATACGAAGACCTTCACCTATACACTGTTTGACAAATTTCCTTACTTGATCATGCTCGGCAATGTCACAACTGTATGCTTCAGCTTTGCAACCCCTGATCCGAAGACTTTGTAGAAGATGCTTGGCCTCAGATGACTGGCCACCAGATCTTGAAATGAACCGGATGTCTTCAGCACCAGATGCAAACATCATTTCGGCGATAGATCGTCCGATCCCACCTAGTCCTCCAGAGAGAATGTAGACTGCCTCAGGGTCAAGTTGTAGCTGAGCTGACTGAGAAGGAGCGACAGAAATGACGTCGTCCGGAGCAAATGTGAGAGCTACACTACCAATACAACCTTCTCCATGAATGTATTCGAGGCCCTTTGATGCCTCAGATACAGGGTAAACACGACGAGGTATAATCTGTCCAATCTCGCCCTTGCGGACGCGATCCCAGCCCTCTGTGAAGTATTGACCCAGTTTGACAGGGGTGCTACATCGAAGTCCAATTAGATCTATGTTTGAGATGCTCACGTTGTTTGCGAGGAATATTGCTGGTGGCGCAACTTCCGAGCTCCCAATACTGATGAAGCGTCCAAATTTGCCAAGGTAGGAAGCCGAGTGACGAGCAACTGTTCCAGACAGGGTAGTGATAATAACATCGACTCCATGGCCGTCTGTTCTCTTTCGAAACATGGATAAGACAGACTCTCTCTCTATAGATCTTAAGATGTTGCTAGCTGGAAGACCAGAGTTGTGGATCAGAAGATTCTTGTGTAGCTCGCTTTCAGCAACTGCATATACATTGGCCCCAAGCCTTTGAGAAAGCTGTAACAGAGCGTGTTCGTACGCATCAGGGCGCCCACAAATTAATACACTGTCCCCTGCTTTCACACGAGCATGGTCGACCAAGGCGGCCTGGGCAGCAGCCAAGGCAGAAGGCATGACAACTGCAGTAGTAGTAGTCATGAATTCGGGCAAGAGCTTTACCAGCGCTTGAGGAGTTTGAATCCGGGAAGCACATTTCTGAGCCGCACAAACAACAACGCGGTCCCCGACGGTAAAATCAACGACAGCAGAACCGACTTCTCGAACGATACCAACCGCATCGTGTATGAAGCCAATGCCGGATTCTGAGTTTGTTGCATCCAGTCCTATCACCAAAGTATCGATTTCAAGATCCGTTTCCGCTAGTGGAGTAGCGGTTTCTGTCGACTCCCATATCAGAGATCGTGTATCCGATGTCGATCTTGCAGTAACCGGCACAGGAATGGAGCCTAAACTTAGGAGGCTTGAAGATTCAGAGTTGTTGCGCCCCAGCTCATCGTGAAAGCTCGCGTGTGTTTGGAGACGAGGCACAAGAAGCTTGCCATCGGTCTCTACAAATTCTTGCTCCATTGTGACTGTGCTTGGCACCAGGGAGGCTAGTAATGCTTTCGTAATGATAGCTGTGGCTGAGACGGAGTCAATTGACAGAGAAGGAGAGATATCAAGCTGCGCTAGTCTCAATTGGGGCCTTTCGACTCGGACTGTCCGCAGCAAGCCCGTGGTGGTAGCATAGTGCAGGTCTGCTTCCTCCAGAACCTCGCCCGCTCGAGTTATCCAGAGAATGGCCTCAGCCTGTGACGTGAGTTTTTGGAATCCTGCAAACTCCGAGCTACTCCAGTGAGAGACGATTGATGACTCGGCTTCAAGCAGTGAGATGATCGTCTTGCCGCTGAGATCTGTGGTTTCTGTTGTGGCATATTCAAAGAGATTCAAGACGACAATCTCAACAATAGGCCCGACCAGTGCAGCTGATAGTCGCTCGATCGCATTCAGTAATTCTGCGCTAGCAGAAGCGCTGTGTAACAAAATCACGGTTTCTAGATCGATGTGTGCCGGTATCAACTCGGTGCTGACGTCTTCTGGTGGTTGAAGCTCCCCTGCTGGACTGATATCTACATTCTCATCTTTGCCGTCGCCTGAAGCATCCATATCGATCGCACTATCACAGATGCTGGCAGTCTCTTCTTTGTCGAGTTCGACCCACTGCATTTGCGTACATTTCCTAGCAGAAGTGTCGTTTTCACTACTGACAGGCGCGCTTGCTGAGACATCTCTTGACAGAAAGCCACGAACAACAAGCTTCGGCGATTGCCATGCTTCATCCGAAAGAACAATGTCCCCAATGGTATCTCCGGAGGACCTCTGGTTGCCTTTAGCGTAGCCTCTTAGAATGGTCCCCGGGACTGTGTCGAGACTGGCATCCACGTAAATGCTATCAATTGAAATCGGCACAAGCGACTCGTCGCCTGAGAGACTATGCAAATATCCTAGAGCTTGCATATGGAATGCAGAGTCAAGAGTTGAAGGATGAATCAAATGTGGATATTCGAATTGCGAAGGCATGACTGCTTTGGTGTCCGGCACGGTGATTTCCCCATGACCATCACCAATGCCCGCGGTACAGCTGGTGACGTTGCGATGCAACGGACCATACTGAAGGTTCATTTTTCTATCGAAAAGTTTGTAAAAAGCTGCTGCTGCCAGTTTCTTTGTAGCCCTCTGGCGAATTTCCGCATAGAGGCTGGCGTCACCTTGCCAGTCGAGGCTCTCCAAGTGTCTTTCGTCATCACTACCAACATAATGAATGGTAATGCAACCAGTGCAATTTTCAGACCACGGCTCTACACCAGCCTGAGAAAAGACTTTGAAGCTGTAAGAGGTCTGGTTAGAGCTGGTTGACTCGCAAGGGCGAAGATGGATTGATGTTTCAACGGAACCTTCGCCTCCGTGTATGAGCAGTGGCCTCTTGAAAGTCACATCGCGAGCTTCCATTCCCTTGAAGACTCTGTCCGCGTCCAAAAGCTCACGTGCTGCTTCAATGGCCTGTTGCGGGTGTTAGTCGAAATTCAATGGGTTCGTGTCGTAACGTGCCAGAAATCTTCCATTGGTTCACATTTTCCATTAAAAAGAAGAACGCTTACCATAGTCACCATTGCAGCGCCAGGGTAGAGAACCATTTGCTGAACTTTGTGGTCATTCATCCACGGTTGCTCTGACAGTCGAATATAATTATGCCATCGAGGCTCAGTGGGGTCTTCATTCCGGAGTCGCATCCCTAACAAGTCTGTTCTGGGTTTGGACCTGTGTCGATAGTTCTTACCCCAGGCACTCTCATGGAAATATACCTTGGAGTGGTTCCATGGATATGGTGGGAGGTCGGCAAGAATCTGCTGGGGCTTGGATGATACTTGCAGTTTAGTCCCAAAGTTGACAGCTATGAGATCAACTGGCAGTCCATGGGCCCAAAGTCTTCCTGCGGCTTGCATAGCAGTTTGCTCCGCATCCTGGTTTCTTGACAGCATAGAGACGTATGGCACAGAGGTGACCAATTTCTCTTCAACCGCTGTTAAGACTTGGTTCAAAGGACCTTTCAATGCGTCTGCAGGACCGCACTCGACCATTGCTGAATAGGCTACAGCGACCTTGCGTCGTCCTTTTGTGACTGCTGGCTCGGTGACCAATGCTTTGACTGCGTCGTAGAATCTGACAGTGTTGAGCATATTTTTCACCCAGTACTCTGCATTTATATTCTCCTGCGACATAATTGCTCCTGTTACTGAGGAAAACATGGTGCCTGTGGGTGTACCTGCCATGTCGATATGGCTCATCGACTCCAGATAGTCTGCTGCGATCACTTTCATATGTGGAGAGTGGTACGCAACTTGGACGCGAAGCTTACGAGCAAAAATACTCTCATCTTTGAATATCTGCTCGAGTGCATCAATCGATTCCACGTCACCGGACAATGTAACGCTTGAAGGGGCGTTTATGCAGGCAATAGAGACGCTGTCCGGTTTGACCTTTTCCAGGTACGGGAGAACTACCTTTTCTCCAAGACCAACTGCCATCATGGTACCCTTGACATGCGGTTGTCGTCGGTTTACATCCGCAGAGAGCATGCCACGAGAATATGAGATCTGCACAGCAGCTTCATGTGTAAGATAGCCAACAGAATAGGCAGCTGCAATCTCGCCACTCGAATGGCCAACTACAGCTCGTGGTGTAATTCCCCATGAGCGCAAGAGATCGACCAGCGCAATTTGCAGCGCCGTACAAAGTGGCTGACTGAATTCCGGTCCATCGATACGGCTTTTATCTTTGGTGGCGTGAAGTTCAGTGGCCAGAGACCATTCGCAGCCGATCTTCTCCAACTCGGATTGCGATCTTGCCAGACTCTGGCGGTAGATAGGAATTTTGTACAGCTCACGGCCCATACTGGGCCATTGAGCTCCCTGACCTGTGAAGACGAAGAACATATTATTGTTCTTTGCCACTCGGCGCAGTTTGGGGAGTGGCTGCTGCAGTTGTGTGCTCAGCTCACTGACTGTCTTGCTGACAATAAAAGTTCTATGGTCGAGAGCTGACCTCCGAGAGTTCAGTGTGAATGCGAGATTCGACAAGTACAGTGGCCAATTCGAGCTTTTCTCGCAACTCAATTGTTTCTGCTCTTCCAGTTGTCGAGTGAGAAACGTCGAATACGCATATGCCATTCTTGTCAACCCGGTCTGGTCAGAAGTAGATAACACCAGCAGCCTGTGAACAGGTTGGGCTAAGTCTAGATCTTCGCTTTCAGGGGAACTCGCTGAGTTGAAACCGCTGTCATCTGCAACTTCACCACCGACCACCTCAGTGCAGTGATTTCCAACTAGGCCGTGCTCCCTTAAGTAGTGGAGAGCATCGTCAACAATGACATGTGCATTGGCACCGCCATAACCGAAAGAGTTCACGGATGCCCGCCGAACACCCGTTGTTGGCCACGGGGTCGCTGTTGTAGGGAGAGCGACACGCCACTCCTCGAGTTTCAATTTGGGATTTGCCTTCTCGAATTCGGCGATAGGAGGTATTACCCCCTTTTCCACCACTAGTACTGCCTTGATAAGGCCAGCGAGTCCAGCGCAGCCCTCCAAATGTCCGATGTTACTCTTCACGCTACCCACATATATGGGATTTTCCGGTTGCCGACTGACTCCAAAGGTACTACCAATTGCAGAGAGCTCGTAAGGGTCTCCAATTTGTGTGCCAGTGCCTAGATTTCCCACCAAATTAGAGCTTGTTGTTTCTGAAGAATGGATTGCACATACCGTGAGCTTCAAAATAAGCAGTCTGGTCGAAACTGAGATTCGCCCCGGCATAGGTGGCTCTTATGAGCTCAGCGTGCGCTTTTGGGGAAGGCATCGTGATCCCCGGGCTTCTTCCATCCTGGTTCAGTCGAGTATTTCGGATGACGCCACGGATTGTATCACCATCAGCAAGTGCTTGCTTCAAGGTCTCAGAGGATTACACCTCCAATACCGTCGCCTCGAGCATAGCCGTTTGCGCGATGGTCAAAGCTATGGCATCTTCCGTCAGGACTGAAGAATGTCATTGTGCACATGTCGCGCATATAGCTGGGATCACAAATGAGGTTTGTGCCTCCAACAAGAGCCATAGAACTCTCACCAGTCTTCAGTGACTGGCATGCCAAGTGAAGGGCATACAGACTTGAGGAACAGGCAGTATCGATGGTCATACTAGGTCCCTGAAGGTCGTAGAACCAAGACACTCTATTGGATAACATACTCTGGCCATTACCAGTCGCGGCATAGAATGGCCCACCGTAGGGGTCTCGGCCCCCCATGCTCTCGTAGTCTTTGGTGAAGCAGCCCACATGGACACTCGTTTGGCTTTTGACAACGGTATGTATGGGAATACCGGCATTTTCGAATGCTTCATACGCAACCTCCAACATGAGCATATGTTGAGGGTCAGTGCCGTTGGCCTCGTTTGCTGTCATCGAAAAGAATGGCGCATCGAATTTCTGAGGACTGTCGTCTAAAAAATAGCCACCTTTGATGTTGATGGAGCCTGCCCGAGCTCCATCTGGATGGTAGTAACCAGCAGCGTCGAATCTCTCCTTGGGTATCGCTGAATGTGCTGATCGGCCTTTCGATATCATATCCCAGAAGCTCCCAGAGCTATGAGATCCTCCAGGAAACCTCATTGCCATACCAATGATGGCAATCGGCTCTGCGGCATCATACCCGCTCCCCATCCTGGCGTGATTGTTGCAACAGTATGTTTCTTGTTTGATCTGAAAGGACTGGAAAGTGGACGATGGAGTGGAACCCCAGTCCCAGAATTCGGTATGGGTTTGTTTGAAAGGAAACGATAGCTCTGTCCACAATAACAAAAAGAACGGACTTCTGGGCTCAAAGTGATGTGGAATTCCTATGGCTCTAAGTCTCAGAGCATAGGTTCGTCTGAACAATATTCAATAGACAAGGGTGTTACACAGGATGCATTCTCTGGGTCGCCACGCCGCAGAAACTCTTTGCAGGGCCGCCATACTCAACGATCTAGATTCTTACCTGGAATTGCAACTTGTATCCAGGGCTTCAGATCTGCTCCTTTGGGACAACTTTGTCTTGGTTTGCAGGACCCTGGTGGCCAGACTCCAATGTGACCGGCGCAAAGGGAGAGCTGGAAAAAATCAAATCCCCCACGGCTAATCCTGCGCGCGTAGACCAGCTCGTCTCCACAGCCTCGCTCAAACATCTAGAACACGCTCGCCAATAAGCCGTTCAAACAGCAGTTCTTTGCGGCGCAGAAACCGCAGAAGATAAAATCGCCGTCAATATTATGCTTTCCGCCGAGCCACGCCACGTTTGTGGTGCGGATATGCAGCTAGCGAAATAATGCTCCTAGATCCATTGCTAGGGAACCATAGGAGAGCGCTTCGAGCTCTTTGATGGTCGTCAAGACAAGCGCGATGGCCCGAATAGCAAGGTTTGCTGGAGAGATCGAGGCACCCATAGGTGTCCACTTATTCATTAGGGCACAGTCATGTCAATCCACCGGCCGAAACGGCAGATGCGAAAGAGACCGCGCAGCTTTGGCCTGGGCTGGTCGAGCGAGATGACAGACACTGAGTTGGGGCATTCTGTGAGAGCTGAGAGAATTGGTAGAAATGAAGCCATGATGGTCGTTTCGGAACCTGGGAAGGCAACTACACTAGCGCAATTTCGGGCCGTCCTCGGCTGAACTCATCCCCTTTACAAGCGAGATCCGAATGGGTTTTGTTTACTCTTCTCTTTGGGAGGCTATCGGTGTTAGAAATAAGTGGCCGATCAAGGCGGGACGCGATATTGCAATGAATACGTAGTTTTTATCGTAACTTGAGAAAAAGAATATAATATAAATTGATAAACTGTTTTCTTAAGTATTTTTCAAGACCTCAGCAAGAGGACTTCTCAACCTCTTTTTAAATACTGTATGTTAAGAAGTAGTACGCTGAAAAAGTTGGTTTTGTTGTTCTACGTGTGCCTCAATCAGCTACTTATTTCTAACACCGATAGGGAGGGCAAAAGGGTTACAAGAAAGAATGAGGTTGATATGCTCTTGCTCTCACGGATTGTTGACCCTCGGTTTGATTTCTATGGTAGATTCTTGCTAGCTAGGATGCACAAATGAAGCAACAAGATTCCATATCCACAATTTAAATGTCGAAAACAAGTCTCTGCCCAATGTAGTGAGCCTTCTCGATAGCCCTAACCACGTTCCCAACACTCTCTGCCTTGTTGGGAATCTCATGAATTCCAGGATTCTCCACAATGATAATTTTATCCGGCTCACAAAGACCTTGTGCGACGCGGGCAAGTCGGAGAGGAGCCTCGTCTTCCTCACTCCCATGGACAAAAACTGTCACGATCGGTAGTCGTTGTTCGGTGTATACGGAATGGAAGAAACGTGGGAAGTCTCGAGGACCGTAACTGTCCTGAGCTCTCCCATCCATGTTGAACGAATTGCTTTCCTCGATGTGGAACACTTCGCGTGTGGCGAGCATGGTGGCTGCCGTGCTGACAAGAGCCATGCATAGATCCCTTTGTCGTTCATTGAGTTTGGGAAGAGAAACAAATTCTTCGACTGGCTTCACCTGCTTTCTTTCGATGAGCATAGTATGGATAGCGTCGCGGTCTGACTGTTCAAGATCCTTCGCAAAGTACATGATATCCTTCTCGTTGTAATCCGGGTCTGGAGAGAGAACGAAGCCAGGGCTGAAGAAGAGTGCCCACCGGAACGGCGGTGTTTTATCTGGATGTTCAATTTGCTGTTGAATCATATATGAAATGGCGAAGCTTCCACCCTATCATATTCTTTAGCGTGGTAACTTCTGGGTAGGCCGTGCTGGACGCATATTCATTTCTTCGCTGATGGTGATGTCGTACCGCAAGAGAGAAAAGTACTGACCTGGCTGTATCCAACAACCCCATCGAAGGGAATCTCTTCGGCCTCAATGGTTGCATGCAAAAGTTCATGGGCACTCGCGACATGCGATGCCTCATATCCATCGTAGTATGCAAGATTCTTCCCGGGAATAAAACCTGCGAGTTCTATGCCCCAGGATGTCAGATTATGTTAAGCAAGATTATGTTTCAGTGGGGTTGGCTCACCAGTCCTTGTCACGGGGACTTCGCCATCAAGGAATACATATGTGTGGTGAGCTCCCAGCATGGCCAGGATGCTCGAAAGCTGTTGCTCGAAGATTTCCCCACTTGTTCCATAGCCATGCAGAAAGAGGATCTTCATCTTTCCAGTCTTGATTTAATTTTGCTGGCCGAGATAAGAACTGCACGCGCAAGAAGTGCAAGAGGAGATGGAAGCGTTGACAAAATATTTGATTTCGCACGTTATCGTGAGACTAGCTGACAGAAGGTCCTGCGTGTAGTCTGAAAAGAATGCCCCAGGTGCCCTGGGAGAGGCCTGGAGACATATGTTTCGACACCCAACCAGGCAAGACGACAAGTATGCTTCTGCTGGGTCATGAGCTTGGCAAGCTATTCTAGACTAAGCAATCACATATACGCCGTCGAGCCGGGGCTTTTCGATTTGACCTCGGAGAGTTTGCCTAGAAGAAGTTCCGAAACCACCTTTGAGCTCCAATATTTCTCCATCTGAGCCCACCGAGCATCGAGAATATGCAACAGCTCCATACTGATCTGCCGTCTTTACTGCCTCTCGGTTGAGCATTGTACAGGGGTTGCTTCGAAAGTCCGTCCGCCATGTATACAATATATACCTTCTTTCATGCACTACTCCCCAGGAATTTCACCACATATACGGCTCGAACTGCGATTTGAGAGTGGTTGTAAGAGATCTGTGTATCTGCAAGGCCTTGTCCGCCGCGCCGGAGTGACTGCGATGGGCTAGAAACGTTCGAGCTTGGAGAAGAGCGATGTCCAGTCGCTTAAGAAAAAACAGATGTTCCAATTCGTTTGCTTTTTCATTCGCGTCGTTCGTTTGTGATGTCTGTGATAATTGTAGCATTGTTTGACAGAGGTCCAGAACTTTGAGAGTGGCGGCGAGGACCAGGGCATCTGAAGGAGAAGTTGACTGGCTGGGAGAATGAATGATGCTCAATGCGGTCGAGCCGGTCAACTCGATTGCAGCCAAAATAAGTTGCTTGTTTTCATCGAACTTTTGATCTTGTTGTAATGAACAGTAGTGCCGGTCCAGCTCAAGACAAAGTTGAAGAGTAGTTGTGAATGTGTTGGACCCACTGCCCAGATCATTCGAGAACTCGGTTCCCGGATTTGATGCTGCGCTGGATATTGGCGCGGGTGGCTGGTATGGCATCAATTCTTGTGTCGCATGTCTCGTTATAACATTTCGCTGTCCATGTATTGTTGATGGCATCCCCGCTTTCGTTCCATCTTCGGGAGCTGGTAACATTTCTCCACCGCCTTCAAAATTCGTCTCCCAAAGCGACGGATACGCAAAGACACCGATGGATGTACCATCATGATCTACTTCAACGTCGCGGAAAAAGACCGCGTCGGCATCATCGCGAGCGTCATATGTCTGTGGATATGGCTGAAACTGCTGCTGGTCATTGAGCTGTGCATGGCCCAGCTGTTGTTGGCTTTGTAACGGTGGGTGCTCTCCCTGACCCTCTGGTATTATTGGACGAGCAATCGAAACATTGCTGTTTTCACGACGGGGTCGACCAGGTTTAGAGCGAGGTGCAAAGATACATGGAAGTCCATTCGTGGTACATAACTGGCATGCCCGACTGTCTGGTTCGAGAACGCACCGAACTTTCCGACGGTGACAAACTTCACACGCATCTCGAGATCTGTATGGCTTCGAAGACATGCTTAGCGTCTCAGGTCTGAGTGAAATGTGCAGATGTATGTCGGTGAGCAGTGAAGAACGAAAACACCCGGTACTGACAGTCTAGCTCAGGGGTATATATTGCGGAAGTAAGAGAAACTCGAACCATGGTAAATAGATTGCCGCCAACAGCTCATGAGCATCAAGTGTGCGGCCTCTGAAAGCTGTGCCGTAGAGTTGCTTCTTGCTCGAGCTGGGGCTGGACTCGCACTTTACGGAGGTCTGTAATGCACGAAACAAGACCATCAGCAGTGATTCAGGGTAAAACATGCCCTAACTAGGGAGCTTGACTAGAACGAGCTCACGCGAAGGGCTGAAACTAGAATGGCAGCTCGAGATGTCGAACAAGTACAGATATGTACTCAGATCACTACAAAATTGACCGAGCTGACCAATGCATAGAGATGTGTGTGGGTCCTTTCTCCATTGCGTGAGCGTGTCATCCCACGTGGGATGATTATTGAGGATCTCGCTATCTTTCGAAATAATACTGAGTGCCCAACGTAGAATAGATGCAGGAGAAACGAAAAGAACAGGAACGCACGAGCCATACGCCCGAATCGTCAGCGCATCTTGGGAGATGAGTGAGCTCTGTCGATTCATAGAGTAGTAGATATGAGAATCAACTCATGTGGAACGCTGGATTTAATGCTGAATAGCCAGACAGGACCTTGCCCCTCCTGACTTTCCTCACTCCACGCGCTTCGGATGCGAGGCTACCAAGCTCCGACTTATCGGTAATACGTGGTTTCTATCCCTGGACATCCATGGGGCTCCGCATATCCGTTCTCAGGGACCTAAGGAGTCCCAGTACTCTCGCCACACCTCACTCGATCGATGCGCGTGCAAACTCACGCTGTCATACCTTATATGCTTAGATCCTACTAGCGTACAGTCTCCCGTCGTGGACTCGCCCGGGATGAACGCCGTAGCCACCTGGCACTTCATTTACTTGGCTCATGCTAGGCGAGGAGACAACAACATACCTGAGCGGGAAGGAATCGAGGAAAGTGGGCGAAGCAGCTACTGTCCGCGAGGCTAGACAGCAGGAGGCTTGATTCCATTCACATCTGTCTTGAGTCGATTTTCTCAGGATCGGACGAACAGCTGACACGGCGCAGGTCGGAAAATAAGCAGGAAGTCGCCCGTGGTAGATCAAGAGGACCTATCGGAAGCGCCGCCGTCATTCCAGACGGGAGCGAGGTCGTGTTGAGTTGAGCGACTTGGAGCGGAAAGGATGGCAGAGACAACGAGAAGCTGCACGGCACAGGTAAATTTAGAAGTAAATTTGCCTTACAAGACGCTATTCGCGCCACAGAGCACAAGGAGGGTGCTGGAGCATTAGGGCTGGCTCGGGTAGAGCCGCCAATAAGCAATGCTGCAGATTGCTAACCGCATTGTGGGTAGGCGAGGCGCTCTTCGGGTAACTAGCGGCCGACGTGGAAATAAACAAAACAGTTCAGAGGTAAATTTCCAGAAGCAGGTAAAAAGAATCCTGTCCACTGATGATTAGCTTTACCCGGACGCTTATCGACCTTGAGAAGTCTCTTCATACAATTTTTGCTATCCAAACAAGGAAATGGCCCAATTGTCTGGTCTAGGCAATGTATTTGACAGGCCAGCTTGTTTACCCTAGCACGATTTCACCTTTCTTGGTCTGCTTATATTGGCCTCATACTAGCTCAGTATCACGTCTTCGGTAGGCCCTGCCAACTGCGACTGCCCAGTGGCTGAATCTTTTCAGGCGACCGATGTCATCTTGTTACAAGGCTCGTCCTCTTTGTATCGCTCTACTTTACTGTGGACTGTTTTCATTCAGGGATTGGAGTGGCGGTGGAGCGTACCTATATGTACTGGGGGAAACCAGCTGACCATGTTGCCAAAGGCAATGGTAGGTGAGATACTCCACTTTTAAGCCCTGGCCGGTCCATGACTTTGGTAGGGATAAGTGGACTCACCCTTGAATCAGGAATGCTAAGCCGATTTGATCTTGCATGCAGTGATTTCCCCGGTATCTTTGTCTAGCGCTCTTTTTATTGTCTAACTGTAAGTAGATTCCCTCGCTGGTCTCATAAATAACAGTTAAATGAATTTTATGCCAGCCTTGAAGTCATGCGTTATGCTGGAATACCTACAAGAGGAAGTCTGTTCTGAGCATATAAAGCTATATGAGTAGTCCAAACTGTTAGCTGATAAAAACAGCAAATTTATCATCGACGGCGTCAGACAAACAGACCGGTGGTAACACTTCACTGTACAGTATTTCACCGGTTCTTGTCATGTAAGACGGGCGGTTGACGGCGGGATGTCGTGACATCATGTGAAATGCACCGTACTCGGCCCTGCCACTCAACTTGCCCGGGGTACGAGGACCACAGCGCAAAATCCAATCAATGAAAAATCCAATCAATGAAAAATCCAATCAATGATCCGCAGTAGACCCACTGTGGATAGGGTTCGTCCCATGGGAAAAGTCGAGTATCCGATTTTGCAATTGCCATCTGAATCCAAGACATACCTACAGTAGGTACTCATCGCATCTGGACCCACAGTGTCCACAGGGGCGACGGTCTCGCTTTCGTTCCTTTATTTTCTAGCCAGAGCAAAGTTCGAAACTCGCCGTCGTAAGGGCGGCACTGAAGCTGATTGGAATTTGACGGCATCTTATCTGAGATTCTCGAGACAGGCGCGGAGCATATTCAATTGAGTATGATGGTTGTCTTAACAATTTCCAATGTGCCGGCAGCGTTCTTCAGAAGGGCAGCAAGTTCATTTCGCTATGCCAGTTGGAGGCTCCTTTCAGGTTATTCAATGGCAGTTGTGTGAATTCACGATTGCAAATTTTGAAGCGGAACCGTACCATGTTACTATCTAAGGGAAGCTCTCGAAAGGAGTTCTTACACCAAAACAAATTGCAAGACGCAGCTACAGAAGAACAAGACAGTCAAGATGCCATTCGTCGAGGGAGAAGCGAACAAATTAGAGACTGGCCAAACGAAGCAGGGGTAAGGTGCTCAAGCCGAAACGAAGCCTTATTGACGTTAGCAATCAGTTTCAGGCACTTCACGAAGAAACAGTTCCCGTAAATCTGACAGTGGAAGGAAGCTTTCCAAAATATACACAGTTAGTTTCCTTATGCTTAGTATCTTTGCTTGAATCTGATTGTAGTAGAGGAGTTCTTTACAGGACAGGGCCGGGATCTTGGAAAGTAGAAAATCCAGGCAAGAAAGACTTCAACTGCTCCCATTGGTTCGATGGATTTGTTCATTCCCATCGCTTTGAGATTACATCTCAAACTTCAGGCAAATCTCCAACGAGTGTAATATACACCTCACGAAGCCAAGCAAAGCCACTGATTGAAGCACTACGCCAAAATCCCGAACTTGGAATGAGTTTTGGTCAGAAGCAAGACCCATGCGTTGGGGTCTTTGGCAAATTAATGTCTATCTTCAAGTCCAAAATTGTCGCTCGCCCAGCTGAACAACATAATCTCGGTGTCACTGTGCTCCCCAATCATCCAGGGTTTCAAAACAAGGGTGATGAGAAAACCACTTCAGGTCATAACCCAGACATCAAGAACGTTTGGCTCGGAACAGACAATTCTCTGATGATGAAGATGGATCCGATTTCTCTCAAAGTCGAAGGCTTTGCTTCTCAGAAAGACATGAATCCGGAATTGAGTGGACCCATTGCATGTGCTCACTCTCAGAGGGACCACCTTACCGGTGACCTGTACAACTTCAATCTCGCGTTCGGCAAGGAAGCAGTCTACAAAGTATTCCGTGTTTCTGCTCACACTGGGGAGACTGATATCCTGGCAACGCTGTCAGGTCCTAGAATTCTTCCTGCATATATTCACTCGTTCTTCCTTACTGATGATTTTGTTGTCCTTGCCATCTGGAGCTCTCATTTCGGGCTTAATGGTCTCAAAATCATGTGGAATCAGAACATATTAGATGGAATTGACCCGTTCGACAAGTCAAAGGCAGTGAAGTGGCTGGTTATCGATCGAAAACACGGCAAAGGCCTCGTTGCAGAGTTCGATAGTGAAGCAGCTTTCAGCTTCCATACCGTCAATGCGTGGCAAGAATCGAGTTCTAATGGCACATTCAACATCATCTGCGACGTCATTTGCTACGACTCTCTAGATATTCTCCACTCACTTTACTACACCAACATCCGATCGGAGGGCGAGGGAGCAGTCACGTTCGCAAATGAGAAGGGAGATTCCTCTCGAAGCCACTTCGCTCGCTTCAGATTGACCAGTATCGATCCATCTCGCCCTCTAGTCAGAGGTCCAAAAGTCACAGCACCACTTGCGGAAGAACTCTTCAGAGTCAAATCACCTCATACCGGGGATCTCCCTACGATCAATCCACTTTTCTCCACCCGGCGCTCAAGATATGTCTACACCCTTGTCAACAGGGGATATTCGGCCTTCATTGATGGGATTTCGAAATTCGACACCGAGACTCGTAATACCATATTCTGGGACAATCCATTCGGCCACACACCAGGTGAAGCGATATTTGTTCCTAACCCTGATGGTACTGAGGAAGACGATGGTGTGCTACTGAGTGTGATTCTGGACGGAATCAAAGGTACCAGCTATCTTGTTTGCCTGAGTGCAAAGACAATGGAGGAGGTGGGCAAGGCTTCAGTAGGGAGTGCGGTGGCCCTGGGATTTCATGGTACTTTTGTCGCGGGTAATTGAGCTAGTCTTGGGTACAAATTTGGTAGATACGTAAACAACAATAGACCGAGACTGACGCTGGTTTGTCATTTGTCAAAGTCAGCAAGTTGAGCTACTCAGAAAGAGTGTAATCATGAGCATCAAAGCATTTGTATCATTGATCTTTGAATTAATTGGACTACTGACTCCTGACGCCATAATGAGATACAGAAATTGCGGGTCGCAAGGAATTCCTCTAAAAATGTCTCTGTGAAACGAAGACTAGAGGTAACTCTCGTCCGCAATACCATACAAAAGACTCAATGCCTCGCATGCGATATCCTAGACATTCTCTCCAGCACCAACGCCAACCTCTTCAGGTTCCCAGAGTCTTTCGGTACATGATGGCCACCATCGAAAAAGACGAGCTGCGATGTGGTGTTCTTACAAGTCGTCGCCAACGCAACGCTCTGGTTATAGCACAGGTCCCTTTGTCCCACGATGCTCACTGTTGGGACACTTATATTCCCGAAAGATTGGATAGACTTCGCCAATTCAGACTTGGCTGCAAGTTCTGGGGGGATCAAGGCAGCGCAAATGAAGACGGCCATTCGGAAAGGAAGATCAAGAACCGTTGGATCTTTCTCGCAGTGGGCTATATACGCAGCAGCAACGGAAGCACCCTGCTTTACCCCGTCAGTTTACAGTCTTTCAGCGGACGGAAATGGAATTCCAATCATTTCTGGACGAACCTGACTAAACCCAATCACACAGTCAAAAGGACCATCTTCTTCCACTACCTCCTGGACAAAATGTACTGCCTCTTCCATGGCCTCGGGTGTGAAGCGAGGAAAGAAACAGTGGTATGGCCCAGGATACACACCGTTGAGTTCGGCTGCAGCACTGCAAGTATGAGAAGAATCTACATAATCACAATTCCAAGTGCTGGGAAGGAGCGAAAGCAACGGGCCTGGATGCGGGTAATTCAGTCATTTTCCTTTAATGTTCACCGTCTCTTAGGTCTGAAACTGAAGACTGCCTGCCACACTCACCTAACTGCCTCTCGAAGATATCTGCGCTCGCTCCTTGGCCGTGAAGACACAAGATACGCATTTTCGACCTGAAATTGGGAGAGAAATAATTGACTCGAATCACTTTAGCAGAGAGCTTAAAATTGCCAATATAGTGAGAAGTGTTGGAGACTGTGATCTTGCCTGGATTCTGCTCAGATCACCAATTTCACAGAACTTCAACTCCTAGCTGGAAAGTCCGTCCAGAAGATCTACAGACGGCACAGAACCGGGGTCAAAATCTCACAGTATTGCTTGGCGACCCTTGGAAAAACGTTCTGCAGATACTTGCCGTCCTGCAAGCCACCATGCGGCGGAAGACAAGGAAGATACTTCCGGATAGGAGTTCCACTGCTCTGCATTTGAAGTGGCACAGCAATAAGCTTACCTCGCTACCACCTTGATATGCGGCGGTTTTCATATCGATATCGTCGGCGCATATAGATGCGGCAGATGACAGGGTTGGTGTTGTGTATCTGGAAACTCTCCGTACCAATAGTGGTGTCGAAAGGGAGAGGTAAACTATTTGTTACAATCTTACCATGTACTAGATGTGACAAGGTTAAAGCCATCTTCGGGAGGACGAGGCAATCGATAGGGGTCCATGCTGTTTTGAACTGATTCTAGGCCATGGTGAAATTCCAATCCGATCTCAGACCTCCACGAGTTCAAACGGCCGTAAAACCTCGTCTCACTTACTTACCGAAATAGTCTTGTGCCATTCTTAGGTATGGAAGCCATTTAGGTACACACTACTGAAGGAAATCTTGCTGCCATCAAGGCAAGCAATCGCTTTCGCAGTTGTCCTTTGTGGTACAAACCGAGCCCCACTATCAACATGTCAAACATAGAATCTGGAAATGGAGAAAGCAGCAGCGCCATTCTAGAATCTACCTCTGACGGCTCTTCCGCACCAGAGCAGAAGGGAAAAGATCATGATGTTGCTGAAGAAGGACCTCCAATTTCCAAATGGCGTCTCATCGCACTTAGCATCAGGTTAGTTCAAGCACCTTTTCAACCTGTTTACGTATTTCGGTGGCTAGAGCTCATAATTTTCGCGGAACAGCTTGAGTTTAGGACTTTTCGTCTCGTTTCTCGATGGTTCGATAACCGCGACAGCACTCTTCACGATTGGAGAGGAGTTCGGCGATCTTTCAAGAATAAATTGGATTGCCATTGCCTATATTCTGGCCGATGTTGGATTTGCCGTTACTTTTCCCACTATTGGCGACGTAGTTGGTCGCAAAACTGCCTACCTGACTGCTTTCTTCCTGTTTTTCGTTTTCTCGCTAGGTTGTGGATTTGCAAATACCCTGACGCAGCTCATCGTGTTGAGAGCCCTTCAAGGTGTTGGCGGTGCGGGGTTGTACTCGCTTGCCATGGTCATCTTCCCCGAAATCAGTCCAAGATCAATGAAGAAGTGGATAGGTGCCATTGTTGGACTGGTTGTGGGTGTTTCTGGTGTTTCTGGTCCGATCTTGGGCGGCATCATAACTCGATATGCTGATTGGAGGTGGATTTTCTGGATCAAGTAAGTCTCCTGAGCTGGCAGCTTCCAGAAGCATACTACCCTTGAAAGCATACTGATTATGTGTAGCGGGCCGATATGTGCAGTCAACATATGTTTGTTCTTCATTGCGTGGCCAAAAGATGACCAGATTATGATGCAACATGAACGCCGGAAATGGGCGGATCTCGATTACGCTGGATCATTCCTGCTGATCGCTGCAACCGTTCTTGTTGTGTTCGCATTCCAGGAAACTGGTACACGGATAGCTTGGAGTGATCCTCTTTTCATCGTTCCCATGGTCTCAGGAATTGTGTGCTGGATCTTGCTCCTAGGATGGCAGTTCGTGATCTGGAAGCAGGGGATGACTATTGCGGCAGTCATTCCGGTTGACCTATTCAAGAATCGACGGTATATGGCTGGAGTCTTCTCCACCATGTTTATGGGTTTTGCATTTTTCAGCTGCATCTACAATATCCCGCTGCGTGTGCAAACTGTGCATGGCAGAAGCTCGCTGGCAGCAGGTGTTGCTCTACTTCCGATGTTGGGATCTGTCGCCATCGGAAGTATGCTAGGAGGAGCTGTTTCCGGTACGAAAGATCGACTCTCGCATACCTTGATAATAGGGGCAGCATTAATGTCCATCGGGACTGGCCTGCTTTCAACACTGAAGGTCACTTCTTCAATCAGCCACAAACTTTATGGCTTTCAAGTCTTCTGTGGTATGGGTTTTGGCCTGACCGTATCCAGCTCAAGTATTCTCGCAGCAATCGAGTGCGAAATCAACAGCCACGCAGTAGCACAAGGCCTCACTGCGCAGGCCCGTGTCTTTGGTGGCAGTATCGGTATTGCTGCAGCTACAGCCATTCTTGCCGTGAAGGAAAATTCTCGTAACGTTCCGCCAGGAGCCCAGTCTCAGTTAAGTTCGCTAGCACCGCAAGACTTGGACAATCTGCGACATGCCTATGGCCAAGCCTTCCGCCAGGTCATGTGGGTTTCTGCTATCATCGCAGCAATCGCTTGCGCATTTGCGGTTTTAACGATCAAGAAAGATCTGCCAGACCTGCAGGATAGAGTCCTCGAGCAGATGAGGGTTGAGCGGGAAAGGAGGCAGAGGTGTGGGGATGCAGTTGGGGAGTCAACGAGCAGCATTTCAGCCGACACCGACTTGGAGAAGTCACCAGATCGCAAGAAGTCAAATGAGATAGATTTAAAGGACACAGCTCCTACAGTGCAGAACGAGACCGAAGCTCAAGCACACAAGACCGGGAGTAGGGTGGCTGGCGGGGAATCTCTTTCCAGTCAAGTCACTGCATCAAAAGAGAGCACTAAAATTGGTGCTGAGACAGAAAAGGTAGACGTCCTGGGGAGAACAATAGGACATGAATGATGTAATCTGTGTGAAGATTAAGATACTATAAATTATCATAGTGTTTCTCAAACTTTGACGAATTTCCAAGCCATGAGTCAAGCTCAGTATGTACATCATCATATTTACATACACCTTCACAAAACATAATGTCCACCGAATCATACCCGGTCAGCCGGTATCGTCTTTTGAGGTAAAATTTTCAGTTGCAAGTTGCGTTAATGAAATGTGTGGCCGAGAAATGTAGGAATATATTACTCCAAAAGGTAGTGGCTAGCAGTCTCGTTTGGAACTATTCATCTGTCTACTTCCCTTTGATGCATGCAATTCAGCGCATCCTAAATTTCGCTGCAGTTCTTACCAATCAACTGCCCTGAAAATTCCTCCTGAGTTTCGTTACATCCGTATGCAATGCTTGCTCTCCTACAGAGCTGTAATGTGCTCCTGTTCCTTCTTTCTCATACGGTCTCTGAAGTGAGTTCTAGGAGTTCTCTCTGGAATGCTCTCAATTGCCTCCAACTGGTAACGATGAACGTTTCCAATGAATGGGAAACAATATCCCGGATGGAATGTCGTCAGCGCGAGAGTTGAAATGACGATCATGCTGTAACAGAGATGCGCATCAGTACCTGAAGCCAGCGCAGGACAAGGGACGAAGTCTACTTACAAGCCTTCTAGAACAACGTATTCAACTTCATTTCGCATGATAGGATTGGCCCATCCCCCAACTATTTCGGCAATTCGGTACACGCATCTGGTGAAAATTGTGACAAAGGCAATGACGATGCCGGCGGCGAACAGTTTGAACGAAGTCTTCTGGGCGAACTTTCTTGCGCCAGGCGACACTGTCCCCCACGAGCGTCTTGTGCGCACGACATACTCGAGTGCCAGATACCCAAAAATGATCAGTGTCGCAACCTGGAACACTATTCCGGCTAGCATGGTATTTGTCCCTTTGGCCCTCAGTGCAGCGTCCTGCCCAGCACCTCCTGCCAATCCCCCTCCGACGGCTTGAAGCATGAGAGATGTGAAATCGCAAGTAATGAAAATCCAGGTATACCATCCGGGTGCCAATCGAGACTTTGCAGTTCCGAAGAACATGACTATGTGCTTCAGGGTGATGTAGATAGCAGCGTTGACGAATGCGGGTGCGAAAATGAGGCAGGAGATCTGCATCCGAAACCCGATCTCATCGAATGGATTCTTGTGCATCATGATCCTACCCCCATATCCAATGGCTTCAGAAATACAACCCACAGTCATGACATAAGCAAAGAAGTACGTCTTGAAGTAGATGCCATAGATCGCGTTCTTGATTGCAAAGACCGAGAAGAAGGCGACAAAGAAGGCATTGAGGGGTAGCGAAGGATAGTACCCGTAGATGGTGTTTACAACAGGACATTCTGGTGTTATTGAAGTACAACTGAGGTCGACGTAATGTTGACCCATGGTGAAGACTTTCTTTCAGGTAGATCGAGTACCTTTTTTCGCAGAATAAATGGTTGTGGTGTGGACCGTCTTGCAGCAACATGTACTTGCTGACCTCACTATTGTGGTCAAGCAATGATCAGCATGAGATGCAGAAGGACCAGAGATTTGAGAAGATGTCAGCAATCGAGGGGCACACGAACACACGTACTGGAATATGTGATCTCGTAAATGGAAGTGCTGCGAAGTTCTTTGTCTCACTTCGACCGAGTTCTGTCCTCAAGATCCCGCTGAGTTGTAAGGTTCCTAAAAAATAATATGGCAGCACTGCAACAGATACGTACCCTGAAACCATGAAAGCTCAATCTACATAATGCGTTTCCAGCCTTGCCATGCTATGCAGAGCATGTTTCCTGCAGAAGCGTGGGGCATTGGATAGACTCGGAAATACGGCAGATAACTGAACATAAGTGGATCAATTTGGAAGGCTGTTTCCCACGCTTGCTATATCAAAGTCTAGCCAATGAGATGAGAAATTTTAACGAGTATTGCGTGCAAACCCATTTTTACGTCCGTAAGAGCTCACATCGGCAACCCTTGGCGGTACCCACTTTATGTTATAAAATGCGGCGGGTTTCTATGGTTTGATATGCAGGAACATGTTGTTGGGCACGACACATCATTCTTTACGGCCGCAAGATCGCAAATATCTGATGATGTGGAAAAATGTTAGGGCGGCCGGCCGGCCCTCAAGATCCATCAAGCGTGGTTATGAGCAAGTATCAGCACACTTTGGACACGAGATTAAGCGAGATTCTTTATTTGGTTTGGGAAACACACGCCGCAGTCGAGGGGCACGACTTCTCTCAATTCTCCTTTACCGGTGCATTGGACGGGAAGAAGCTACCAGCATCACATAACCACAATACGCCGGCCGAAGTCAGCCATCGTTGCATGGACAGAGCTCGGCTGCTTCGACAGGCTGGCCTGCGGGATGTCAGGTTCGACATTGTCACCTGACAAGGCTGTGTGAGCCCATCAAAATTCTATGAACTGTCTAGCCTTGCGCGTCGAAATGTCAAGATGAGCTTCGCTCAGACCATTTCTGTTATTTCTTCGCAGTTGACCAGCCCTGCAAAAATTGGACAAGATGGTTGCGGCTCCTGTTAAGCACTACAATGACTGGCCCAACACCCAAGGAGTGAGTTTCTTCGCGCCTTGTTGAATCTACTAATGATGTTTTTTAGTTCCATGTCACATATGAGGAGCGTGAGCCTGTTGAGCTACAGGTTCAAGGAATCATCCCATCCTATGCCGCTGGAACATTGTTCAGAACCGGCCTGGGGTTGCGTGTTGTTGAAACGGAGAAGGACAAAACCTTCAGAGTGAATCACTGGTTCGATTACTTGTCTCAAGTGCATCGATTCCAGATACATGCGCCAACTGAGAATAATGGCCCCGTCAGAGTTACATACAACTCGCGATCCAGCTGTGATGGTCTTATAAGAGAAATTCAAAAAACCGGTAACAGGCAGGGAATGACTTTCGGAGCCAAATATGACCTTTGTGAGTCTTTCTTCGGAAAGATTCAGTCCATATTCAAGACTTCAAAAGATCCCACCAAGCTGCCAGCCGACACTTTCAGTCTGGCCGTCACTCTTTCTGTCAATTATCCTGGACTTTCGCCAACAGGTGCTAAGAGTAAGCAACTCTACTCCAAAGGGTCGGTCCAGACATTGTGCAACAAAACCGACAACAACGAAATCCAGATGCTCGATCCAGAAACTCTCGAGCCTATTGGAATTGCGACCCAGAGTACCCTGCACCCAGATCTTAAAGGACCGAGTAGTGGAACCCATGCGAAGTCTGACCCCGAGACAGGAGATGTGTTCAATTATAATCTGGAGTTTAAGAAAGGGACAGGCTACTACCGTGTCTTCCGCTCAAATGTGTCAACTGGCAAGACAAGCATCCTAGCCTTGGTGATTGCCGATCCTGCATACATCCACTCCATCTCCCTCACCAAACACTATGTGATTCTGTGCGTTTGGAACTCAAGATTCAGTTACGGTGGTGCATCGGTTCTTTGGACTAAGAACATTGTCGATTCTCTCAACCCCTACGATGAAGATATAAAATGTATGTGGTACATTGTCGATCGACGGTCCAAAGAGGAAGGTGGCCAAGGCCTTGTTGCAACCTACGAGTCTGATGGCTTCTACTGTTTTCATACCGTCAACTCATTCGAGGAATCCACGTCTGATGGGAAAGTAGACATTGTCTCGGACCTTATCGCCTACCCCAATCTCGACATCATCAAGCGTTACTACATCGACAACCTGATCTCCGATTCCCCAACCGCTGCAACATTCTCTAAAGATCTCAGCTGGCGACCACGCATGCGTCGATTCCGGCTACCAGCTGTCCCTCAAAAGAAGGGTTCCAAATCTGCAGACAATGTATTGAAGGCCACATCAGAGCACACGGCCGAGTGGAAGATTTCACCAGAGCTACCCACAATCAATCCAAGAAAGGTGTTGAAAAAGCATCGATATGTGTATGGGCTTGTGCACACTGGAAAGTCAACTCTTTTTGACGATCTTGTCAAGTATGATCTTGAAACACATACTGCCAAAGTATGGAGTCAACATGGGCATTCGGCAAGCGAGGCCATCTTCGTCCCTGACCCTGCTGCACCAGAAGACGACGAGGACAACGGAGTACTGTTGACGGTAGTAATGAATGGCTTTTCAGGAAAAAGCTATTTATTGGTGCTGGATGCCAAGCAGATGGTGGAAATTGGCAGGGCGAATGTTGATGGGGCGATTGGTTTTGGTTTCCACGGAACTCATGTGCAGTCCAAATTGGTTCCTGGTGTAGAAGGAGGTGCTCTCCATGTTTAAATTATCAATCGTGCGTTCCGCTTGATCTCAAAGGTTCGTTCTATGTATGATGATATTACAATTACACCTTGATCTCCTTGTCATGGCCCAAATTAAAGGGTGGTTATAGATCCATTTGTAAGCTTGATACCTAATACTTCCAGTAGTTCCAGAGTGCAGCATTCTGAAAGTCAACAGCCCCACCAGAATTAGCGAGGTTCATACTTTGGTTGCGTAGGTATCTCCTGTCAGCACAAAAACACAAGAAATGGAGATGCACTGCTCTACACAGGCTGTGTAAGCACAATATAGTGTACAATACCAATTCCAGATCTCTCTGTAGCTCAAAAAATCGCTTTGTTTGAAGATACTGCTCAAGCTGTACACATATTAGTTGGTCCTTGCCAAGAGTCTATTGCGGGGTCACTGTATCCCCTCAACTGCCGTGTCAAACACACCTGTAGCGAGACCCTGTAATTAAGCGAAGAACGCTGAAAGTCGTTGTCATCCAGGCAGCCTTAGCGCCTCGCTACAGCGCTGTGCCTTGGAAAAGGGTGCTTTCGGCAGTTGAGGGGATAGACACTGATCTCCAGCTTAACGAGTCTGGCTTCATCATCAGGAGTTTGGACATCGACTAAACAAAATACCCCAAAGATAGTGCTCAATATTGGTGTCCTTCAATGAAGTCTGTGTTCAATCCCTAACAAGCAATATCCCGGCAGCCTTTTTACATATTTCGCAGCAGCAATAACGAATCAGGACAAAGTCCTAGCAGCGGATGAGCACTCGGGCTTGTGACATATCCGGAGTAGCGGCTGAAGACGAAGCTGTCTTGGAGTTTCGTGTAACATTCGGCGGGATCGTCTGATATTTAACAACATGGGAAGTAACACGCTACAAATAAGGTTTTATTTACGAAATTAGGCGAGGGGTAGTGTCATTCATAACCGGCAGTGTTTCGCAAAACCTGCGGCATCTTCGATTCCACGCTCGATCTATCAGAAAGGAATGTAATTATGAAGGTACATCTTCTAACTCTTCTGCCTTTTCCTCTCGGAGCTGTCGCTGTGAATGCTGCACCTGTGGACACTGGCTGCAAGCAGATCCAATATCATTTTCCGGGCGGCTCAGGAACTCCGGAGCGTGCGCAGGCAGTTACCGATGCCTTCAGACGGGTTTATGGCGAGTACGAGAAGTATTGCTTCGGAAAAGACGGTCTCCAGCCAATTGCGAAGACTTGTGACGACGGTTCCCTGTGGGGTTTTGGTGGAACCATCATTGATGGCCTCGATACCGCAATTGCTATGAACCTTACAGATATCGTGGCGAAGGGTCTTGAAAATACTGCGAAGGTGGACTTCTCGTCAGTTGAGCTGCTTTTTATTAGATACTGTCCAGTTGGATTGACTACTGACAGGAAAGCGACCGTTCTGGTTGAGCTCTTTGATGCGAATATCAGAATCATTGCAGGGTACGTAACCACGGTGTAAATCTGTTTCATGTATCTGATATATCCACAGATTGCTGAGTGCCTACGATCTGCTGAAAAGCGGGATGTTTTACAACGACTACCCTGAAGATCAAATAGATGCACTCTTGACAGGTGCCAAAACATTAGCAACCAGCCTCAAGCCATGCTTCGACACCCCATCTGGAATCCCGGCTTCATTCACAAACTTCACAAGTCAGCAGCCCGTTGATGGACCTCGTTACACATCCCCAGATCAAGCACCATTCGATGGGAAGTCCCATAGGGCACAAAATACTGCAGTAGCTGGTACCTTGATACTGGAGTATTTCCGCCTCTCGGATCTCACAGGAGATGATTCCTTTGCGACATTGGTGATATCTCCCTAACAATGAAGTTAATGTTTTGAGATTAATGAATGCAGGCACGCAAAGCAGAGTCTCATCTAATCAATCCGAAACCTGCTCCAAAGTTTCCAGGGCTCGTTGGTGGCCAAGTAAGCACTGATACTGGAGAATTCCTTGACTTCAACTTCGGATGGCAGAGCGGGGTTGATAGCTTCTTCGAAGTGAGTGTGCTGTACATCCCCTCAGCTCGGACAGCAAATTCATCAAATTTTAGTATCTAATAAAGATGCACGTCTATGATCCGGAACAGGACAGGAACTCAGAGTACTTGGATTTCTGGACCTTAGCAGTAGAGTCCAGCATGAAACATGACATAGTTTCTCCATACGGCTTCGCCAATCTCAAGTTCTTGAGCAATACTGATACGATAGGGAATCTCAAGTATAGTATAGATGACTACGTAAGTGATAAGTGAGTCAATTCCCTCGTGCTGAATGGACTGACAGTTGTAGACATGTTTTGCAGGGGGAAATTTCTTGCTTGGTGGCGCTTACTTGGGGAGACAGGATATAAAAGATGCAGGAATTGCTCTGACTGACTCCTGTCACCAAGCATACAACACTACTCTCACGGGCCTAGGACCACTGAGTGAGTCTCTAAATCCTTAGCCGAAGTTCATCAGCTGACGGAGGCAGCCTTAGCGTGGTACAATGAGAATAATACTGCTTACAATCTCGATTACAACAACGACAGTACCCTTCGTAAATATGCCGCTAAGAATGGCTACTTCATTCCTCCCGAAGGCTTCTCAGCAGTGTACTTCTCATTCCCTGAGACCATCGAATCCATCTTCTATGCTTGGCGTATCACGGGAGACCGGAGATGGCAAGAGTACAATTGGGAAATCTTCAACGCTCTGAATACTACTCGCTCGGCTGACATCCCGTACTGGGAGATTCTGAACGTGAATAAACCATATGGTGGGGGTGCATGGAACTCTCTTTCCACGTGAGCTGGCGGTGTTCCCACTGTGCTAGCTAATTGCTTATCTTTTTGGTTAGATACTTCTTTGCCGAGACTCTCAAGTATCTTTACTTAACCTTCACGGATCCTGAGGTCATCAGCTTGGATAGATTTCAGTTCAATACTGAGAGCCACCCGTTCCTCGTCCAGCGGGGTACATGTGCTGTCGACCGCCACTCAGGTCACGGCACCTCTGGAGGCTACAAACAGAGTATGTAACTCCCACAACCAACTTATTGACGTAGGAATAAGTACTGATAGCTCAACCAGACATTGATGATGGCAGGGTGGAGCTATGAAGATTTGTGATTGACAAAGGTTATACAGTCGCATGAAGCTAGTACGGAAGAATACGAGCAGTTGAAGCCTATCGTACAGAGGCAAGGAACTTTCACTGATACTAAAGATCAGACCGCTGCGAGTGTAACGTCAACGTTCCCCGCATTTGAATTTGCCCCGCCAATACACGTCGTAGTAAACGGCGTATCTCCACAAACAGCCCTTGCAGCCCGAACACATCCCTCCCATCTCCCTTTCGTGATGTTGATCACCTGGCCAGCAGTGGCAACAGTGAGTGTAAACTTCGCTGTCCCAGATGCGCCGGTGGTAGTTGTAGGATCTCCTGCGCATTGTTCAATCTTCCCCGCTATCCCTCCACATATCTGGAGAAGTGCGACATTGATATCGTGTGATACGAGGGTTCTGACTGCATTAGCATTGATGGAGTTTGAGTATTGGTATGCATACTTCGTTTTGTCTGTGCAGTTAGTTCCTTTAATTGCAGCGGGGTTGACAGATGTGTTTGCAGGCTCTGGAACTCGGCCAGCGAGGCGTGCGACAGCAGTTGCAGCGCTGGCCAGCGTCAGTAAGAGAAGAGGCTTGGTAAGCATCTTGAAAAAAGATGAAAATTCTGAGAAGGAAAGAAATCAGATAATCATAGGAGTTGAAGACGATGATCTATTTAACCAAATTTGAAAAGAGTAATTAAACTAGCCATGGTTTTGGTCCAGATGGCTGGACAAGGATTGCCCATCAAATAAGGAGGACTCGAATTTCCAGACAACAGCAAAGAAACTAGGGATCAGCCCAGTCAAATTCACCACAGTTCTTTAGATGAAGCAATCTGACACTGTCTGAAGTCTCGGATGAAACAGGGTTTGACTTTCAAATCTGGGGTAGGCCTGCCAAGACTTAACCGAGCGAGAACACAACATTGCCATTGAACGGTCCACGAACAGCTAAAGAACTGTGTCCTCTGTGATCCCCCTGGATGTGTTTTGAATGAAATCTATCTTTTGTACAGCGAGTCCCTTCATAGGCAGCAATTGGTGACTGTTGTTGATGACGATAGACCTGATGGCAACACTGCAACACTGTAGCACCATCGTGAATGCTATCCCTGCAGCATATCCCTAGATCTTCATCCCCCTGTAGACAACCGTCAGAGCTCCGTGATAAGGTTTGGACATACCCGTACAGGGGACCCGGGACCCTAAGATCAAGCTTTTCGACGTGCCTGCGTTCCCTGCCCGCGATGCTTGTAACCATCACAAACTTTTTGTTCTGCTGAATTCCTGCAGACAAGTATGGAAGGAGGTTTTGGATTATTAGCAACCTCGATTCGAGAGGACACCTTTAACCAGCATTCGTACCAACACGATATATTACGACTTTCACATACTTATATTCATGCACATATAGACGATGTGGGAGCATGCGGCCGATGAGGAAGGATACAGCACCGATTCCTCGACACTTGGCTAGATCAGATTTCAAGAGTCCTTTGTTTTCGAGACACGTCGGCTGGTAAGGAGGAACTTAATTTGGCGCCAGTGATGTTGAGACCCGGTAGGACTCTGATGTTGAGTTCATATGTCAATCGAGTGGCCAAGAAAAGACAAAGGCTAGTCAGACAATAACGCCATAGGACACCCCAACGGTCTGACAGTCATTGCTGGAGCTCAACCAATCGTTTTTATAGGGAAAGTTGAACATGGCGGGAGGTTTGGAGGGAATTACAGAAGTGGTGAGACAGGCATTTGAGTTTTTACTATGACTAATCCTCTTCTTGCCAAAGATATGCCTCAAGGTGTGGATAAATCTGCCAGTTGGTGTTGTTGGAAAGGTTACTGCGAGTTAAAGCCAAGATTGCTTATGCAAGCTTAAAACTAATATTAACCCTACCTTTTCGAGATCCACGATAATCATCTTTCATTTCCAAATCTTCGCTAATGACTTGATGCATCTATGCGCGCGTTGCACCCAGACGTGTCACCCAGTCGGAAGTAAACAAACCCACATCTCGCTTCGGCAAATCAAAACAAAACCTCCCCTATAAAGAAATTCAAAAAATTGAATATTGGTCACCAGACCCAACCGACCACCCAAACCCCCAGAAACCAATCATTTCCAGCGCATACAAAGCCTACACATATATCGGAGGGAGTGCGTACTCTGACAAGCCTGATACGGACCGGGATGTTTACCCCTTTCAAATAATATCGGTTCAAGCTCACGATCGAAATCATCGCCTGCACTGCTTTCCTGTCATAAATGCGTACTTCCCAGTGGGACATGGCGAGCTTCTGATTTAGGGATTCTTTTCAGAGATGGTTGTGTGCAGCCATCGAAGCGTGACTTGAAAGGTGAAAGTGTGGAAATCTGTCTATTTGGTTATGTATAGGTACGTGGTGCAGGTTCGGAGGGTGGAGCGGAGCGGAAAGACTCGCTTGTCCTGTTGTTGGGAGGTCAACGGCAAGCCTGCTTGCTAGAAAGGCTGAAATGGAGTGTGTAGATCGAGGATGATGGTCGTGGTACAAGGCATCAAGAACAGCCGGCCTTAAATTTGATGCTGCCAGGGAAAAGCGTCGGGTGATTATCGAGGCTTCGTTTGACCGTGGAGCTACCGTGGTGAAATTTTTCGATATTGGAGACCGAGATGGCAGTCTTGAAGATGGAAAGCAGAAGACAGCTCCCATGTTCAGAAAAGAGAATAAGCCTGAGTTCACGGAATTATCTGGATATGTTCACATTCACCACCATTTGCATCAGTGTAGCTACGATCTTTAGTTCAGATTCACCATACCATGGTTGCAGAAACTGAACAGAAAGGTCGGGAGCAAAAAGTGGTGGGGATGGTTAGAAAACGATTTCAAAACTAAAAATAGGAAAAGGATAAATTGAAGCCCAACGCTCTAATTGGTAAAAATTCATTGGAAAATAAATCGAAGCTGCTAAAATGCAGCCCTCACTTCCCAGTTGTTTGATTATTCTAAGGATCAATCTGGGGGGCATGAGCGAGAAAGTAAGCCAAAGGCTAGTCACAGGGCCGAATCGAAAGGGATTATCAGACATAAGGCAGCTTTGAAGTATTCATATTGCGTTTTCGGTGAGCTCAAATCGCCCATAAACATTTGTAATCTTTTCGAAGCAGACATCATCCCCCCCAAGCCTTGATACGCCGACGCCAATGCAAATGCAAAATTACAAGAAGATATTAGTCCTATGGTGCACCATTTGCATCGGACTCCTCTATTGGGATGTCTGCCAACGCTCTAGCAGGGCCGGTGGCATGAAAGCCATCTAATGTTACGGTGACGGCTCCAGCTTGTACCAACTACTTTATGTTAGCAAATGGACTCGAAACTCCGATTGAGTACTTACAGCTCGACTCAAGTCGTCAATTAAATCGTCTGCATCCTCGATACCAACACACAGTCTAATGATATCTTCCGGCATTTGTCGCTCCTTTCTCACTTTCGCGTCAATGCTCGCGTGACTCATCTGGCATGGCATGCTGATCAAACTGTTGACACAACCAAAACTGACACTGATTCCCCATAATCGAGCAGCTTCAACGATACGCTCAGACAAGCCTACATCCCCAGTCTCGAATGACAGTACAGCTCCTGCTCCTCTCGCCATGGACCAGTGTAGGTCGTATTGCGGATGGGATTTAAGACCTGGGTAGCGAACGCGGAACCCATGCGACTCGAGGAACTCGGCGATTCTTTGAGCATTTGCTTGTTGCTTCTCCATGCGGATAGCAAGAGTCTTGATACCTCTCATGAGCAGGAAAGCGTCGTTTGGTGCCAATCCGCAGCCTGTTGAGTTTATTGTGAAATACATCTTGTCTCCAATCGCTGGGTCGTTGAATGCTAGAACACCGGCCATGATATCGTGATGTCCTGACAGATATTTTGTCCCTGACTCGTAAACAATATCGGCACCAAGTTCAAGAGGGTTGCAGAGCATGGGTGACAGCATAGTGTTGTCAACCACAACCAAAGCCTTCTCGTTTGAATCATGAACGATCTTCGCGATCGATGGGATATCGACAATTTTGATGAGGGGGTTGGTGGGTGTCTCCAGCAGTACCATAGCTGTCTTTGGCGATACAACTCCTCTGACCGTTTCGGGATTGGTGGTATCAACATGGCGAACGATGATGCCGTGGTTCTGTGACATGTATGTCAACAGTCTGTTTGTTCCGCCATACAAATCGTCGCCAGTTATGACTTCGTCTCCAGGTCGTAAGATTCTTGTGATAACATCCAGCGCTCCCATTCCAGACCCAACTACCAGTGCTCTCGTGGCATTCATGATCTTCGCCAGATGTCGCTCCAAATGTGTTCGGGTAGGATTTCCCGATCTTGTGTAGTCGTACTCGTTTCCTCCATTCGCAGATGTTTGCTTGAAAGTGGCAGACTGGTAGATGGGCATGCTCGATGCTCCATACTGGTCCTTGCTCTCGGTGTACACCAATTCTGTGGCCAGAGCATATTTTCGGCCGTTTCGAGGGCTAGAAGGTGCTGGCGAGGGTGGCAGATCATGACCATCAAGATCCATTTGAGAAACGGCTTTCCCAATACCATTGAGCTTGCCAGCTCCTCCTGAAGGCCCTGGCGGTGTGGACATTTTGCTTGCTCGAACGGGTGGCGGATGAGGGATCTGGGGGTGCGATAGTGGGGTAACAGTCTTCGATTGTTCTGTTCGTTAAAATCGGAGTGAGGTTGAGCTCAATAGATAGCAATTGAAATGATTTCGTCTGAATCTTAAATGCTTGTTTATGAAGGTTTGCCCAGAAAGTTACTGGAGACTCAGCGTGGACGGAATGCAGGACAGCTGCTGCGTTTGGTGGTTCGGGCTGGGATCGGAGTCACCAATGGAGCAAATCGTGGGGTAAAATTTCAGCCAAGACAACAGCCGTTTCGCTAACAAGCACGCCTTGAATGACGTGATCGAGCCTCAAGTTGTGCCTGAGGAATGAGGTACAGGGGCAGGAGGGGACAGATGAAGGTTAAGTAGGGAGACAGATGACAATGAATGCTAGTCTTGCTGTGACATGATTTCTGGACGGTTGAGGAGGGGGAATGAGGGCTGTTTATGGTAAACTGTTTACGGATGAGCCAGCGGATAAAGACCGGAACTGGTCACACAAGACAGAAGAAGGCTAAGAGCAGAAGCGAGAGCTTCGCAAATGGAGTCGATAATTGATAGGAGTTGAAAGCTTCGCAATTCACCTGTCGAGATAGACAGATTTCTCTATTCAGTATCCCAAAATCCAACTATGTATGCAAAGCGGTGTTCTAGCATGTCAGAGCCCCGAAACGCCACAGCCCGTATGATACACTGGTATCTAATTATCATCAAACGTCCTATCCATTTGCTCAATCCATCGACTCTGCTTCCTCATCAACATCTTCATAATCATCACTTGATCCTTCGGCCTTCTTCTGCTTCTGGACCTGTTTCGCTGAGTGGCGTGCATGGTTGTCCTTGATGATTTGCCCGCCCCCCTTCCGCCCGAAGAAGTCTTCTGTTCTAACACCTCGAACCAACTCAGATCTGACACCAGACATTGCAACTCCTTGCTCTCGCTGTTGCTTGATGAATTCCCGAACGGGTACCATCGCAGCATCTCTGCATGCTTCTTTGATATCACTGCCTGACATGCCTGCCATAACACGGGTAAGATACTCGATATCGAAATGTTCTGGATCGGTCTTGGTCTCTTTCAGGATGAGCTTCAAGATTCTCCGTCTCTGGGAGTTTGATGGTAGGGAAACTGGAAACTTCTTGGGCATTCTTCTCAAAATTGCCTCATCAATATCTTGAATTCGGTTTGTTGCTCCAAGAATCATGATTCGTGCAGGAAGTCCGACTGCGTTTGATGAAGTGAGACCATCCCATAATGTCATAAACCTAACGAGTGTCAATAACAGCTTTGAGTACTCCAGATTCAGAAGACTTACTCTGCTTTCACCATGCCGCTAGCTTCATGTTCTCCACTACGTCTCTGTCCAAGGACTGCATCTATCTCATCAATAAACACAATGGCTGGTTGCAACTTCCGAGCTAACGAGAACACTGCTCGCACTAGCTTGTTGGAATCTCCATACCACTTCTCGGTCAGTGTCGAAATGTGCAAATTAATGAAGCACGCTCCACTCTCATGCGCAAGGGCTTTTGCAAGCATAGTCTTGCCACAACCCGGTGGACCATACAGAAGTACTCCGGAGGGTGCGGCCAGTAATGAAGACGATTGAGAATATAGATGAGGCATTGTGAGTGGGTAGATAACTGACTCCTTCAGTTCTTCGATAATATCGTCCAGACCACCAATATCTACCACCCATTAGCACATGCTAGGCGAAACCATAAAGCTCAACGTACCATCAAAACCGACAGGTATATCCTCAGGAGACACCACTTCCATGGCTATCTGACTCTCGTATTGATCCAAACTTAGATCCTCCTTGCGAGGCCGCCTTGAGGACTCAGTGCCATGCCCCGAATCATCCTCCGAATCATCTTCGCGCCTCGACTTGTCTAATCTGCGGAGGTTGGCTGCAGCGCGAATGCGGGCTTGCTCATGTTGCTCCTTCTCGGGATCTGTTGCTAGTGGCAGACTTGATACCACACTCTTCGCAATATAGTACATGGCAGTACTCTGCGGCACCGAGATTAGCAGGAGTTAGGAAATGGGAAGGCTGAAGCCAGGCTGATAGACTTGCGCACTTACTGAGACAAGAATGAGCAGGATGTCCTGGATGAAGCCCAGCTTCCTGGAGGGTCCATCTCCCATGGCGATAGACTCTGGACAAAGATGTCCAAACTTTCTGATGTGGAATGCTTGAGTTGTGGATTTGTAGAAGGGGAAGGTTGGCACTGCGAACTCGCGGCTTCAGAAATCTACGCCACTTTGCTGTGGCTGTGACGTGGAAGCTTGGGACTTGGTGACTTAAGTTCTACCTTGACTCGAATCATATACCCAGCCTAGAAACTTGCTTCGAATTCCAAGAGAGCACTAGGTACTAAGACTTTGAGTGAAATAATGGCTGCTGAATAGAAAATTAAAATGATAGAGGCATGAATCGAAGTATTTGACATAGCAAAAGATGTCGGTATGATGGGAGCTGTTAGGAGAGGCCGAGGTGATGATTCAGGGCCTAGGCCGAAATTTGCCTAGCCGCGGGAAGCGGGCCAGATTCTGGACGAAGGTAAACAAACATTCCCCTCGATTGTTGCTATCCCAGCTTATATCATCATCCCAGTATTTTGCGCGTCACATCCAACGCATAAAATCCACAGCCACATTTTGATCGACTTTTCGACTGGTAGTCACACATTGGCCTCAATCACATCGTATCAATTGGGATATTTGCACAGCGGCGACCGGGACGCGACGACGATGCCGAAGGTCAAGCAACAAGCAACGCTCTCTGGCCTGGTTGATTCTGATTCTGACGACGACCAATTTGGAATGCCAACACCCGACTCTGCAGCAGAGAACAAGATGCACGTAAAGAAGGCACGTGGAAGACCAAAGGCTGCGCCTGCGAAACCAGCTCCAACTAAAGTCACGAAGACGAAAGCAAAGGTTCCTGCGCGTCGCTCTAGTGGTCGCCTGGTCGCAAAGGCATTGGAAATGGATGCAGCGCCCGCGCCCACGAAGTCTAAGAGACCGGCGCTTAAGGACAAGACAAATCAATATGCTGGCGACGAGGACGAGCTTGACGAATCTGATAACGACGTGGTAATGGAGGGAACAGTGGAAGACTCGATGGTTGCCACGAGGAAGACGAAACCAAAGGTCGCGAAGAAGACTACCACGCTTAAGGGGCGCGCTGCGAAGGTGGCTGCGGCAAATGATAGTATTGTTGAGGATGCTCCGGAAGTGGGTAAGCCAAAAGCGCGTGCAACGAAGAAGACAGGACCAGCGAAGAAGGAAAAGCCAGTGGACCCCTCCCCAGAGAAGATCATTCAGGAAACTCAGTACGAAGAAATGCAGATGGACGTTGACGCGGATGAGGATGAAGTAGTTGGAGATTTAGTATCAAAGCCATCACGTAGCGTTTCTCGTACACATTCCCATTCTCGGCAACGCCAACCTTCAGCACATCGACGACGAGCTGGAAGTGCATCTGATACAGAGAGGAGTGATCCGAATTTGAGGCGCAAGCTTGGAGAAATCACCAAGAAGTACGAGGTATTGAACATCAAGTACCAAGATCTACGGCAAATAGGCGTTAAGGAAACAGAAAAAAATATGGATAGGTTGAGGAAAGAGGGGGAGGCCTCAAATAAGAGTAGGTTGAGCGTCTCTATTTATGCGGATCTCGCTAACTTCATTCTAGATGCCAGCGAGTTGATCAAGTCTCTCAAAGCAGACTTAGCTGTCCAAACTGCAGCAGCAAAGAAACTTGATGGACTTAAGCAGAAGCTCGAGGCCCAGACTGTAGAGTCGGGAACGCTCAAAGAGCAAATTGCGAAGCTGAAGGCAAGCCTATCGGAAGCTCAATCAGAGAGCAAGACTCTTTCAGCCAAGCTAGCAGCTATGCGAACGGCATCTGCTTCTGTTGAGAGTGCCCATTCGAAGCCCCCAGGAAGTGCGATAAAGGCCAATGGTGGCATTCGACTGATGGGCACAGCTGAAGCAGCTCAAGCTGCACAAGCGGCTCAATTGAAGGAAGATCTGTACAGTGACCTCACTGGCCTGATCATGAGAAGCGTGAAACGAGAATCAGAAGAAGATATCTTCGACTGTATCCAGACTGGACGCAATGGCAGTAAGTACCTTAACGTGTCGCTCTGAAGCAAAAACTGATCATGTTATTAGCTTTACACTTTAAGCTCGCTGCAGCAAATGAGAAGACGGCAGAGAGTTATGACGATGCTCAATGTAGCTATATTCCACAACTTGACCCAAGCAGGGACAAGGCTTTGATGGAGCTGCTTCCTGATTATTTGGTTGATGAGATTACATTCCCAAGACCTCAGGCCGCAAAATTCTACGCTAGGGTCGTAAAGGCTTTGACCGAGAAGCCAATCTGAGCAGTCTTCAGATAACAGGGTGTGGGAGTTCCCTTGTAGATGTCGGAGCTTGGAGTTCATGTAGGATTCATGGCAGGTCCGGTTGGGTAGGGATGGGTACGGTTTTTGATTGCGGCATACCCGGAGTACTTTCTAATGAACATACGATTACGTTCCTGAATGATTACTTTTTATGTGCGATTCATTTTTATCAAGCGCACAACTGGTTTATCAATGGTACGGCTGTTGTTGAACAGGTTTTGGTGGTCAACTAACGTGAAAATGCTATGGGTGTGGAATAAGGCATCAACCAGGAGTGAGAAACCCAACACAGAATCACACACATCTACCAAATCCAAAATATGAGTCGACCTCCTTTCCTTAGGCTGTGCCCATTTGATATACTCTTTGTTTATTTTTACCCCTGAGACATGCTCGACCCCTAATCACGAAATCCGAAAATAACCCGTCTCGGCAAAATGACATCGCCATCAGGGTGACAGGGACAGGTCGCGGCAAACAACTGGCAACCAAAAATTTCGAGGACGAGGACGCGTTTCTTCAACAATCATCCACATATGAACCTGTCCATTCCACGGACATGCCACTCCTTTAAGAATTACCGATGAGATAAAGCTTCAGATCAATTCCATACAATCCATCTCTTCTGGCTGCACAAACACCACTATTCGCCCCGCAGCATACGAATACTTCTATTTACCATGGCTCGGGTCGATCGCTTTGGCTTTCTGGCCATTGCGCTGGCTTTCCATTTGGTGTACATATATTCGATATTTGATATTTATTTCGTCAGCCCAATCGTGTCGGGGATGCGAGAGTTTGGAGTGGAAAGGCCAGATGGTGTTGAAGCTCCAGCAAAACGGCTGGTTCTCTTCGTTGGTATAGCTCCTTTCTTCCCCGCACATCAATGTCATCTTTGTTAACATTTTTTGATACTACAGGGGATGGTCTTCGAGCCGATAAAGCATTCCAATCTTTCCCAGATCCATATCCAAAAAACGAGGCGGATCTCGTCCCCCGACCCCTCGCCCCCTTTCTGCGCTCGCGCGTCCTCGAGCATGGCACGTTCGGCGTATCGCACACTCGAGTGCCTACGGAATCCAGGCCTGGACATGTGGCTCTTATTGCAGGGTTGTATGAAGATGTGTCTGCCGTGACTACGGGATGGAAATTGAACCCCGTCAACTTCGACAGTGTTTTCAACAGGAGTAGACATACATATTCATGGGGAAGTCCAGATATTCTGCCAATGTTCCAGCTTGGTGCGGAGCCTGGGAAAGTCGATGCGTTCATGTATGGAGCCGAGGAAGAGGATTTCTCTGGGGATGCGGTCCTGCTGGACATTTGGGTGCTGGACAGAGTCAAGGCGCTGTTCGCGGAGGCGGCTACGAATGCTACCCTCAATGCGGCACTGCGCCAGGATAAATTGGTCTTCTTCCTCCATCTTCTTGGTCTGGATACCAATGGACATGGACACCGACCGTATTCGAAAGAATACCTGAGCAATATTCAGGTTGTGGATCAGGGCGTAGAAGATGTCACGAAATTGGTGGAAAATTTCTACAACGATGGGAAGACAGCTTTCATATTCACTGCGGATCATGGAATGAGCGATTATGGAAGTCATGGTGATGGCCATCCTGATAATACTCGGACGCCTCTCATCGTTTGGGGCTCTGGAGTCGCCAAGCCCATCAAGCACGAGGGGAAAATTGCGCCAGGCCATGATGAGCTGTCTTCTGATTGGGGGTTGGACCATATCCAGAGACACGATGTTGCGCAAGCGGATGTTGCTGCGTTGATGGCATATCTTGTTGGGCTGGATTTCCCCGTAAACTCGGTTGGGGAGTTGCCCCTATCATTCTTGTCAGGAGATATTGCTGCCAAATCCGAAGCTTTCCTTGCAAACGCTCGGGGAATCCTTGATATGTACCGTGTCAAGGAAGAGCAGAAAAAGGCAACCGAGCTACGATATCGACCATTCAAAGCTCTTGGAGACGAGGAGCATTCCGTAGACCATCGAATTGCTGCTATTCGAGCTCTCATTGATGATGGCAGTCACGAGGAAGCAATCAAGGAGACCGCAGCACTTGTCAATGTTGGCATATCTGGTCTTCGCTACCTCCAAACATACGATTGGCTGTTTCTTCGAGCACTGATTACGATTGGCTACTTGGGCTGGATAGCATTTGCTCTAACGACCGTTATTGATCTTCACGTACTTCACGGCAAGACCGAGACCTCACGAACTCTTACTGGCACAATCTTCTTCTCCTCTATTCTTGTACTACTTTATGCTTCTTTCATTGTATCAAAATCTCCTTACACATACTATGCATATGCTATCTTCCCAGTCGCTTTCTGGGAGGAAGTTTATGCTCGCCGGAAGGCACTGGATGAGGGTCGGAAGGCACTTTTCGGCCACATCACATCCACTGGCGGCTCTGTTGTACTTGTTTTGAAAGCAGTCACTGGCTTAGGCCTCATTGAATCACTTGTAAGCCCCGAACAATCTTTGCCAAATCATTTGCTAATCAGATGAAGGCTTTGGGTTATACGCATCGGGAGGTGTTCTCCGTAATATGGGTTGCTGCTGCATTTTGGCCGGCGTTCTACGGCATGGGTTTCCTCAAGACGAATAAAGAGCTTGTGGGAACTTGGGTAATTGCATGTGTGGCGATGAGTTCGTTTACGCTCCTACCTGCGATGAAGATCGAAGACTTGAAGTTAATGTAAGTTCTTTCATATAGTTCACTGGGCTCTGCTAACATCGAGCCAACAGAATGTCCGGTGGTGGCTTGATGGTAACAATTGGCATTGCCTACCTCATTTTCCAGAAACAATTGCTTCAGAAATCTAAATTATCTGGGGACTCGACCGAACCAGCCGAAGATAAGCTGTCGCGATCTTTGATTGGAGCCCAGGTAAGGGATATTCGAATGTTTACGTGTTCATTACTAACAGATTAGATTGGCTTCATTATCTTAGCTATGGTTGTGACACGATCAAGCTCATTGTCACTGGAAGCAAGACTTGGTCTTCCTCGAGGCAACCAGGTCATGGGTTTCGTAGTACTGAGTATATAAACTTTCCTCGTAAAAATGGATCTGTGCTAATGGCGGGATAGTACTACCTGTCTTCATGCCTCTCCTACATCGCCTTCAACCAAACAATCACTATCTTCATCGACTGTTGATTGTTTTCCTGACGTTTTCGCCGATATTCGTCCTTCTTACAATCTCTTACGAAGGTCTCTTCTACCTTGGTTTCAGCATTATGCTGATATGCTGGGTTCTTCTCGAGCATCGCATCTTCGTCGCGACCAAAGAACAGACAAAGATTACTACGAATGGAATTGCGGCAATACCCGCCTCACTATCAACATCCCCTTTCCGATCCCTCACCTTGGCCGACGTTCGCACTTCTCTTTTCTTCCTGACTATTCTGCAGTCGGCATTCTTCAGCACAGGAAATGTAGCATCGGTATCAGCATTCAGTTTGGAGAGTGTCAACAGACTCATCCCCGTCTTCGACCCCTTCTCTCAAGGAGCCTTACTGATCGTTAAGCTGATGATCCCCTTCGCCCTGATCTCAGCCAATCTTGGCATTCTTAACAAACGGCTGGGGGTCGCGCCGTCAGCCCTTTTCATGCTTGTAATGGCTATCAGCGACTTCCTCACGCTACACTTCTTCTGGGTGGTCAAGGATGAGGGCTCGTGGCTGGAAATCGGGTCTACCATCAGTCACTTCGTTATTGCGAGTTTACTCTGTATGTTTGTTGCCAGCTTGGAAGGCGTCAGTGAGATATTCATTGCCGGCGTCGAGGTTGAGGATGGGTCTGCACAGATGGCCAAGGAGAAAGAGCTGGGTGGCGTTGAACTTGTCTCGGAGGGAAGTGCGGGCGTCAAGGGGAAAATCAACGGATTATCTACGGGGGGCTCTAGTAACGGATATTTAGCTCACAGGAAGCCTGTTGCTAATGGCGTGAAGAATTAAGCTCTTGGTTTTGTGTAAGCATAGGAAGATATAAATGAAGGAAGACTATTGTATTCCAGCCATGATCGTCTTTCAGTCTAGTTCAGCGGCTCTCCAATTGCCGTTCTCCGAACACAGACCAGTCCACTTCTAGTCTTCCGGGAATTTCAACGGCCCTTCACAACAGATGCACAAATTGCTACAAGAAAGGACGGAAGGAACGGAATCAGGAAGTGATCATCGTGCCTCCACAAATTCCAAATGAAAGTACCTACCTAACATCGTACGATTCCATCCCGTGTGGTGTCGAAAAAGAGATCAGGTCCATAGGTACACTTAGGTATTACTTCGTTAATACGAAAAACTCTAATGCTCTAAATGAACGTTGGACCTCGGCATCCCCAAGCGCACTTGTGCATGTGAGGGTCTCCTAGTTCCGGAATAGCTTAGCTATGCAACCATCGCGACTCCGTTTCCTGGGGAACCCGCTACCACGGGAGAAGCCTTGCCTTTGATCTTGCGTGCTTGCATTTGCGGAGTAAGGTAGTGAGGGGTTGTACAGGTGGCCGGGAGATCTAGGGATAATAATCCTGACGACGTTGATGGTGCTGGATGTGAGTGGTGCTAGTGCAATGAGGAGGGATGTCTCGGATGTGGACAGTGGGAGAAGAGGAGGAGATGCGATGCGATTCGTGCTGGGGTTTGTGGGGTACATAGTTCCGCGACGGGAGGGAGAGTTTCTTTGGGTTGTTCTCTGGGAAAGAGGGAAGGGAAGGAGAAGTTTAATTGCAGTAGTGCTTGTTTGATTGATGCACATTCATTGCTCCCCAGGCACCCGTTAGAGGGGTAACAACCTTGTGCCTAGGTTATATGCAGGTGAGGGTGGATGCAGAAGTCTGATATGCAGTCAAGAACTTCTCGTCACTTCGTACAACCAAACAGCAGTTTCATTTCAGATCCTTCGTGGCTTCGAGGACGTCGACACCTTGTTGACAGCTGCAACTAGTAGTTTCGTTTCCAGCTAGGTTATCGTTTTAGAGCATGTTGATGCGAAGCTATGCTCGCCATCGCAGGACCCATTCCAGGTCCTTCAATCAGCTCATTCTCTTCTCATCCAAAGCCTCGAACTCAATGTCAACACAGTACGAGGATAGCTCTTTTCGAAGTGAGACTGCCTAGACATGCAGAGGCGTCTGGCGTACAATTGCCCTGCTTGGAAAACGTGCTGAACCCCAAACCCGCCGAGATCTACACGCCTACAAGCCTACAAATGTACACGCCTACAGAATCCCCCTTTCGTTCCGCCTTTGCTGGCTATTGTTGACCGCCGAGTCGTCGGATCGCCGGGCTATGGCACGTCAAGTTCTAGATCTAGACATCAATGAGGCTTGAGCAACCCGAAAAATCTCATAAGCTACTCTGGGAGAGGCCATCCCGCTGAGATATCTCCGCCGTTGCTGTTTGTTTATATACCTATACTTGGTGAAAGAGTCTGATTTGTCAAGAGCGGATGCTTATGTTCACTCTCACTTTCAACCCTCTTTTGCTGCATTTTGTTTTGCATTTTATGGATGTCTCAACATTTACCTAGCCTTTTGGTTAATTGTAATTCCTAGACGGTACTAAGGAACAACGTTGTCCAGAACAATTGGATATATCCACGTGAGCTATTGACATTTCGTTTTGCTTGGGTTAAGACTCGTTTGTTCTCTCTCCTCCGCAGCAGTCGTGTGCAGGAAGTCCAGTCCGGGCAAAGACCAAGTCGTTTTCCCCAGCTTTTCGCCTTGCTTGCTGACAAGTCTCCAAGTGCCGTGCCCCCGGTCAAGCAGACTCGCTTAAGCCTAAACCAGCCATCCTCCGGAGCCTGCACCAAGGCCTGCCGTGCCCCTCGAGGCAGACATCCAGCAGTACTACCTAGTAGCAGTGCGTGCACGGCGCTGCACACCTACCAGACCCGTCATCAACAGCGCTCTCCGCCTCGACTTCGAGAATCCGACCGCAAACACCCAGTGTATATCTTCACGCGCGCCCCGGGCCTGATCGACGACTAGTCTGCAGAGGGAAGCATCACCATGGACATGGCCATGGCTTCGTCCGAGGCGTCTGCGCGACCACCAAACGGTTACAGTGCAGCTCCCAGCAGCAATGCTCCGCAAGGGTCAAACCCTATGCCCAACAGCCAGACACCAGGCCATCCGAGTTTTAGAAGGTGCGTCGAGGATCGCGCGTCGTCTGCAGAGACTTCGAAAAGGGACCGACACTGACTTGTAGTGCGAGTGCAGACAGCGGGCATCGCGAGCTTGTGAGGTATGTAGCCATCGCATTTCTTTTGTACATGCTGCTGTGGTCGAAGCGTGCCGAGGCACCGAGGAAGATGGAGAACAGCTTTTCTGTGGAATAGGATAATTGCTAATCAGTCATATCATCCAAACAGACCTGCCACGCAAGAAAGGTAATTAATCCACCCGAATGGAGTACCCTTGGCTCGGCAATTGCTTGTCGCTCGCCGTCGACTTTGCGTGTTGGCGATGGGAGCTCGTCGTTGACACATCTTAGGTACGATGCGACGCCGCCAGCTTGGGTGTGCCATGCACAAACTGCGTGGCCTTCTCGATAGAATGCAAGATCCCGACACCGAAGAGAAAAAAGACTGCTACGGGCAAGGCGAAGGATTCGGATAGGTATGCGTACCGTCTTGGATTTCGTGGTGGCGTCGTGCTGATGCAAGTAGTGATCGCGGTGAAGCTGTGGAGGAACGCTCTCCTCCAAATGACTCTCCTGCAACAACAGGTCGAAGCAACAGTGTTTACAATACTGCCACTGATGGCATTCCTGCAACGACACTCACCGAGGCTCAGTACAAACAACGCCAGGATGACGATGGAACCTATGCACAATTCATGAAGCCCAAGTTTACCAGAGCACCTATCAAAGAAGCCGGACGAGTTGCATATCTTGGAGAATCTTCGAATTTGACACTTTTGGTTCACGATAGACATGGCACCGCGGATGTTGTCCATTATCCACTACCGGAAAATGTACGAGGATCCAGAGCGAGATTAACAGAATTAGACAATGTGGAAATCGACATCTTGCATCAGCGAGGTGCCTTCCTGCTGCCGCCACGGTCACTGTGCGACGAATTGGTCGATGCATATTTCAAATGGGTTGCTCCGATAGTTCCGGTCATCAATCGAAATCGATTCATGAAGCAATATCGAGATTCGAAAAATCCTCCCTCGCTTCTTTTGCTTCAAGCTATTCTCCTGGCTGGATCCAGAGTGTGCACAAATCAACAACTTATGGATGCTAATGGATCGACGACGCCCGCGGCTCTAACATTCTATAAACGTGCAAAAGCTTTGTATGATGCCAACTATGAGGATGATCGAGTCACCATTGTTCAAGCTCTTGTTCTGATGGGCTGGTACTGGGAAGGTCCGGAAGATGTCACGAAAAATGTTTTCTATTGGAGCAGAGTCGCCACAATTGTAGCCCAAGGTTCCGGAATGCATCGAAGTGTCGAAGGATCGCAACTCAGCCAGGCCGACAAAAGACTTTGGAAACGCATTTGGTGGACTCTTTTCACTCGAGATCGATCCGTTGCCGTGGCCTTAGGACGCCCGGTACATATCAATACTGACGATTCTGATGTTGAGATGGTATGCGAAGAAGACTTCATCGAGGATGAGAACGACCAACCACCTGAGTTTCCCCCGGATCCAATGCATGTTCAGTTCTTCCTGCAATATGTGAAGCTATGTGAGATTATGGGCCTCGTGCTCTCACAGCAGTATTCCGTAGCTTCGAAAGCTCGTCGCCAGAATGCCATCGACCTCACTCATAGTGACATGGCTCTGGCTGATTGGCTGCAAAACTGTCCGAAGGAAGTTTACTGGGATGAGTCGAGACACCATTTCTGGTCCGCTTTGCTGCACTCAAATTACTATACTACACTTTGCTTGCTGCATCGTGCACACATGCCCCCGGCTTCGAATACAAGAGGAAACTACACGGAAGACAATTCGTACCCATCTCGGAATATTGCTTTCCAGGCAGCTACAATGATCACTTCAATCATCAAGAAGCTGGGAGCTTCCGACGAGCTTCGCAACTGTCCAGCATTCATTGTTTACAGTTTGTTTTCTGCACTCATTATGCATGTCTACCAGATGCGCTCATCCATACCGGCTGTGGTCACGGCAACCCGGGAAAAGATCGGTATTTGTATGGATGCGTTGAAGGATGTCTCTAGAGTTTGGCTTGTTGCGAAGATGGTGTACACCCTGTTCGAGTCGATTCTAGGCAATAAGGTCTTAGAAGAGAGACTTCAAAAAGCTGCTGGAAAGCGCCACAAGAAGATGGCTCAGAGTCTTACGGCAGGAATCAATCAAGCCAATCAGATACAGCAGGCCAACCAACTCAAAAGGGAGGATTCTGGCTCAGGACCTGGAAGTAAGCGAAAGTATGATGATATGGCACTCGATTTCAATGTCAACAATGGACCCGCGCCTCAGGAGTCTTATGAAAGATCACGACCTCAGACACCTAGTCACACGCCTTCTCGCGAACTTGGCCATAATATTGCACCAATGGCTGCGCCTCCTGTTACTTCTCCGAATTCGAGACAGAATGATGCCTTCATGGGTGGTTCCAACTCTCGCCCGCACACCAGACCTGCGACTCCATTCAATCCATCTTTCTCGGTCCCTGCTACCCCGCCAGACTTGTATCTCGTCACTCGAAACTCTCCCAATATCTCACAATCACTATGGGAGAATTTCCAACCTGATCAGCTGTTTCCCGAAGGCTCTTCAAATATGCAAGCCCAACAGTTCTCACCTCCTCAGCCACATCAGAATCATAATCACAACCTGGATCCGAGCTTGATGCCTCATATGAATATGAACCAGATGCCGAATCACAATCAAGCTGCTCAATTACCTCAGAGGATGCGAGGTCAGAACATGGCGGGAAGCCCAACTCAAGGATCGTTGCTTCAGCCAAATGTTGGGGGATATCAGGTTCAGCCTGGTATGTGGCAAGGATTTGACCCAGCAATGCAAGACCCTCAGGGACATAGTCCAAGTGACTCTTTGAGTAATGCCTCGGCTCAGGCCGTTCCTATGACTATGAATGTTGAAGACTGGTAGGTCGTCGTTAAATGCTCAATGTAATACATGCTGATAATATTAGGTTCCAATTCTTTGGCATTAACGGCGATTTAAGTGGGATGAACGGAGATGTACCTCTTGCTTAAGGACATCGGGGATCGGAAAAGGCGTTCTTGCTATGTGGAGTAAATGGAATTTGCTGTAAAAGCTTTGGCCGATTTTGGGGATCGGGTTGTATAATTATTATTTGCAACTGTGGTGGGCAGGACTGGACCATCGTTGCTGAATGAAATGACCTGTATTGAATGAAACGGCTTGACTGAACATCTGGTGACCTTTGGTGTTGCATTGCGTTGCGGCTGAATCGTGTAAACAGGGTGTTCCCGGTGGTCGCCGCTAGACCACCCGCGTACAAGATGACGAACGGCTGGGAAGCCACCTAGCCCCAAACCACTGGGGCCGACGCTGGTTAACTGCATCAACAACCCATGATCATCAACTTGCACGCCTGCAAAGTCAACAACGCCATCAACTACCACAAACGAACAAGCATTCACTTTGCCAATATCTGCACAATGCTATCTCCATAACTCAGCTCTCCATCCGGTTCAGTCCAGCCAATCTAGCTCCCATGCACGCAAGTCTCCAGAGCGGACGGCCCGCGACAAAGGACCTGGCCACGACCTCGGATTTCGAATCGGCATTTGAATCGATACTGGAATTTATATCGAATCTGAAATCATGATACCCTCTTCATCCTTTCCCTCGAATTCACGCACCGAATCCATTACCAGAAATGACCAGAACTCCGTCTCGAGCTCCAGCATCCGACCACGAAACAAGAGGCTCATATCGACGGAGCAGGAGCTGGTGAATACATCTGCTAGCAGTACGCCTGCGGGTAGCAGAGCTGTCAGCCCGATTCCTTCGAAACACCCGAGCAGAAGTGTCTCCAACACAGGCAATCAGAATGGCAGACCGGTTGGAGGATTACTTGCCCCGCTCCAGGATGGGAAGGGGAGGTCCAGCCCGGTGAGTCTCGGAGGGGGTATTTGGGAAGGCGGGTGGATGAGTAGCTGGACGGCGTTGCAGGGGATAGCGAACTCAGTGCTGGGAGCTGTAGAGGGGGATAGCGATGGCGAGGCGCGGCCGACGAGTTCTGGGAAGAGGAAACCCGCGCTCGGGAAAGCTAAGGTGCCGAATAAATGGGGGCCATCGACGACTGCGCAGAAGAAGAAAGATGGCGGGATTGGGATGGGAAGTACAGAGGAGAGAGAAGCGGCGTTGATACAGAGGAAGAGGGCGGGGGTTTTGGAAGGAAGGGATGAAGATAAGCTGTTGGATACTAGTGGGAATTACAAACGGAGGACGTCGACGGAGGAGCAGAGGCCTGGGAGCTCACACGAGGATGACCAAGCGCTGGTCTATATACATCATGTGCAGAAACAGGATACGCTCCAGGGTGTGATATTGAGGTATAATTGCAAGCCGGATGTCTTCAGGAAAGCAAATCGATTTTGGCCGAATGACTCCATACAGGTGCGAAAGACGGTCGTCTTGCCAGTTGATGCGTGTACGGTCAAGGGACGACCTTGTGATCCTCCATCGTCAGATTCGCCATATCAAGGGGTAGATCTCCTTGCTCCAACACCAGGCATTGAAGACCCTCCATTCTCAAATGGAAATGCAGTCTGGCCTGGAATTTCTACTCAGAATGGGAAGTCTGCAGAACTTCCCGAAGAGAACGAAAGCCCCTGGGTCCACGTACGTTGGGTTTTGATTGACTCGTCGCCAAATTCGAAACCAGTTGAAATAGGGCGAATGCCTAGGAAAACATTAGGATACTTCCCACCACGAAGGAGGAAGAGTCTTCTTGCCCCATCTATTCCTTCAACACCTCGAGAATCTTCAGAATTTCCTCGACTATCAATCGATCAGACAACCAGCACTTCCAGTACCCCGTCGCGGCAGTCAAGCACCCTTGGAGCCCGCCCAGCACTCCCAATCGGAACCATTGGGAGCTACTTCCCGCCTTTGAAATCCAGCACACGCCCCCGCCGCGAAAGCGTGGGCGAAGCTGCGGATCGATTAGGCTGGATGCGCGGACCCGGCGGCGTTGGTACTTTTGGGAAAAACGTGCGTCGGCCCGGACCCGGTAACGATGGTTTGAATACCTGGGCTCGAAAACACATCCCAGGCCTAACGATGGACTCCTTACCGTCTCGTGCTATCCTCGGAGGCGAGACAGCACATTTTGGATTCTCCGATGACCTCGCTAGTATCGCCGAAAGCTCATACAATAATCCTGATAGCGGCTCCGCGACTCCTAGTGCGGGACAGGGTCTGGGACTTGAGAATGCGGCAGCTGCTATTGAGGGGTGGGTTAGACGGATGGCTACTATCACTCCCGGGACGCCGAAGGGTGGAGGCAGGATTGAGCCTCAGCCGGATTTGATTGAATTGCTTGATGGGACGGGAAGTGATGATGGAAGAGGGTTTGAACTGAGTCCGGGAAGGCTTAGATCAGACACGCCTGTTGGCACCGGAAGGGAAGATCTTGATGGATTGATTAGGGGGAGGGCTACGGCGGGGGCGAAAGGTGGGAAGAGTGATTGATTCCTTACTCAATCCTCAGAGATCAGGAGTTTGAGCCAGGAGAGACTAAGACGTTTGAAACTGGAGAGGGGAGCAGAAGAGAGAAGAAGAAGAGCCCTTGAGTAGAAGGACATCTGTGAACTATGAGATCTTTAGACTGACGGCAAGGCCGTTCAACTAACAGCATGAGATGGGGCGCATTGGGCTTGGCGTTTAGGTTTGGGACGAGAACTGCGAATTCAAAATCATTATCTTCGATCGTTGTCTGTTTTTGCTTCGATTTGGATGAACTAGCGAGCGTGCTTGTTTTGAAAGGGGTCTGATAGGAGATGTTAGAGAAGCGGATTGAATTTATGCTGTGGTGGCGGTTATAGATATTTCATCATAGGATAGCCTAGGCTAGTATAGGTGAACATCGAATGAAGTGAAGTTTGCAAAAGCCCTGGTTCTTTGGGGTGGCGTTTTCCTTCCTCTCTGTTCCTATTGACTTATCTTGTAGGTATATCATAACTGTGGAATGATGAGAAATGGAGTTGCCGGAGTACGGGCACAAGGTGTCCTCACTTCCTATGGATGACTTCAGGCGAGACCTAGCGAGGAGAGAAGCCTTTTTTTTTTTAGCTGTTGCACGTTATCCATCCATCCATCTGTTCATTCATTTGCTCATCAATGAAAGAGTCATTACCCTTCAGCTAAAACATATCACCATCCCCAACATTAAGATCCTCAACCTCGACAACTCTTCGCACTCATCCAAATAAAAACCTTCCAGCTAGGCCCTCCCGTGAAGTATCACAAAGCTGCGGAAACATACCAATCATCATCCATGACGATTTCATAAGTTGCCAGTGCGCCGACTGTCATGGAGGATGCAGCAGCGCTTGAGGTACAGGAGGTGTTATCTTCCCACCTGCCTTGCTCTAACTGCTTGGCTAGTGTTTGCTTGCAGCGAGATGTCTCGAAGGCCCACAGCTGGAGCTGAGATTGCGTATGTGTCTGGGCGTGGCTGTGTAAAGTCACTGTATTGAGATTGTTGACATTGAGATCGCTAAGTCTGCGGGAATATTCCGTAGCAGGGAAAGCGGCGAGGGGTGTTGCTTGTTTGGAGGGTTGTGAGTCGGCTGTGGCTCGGATGCTGCTTGTGGGACCTGAGAGTGCTGCGTCTTCGTGAGAACTAAGGCTGAGATGGTCTGTGGATGGTTGTGAAGCGCCAAAGTCTGGCTGTGGTGATGTATCTCCAGTCTCGGTGGGAGGAAATTCTAACTCAGAGATGGAGAGGAGTGAATCTGCGTTGATAGAGAGACTGCTGGTGGATTTGTTGTTGTATGTATAGTTGATTGAGATTGAGGTGGTGCAGATAGCAAGGTGGACTGAGCTCCCGTTCCCGGCAGACATGGAACTTGTCAATGCTGTTGGTGGAGCAGATGGCCTGTGTTTACTTTGGAGATTAGAGCTTGCAGTGCATCATGACGACTGTTGTACGTGGAACAGATATAGGGTACCTTTTTTGTTCCTTGCTCACATGGCAGTGGCCATTGTTTGCCTCGAGGGAGTCCATGGTATATAATGGAGTGGTGCGATACTTATATCAAACGAAGAAAAAAGTCGGATTCGACGTTGAGAAGCACAGCTGTAACTTGAAACTGCAAGAGAAAGCCTAGTAGAAAGGAAGTATGATCTTTGCCCGTAACTATCCTTGTCAAGCTTCGTGGGAACGTGGCCCTTATAGATCTCAAGCAATACATGCTGCCAGACTTGCAAACCATAATCGTCGGCGTAGCTCCCCCAGAGACCCACACCACCACCAACCCCCCCCTCTGCTGTCGATTTGAAGAGCAGCACTCTAACATAACATGCCTTGTACCCTTCGTATGTATTTAGGAGGGCTATTGGCCGCTTACGTTCAGACGACATTACCTGACAGTCCAGTCAACCAAACAAGTTTAGGGGCCTTAAATGCGGACAGCCGCAAGGCTTGAATCCAATCTGTTGATTGGGTGCGTCACTGCCTGCATCCCTTCCCGCATCTCTTCGTGCGTCTCTTCGTGCATATTTTCCTGCGCCTCGTCCTGGCCGCTGCACTACCTATGAAGGGGGCGCGGGACTGAGTACACTATTATACCTACAGTTGTTGCGCAGTCGACAGTCAAGTTACCGTCTGGGGACTGTCAATATTTTTCTAGGTGACCGTTGGCAATTAATTTTGAATTAGGACAGTGTACATCATATGTTGCATTTCTCGTTTATGCAGCCCTTATGCAATCTCTTATGCAACATTGCTCGCTTCTTTCGCCTCTTATGCAGCATTTCCCTCTTATGCACCTGTGATGCAGTCTATTATGCGGCCACTTATGCAACCTTTCTCGCTTGTGCAACCCGTTCCAGTACCTCATCCACCAACTTCTCCAACGCCACTTGCATTTCCTCTCGCAATACAATTTTTGCCCTTGGTGTACCTAAATGCTTACATCTTGCTGAGTACTTAGCTCAGAACAAGTTTCTGCTCACACCGCAGCTTCCAGGCGCTTGAAAATGAAGCAACTGATGAGTTCCAGGGGCCCCAACTTTAAAGCCGCAGGGTTTGTTGTCGACAGCTTCGGAGAGATCAAAAGCAAATAAAACAGCGGGGAATAGAAGGTCTGTGCCATGACTCATTAATGTCAGAGCCATTGTTGATGCATTGGTGTGCTTTTACATATTCGAGAGCATGCTATGTCACAGAAAGGCTCTCAGCCTTGTGCGACAACATCCGCCGCCTCACTCTCAGCTTGAGGCACGTTGATATCCTGGAATGAGAACATTCACTCCAGCGCCTTTGTCAAGATGGTGCTGGTTGTGTGCTACAGGGCGAGCCTTGTTTATCCTCCGCCGACCCCCTTTGAGAGCGTGCTACCCGCCCTTACTCCGATCGCTCTGCTCTGCTCTGGCTCGGATGAAGTCCTCCTTGAACATCTTGATGTTGTAATCCGGCTATGCCGACTTCTGAAAGACAATTGCGTATTTGAATAGAAAACGGCATGGCGAAGGGTCGCTACGTGAGCCAGGCTAGCAAGCGAGATGACGCCGCTAACCTCGCGATTTGCACCTGGGCTGAATCCAGAGATGAAGACAGTTGAACATGAACAGAACTTTGGGTCACGTAATTCATCTTGGATAACAAGAAGTAGCCACAAAAATCTATGAAATCCGCAAATACTGTTTAGCAAACCAACGGTCACAATACAATGAGCATTCAGCCGTGGGACGATCGACCAATCATGAATGAAAGGCATTTTTCCAGATACAATCCAAACATGAAAACTCAAAAGGCTTCAACGACAGCTCTGCCTGAAACAATACTATCATGAGTCTCAACAACATCCTGAAACTCCACCCACCCACTCATCTTCTGCAGCAGATGCTCGCCATACACCACCTCGTCTCCATCAACACTCTGCACAACACAGTTCAAGCCTGGCTCAAAGAAGAACGGGACGGAGTAGCGTCCTTTCGGATTGCTGCCTTCCTTCTTAGAAGATCGGACTCGATGGTACGTGGCAACCCACTTTCCGCCGCTCACTTTCGCCATCAAGTCTCCGATATTGACGACAATACTTCCCGGCACGTAGGGTGCAGGGATCCACTCTCCTTCACTGTTTCTAACCTCTAGCCCGCAAGTCTTGTCCTGATGCAGGAGCGTAAGGATACCGGAATCCGTATGCGGAGTACAGATTAGTTCTTGTTGACGAGAAGCTGGGACTGGAGGGTAGTGAAGGAGTCTGAGGGTGCTCAAAGAGTCTTTCAGATAGTGATTAAAGAATGATGAAGGTTTGCCAAGAGCAACGGCTAGAAGAGAGAGAAGCTTTGACGAAAGGGTCTGGAGCTCCTTGTGCAAGGTCTCGCACCGAGCTTGGATTTCCCGTTTGGAAGCAGGGAAAACATTAGACTCGGTAAGATCGAATTTTGGGCTCAAAAGGCCCGATGTACTCGGTCTGGTTGAGGGATTGCCGAGCTCGAACCCTTCTTTGAGATTGTCATCTCCTTCTTGTGGTGGAAAGTACCTGTAGCTGATCAGCCTACTTCTCCAGAATTGGGGAAATGTTCCAACCCTCTGTATGAGTTTTTGTTTGTTGGGACGAAGGTCTTCTTTGCAAGCTTCATTTTCTCATCCATTGTCAAGCCTTTAGGGCCAAAAAACTCATCACAAATTGCAAAAACATCGTCGTGGCAATATGTGATTGGTAGATCCGTAAGATATGCGAACCCAGTGGTTGAGAATACCTCATTCAAACGAGAAGCTAGTGTTTCCAGATCTTCCGGTTTTGGGGGGGGGAAAGACAAACCAGCAAGAGAAACAATAGGAAGAGACGAGAATGAAGTGGACATTTTGAAAGCCGCAAAATTGGGATCAAACACAATCAGAAGTATGGAAAACGTCTGTACATATACACACTTTCCTGGCTCAAGTGGGACATTTTTCTCAACGAGGCGAATTCAATTCTCATCGCAATGCCTGGATGTAAAGCCGGGTTGTGGAGTCATTATCACTTAAAAGGTTAATCCTACCACTGCAATTCGTTCGAGCTGTGGGAACTGCGATCCTGTTACGTGTAAGCGTCCTCTGATTTGACATGTCGTTGATGTTGTCCGATTAATGTGCCGCCGACCCTGCCTTGGTCGCGTGCTCAATTGCTAGATTTACTGGAGACGCCATGATGGAAAAGGACAAATTATCCCCGCTTCTCGATGACTGGCTGCCACAGCAAACCTGAGACCCGGTTGGTGCTCGGGAATGACGAGGGGTGGAGAAGAGGTTGCATCGGATCAAAACTTAGTTCATATCCCTCCGTTAGTCAGCTGCTCCAAGATATATGATCACATGACTCTCGTTTCAGGAATATCACCTCATGTTAAGGTAGGTATTTCGTACAGAAGCGGACAGGGGAACGACCAATTGAAACGCCCTAGATACCGGCGGAAAACCAACGTCAGCCTGCGAATTTATTATCCACCTCTCAACCTCATGGGCGATGTTTCATGCCGGGAGAAGAGGGCTCCCGGCAATCTTGAGACTCGTCATAATCAGTCTCGAAGCCACAGCGAACGATCCCTAGGGATCCACCGGAGCAAGGCAATGGTGTCAATGCATACAGCAGTGGTGGTAGCTTGGCTACTTGCCACACGACACCAACCGTCGCACGTATCACATCCAGAATGAAGAGCAAGATCAATGCCGAGAGCAAACTCGACATCGACGCGACAATTTCATGCTCCCAGCTGGACAGCGTCCTTATTCCGTTCAACATATATTCGAGCTGTCGTCCGGTTCGGAAGAGAAGATGAGAAGCGAACCCAATGCCGGGTATTCACCGTATACAAGGTTATCCACAGCCATGGCGTTGGACAGGAGAACGATTTATTCTAAGTTCGGGGAATACGCGGAGGACTGCAGACATTTTACAGATACCGAAGAGAGTCTTGAGAGGGGATTAGAGGCGAGGGGATCCATCCATTCCTTATTTCCCTGAAAAAGCTCAAGTCTGACAACTAATAAACAAGACGAGACGACAAAAGCAAGTCCAAATATTTAAACATTGCAGCGATATCTAACTCGGCACTCTACCTATCCCAACCCAGAATATTTAGATAAGGAGATTGATCACTCGATGACAGTCTATCCTTCCGTTTCTACTATGTTTCCTCTCGAGTCTGTGGTTGCCCATCCATCTCTTCTTCGGCCGCCGTCTCTCCGCGACTAAGACTTGCTCAGCCTCCTCCAGTTCACTAGCACATCGTCACACATCCCCGACATTGTATAGGTATCCGACATAACCTTAAGCACTGGGACATCCACACCCATCTCTTTCAAAAACCACTCTCGGATCCGGATAGCGATGAGGGAGTCGATGCCCAAGCTTGCCACAGGCATGTTACTGTCCAGCTGTTTGGGATCCATCTCAAGCATATGACCCAATGCTACCCTGAAGCACGTTTCTAGTATGACCAAACACTCGGCAGGATCTTCGGTCGCGGCAAGCTGGGTCTTGACACTGACTGTCCCTGCGGCCTGGCCTCCGCTTTGGTCCTGCTCCTGCTTCTGGCCGATGTAGCTGGATAGCCGAGGATCGTCACGCCACTCGCCTTGGAAGACTGTTCTGATGCCAGTGATGAGTTCAGTGGTCTGACTTGAGCCAGGTCGCCCGCAAACGATGGCCTCAGCAAGCATTTCATGCAGATCTGTCTCCGACTGCCTGTCAAATCGAGGCAAAATCGCCTTGTAGATAGTATCGGCACTGATCGTTCAATTAGTCTATGCTGCTGAGAGACGGAGGTTCGGAATGAGCGGATCAATGCAGCTGGCCGTTTTCCACCATTCCAGGTATGTGAAGAAGAGTGGAGAGGACTTACTGGTCAGAATCACGTCTGAAAATGTATCCGAACCCTGTCAATATGGCAATATGAAGGACGGAGCCAGCCAAACCACGAGCTCGTCGCTGTTCCACAAGACTCGCCATGTACTAGGGCACACGATGATGTCAGCGTTCTAATTCTGCTCAGTTGGAAGACGAAAGCGAGATCCCCATCAAACAAACGTTTTATGCAAGCCTTAATGGTTGAAGCAGAGCTGAGAATATTATTCCGAGAAGCTGAACTCACATGATTTGCCGCAGCATAAGCAGACTGGCCGATACTTCCAACAATTGATGTCGTGGATGAGAAACAGATGAAGAATTCCAGAGGCTCGTCTACAAAGATTTCATCGAGGTTCTTGGATCCTACCATTTTTGGTGCCAAAACAGCGGCAAAATCCTCCCAAGGAAGGTGATGAAAGAGGCGGTCTCGGAGAACCATGGCAGCATTCATCACACCCCCAATAGGCGGCATGCTGGATTTGATCTCGGTATAAGCTGCGCGAAGAGAGTCAATGTTGGCAATGTCGACGACCATGGGCCGGACGGTAGCTCCCTTTGCGGAGAGGTAGGCAAGCGCACTGGGAGATACATTGGGATTTCGACTTGTCAAGACCACATTTCGAGCTCCGTGCTCTACCATCCACAGACAGACCGATATTCCCAAGTCTCCTGTCATCCCGCACAAAAGATATGTCTTGTCGGGAGAAAACAGACCACCATGCTCGAGAGGGCGGACCATGGCGCTGACGGTATCGACAGTAGTCCACTGAACCAGAGTTGCTCGTCCCAATTTCTTATTGGTGATCGTTGGAACCTGATCGATGCTCAGAACTTCGCCTTTCTCCGAAGGAAGTTGTTGGTCGTGGTCAAAGAGTTCCTTCGCCAGTGTGCGAAGTTTGGGGACACTCAACCCGACGTTCACCTTGTACACGGTTACTGAAGCAGGCAAAGAAGTACAAATCAACTCATGCAATGCTTCGTGCTGCGAATAAGCCAGGTTGACAAAAGTGTGTATGTTCTTAGGGCGTATGGTCTGCAGATCTCCTTCGCTCGCGTAAGGATGAATGAATTTGACAGAAGCGATCCTTGACGTGTCCGATTGTGTTTGGTGTATGGTGACATTCTGCTCACGAGCAACAAAGTCGAGGGCCTCCCTAAGATCATTTGGTGCGCCATGGATCCATGTAGGGCTTCTCACATTGTCGAGGACGTGTCCCGCAAGTGCCCGTACAATGAAAAGGTGTAGTCGCGCGGTGTCCTCAGCGTCCGTTTTGTCATCTTGCCAGCGATGCAGGATACTACCTGGGGACGCTACGATCTGAGAGCTGCTTACATTCGAAGTGGCGAGGACCTTCTCCCCTGATGCACCCTCGCGGCCAATGTACAAGTACAAGGGCCCATGTCCGTCGAAGATCAGAGTATGGAAAGAGGAAGCTATGGTGTGCACCAGTATTGCATCTCCTTGGGCAACACCGACAGCAACGCCATGCAATTCAAACGCTCCTTGTCCGTTGTCGAGTACCACGGCCGTGTCTCTAGACCTAAGACTGGTGGTTCGCATGACTTGTCGCAGCCTCGCCACGGAACGACGATTGATGACGTCTAGTGGTAGCACTCTGGGTATGTAGAGAGCGCCCTCTTTCAATGCAAGTTCAGGTTCTTGGGTCCATAGTAATTCGTCATTGTTAGAGACATCTAGGAAGATGAGGCGAAGAAGCATCTTTGCAATAACGGACGGATCGATCGACTCGGGGTCATCGACATCGAGAAATTGAAGCCTGAGATCCATTCTCTCTGCACGTAAAGTGCTCGACAGACCGACAGTGACATTATTATCAGGATTCTTGCCCGAACTCGCTCCAGAGGTCACCCATAGGACCACTTCAGCTGTCTCCATGACGTTCTGCAATCCTTTGAATCTTTCCGGCTTCATGTCGTGGAATACAGGACTGTCCAAATCGGCAAGACAAAGTACAGCTGCACCCGTGGACACCTGGATACCTTCCAGTCCTGGCACCACGGTCACAGTCTTGGAAGGAGCAACAGCACGTAAGATTGCCTCGGTCTGACATCCGAGGTCGGAACTTCCATTACCACTGACGATGATGATTTCGCCTGGTTGTGGCGATACTGGAGCAACCTTCAATGGCTCTCGAAGAAGCTGGATTGTGTCGTCCACTGCCTGCGCTACAATCACAGAGCAAAACGACGGAGTGGAGCTGAAATCAACCCCTGAGAACCCATTACGCTTCAGCAACTCATCCCATCGCTCGACGCTGACGGTCGGTGCCCAGACTCGTCCATCCTCGATGCCCAGGAACCATCCAGGGAGAGTTGACATAACCAACTGAGTGGGTAGGAAATCTTTCGTGATCTCCAACAGTACTAAGCGGCCGCCAGGTCGAAGAAGCTGTCGACAGTGACGCAGAGTTTCGTCCAGACTTCGCGTTGCGTGGAGACAATTCGAAGAAATGATCATGTCGAACGTTCCATCAGGGAATCCCTGCTCCGAAGTATCATTTTCGATATTGAGCGTCTTGAAAGTCAGTTTACTGCCATGCTGGCTGAATACGGTACGGGCATTTTCAAAGAAGCCGGTGGATATGTCCGTGTATGTGTAAGACGCATACTGGTTTCCGAGAGCGCTTAGAGCCGCTTTTGTTGTACCTCCCGTACCGGCTCCAACTTCAAGGATACGCATGCGAGGAAATTGATGTGCAAACTGTTTTACAATGGTGGCAAGATCAGCATTGCCATCCTTGGCTCCGAGACCTTCGACATACAAGCGGTCGAGCATGCCGTTTTCTGTAAGCACTCTGAGGGGAGGAATAGTCCCACGGACAATGTTGACCAGATTTTTCCCCATGGCATGAATCATATTCATGTCGTTATTGTCTCGGTTACCGGCATACCATTGTTGGACCATCTCAAGCGTGTCATTCTTCCACTCCGGTCGAATGTCCGGATTCTCACCAGCCTCGATCTGAGGAAATAAATGATCATTAAGCCAGACCATCATATGCTTTCTGAACTTGCTCATTAGCATCAGTTCTTGGGGCATTATCCTTTTACGAAGCTGGCGTAGGTAGAAATACGCTGTCCGCGTGAGCTGTTCGTAAAGTACCAATTCTTTCTCTGACAGCTTCGCTTCGAAACCGGGCTCAATGCCGTACTCGGCATCTCTTTTCCACGTTGTAGAAGCGTACAGCCACGGGTCCCGACGTTGCCCAACAGCTGTTAAGTGGACTCCACGTATCTGTACTTGGGTTTGCGAAGTCGTCGCATCGAACAGGTCCAAGTCGCCTGTTAAAGTGGTTTGTCCCGTTGAGGTCACGATGGCATCGGCTTTCAGGATGGAATTATTCGACTCAGAGGGCGTCATGCTGATCCTGACGGAATCAATGCGCCTTGGAAGATAGATACTGGAGATCCGACCATCCCCAGGAAAGGAGAACCCAGCACATATGCCATGAATGGCAGTGTCAACAGGTGCGGGATGTATGCATGCGGGTATCGCCGACTGTTCAGGCGGTGACGATAAAGTCACCACAGAACGGTTCAACCGCCGTAACATAGACTTGGCCTGGAAATAGTCTGCATAGCTCAGCCCTTCTTTGGATAGACTTGAATAGAGCTGTTCCATATCCAAAGGGTCCATGGGAAGTTGGGGCTCGGTTCGAGTAGGTAACACATCATTTTCAGGCTGGCCTAGCCAGAGCTTTACACCTGCGGTAAAGTGTGCAGTGAGTCCGGCTTGTGGAGCGTCCAATGGCTGAACTGAATCAACAGCACCGCTGTAGCAAGCAACCTCGGCAGCGATATATTCGTCAGACTGGCTCGTAACACGGACAATGAAGACGACCTCAAGACCCGATGACTCTTCTTCGAGCCGCATGGCACGAACAATGTCGACGTCAAGCAATTCTACAAGACGAAGTGGCTGCTGGTCATCAACAAGGCGAATGGCTGCCTCATATGCCATTGCTAAGTACCCAGCTGCCGGAAACAGGACTTCGCCCTGAACTTTGTGGCCCGCCAGCCAGGGGAGCTCATTCAGTCTGAGGAGCTGCTTCCAGTGCATCTCACGCTTGTCACGCTCACCGTGCGTGATAAACTGCCCCAAAAGCTCGTGGCGCGGGTGGCTTTGGGTACGGAAATTGCGAGATGATCTCGACTCCTTCCACAGTAGAATTGGATGGTCCCATGAGTAGGATGGAAGGTCTTTGAGGATCGCAAGCTTCTGTATTTTGCCACTGCCTCTGGAAAGAGGGAGGGCCCGACATACACTATCCCAAGTGATCAAAGGTCGTTGTGAGGGGAATGATTTCCACAGAAGCCCTAGCGTATCAGCAAAGGACTCTACGGCATCCTGGCCGCGTTTCAAAACTCCAGAATACAACAAAGACACCCCCGTCAATGACTTAATGGTCTCAGAGGCGGGTCCTTTCAGAGCTGGATGTGGTCCAACTTCGAGAACAATGTCGAAAGCTTGGTCTTCATTTAGCGCTCTTGAAATTGCCTGACTGAATAGCACTGCTTGAGTCATGTTGCTGATCCAGTACTCGCCTTTGAGAAGCTGCGCATCTGCCTGGTCGAATGACCGAATACGACCGTCAGGTCCCCAAACACTGGAGTACCATTGGCAGTCTTTGCGACCCTTACTGACTTGAATTCCACATCGCTTCAGAGACTCAAGATAGGGGGTACCACAGGCGTTCATGTGATGAGAATGGTACGCCGTGTCGACCAGTAGAATTCGGGCAAATGTGCCAGTCTCTTGCAGCTGAGCGAAAGCAGCATCGATGGCTTCGCTATCGCCAGCCAAAGTACAACTCGTTTGTGAATTGCTTGCTGCAACAGTCAACGCCGCGCCAACTTCTTGACAGAAAGCGGTTGCCTGCTTCAAGGACATGCCAACTGCCATCATCTTGCCACGCTTTCCTCCTGGTCCCTGTGCTAGGTGGGAATGGAGACCTCTGTAGTATGCGATGCGGATCGAGTCAGTGGCGTTGAGATATCCTGAAGCATAAGCTGCGGCGATTTCGCCCTGAGTGATTGGGAATATGTCAGCCCAGGTGTTCAGCAGGACACTGATTGCGTCGACAAACGAAGTACGCTTATCATTCTCTACTTACAGACGAGTGTCCAACAACAGCGGATAAATCGACACCAGCGGCTCGCAGAACGTCGACTATAGCAACTTGTATAGCGGTACAAATCGGCTGGGAGATCGCAGCTTGGCCAATGCGGGAAGTCTTTGCAGGAGCTTCAATTTGCTCGACCAAAGTCCTAGTAAGAGTTGTTAGGGGCAACCACACAATCAAACAATTCAAAGAGCAAGCTCTGGCGGCCATGAAAGCATGAGGAGGATAATCATCTGTGGCAGTTCGACACCGAAGAGATATTGAAATTAGTATCTGAGGACTCACCAGTCAGGACGATCTTCCGCGGGGAGAGTATCAAGACTGCGCTGCATCCGATCTAAGGCGTTCCGGAATAGTTCTGATGCATAATAGAGCTCCTTGCCCATGTTCGCCCACTGAGCACCTGAATTTTGGGTCAGCATTGTGATTCTAAGAAATTGCAAGGGACAGCTCGGGTAATGGAAATGGCATCTTTGGAGATGGTCCAGTTCCGAACCCTCTGGAAGACCTTGGGAGTGAGAGTAAATCGCAAGGCACCCACCTTGACCAGTGAAAACGCCCAGAATACGTGGTGGTAGTGATTTGGGTATCGTTGTAGTGCGCGAGCTGTTCTCGAGTGAGGTTTTGGAAGCCTCGAGTTTATCCGCAAGCTGCTCCACAGATGTGGCAGAAAAGGCGGCTCGGAACGGGAATTCTGTCTTCTTAAAAAGGGTGTAGGAAAGTCGACGAATATCTGTCTGCGGCTTTTCTTTAAGGTAGGTAGCAAGCGTTTCAGCAGCTTTGGCCAATGCTGGGCCTGAATTGGCGGACAGCACGAAAGGTCCACTGTGGCCCGTCTGGACATTACCATTCAAGCCGTGGCCGTGGCCGTTGATTTCGTTGCCATTAATACTTCCGTTCACTAAATGACCGTTCGTTAGTGAATTGGACTCGTCCCAACTCTCGATGATTGCATGGGCATTGGTGCCACCGAAACCGAAGCTGTTCACGCTGACCCGGCGAGGCGACCCCTGTGGGAGTTCCGGCCAAGGTACTGTCTCTGTTGGAATTCGCAGGTTCGTGTAGAATGGTCGAATCTTGGGGTTGAGTTTGTTGAAATGTAAGTTGGCTGGTATCAAGCCATGTTGTACCGCAAGAGATGCTTTAAGCACACCCGCTACTCCAGCGGTACCTTCCGTGTGACCAATAACTGTTTTTATGCTTCCAACCAAAAGCTGACCGTCTTGCCCTTGGGGAGGAAAGAAAACACTCTGGATGGCGCGAGCCTCAATAGCTATTGCAGGTCAGAAGTTGTTGTCAGGCCTCGTAGCGTGCACATACGATCACCAGCTTGTGTTCCTGTTCCATGGGCCTCAAAGTATTGTGGTCGATCAGATTCGCAAGTTGGATCAAGTCCGCACCTGGCGTATGTGTCCAGGATGAGTTGTGCCTGTGATTCGGAGCTGGGCATTGTTATGCCTAGGTAATGTTGAGTGGGCGTTGGGGAAAATAGGAGGGTTTAAAAGCTTACCAGGAGTCTTCCCATCCGAGTTAACACCTGTCTCACGAATAATCGACTCGATGTGGTCCCCATCCGCGATAGCCTGGCTGAGGGTCTTGAGAAAGATGGCGGAGAATCCTTCTCCTCTTGTGTAACCATCCGCAGATGCATCCCACATGAAAGAACGCCCGTTAGGTGACAGCATGTTGAGCTTGCGAATTATTAGTCAAATTGCACTAGGAAATCTCTGCGATAGGAGGGTATGACGAACTTTCGACTCAGCAATAAATGGCTCAGGGCCAAGAATAAGGTTCGAGCCTGCTGCCACGGCCATATCAACCTCTCCATTTCGAAGTGCAGACACCGCCTGGTGAAGTGCTACTAAGCTGGACGAGCAGGCTGTATCGAGTGTTACAGAGGGACCTCTCCAGTCATAAAAGTATGACACGCGGTTGGCCAAGATGGATGCTGCGTTGCCAGTTGCGTGATATTGGGGCAGACTGTCAAGTCCGCGAATGGAAGTGAACTGGTAATCAAAACTCATGCATCCAACGAAAACGGCGGTAGACGACCCCCGAAGCTGTTGCATGGAGTAGCCTGTTGATTCAAGGCCTTCATACACTGTCTCGAGAAGTATACGTTGCTGGGGATCCATGGACTCTGCCTCCTTCGGGTTTATGGAGAAGAAATCTCGATCAAAAGTCCGAGGGTCTTCGTCAAGAAGGTAGGCATGCCTGACATTCTCGCTCTGTTACCAGCCAGTCAGTGTAGCTCAAATTGGACGTCAATGTACAGAAGTTGACTGACCCCATGATGCTGACTATCCGGGTGGTAGAATGCGTCGGTGTTGAACCGAGTAGCTGGGATTTCCTGCAAAATATCCCGAGGATTTTTCAAGAGTTCCCAAAGCTTAGATGGAGATGTAGCACCGCCAGGGAAGCGACATCCACTGCCCACAATTGCAATGGGTTCACGTGCGAAGGCGAGGGGGTTACCCTCATTCTCTTGGCTTCCCATGGAGCAGACTGCACGATCTGTAAAGAGCAACGCCGAAAGAAACACACTCGAAATTGGATAGGATAGATGACTGAATACAAAAATCTAACGAGAAATTGTGTGTTGAAACGTTCTTCTTGGCTGAAGAATTCTTTTGCACGACAGGAGTGAGCAATAACTATATGAAATACCGACACTATGGGACTCAATGATAGGCGGTCTAGGATCGGGGCGCTGTCTATGGTTGGATTCGATTTCGAAAACCACAAGCCGAGCAGCTACCGCAGACCGGAGCATGTGGCGGGCTCTGCTTCCTGTTTCTTGAATCTAGATCGGGGGTCTCCGGCACAGCTCCGGCTGACATCCGATCGCGCCGACTCCCACAGAAATCCTAGCACAACGAAAGATCAGTTTGGCTTCATTTCAGTGTTTAATATCTGCATGGAAGACAAATCCTAGACAGCTTGAAAATCTTTGAAGCCCACACCGCGTTGAGCTGTCTCCAAGTGTGCTTAATGCCATTATTATGTCTATGATGAAAGCTCTTGTCGGTGCTGAATCAGGAGGCTATCAATTTGTCGAAGATGCCAATATACCAGTTCCTCACCAAGGCTCAATACTTGTCCGCGTTCATGCAGTCGCACTGAACCCAAGGGATGCAAAGATTATTGACTTCTCTAATGCTGCTGGATGTACGTGTTGTCAGAGTTGCTCACCCCCCGGCATATCTTATAAACTCGAAATTTTCAAGTCCTCTTCAGACAAAATTTCCATGTCTCAAGACCTTGTAATACATGTTTTGAAGTATGATTATGCTGACTTTGAGCTCTTCACAGCGGTTGGTGGTTGTGATTTTGCCGGTACCGTCGAAAAAGTTGGGGAAAAAGTAACTCGCTTCAAGGAGGGTGATCGAGTGCTTGCGGTAACTTTTGGCTCAGATGTTTCAGACAAGACAAAAGGTGCTTTTGCTGAGTTCGCTTTGGCGGAAGAGGATATCAGTTGCCACATTCCAGAGAGCTTCTCCTTTGCTCAGGCATGTTCGATTGGACTTTCGATGGCTACAGCAGGACTGGCTCTTTTCCAACCTCCTGGATTGGGACTATCCATGAAAAACGGCACGGGGGAAACTGTCCTTGTCTCTGGAGGTGCTACCGCTACAGGTACAATGGCAACGCAGCTATTGAAAATGTGAGTACTGTGATGGGACCACCTTTTACGCTTCTTAGTGCACTGTCACTGACTACATGTCTTCTCAGAGCCGGCTATGAGCCCATAGTCACATGCTCCCCGGCAAACAACACCCTTTGTGAATCTTATGGTGCTGCAGCTTGCTTTGACTATAATTCTCCCGCATGTGGCGCTGACATCCGTGTGCGGACCGACAATAAATTAAGATACGTCTTGGATTGTGTCACTGATGCCACCACTATGAAAATGTGCTACGGCGCCATTGGGTCTTCTGGAGGGAGCTATATTGCGCTTGAGGCAACCACTACTTCGGTCAAGTACACTCGGAGAGATATTCGCGCTGATTGGTTCCTGGCTGATGCCATTATGGGTGACGGAGTTCACATGAAGGGAGCATATGGGCGTCCTCCGTCGCCTGAAGATAGGCGTTTCGGTAAAACTTTATTTTCAGAGGCTCAAAACTGGTTGCAAAATGATATCATCAAACCCCATCCTCTGGAACTTCGATCTGGTGGGTTGGCAAGCCTGCCCAATGCTATTGACGACTTGAAGCTTGGGAAGGTACGCGCCAGAAAGGTTGTCATGGAATTGCTGGCAAACTAGCTACGGGTCAATGCGTGCGATGTAAAAGTCAGAATCTTAATTGAGATTATGCGAAGACTCGTGGTCTATTTCACAAGGCTGGGAATGTAGCAGAAATATGATGATTACTCAGGCTTCAAGCAGGCACGCTACCTTACCTGTATCCTCTCCTTGAGCCAGAACATCCTAGTCCTAGGACTGAACATGGTTGTCCTGAATATGAAGTAGCAACAGATAGTTAATGAACGCCGACGTTGTCCAGAATTGTGTTTGACAAAGACGTAAAATCAGAATTAAAATCGTGGTGTTTATTTTGCCCCTTAAACTCGCTTAGCAGCTCGCGTGACTATTGATGTTGCGTACATTCCCCGGAACGACCCCAACGACCAGTGAAAGGATTGGTAAGCTATGTATGATGGTTTTGTCCGACACCGCTTGTAATCAAGCCAGACAATTCCAAAGAATATGCATTTGGGAGCCTCGGGTGTGCCAGAGTCCCAGTCGGCACCGGCTGACTGGCACGGAAGCCGACAGGGGTCACCCAACCTCCGACTCGGAACTCGCGAGATCGGCGAATCGCAGAACGAGGCATCGACTCCGGTTTCTCAGCTCACGGCTTTGGTCAACTGAGTGTCAGCAATACCTAACTAATTTATCAGTATGTTCTCTTGACTTCGCCAGTTAATTGTTTGCAGATTGATCAACTTGCTTTGAATATAGCACACTTCCTACTCAAACTCCACTTAATGCTTGTTGTTGCAAACACGACACTGTCAGCTTCTGTATTCAGGTCACCAACTCTCCAATACAATGCAATTGACGAACGCTATTTTACCTCGACTCGATGTTGAGTTCAAAACTCTTGATGGTCTGACGCTGCGTGGGTGGCTGCTTCCTGCAGCGACAGAAAAGAAACCCGGCCCAGCCATGATCATGTCTCCTGGAGTGAGTGAAATATATCCCACAGCTGTTTGATGAATGCTATTGCTAACATCTGAATAGTTCAATATGCCAAAAGATGCTACGTTGCCTGATATTGGAAAATGGTTCCAAGAGAATGGCATTACTTGTCTTCTTTATGACCCTCGAGGCCTGGGTAGCAGTGATGGAGAGCCGAGGAACGACGTGGGTTTGCACCTCCCCAGTAAGAGAAAGACTTACTAATATGCATTTCTGCGCACAGATCGATGCAAGAACAGCCGCTGAGGATATCCATGATGCCGTGACATGGTTGAAAGGAAATCCCATTGTCGATGACACAAAGATCGCGCTTTGGGGTCTATGTTTTGGTGGCAACGTTACTTTAGCAGCAGCAGCGTTCGAGTATGTATTCAGTCACCAGTTCAGATTTCTACTTCCTGCAGCTTTCCACCGCTCTGTCCCCCGCATCCTCCCTCTGCGTGTTATCCTGCTGACGAAAACGCGCATAGCAAGCGTGTCGCCGCCATGGTCTCAGTAGCACCACTCATCGATGGGACTGGGAATCCAGAGAGACGTCAGCCTATTCTAGAGCTCGCCATGCACGACCGTGTCAGTCGCTTAGAGGGTGAAGAGCCAATGTACCTCCCATATATTAATGAAGATGGCAGCATCCCCAATGGTCTTCAGATGGCCGCTGAGATGATGCCAGCCCTCGAACGACTCGGTGTCGTGATTGAGAACCGGATCAGCGTTCAGACATACTACAAGAGCTTATCGTGGAATATTCTGAACGTGGTCAAATATATTTCTCCTACGCCAGCACTCATGGTGACCCCAGAGTTTGATTTGGCCTGCCCCACGGCAGATCAGCTTGAGTGTTATGAGCATATGAATGAGCCCAAGGAACTCGACATCTTGAAGGGTAAGGGGCATCTTGATTGGATATTTGGCGATATTGAGAGTGTTTTGAATAGGCAATTGGACTTTTTGAAGCGGCACCTGAAATTCTAATCTCTGTCATTCGTAGCTATCAATTATAGAGATATAGAATGAAAAGGTTCAGGCAGAAATCAGACACACCCACCCAAACACAGAAAACATGGTCATTATCTGAAAGTGCATTCGATAGACAAGATCACGAGACCCAATAACGACAAATAGGTGTAATTCTACGAATTTCAAGTGACTTCTTTATTTTCGAAAAAAGGGGGGAAGGAAGGGTAGCCTGCAGCGAGGGAGGAAGTGAAGGTGCAGATACTTGAGAAAGAACCAGCTTCCAAGGTGTGATCTTGTTGGATCAGTCTCTTGATCAAAGCCACCAGTCACTAGTACTAACAAAAAGAGCAATATAATTCTAGAAGATGCATTCATCCCTTGGCTCCTCGATGACTTGATTTGATAATTTGGACATACAGCTTTGCAGGAGATCACAATATAGATCAGAGAGTTGGGTGTTTTGTTAATTATCGAGGTGAAGCATCAATTAGCCTTGATCATGGCTTTCTGTAATGTAATAACCGGTGTAAGGAGTAAAAGAACCTTGAATTTCAATAGTACTCTCCTTGTGATAGAAGCAATATTCGTTCCGATATGGACAAAGTTCAAAGCTGCATGTCACCATCTAAAATACGTTCCATTGACACCAAAGTGGCATATCTTCGCTAAATGTAGCTGGCAACCCGGTATGCACAACTCAGCTCACTTGTACATGCCGTCTTCCCAGCCCATCATTTCAGCCTCGGCATCGTAGCACTGGGAATAATGGTCCCAAATATCCTCCTTGGTGAACCCATCCCTGATCTTGAAAACAACATCGAAGTCTTTGGGGTGCAGAGCAATCTCTTGTATGAAACCACTTTCGAGGTTCAGATCAATTTCTTTCCCAACTGGTGGGAGCACATCAAAAGCCCAGAGAACTTTTGCTAGACCAAGGAGCAGGCTTTGCTTTGCCGAGTTCATACCCTGTGATTGATGTTAGTACGTGGCATTTGTGCAGGCTCTGAGCACGGAGTTATGTCTTCTTGAAGTGTACTTACCGGACATATCCTCCGTCCAGTCCCAAAGTCGTAGTTCACCCGCGAGCCCGACGCCTCCAACTGAGCAGCATCGTGCTTGCCATCTAGACGCATCCCAAACGGGTGTCGCAGGAACCTTTCCGGGATGAATTCCTCAGGATCTTCGTAGTCCTCTTCACTGTGGTGGATGTGCCAAACGTTCATAATCACTGCAGTACCCTTGGGAATACGATGGCCCTGATAAATATCGTCCTGGGCAGGTGCATGGGCGACTCCTTGTGGAGCAACAGGACGCCAGCGGTGTACCTATACTGGTATTAGCTCAGTCATACAGAAGTATTTGGCAAGCACGGAATCCCGCACCTCGTTCCAAAAAGCATCCATATACTTCAAGCTGGGAATATCAGCTGTCTTCGGGGTGCCGCCTCCTGACACTCCAAGAACCTCGTCCCTAACTCGTTGTTGAATGTCTGGATTTTTGGCCAGAATCATTAACATGATAGAGAAAACGGCCAACGAAGTGTTGGTAGCTGCAGAAACAATGTGAAAGGCGGTGTTTCCCAGATCTGATTCAGTGAACATCGAATCATTCTTTTCCCTCTGTTCTCTCAACATCTTTGCCAACACACTTTCCCACACGATTGGTTTCCCCTTGTCCAAAGCAGCGCGTTGCTCTCTAGCGACAGCCAAAAACTGGCTGCCCTTCTTAAAAACTTGCTCTCTGACGGTTCGAGCTTTTTCTTTCCACTCCGCGAAGCCAAACAGCTCAGGTAGATATTGCAGAAATGGAAACAAGTCCCGCACATTGGGTGCAACTAACAGAGCATAGTTGTCGCTGACGTCTCTGAAGTCTTTGATGAGGAATCCATGATCAGCCATGGAGTCTGGCCGCCTCCCACAGACACCCAGGGTTGGAACGCTCATCATCCAGCAAACGAGAATGGCCTCTAAATCTATTCCTCTTGCTGTTGGCGACTCAAGCAACTTCACCAAAAGCCTCGCTAATTGGCAAGTTAGCACTTTCTCACTATCTTCCATTCTCTCCCTGAGAATATGGAGATTTTACCGACCTGTCTCGGCCTCATAAACTGGACGAAGTTTGGCGATAGACCCAGCACCAAAGTTATGATTGAAGTCTTTTCGCCAGCGCGTCAGCCAAGGGGAGTAATTCTGGAAAATGGCGGCTCTCAAATCTTCTTTGAAGACCCAAGTATTATTCATGAACTGCCAGGGTCTGTCGCTGTAGACTGACCCTCGCTTTTCGAACAATTCACGGATGAGCTTGCCGCTGTTCAATACGACGAGGTTAGCTGCACCCTTCTTGACCCCAAGTGGAGTATCAATTCCGTAGTCTTTAGCCCAGGCGCTATAGGTGAGGAATGGGAATGCTCGATTGACCTGGAGAAGGTTGCCAAGGCCGGGGAGCCCTCGCGGCCCGGGTGGAAATGCCTTGGGACGAAGGGTATTGAGGATGAAAATAATGCCATTGCTGATGAGTAGCAGTATTGAACCATAGATCAGGAAGGTTGGAGATAGAAGAGTTGTTGCAATGCCCGCCATTTTCAATTTGGCAAAGGGTTACGGCAAGAGATATTGTTAATATTGTGCGACGACTTCAGACTCAAAGGAGTGTATCAGCAAAGTTAAGAACTCCTCAGCTAAAAAAGACTAATTAGTTTAGAACTGAAGACTAACAATGTTTATTGAGATCAACCAGTCGGATGCGTGCAAACTAATGCCACGTTGTCTTAAGGAAAGAATTCTTGACCCGAGCAGTAGATTAGTATGTGGAGTCTCTCAGAAGCAGAGACAGACAACCGTTACCGACTCTTACATCGCCGACTTCAGACGCTCGTTAGTATGAGCTTTGGAAAGCCGAGCGTCTTGGGGTAAGAACCGGAGTCGAAATATCGATCGGATTACCGTCGGAGGTCATGTACTGCTGTCTCCGAGACCAACCGACACCCGAGTCGGCACCGCTGCCTAAAAAGCCAATATTCCAAGGATTCATCTCCTGAGAACCGGTAGTACCTCACCAATCATTCATAGAGATTCGAATTTCGACTTTCAATCAGCCCTTGCATATAACTCCTGCGATGATTCTTCCGATTTTCGAATCTCGTACGACCAGACTCATTAGCCAAGTGAGCACCACGAAAGATTGCTGAAGATGACTCTTATTCATATTGGTGAGCCAGCTCAGTTTATCTGCTCCATCTCATGTACTGAGCAGTTAGTCTTGATCAGATTCAAACCAGAGGCAACACAAGAACAGAGACACGAACTTGTCCACGAGGTCAAGAAGCTCAAAGACCTACCCAGCGTGAAAAATGGCCGCCTGATAGTGGGGGGTCCGTCACTAGCAGATCCAATTGAGCTGAGCAAGGGGTTCGAATTCGCTGCCGTAAGCTACCACGAGAACGCAGCAGCGATAAAGGATTATCAGGCGAGCGAAGAATATCAGCGGTAAGAAGCAATCGGCTGGTACACTACTTTTTGGTTCCACGCACTCAACTGACACTTGTGAAGTTTTGTATCTACGTACATATATCCTTTTAGCGATGACCTTTGCCGCTTCGACTTCGAAGTAAATCCTGAAGACGAGTATATGTGCACATTTGGTCCTTTCGTGCCTCTCGAGGGCCAAAGATGAACGTGTACGAAGAGATGGGAATATCGATCCAGCCCAGCTAGTGTTCTGAATGCAAGTGTCGTAAAAGTCTCAGTGATGAACTTCAGAGCTATTAGTTTACTCGGTGGTCTAGTCCCATGTCCGCCTAGCTACGTATGGAAATCTATCTAATTCGCCCACGGATTTTACATCGTCGTCAGTCCCAGCGAGAAATTCTAAAAGCTTGCCACGCTAGCGCTCCGTTGCTTCCATCTCCGTCTGCAGTTTCTGGATAGCCTGTCTCAGTTTCTCGTGATCGTTGGGTATAGTCCCCACAACTTCTTGCACCATGACCAGAAGTCCACCAGGTGGTATTAAACTCCCTGAAGCTGTCTTCGAATGTGATGCGTCCGTGAATTTATGACTGGTTAAACTTGGTGTTATGGGTGTAATGTAGCCACTGGAAGATTGCCTCCTGTCATTCATTGATGCATCGTTTGGGAAGAGACTTCTGTCAATACGATTGATCAGATGCAATAATAATTGAAGGACCATGACGAATTGCGCAATTGAAGATGGCCCTATGTCGCTGTGATCCAGGCTAGAACGATGGTGCTCCTTCTTCAACTGTAAGCACCGATGTATAGCTTCACATATTGCCCGGAACAAGGCCACGAGGTGTTCTAAATAACGGGATTAAAGTTAAAACTGTATCAAAATGGGCCCGAGAACATGGGTATTGGAAATGACCCAAACGAGAAATATTCAATCCTTGAAAAGCTTACGGTGACAAGCGAGAACCAAGAAGACCACCCCGCAGCCCGTGGCATTGGCGGTGTCAAGACTAATTTTCTCGAATTCTGGTGCGGTGATGTTGCCGATAATGCGTATCAGAGTATTGGTGTCTTCTAGCGCTTCGTTCACCTCAGGAGATGAGACTGTCAGGGGAGCCTGGCCAGGACGGACACTTCATGCAAGTTAGCTCTCGTGCTACCGAGCTGAAAATCTGATATCTCACGAGCCTTGGACGCCATGAAAGTTTCCGACTCTCTGCAACTGAGAGCCATGAAGTTTTACGAGAAGATACAGAGGACAGAATTGAAGTAATATCTAGATATACATACAGACGTCGCATAGTTCGCGAAGCCCTTCGGCTTAGGGTATGGAGCTGCATGGACAGGTTGCCAAGGGAGTCGTCATGATTATCATCATCGTAAACATCCTCACTATCATCGTCACGTTCGTCGCGACCCGAAAAGATTGATGCGGGTGGAACAATGGAAGTGCTTGTTGTGGGCCGGGCTGTTGTTGACGACTGGAAGTTTAGCGAGGTGGGGGAGAACATGCCCCCACTGGCAGCGGCCCCACCCCAGCCGTCGAAGCCGCCCTCCAGACCAACCAGGTCGCTGAAGTCAAAATTAGCTCCCTGTAGGGTCGGCCCGCTCGGGTAGAGCAATGTGGCTTGCCCCCCCTGCACGTGTGCTTGTGCCTGCTCGAACCAGTTGGTCGATATATTTGCGCTATCCAGTGTCAAATTGGGGGGCCTGGCATCGGCGTCGGTGTCGGTGCCACGCCGAGCTGCTGCAAGACCTGCGCGACGACTGGATCGTTGTTTTGCAACGGTTGGCGCGGCTGCAAGTGATCGATCGATCAGCTCGAGACCATGCAAAAAGAAAGGCAGCAAACGCAGGGACTGCAACCCAGAGCAACACAGCGCTGTACTCACGACTGTAGAAACACTCTACTCCTGCTTTTGTACATCGTTCGCATCGAAGGGTGGAGCTTCCACCCTTGGGAGATGGGGTTTTTTCCGCTTTCTGGGTCTCGTCTCTTAGGCATCTGACCTTTTGCTGTTTCGCGTATTAGTCCCATTCAATGTCAAAATACCCCCAACAAACCAGGAAACTCTGTAATTTCGCATTCAGGGATACCTCTGCAAGTAATTTGGCTCTCATGGAGACATTAAGAAGATCAAGAAGCGGGTACTGACCTGGCGACAGCGGTCACACGACTGTCGTTGTGACATGTGGAGTTCTTCGTTTCAAATTTCTTCTCTCTGTGTTGGTTTCTTTTCGTTGTTGGAGATTGTCCTATATAACGTTCTTGTGAAACAACAAAGGATCCTCAGTAATCTCAATCTGTGCCGCAGGGCTACACATCGTGCCACGCAGTCTGCCACACGGGCAGTCTTTTATGTCATAAATGATACCCGAGGCTGGTCTGTCTTGGTCAAACCCCTAGCAGCCGGGTAAATAATCCGACAATCAGCACTATTGTTATCAGAACAGTAAGTAGGCTTATCTCTGGATCAGCTTTACGACACACATATTCATTGGTGACGTAGAATTTTGCACTGAAACAGAGATTATTCTTACTTGCCCAATACGGAATCAGTCGCCGATCCATGCGCTCTATTCGTCAACCTTGTTAATGGAAAGGCTTGGGCAAACATGGTTTGAGGTGTTCATGGGAACAGAGTACAAAATCTGACCATATCAAGTAGTACTAGTAAAGGTTCTGTTTTTACATTATGTTGACCAAAAGACCTAGCTCCATGGATTTTGTCAATCGAGCTGCATGCGACAGGGCTGACACTTGGCTAACGAGGGCACAGGCCAGTCTCTGGATTATTGGCTTGTTCGTGCACCTGCCGCTTATTACGGTCCATATTTTTTGGCTTGAACTGGCTTCTCCCGTGGACTAGTCAGTGACTTGCATAGATCGCCTCTCATCCAGGCTTCAGCCTGTCTTTTCGATGGAGGTTTCCGGCTCGGGGCGGGTCGCTATGGTGAGACTATTGTCAGCAACGACCAAACCCCGATATACTCAGGTCATAGCACGAGACAGATTCCGAGGTAATACAATAAGGAGAAGGGAATATTTAAATCAGCCTACATCGTTTAACCTAAGTAGCAGTTGAAATTAAAGATTTTACTGAGTTTAGCTGCACGGGTTTAACCAGAAAACTTTTCCTCAAAGTTTCCCTCCATATCTTGTCACAACCAACTGATTATTGAAGATTGAAGGTAGATGAATCTAGTTCCTGTCTTCTCCTGCTCTAGCATCGAGTGTGGAACGCATTGCCGAGCCTGACAGCGTCATTTTTAATAGGCGAGAAAACCGATTTGACTTTTGGATCTTACATGCAGCTGTCTATCAACCTGACAAACCGTGAACGCATCACATCGGACATGCTTATCTTTAGAGGGATATGAAGACGGGAATGGCGACCCAAAGCAGTATCACATACCCTGCGGAGGGTTTTCCGTTCACCATCAAGTCTATCCATTGCACCATCCTGCAGAGTCAGGCTAAGGCGGAAGCTGATTGGACAATTCATAAGGACGAAAGACCTGTCCTGTTCACTAATGTTTTGACTCCTTGGACCCCCCACGAACGGTATTAGTCTTTTCGGACCCTTCCAACTCCCCGATTGGGCGAATTCGAGGGCAAAAAGACCATGCTTGCAATCCGCTCGTGCAGATATGCACGTCGGGGCTAGGCCAACCTAATTGCACATGCATGCGCTGACGTGCTATCGGACCGGCATGATGTGTATCAACAGTCGATCTAGTGAAAGGCGCAGCATTCTAATGTCCACTTGTGTTAAATCCACGCTCGGGCTCTCTTTACCCCGGACGTTGTTGAACCTTATTCATACGTACAGACAGTCAGATACAGTATTCGTGCTTCTAGATATCCAGATGATTGGAGTCTCATGTCTCATCCAGGAAGTCCAGACGCTGTCAAGCACTCATGAGTCTTATCAGAAGTCAATCAATCACGTACACCTATGTTCAAAATCGCATCCAAATTTTCTTTGATATGATGGAGTTGTATCTGTGGACAGTCGTTGGATATTTATGGGGTGGGATACATTGGACAGAATCTTTGGATTTTTGGAGTCCTAGGAATGAATCTCGAGAGAAATCAAAGAGCAAAGCTTATCACCAGAGGCAACCTCACAATGCTCCTTGCAACAATCTATCTACAGAATCACCTCGTCAGGAAAAATCGCCCCAAATCAGGTCTCCACTTAAGCAAAAGCAGCAGTCTCCGGCGCGCCATGCAATTTCTTCCATGGGGAGAAAACGCTCAACACAGCCGCCAAACCAACCATACCAATGGAAATCGCGAAAGTTGCCTTGAGGCCTTCCATGTAGGCCTCGAGAACAACGTCTATGTTATCTGCGAAAGCTTCCCGGATCTGTGTTGCTCCTGTTCCGATCACCGTCATGGGGCTGATCTGTGGAGCGGTTCTGGCGAGTTCCTTGAGCAGAGTGTTGACAAAAGCAGATTGTGCAGCCGAGACGCTAAAAGCCCCTCCCAGCGTTTGCGCCACTAGAAGAATTGGTCAGAATAATGAGGCTGGAATGTTACTTTTGGGTACATACAGAAGATGACAGCTGTCACTGTTGAGATGTCTTCAGGTGCTGCGTTTTGTTGGGCGATGTTCATTGGAATCAGCCATGGGATGACGAATCCAAAAGCAGCCAGGATTTGGTAGCCGATCCATTTTCCAGCTGAGGAACCGATGTCCACTACGTGATCGACAGAGTCAGTACATGAACTGGTTAAAAAAGAGGGCTACTTCCAGGGGTACTTACATGTGTAGATCAATCCTGTTCCGATAGTCGCGATCGAGGCACCCGCCAGCATGACTGGTGTGACAATGCCGGTCTTCTGAACGAAGCCACCCGCAAGAATTGCGGCAATACTAAACGTGACGACCATAGGCAAATTGCGTACTCCGGAACCAACAGCACTCGTGTTGTGAATGCTTTGGAAGTAAATTGGAAGGTAGTAAAGAAGAATAAAATAGGAGCCGGCGAAGAAGAACATGAATGAGGCGGTAGCCCAGAGAAAACGTTGCTTCATCAATCGGAACGGAACCATGGCGAGCTCGCCTTGGAAGTAATCCCAAACAATCAAGGCGGCGAAAATGGCGACGAAGCCGACAAGGAGACCGATTACCTCACTGGAATCCCAAGCCTTGGTTTGGCCGCCGTATTGGAGCGCTAAGATAAAACAGATGATCAAGCTCATGGTCAGACTGACACCGACAGGATCCATGTTCAAAATCGTTTCTTTCCATGTCGCCTTCTGTGGCTTGGCTCCCTTTGGAGTGCGGAAGAAGAATAGAATGATGGCACCCGCAAGACCTCCGACAGGCAGATTGACGTAAAAGCACCATCTCCAAGATACGTGATCCGAAAATGCACCACCAATGAGCGGGCCAGCTACAGCAGAAAGTCCATAGGCGGATCCGACCAGTCCAGTGAATAGAGGACGCTGCTTTGGTGCGGCAGAGAAGGCGATGATTGTGAAGCCACCGGTCGCCATCCCAGCACCACCAAAGCCAGCAATTGCTCTTCCGACGATCAGAGCATTGGCATTTGGTGCCGCACCACAAACCAAACTCCCAATTTCGAATAGTGCAAGAGAGACGAGGAAGGTTGTCTTGAGACCACAGAATTTATATGCCTTGCCCCATGCAGTCTAAATAACGCATTAGTATTGGTTCGGTTGAGGAGCTCATGCACAACCTGGGGTAACACATATAACTGTCAAGAATCTTGGACATGAAATCTATCAGATCTAAAAAAAGAAAAGAAAGAATACTAACCTGGAAGCCTCCAAAGGTCATGAAGTACGCCGATCCATACCAGGATACTTTGTCCAGGCCGCGGAATTGATTGGTGATTTTGGGAATGGCGGTACCCACGATTGTCTGGCTAGGTTAGCATATGCATTTAGGTAATACTTTGACCAGTAGGATTGTTTTACCTGATCCAGAGATATCAGAAACGTAGCGAGCATGATGGCGACCACAATGGCGGCCAGAGCAAAGCCATGAGGAAGCTCATCGTCGGTGACTTCAGCTGGCTCTCCTACAGCTTCAGCTCCAGATTGACCCTCTGTGTGCTTTTCGGCTTCATTTTCAGTTGCTGTAACTGATGTGGCGCCACTATCCTCTGCAGACGTAGGCAAGTGCTTCTCGTGGTCGATTGGGTTGTTGTTTGCCATTTTGCTCGGATCGTAGAGAGATTATGTTTTTGGCTTATTGAAAATGAATCGTTCGTAGGCTACTTTCGACAAAGCGCTCGAAAGTATCGCGGTTGAAAATATTTAGGGAGAAGTGAACTTGTCCTTTGGAGGCAGTAAAGACAGGAAGCTTGGCTTGGTGAGCATCCAGGATAGCAGTCAGTACCAAAGGCAGAAACTCAAGAAGCTGATTTGCTACAAGAATATCAGATTCAGACGGCGGAACTGAAGTTGAAAAGAAGCTGATTTTGTCGAACTGAACGCCTAAGTGGTAGTTAGAGCAGAGCCTCGCGAAGGCTGTCTTATGGGCTGCTGTTTATTCGGTCCCAATCGGGCTAAGGGTGTTGGCATCAGATCAACCCCGTCAGCATCTCCCGCTCCGTGCATGCAGGGCGCATTCCAAGCTGCGGGCTGACAAAGGAAGGGGGAGATCAGCAGCCGCCGCAATCATCACGGATCTTTCGAAGACTCCGTGTCGGAGGAGCTCGGCGGAGAAGTGCTTGTGATAATTTCCATTTGAACCACGACATGAGCTATCACAATAAGCACTGCTCCACCGAGCTCGGGCGAGGCGAGGGTGCCCCGTTAAATCTTAGGAAAAGTGGACTTAGTTTGAATATCTTTCTAGTTGTGGACGCTGTAGGGCAAGTGGCTTTCGAACCTTCTTCAGCCACCCTTAGATTTTCATTTAGATTCCAGATTTACTTTCTTAGCTTGCGCTTAATTGGACGACGGCGATACGTGACAAGGATGCCGCATCGGAGGGCAGGGGGGAGACTATGGGCCCCTTAACCATGACCTTCTAATCCCAGGTCGGACTTCTCATGTCAGCGTCGTACCAAGATCTTTATGTGACAGGTTCTCAAAAATGAGAATATTGGCCCGCCAAGACGAAGAGGCTATGGCCACTCCAGAGTTGAAGCCCGAAGTCACAGGATTGATTGCCCTAGAAATGTGGTGCCGGAGGATATCGCATTCTAGCCAAGTTTTCTTGGTCAGTATGTGTCTACTGTCTTGGATTGCTCTTTGTTTGCTCATCAAGCACAAGTGTTTCAAAGCCAAAGTGTTTGGTAAGTATGAAACTGCGACAGCTTGGTCACATAGCTTAAAGTGGAAAATCGGGTGCTCCGCTCCGGAACAGTCAAGATTCAGGACACGGAGTCGGAATCGGTAAGCTTGATTACGACCGGTCCGGGCTTTGTCTTGGACGGCATCACTCGCCGGACTTGCTCCTGAGCTCAGTAAAGTACCGATTGCGTTGATACAGATACATAGGTGATTGAGAAGTAGCGTAGGTAGATGCTGTCGAAAGAAGAAAGAAAGTAAACCAGATCCAACATTGCTTGAGCCTGAAAACCCATCAAAGAAAACTTAGGCCCTGATCAAGAAGAAAAGTAGCGCATGCTTGGCAAGTGCCCTCTAAACCACAATGGGATCTGTCAAGAATGAAGAAAGCGTCTACTATCTGAAAGCTGATGATGAAGAGCGTGCTAGGTACTCCTGTTTGTTTCGTTGATTATCTCATAAGCTCAAGACTTTCATAGACTTAACAATCAACACCGAGTTTTAATCCACATCATCGACAACACCATTCTCCACGCTCCCATTGACCCGTCGACTATCAACAGGGTGGTAGATGTAGGAACAGGAACGGGGTGAGTTTCAAAATGCTCACAAGCATTGCTCGTGCTAAGTGACGATCCATCCAGCATCTGGCTCGATACTCTAGCTGCTTATCTTGAAGCTTTCCCAACAAACTCGGGCAGCAAACGCCAATATGACGGTCTCGACATTACTGACGCAAACTTCCCTGCTACGAAAACGGAAAACTTCCAATACAGTGTCTACAACATTCTCCATCCTGTTCCGGAAGATCTGAAAGGGAAGTTTGATTTGGTCCACGTGAGACTGTTAGTGTCGGCGCTGTCGATAGGTGACACAAAGACAGCGGTAGAAAATATTGCCCAGCTTTTACGTGAGTATTTTGTCATTCTTTATTGTTCTTTATCGTTTGTCGATGCGTCGTATACGAAAGCACATTCTGACTCTTGATCTGGGTAGGACCTGGCGGCTGGATTCAATGGGATGAGCTTGATGGCGATAGCTGGGCAGGAAGAATCCCGAGTCCCCACGTAAAGGAAATGAATGAGCTTGTCCGAGGCTTTATGAGCAGCAAGGGTATGGAACTGGAGTAAGTTGAATGGGACTCTTCTTCCTCACATTGCGTCAAATAGTACTTACACAATTCAGTGTCCCCTCGGCGTTTCTGGAAGCTGCGAAGGCCCATCCAGACTTTCAAAACGTCTCTGAGAAGATTTTTAATACTGTCGAATACGGTTTCGAGGTAAAAGATGCCATTAACCTGACCTTTCTATGGTCCTGCACTACAGCTTCGAAGACGATTATTCAGGCTATTGGAAAGCCTGATGCGGAACAGGAGATCAAGAGGCTTGCAGATGGTGCAAAGGCTGACATTGAGCGTGATGGGATTTTCTGGGATTCCGATGAGCACGTTTTACTTGCGCAGAAAAAGTAATTCCCTAGGAAGATGGTGCGAATAATGTCATTGATATGCTTGGCATATTTATACACATACTTTATTCCTCGCTGAAGGTCACAGCGCACTGGGTCCTTTTGGGATCAAGGTATCCAATAATGTTTTGGATCACCTCATCTACTTGTATTGATCGTGAAGTTTCACACACCACACATTTACAATTGCTCGTTTCTCCAGAGATTGCCGCCATTCGGATGTGTTCGAAGTGGGATCAGATATAGTCCAGAAGGTACGCAAGCTCGATTTAATGTTTTTCCATATCATGACAATCCAAGAAGATTTACCTAATGATTCGTCGGAAATAAGACGCTTTCGCGTGTGAAGATTCCCCCATCAAAGTCACGGATTCGAGATACTACGGCCGACGACTAGATTAAAATGATATCTGGAGTGCCGAACTGGCGAGGTCGGTGTCTACGAAAGTCAGAGTTAGCGAGGGGGTCGCTAAAACGAGACACTAACCACCTAAATCAATCCCCAGCTCAGGTGCCACCACAGCGCGTGACACTGACCACCTAGGATCTGTTTTTGACCAGGGCTGCCAAACCTGTGTTTATGAACTCTAATTCTTCGTCTCAGGGTTAAGCCTCGAACGTGGGCAGAAATCGATATACTTGAGTCCAAATATTCAGCCAATGTTTGTCCCACAATTATATCCAGTTCAGTGCTAAAGCCTCTCAACGCAGCCGGAACTTCTTCTTTTACATCTAGTTTTACTTCGAGCTCCTGAACACAGAGTGGCAAGAGTTCCAGCAACAGATACCATTCAGTCCGAGCAGTCTCATGCACTTCATCCTCGCTCACCAAGACCTAGTTCGTCTTTAAGACCTACGATGTCTTCCTCTGACGGTCTGACCCATTTTTTCAGATTCGCGCCTACCTGCCTGGAGGAAGAGAAATGTAGTAGATTGGGGTTCGTGATCTACCGTTCTAGTGAGTTTTCTGAAAGTTAATGGCCTCACCACCAGCGCGACAGATTGTTTCCAGAGATCTGTGCATGTGCTAACCTTCCCAACAAACTTCTCCACCCCTTCAATCATCTTGGAGATCTCAATCACCGCATGGAACAGCAATGCTATCATCCCGTTGTTCTCCAGTAATGAGTGGGAGGACAACTGGTCACAATTGACGTAGAAAGTGAAATTGCGTGCTCGAGGGGATCTTGACTCTCAAAACGGACTTGACTTGCTGGACTCGCTGGAATCTACTGTTAGTGATGATGAACGAGCCTTTGATGGTGCGATAATATGAAAATATCGCGATCATTTCATCGCCTGGGTCGCTTCGGCGCAAGGTAGTAATAGTGAACAGCCTAATGCGCTTCGTCTCCTGGGTTCAGGCTATGATGGCACGTCGATGTACAGATTCTTTTATTTGTACACAAGGATGCGTTATACAGCGTAGTAAGGCTGGCGCCGCAGCGTCCAGCAATTGATACGAATGGGGCTGGGTATATCAACATCAGGAACTCGAAGTGGGAGTTTCAGCCTTCTGGAGAGCAAGAGATTGATCTTGATGGGAATGTCATTGATTATGATGTGGGAGAAGATTTTTACTGGCAGAGAGTCGGGTTTTGGGAGTTGGTGTCGTGGATTTATACGGCGTTGATTGGGACTAATTTGTGGGTTGCCGAATTTGGGAAGCCACCTCATGTGTGGGTGGCGGCTTAGGGGAGGGTGACACTTGCTTTCACCGACTCTGAGCGAGTGCCCGCAGCCTCACACAGTGAAATTGGCTAATATCCATCTTCTGCTCACGGAGGGGATTGTTCTCTTCTCAATTTTTGGGGACCCACATCGGCTACTCCCGAGTCAAAGCTGCCTGTTTGGGTATACATCCAAAGGGGATGTTATCGGGGAAAATTAGAACGCCAACTACAACGGATTAGCAGTTGTGGCAGCTTCCGCTCATGAGATTGTCTTCGTGAACTTCAATTATTGAGTTGCTCCGTAGGCCTTCTTATTTAGTGAGAACGTCAGAGCGGATGGCGATCCTAATGCTGGACTCTCTCTCAGATGCCATTGGCTCGCTTAAGTATTATAAACAAGAATGCACAGGCTCTTCCTTCAGTCTCAAAACACAAAAGGTCATCAACGACGACTAATTGAGCAATGAGAAAATCAACTCCTTGGGTCAACTGAGAAGCATGAGATAGTTTGCATACAAACTGAGAGATGTCATGATTGTTGGACAAATGAAACGAGATGAACTCCTTCTGACGAAATAATCCACAGAGCCTTACTCCTGGCGCTTCTGAGTCTGAGAGAGGCAACCGATCTACACTAGGTTACGTAGGAAGTAGCTTGTAATTTATTTTGAATCGAGGAGGGCTGAGATCGCACTTCAAGATCTTGGCCGGGCCTAGACTTTCCTTGAAGCGCGGCTCTCCCGCACTCCAATATGAGAGGATGACAGTGGAAAGCCAAGATTGCCACTTCTCCTTGCTACTATATCTGCCTAGAAGAGATGAAGCATGCAATTGATAATACCTTCAAACTTATATACGTTTATCCCTTCCATCGCCAACATTCCGTAGGCCTTAGGCTCGCCCGACTATGGGTCCTTGTTGAGGTGCTTGTGACGGGATGTAGCTTCAAACCAATACGTTTTCGAATGGCCAGGGTTAGTTGTGTCCCATGAGTTATGACACTGTTGGACCAAGGCTATTGATGAAGAGGTTGCTAAATGTTCCGTCCGATGTATGTTTCGATAGCTATTCGTTCTTGGAGAAAGATTCTTTGAATTGTTCGTTGTGCAATTCAGTGAGTTCCGCTTCTGAGGGGTTTCAACGAGACATTCAATCTACCAGGGAGGCATTGTGCAGTACAAGCTCGCCTCAGCCTCGCCATTTCCTCTGAAATTTGCGGTACTCGTCCACAAGCATCTCATAAAACTCGTAGTCGTATCCTATACACTCAAGGTACTCGTAGAAAAAGTCCATAGATGCTTTGAGATCGTAATCAGCCTGGAAGGTATCAGTGTCATTCTGTATAATTAAGATCATGGCAACAAACTCTATTCAAAGCATCCAAGACCTCTTCTTCCGTGATTGCTTCAGCTTCATCTACTGTGATCGCTCGTGTGATAGGGAAGCCAAGCTCAGATTCGCGAGCAGCATCGTATGGTATGATCTCTTCAGTATCTTCATCCAATCAGCCCACTGAGACACGTGGCCACTCGTGAATCAGAGTATCGAGAGCATTGCTCGACTTTCCGTTACCATTCTGCATACCAAGTAGCTTTGCCCAGAACTGTTTGACATGATCGGGAACACAACACATTTCACTTCCTCCGATAATATCTGAAGCTCGAGGTTCTCGATAGGTGCCATAATACCGATATCCGGTACCTGCTCCGCTATCACAGATAAAGAGAGGAAAGTCGCCTTCAATTTCTTCGTCAGAGAATATGCACGATATCTGTGCTCCGTGCTGACCAGGGTGCCGGGGTAATAACGGATCATGTTCAGCCTTCAAGACTCGGTAGATATCCAGATCTGGGAAGAGACGACGCTGTCGGTTTTTGGCGGGAATCTTGTAACAGCCGTTCGAGATTGGGCTCCCACCAAAGACCTTCTTCAGAAACTCATGAGAAAACCTCTCATTTGGCCGAGCCGGGAGCTCGAATTTGTCGCATGGTGCGAGCCCACGAATAACATATGGCATCTGCATGCCATCATAGAAAGCAATCGCCTGCGTCGTGACTGGGGGAAGGTTTACGTCCTCCTCAAAAGATGAATTCTTTTGTGACTGCAATGTCGGGGCTGATTGCCTACTTATTGATCTCCTGTTCTGTGGTGGTTCTGGAGATCTGTGCTACATTTAGATTGAAACAAATATGGTCTTCGTCAGAACATACTCATCATAGATATTCAGTACACTGGTCTCCTTCTTGACTTCTTCGTAATCCATATCCCTCTCGTCGGGGCCGTTCGCATGGGATCCATCAGATAGCGCTGTTGGAGGGCGTGGATAAGCAGGAATGCTTCGACGATCGTCCAACTTTTCTTGAAGTCGCTGCAGATGGTTGTCTTGAGCGGCTAGCTTGGACTGAAATCGTGCGCGATCTTCCGCTTGATCATTGACTAGCTTCAAGACCTGTGCCTGCAACTGCTCAACAATACTTTGAGAGCTGGAAGCTGCGATCTTTGAAGAGTTCTTGTTCACAGAAGAGCTGACAGCAGTGTTCTCTGCAGCCGAAGCTGGTCCTAGAGAGTGGGTTCTGAGGCGCTTCTGACGGGCGGGGCCGGATGTGAATTCCAATGTAGATCCACGCTTCTGGATGTCATTCGTCATGCTGCTCTTATTACTTTACAGTCGGTCAATTCCATGCCTTTCAGTTGGGAGACCACTTACATGAGAGGTGCTTGCGGTTTGTTTGTCGAGACAACTCTGGCTTTCGCCCTCTCAAGGAAGGAGGCCATCCCAAATTTTAGTAAAATACTTATGTCCTGAGAAAAGAAAGTGCAGGTGAAGTCGAGACGACTTTTAAACCAAGGTGAAAACAAATCTCCAGGTGAAGGAGTTGTGAGCTGTCACAAGTCCGTTTGCTCTTCTATCAAGAACGCGGCTCGCCAATCGGCATATGACGTATGATGCTACCAATTTCTTTGAAAGTCATTTGGAAACGTGTGTCTCGGAAGTGGGACTGGATACGGAGGCCACGGGATATTGTGCCCTGAGTCCTCAGAGGAATACAACTTGAAGATGATGTCGATGCCGTCTTGTGAGATTATCAGTCGTAGTCTCGGCACGGACCGAGTCGCGAAACGCGTCTCGATCCTTGGCTTGGGATACTACAAAGGGCTTAGCCAGGACGCAACAATTATTGTCAAGACCGAGATGAAAGCTGGGATTCTCTTTGATGGAATGGGCACCGATGTTATAACATTTCGCGCGTACACGTGGGTGGAAGGCCCCACCACAAGCTGCTTGGGTTTACGATATCATGTCTGGTATAGGGAGGTTGATAATCTACTCTTTAAAGGTTATTCAAGTTGAGTAAACATGATATCTAGAACCTTGTAGTTATCGATGCTGGTGTCTAGGAGCACAAGAGATCAACGCTATATCTAATGACTCTGTGGAGCCCTTCTTGCCTTCCTCGCCTGATTCTTCTTTTTGATGAAATTTCTCTCTATCCTTCTTGATCATTGGCGCATGATCTTTCCGAATAAGTCGACGTTGTATCCCAGGTATTCAAGTTATTCAATGCATGGTTTCGTGGAGGGACTTCCTTTCTCTGGTCTATGTTTGGTCAACATGGACATGTGAATCCCAGAGACCTAGACAGTCTTACCGTTTCGAGGGCCTCCAGCACAGCTTTAGTTGTTATCTTGAGTGCCTCCTCATTTGCAACTCTTCGATAGCAGCTCCCCAGACGCTTGCCGATCCGAAAAATACTGGATCTGAGTACGAAAGCCTGGCTGTAGCCAGCCAGCGTTAATTTTCTGCCAGTGTCTGCTTTAAGCACTCACTATTTCATCGGAATTATTGACTGTACAGACACAGGCAATTTCCGGAACAATCAGAAGGTCAGAATCGGGTTGAAGGTGAAGATTTGTAGGTCGAGATTCGAATAGAGGGAGAGCTCGACACCGTCCTGGGAAAGCTTCTTCTCATCTTTTGACTTATTGAGCCCTCTCTTGGGATTCGGTAACTTTGGGTCATCATCATCGATATTAATGACTTGCGGTCTTTGCAAAGCCCTTCGAAGCTCACTTAGCTGCTACTTCTTCGGGATATCAAGCTCCTGTTGGAATGGTGTAGGCCCAGGCTTTTCCTTTTGGGGTAAGTCCGTAGAGTCCCTACAGTTGTTCAATATGAGCCGATTGTTCTTTGCGAGGACGTCCTCCACCTCGCTTCGCATGGACAGGAGATGTTTTGGACTTTTCCTGGTTCTAGGTCTGATCAAAAAACAGTCGTGTGTGATCTCTTATTACCATGTAACGACTGGCCACTGACTGTCACAATTTTGAGTCGATTTGTTCCTTGTACGTCACTATCGAGTTCGTCAGTTCTTGACGGTACATCTGAAGTTTGCCTTATTGCCAGATTTCCCTGCTGAACCACCCAAATCCTCAAGGCATATTGTCCTTTTTCACATCTGTTTGACAGGAGACTACATTAATTATCGGAAGTTTCATCCATAGTGGTGAGAATCCCGTCTATGTTGATTCGACCCCAGCAAATCTTTCCGATGTATATGAATTTTACCTTTGAAGTCTGATTTCGATTGGTGGTGAAAATACCGGTCGAATGTATTAAAAGACACAGCGATGGTTAAGGATTCTCACTTATAAGTATCAGCTTAGAATGCAAACAGTGCTGAATGTGATCAAGAATCGGACGTCGTCATTTTGGCACGGGCCAGTTCGCGCAAGGCGCGTCGAACCGAAGAACTGTGGACATTTTGCAACATCCAAATCTCTCCCATCATGTTTGCGTCCGCCACATCCTTGAATCACCGATGATACTTAGCCATATGCAATGCCTATTTGTATAGAATGCCGATTCCCGGTCAAGACCTTGTACACCGAGTACTCCGGTGCAGATGACAAGTCTAGCGGCCATGGAGTGCGCCTTACAGTATGCAAGAACTGCGGACGCTTTTGCGACAAATATGTAGAACATGACAATGTGGTACTTTTCATAGATCTAGTTCTAATCAAGCCGCAAGTATGGAAGTCTTTTAAAAGAGTGGGAATGTCGCTAACTGCTGAAGGTATACCGGCATTTACTGCACAATACTTTGATGCGCGAACATGATCAATTCGACGTACGTCCTAGCGATTTCTCTCGCCGTCCACAGCCAGCTGATAGCATACGCAGCCTTCCATAATACGTCTTGGTATCCTTCTCCTGCTCTTCGACGTTTACCTGACCTGGGCGCGAATTGAGAAGCAGACATCATCTACCCCTCCAACAACCGACAACAACTTCCTCCGCCTAGCCCAACAACCCATAGTGTTTCAATATGTCTTCTTCCTTATCCTATGCGCCCTGTCTACACTAGCATTCCACATGTCAATTCGCTTCCTTACCTCGTCACCTCTGTCGCCCTTGGTTCTGTTCGGGCTCATCCCGCGATACTCGCGACCGAATTCAGTCAGCACAGCTCTGCTCGTCTCCTCGTCTACGAAGCTGTTCCCAATACTGATGGTCATCTGGGAATATGATGTGCCTGCGGCTGCTAGATCGTTGGGCTGGGCTGTAGTTGCGAATAATGTGGAGGCGTTGAAGATCTTATTGGATTGTGGTTATGGAACTACGGCGATACTGGCTACGGTAGGAGCGATTAGTAGGTGGATGGTTGGAAGGGGAATTCTATGGGTAGTAGGGCTAGATGGTGTCGATACGGTGGGTGACTCAGGAGTAGCTGCTGATGGGAAAGCGCTATGGGCTGTGATTGAGCTGGGGAGGGAATGGGGTGGTAGATTGGGACTTGGGTAGTGAAGAATATTGATATCCGTGCTTGATGTCCCAATCCTGAATGGCCTTTCATGGAGTGAGAAGTATCTGATATGCTGGTGAATACTCCATTGTGTCCAGACACAACGCTACAAATCCCATGCAACTCATTCGTTGTCTTCCGTTCAGCATGCAAAAGGTATCCCATTCCATATCGATATACGCGACTTGTGAAAGCCCAAGCTATGATCCCGTATCCCAACGCCGAATTGTACATCCATACACCTCTCGTCTGAAACTCATCTGGTAGTCCATCATGTTCCTCCCATCAACCCTTCACAGTATGATTTCTCAGGCCCGAGGCTCGCGGTTCGATGAGTGGATGCCATTGTGCCAGGAATGTAATTGCTAGAACCCAGCGTTGTTAGTGATTTACTTCAAATGGACCTGCCAGGGAAAGATGATGGTCCATACCCCACATAATGTAGCAGCTTGCGAACGAGAGAATCAGAGAACTTCGCCAGATTCTGCCAACCTATTAGCCAAAGCTCCACATCCTTCCAAATACCCCAGCGTCTATCGAAAGTGAGGCATTTTGGCAGGAGATCGTACGTTTGAGTCTCGCCCTTAGGTGCGAGGAACCATCCTGCGACGCAGGCAAGCGCAACTACCACGAAACCGATGATGATGCTCCAGCTAGAAACACAACGAGCGTTAGCCAGGGTTTCCATTTCGCAACACAGGTTCCACTTCAATTTGAGTCTTGGAGCTTTGCTCACCCGTTCGCCATGTTGTATGATTTGTTGAGAGCTTGGAGTGACAGCTTAAGATGCCGTCGCCGTCTCGCTATCTGGCTCAGGCATCCCCAAAGCTTACCTAGCTTGTCTTATTATGTAAGCAAAAGACTCTCGCAACCCAAGTCACATTTCAGTGATAATCATTCAACATCACCAACAAAACTTATTTATCAATTCCTACTCGATGAACTAATTCTCAAAAGGCAGTCCAGCTTCCTGCCTAACAGCGCCATAAATGGCGGCAATGTCGCCAGTTTCTCCTTTATGAGCTTTCACCTGCGCCAAGTGCACATCCGCAATTTCAACATCCTTCAACCGAGTTCCAGCAGCCTTTGCAAGAGCCTGTGCATGTCTAGCATCCTTCCTAGCCAAATCAACAGCAAACAATGGTTCTTCTCTCTTGTGGTAATCCCCAGATAGCATTCTTGTCGAATAGGCAGTGTATGGACCAGGGAACATTGTCTCGATGAACTGATGGAGGTTTTCAGTACCAAGTCCGGATTTCTCTGCCAAAACATGGCCCTCTGACAGTGTTTCAACCATATTGAGAATAAATGTGTTTCCAATGATCTTCAGCGTAGTGGCTTTGCCGACAGCTTGCCCACCGAAATCAACATTTGCTCTTCCAATGACACCTTTGGTGTATGGCTTGACTTTCTCGACACTCTCCTTTGGCCCGGCAAGTACACAGACCAGTTGACCGTTATCTGCCATAGCTGGAGCTCCAAATACTGGGCAAGCAACGAATTCCCCACCGGCTTCTGTGACTTTCTTTGCAAGGCCTTCACTGGTCTCCGGGTGGACGGTAGAGCAATCCACGAATAGCTTGCCCTTGACACCAGCCTTCACGGCGGTATCAATAGTACTGTTGATTGCAGCATCGTCCCCAACGCAGGTGAAGACAATGTCTGATTTGGAGACCAAATCTTCAATGGACGAGGATACAGTGGATTTCCCAGATGGCAATGACTTGCTGAGATCTGTTGCTCGTTTCTCCGTCCGATTGAAAATGATGAGGGGTTTGTCGAGTGGTCCTTTTTCAACGAGGTTCTTGCACATGCCCTATTACCCGAATCAGTGCTAACTATCTGAGCTGAATGAGGGGTTTCTTACTCTGCCCATGTTCCCCAATCCAATCCATGCTACTTGAGGTGCCATGTTGTCAATGTAGTGTATAATCTTTGCTATGAGGATTCAAGGGAATAAAAGTTCTTATTGTTCTGGAGTGATTGAGGTAATAGAAGGAATTACATCGTTACCGCTACCTACCGAAGACATCTACCGTTGTCCGAGGACGGCTATCCGTGACGCGCCACCAGTTCGGCTGTTGAATCTCCATGTCAGAAAGGATGACCGTGCCGACTGAGCTCCTGGCATTTCTTTGTCAGTTCAACTACTAAACACAGATGTTTGTAGAACAACCAATTGTACAATGCAAATATTGCTCTCAAGGAATGGCTAACAAATGCTGTCATTTTCCAAGTCCATGTATCCATTGGCACATGAAGTCCCGATAACGATAAGCTAGCGCAGATGTGATCAGCAGAATCCACCACATCCAAACAATCTTCCCCACATCATTTTTGGAGTCACACTGCCTTGCAAAAGAAATCTTCTTGCACGTCAAACCTCTCCAATGGATTTACATCGATGATACTGTTCCAATATGCAACATGATTTTGCAGGAATTAGCCTTGAAAAAGGGCAGACAAGTGGCTGGTCATAATGTAAGTTAAGAAAGTCATGAGCGGTGTACAGAACTGTCTAACAGAACGGTAGATACAATTTTGGGCGAAGCGCAGAAGGCGTTCTGAATATATTTTGGATAATGGGCTGAGGAGTTATGGATCTGGCAAGGTGCCCGTCAATCAATTGAGACAGGAGCTTGCGAAGGAGCATGTGAAGGATTTATCAAATCAGCAGAAAGCTAAGAAGAAGGCAAGGGCTATTGACAAGGTACTTTCTCTACGGATAACCATGAAGGATAGTTCTGACTCATTCTAGGACTTCTTTCTATCCGTACTGGGTTCATCTGCCACGAAAAGAGAAGCTCGCTCCTATATTCAACGATTTACCCCAGCCGAAGAGCCACCCTCAAGTACAAAACTCTCCCCCACGAAAGAACGATCATGTGGTGTCAACTTGGGAGGATTCTATGGGCCAGCGGCTGTTCAAGAAAGTCCACGATTCATACAGCAGCCCGAGAAGCTTCCAAAAGTCTCGCTAGGACCACAACTTCATGTTGCTTTGGTGAAGATAAGAGCTCCACAGACTTTGGATGATGAGACACTCAGTGGAATTGGAAGGACGTTAGCACAACTTGCTCGACTTGGATTGATCAGTGTGGTAGTTGTCGATTGCAATAACACAGGTTCGTTATCACGGGAAGGGGAAAGAGATACGGATTGGCGGACACTCGAGATAGAGCAGGCAAGCCGTCTTATTGCCGCAATAGACGCCAATGGGGAAACTGGTGCCAGGCTTGTTGATAATGTTATCGGCGTCACGGAGGAACCTGTCAGACCTGAATTCAAGCACACCAGCGCCTATATTACCCTCCGCAAGCTACTTATGACTCCATTAAGACGCAGTATCATTCCAGTTATTCCCTCAATTGGATATACTGATGTATCCCAAACAGCTGTGCCTGTTCTGGCCACTGATATCGTTCTAGCTCTTACCAAAGAACTGGCTGGTCTTCCAACAGAGCTCTTGCCTGACGAAGATCCCAATGTTGTTCAAGAACGTCTCAAGGCTCTTAGGAAGGAAGTTTCACTCGATCGGCTTATTGTTTTGGATCCTCTTGGGGGCATTCCATCGACGGACCGAAACAATGGCTACCATGTGTTTTTAAACATGGAGCAAGAGTTCGAGCCAGCCAAGCAGGACCTACTTAAAGGACTGTATCCTAATGGTCCCAAAAATGCTCTGCATGCTCAAGCTAGAGAGGAACAAACATCTGATCTGAGCCTCAGCCACCCGTTGTCCAAGTTCGTTGAAACCGAATTCGGTGGCTCCAAGCTGTTGGCTCATGGACCAGGGCAGGACAGCACGGAGCAGCCAAAACCTGATAACTGGTATCACCTCCAGAACCTTCAACTAGTCCGATCAGTTCTCTCGTTGCTACCACCTAGCTCTTCGGCTCTCTTGACCACGCCAGAAGAGGCAGCCAACTCCGGAAAAGATGCGCCATTTCAGGCAGCAAGAGTTGGTACTAGACGTCAGCGAAATCCTTTGATTCACAACCTACTCACAGACAAGCCTGTGTTCTCGTCATCGCTTCCTGCTGGCCGCCTCGGCCCTCAAGCTTCTACGAGCGAGGTCGTATCCCCAGCAGAAAGTATCACTCCGACAACATTTGCAAAGCATGGGATGTCAGTTACTATATTCCCAAATCCAAAATTTGGTCGCTGGAAACCACCAACACCCGGCCGGTCTCAGCTAACACTGACGGACTCACAAATTGATCTTCCTCGTCTAGTCCACCTAATCGAGGATTCCTTTGGCCGTAAACTTGACGTCAAGGAATATCTCAAGCGAGTTAATGGCCGAATCGCAGGTGTTATCATTGCAGGCGAATATGAAGGAGGTGCTCTTTTGACCTGGGAAACTCCGCCAGGTGTAAAGGATGACGGATCTCCGGAGAGTAGAGCGAGGATGGTGCCATATCTCGATAAGTTTGCAGTACTGAAGCGAGCACAAGGTAGTGGTGGAGTTGCGGATTTGATTTTCAAGGCAATGGTAAGGGATTGCTTCCCGGAAGGGTGTGTCTGGCGTTCAAGGAGAAATAACCCGGTCAACAAGTGGTACTTTGAGAGGTCTCGTGGCACATGGAAGCTACCTGATACTGGATGGACGATGTTCTGGACTACACCGGATTTGAGCTTGGACAAACAGTTGTTCCTGGATTATGAGGGCGTTTGCAAAGGAATTGAGCCTTCTTGGGCAGACAATAAGTCTGTTTTAGACTAGATAACCAAAGGCACGAGGGAAAAACAAAAAAGTGCTATGCATATGCTTGTCAGTTCGAAAAACCTGTACAGAGTCAGGTTCGATGATTTATGAGTCCCACATTTGCTTCGGAGGATTATTCAGAAAATTCTTGGTGTTGCTGGGTTGTTTCTTGCTCAGATTGAGCATCCAAGACATAAGAGCCACGTCCAGCTGTAGACTGGTAGATAAAGTCAAGAGACCAAAGCGCATCGCCTATCCTTCAAAATAGACTCATGGTTTTGTTGTGGCACAGCTCAATCTAGGTACATAGGTAGGCAAATTGTTGATCGTCGAGAAGAGCACGTGAAAGGCCATTGAGCGATTACGACGCTAGCAGGCTGCCCTTCCAGAACCTCGAGGCTCCACAAGTCGACCATCCCCAACGGCATAAACAAACAACTCTCCACCTCCTCTTCAATCACACACGCTTTTCCCTTCAAATATCAAGATGGATAAAGTATCAGCTTTCGGAAAGAACTTCACGTAAGCCCTCCCGACCTTCCAAGATCCCTGATCAAAACAGCTGGTTATCTCCCCTGACCTGGAAGCAATATGGATCTAATTATGGTACCACAGGGCTTCGTTCACACCGTTTGCCGCTCGCACACAACAATATGTGAAGGAGCAGCTTGGACAGGCTGAGGATAAGGTTAGAGACTGTTCTGCTCAACGGCGCATGGACGGCTGTTGATAACAAACTCGCAGACCCAGCTCCCTCCCGATTACATTGAGTTGGAGAAGAGAGTCGATGCTTTGAAGCAGGTTCATCAGAAGATGCTACAAGTTACGTAAGTATCATCAAGTATAATACCTGCCATGGAGCCTTTGTCTAACAATATTATTCTGGCAGTTCCCAATACTCCAACGAAGCATACGACTACCCTGCCAACATCAAGGAGAGCTTCGGTGATTTGGGACGCACAGTCAGCGAGAAAGTACACCTCCTCTCATCCGCTACTACACCTGCCGAAGCCCAAGCAGCACTTACTGCTCCGCCATCCGCAAAGCCACAGCCCAAGACCTTCAACCATGCCATCGCCCGTGCCAGTTTGGCAAGCAGCCAGCTGCTCCAGCAACAACACTCTGGTACTGGAGAGGACCCACTTGCTACCGCTCTCGAGAAGTATGCCTTGGCTAGCGAGCGTGTGGGTGAAGCCAGACTCGCCCAGGACTCGCAGATCCAGAGCCGATTCCTCGCAGGCTGGAGCACAACTCTCAATACCAACTTGATGTTTGCAACCCGGGCCAGAAAAGGAGTGGAAAACTCGAGATTGCTGCTTGATGCTGCAAAGGCCAAGTCAAAGAACCCTGGCTGGCACCTTCCGGGCGCAAATGCTAAGGCATCTGACGGAGCTGAGCACGAGGATCCTTCTGAGGAGGCCAGAGTTGAGATTGAGCAAGCCGAGGATGAATTTGTCGGCCAGACGGAGGAAGCTGTTGGCGTCATGAAGAATGTGTGTATCTCCTGGCATTCAGCAACACACAGATCTAACATACACAGGTACTTGATACCCCCGAGCCACTCCGAAACCTTGCCGACCTTATTGCCGCCCAACTCGAATTTCACAAGAAGGCATATGAGATTCTAAGCGAACTTGCACCGGTTGTCGATGGCCTCCAAGTTGAGCAAGAAGTACGTCGTTCAGGAGATTTCACCGCATAAGATGGTTGCTGATGAAGCGATTGTGCAGGCCAGCTACCGAAAGAGTCGTGAAGCCTAGATCAAGCTCTGACTGAGCCAAGTAGGAGATACAAGATTCGTTTTCGTCGACGAGGAGTGGTGATTTGTTCTGACATTGGAGAGCAGAGGGGCTTGCGAGCCGAATATCTTTGTTGCGCCTTTCCCAAACTGTTTGTTTTATGGGCGTCCTTTTCTCACGGTATTCGAGTAATCGAACAGATATTCCCACAGTCCCCAATGGCAGTATGTTTTGATAGCTTTCACAGGGCTCAACGTGACAGCTCCCAAGAACCTCGCAGTGACAAGTGGAGATTCCCTAACAAAAAGTAAGGGTTTCCCTAACCTCAACCTGCTCCGCAGCGGGTAAAAGCAAACCTAACCCAAAGAAACTGCCCACAAGATCCAGCCATCCAGCCAGGAATCTCCGTGCGGGTTCAGCGTTCCACTGAAAATCTAGCCAAGCTAGCAGGCTTATCTGGCATTTTAGTGGAAGCTTAGCAGCAGCCTCTGTCATTCTGCATGCAAGCCCCGCAAAAGCTTCTTGCCCGCCACAAATCAGACGGCGATGGAGGGGCATTCTGGAAGGCTAGGAAAAACGGATCAGCTTCGATCCTTCCTAGTCTGTGGGTTGCATTCAAGCAACTACAATTGACTTCCGAAGGGTCCCCTACTTTCTCTTTCTTGTTTACTATTTTCGATGGCGCGATTGATCGATTGAGACATTTTACATCTTTGGAAAAACAATGCACTGAGAAATATATATCAGAGGTTTACATCGTCATCACCACTTTTATTAGCTAAGATGGCTTCAGCAGCTCCAGCTTTGGATCTCTCGTCTGCACCTGCGGAAGATCCTCCAAAATCTACTGGGGGCCCAAAAGAGTCTATCTCGGATCACCCCATAGCACCAGATCAATTCGATCCAAAGTGGGAGACTGATAAATACGAGATCTGGAGTTATTATGCCTATTACATTGGTAACAATGGCTTGACGCTGTTCAACTTTGCTCCAACGGCATTTCAGAATTTGCTGTACCAGGCTGCTGGGGATGGAACATCTTTGAGATTTGCTGGGAGGTCAGTTAATTAATTCTGTAGTATCTGAAAGTGATGAACTAACTAGAACTAGAGAACGTACGATCAACAGCATCGTGCTCCTGTCCAATGGCATCAGTTTTGCAATCCAGATCGTTGTATTTCTGTTCTTGGGCAGCTTTGCTGGTAATTCGTGATAGGGTGTACAGTCCTTACATTGGCTGGTAGCTAACACGGCCAGATTTCGGGACTTGGAGACCTAATATCTTGATTGGGCTTTCTCTGGTGGCTTGGGGAGTCGGTTTTGGATGGCTCGGGGTTCACACACCTGAGAAGTGGCAGATAGCCGCTGGCATGTATATCGTTGGACGTAAGTTATAAACATCCTGACGTGAAAGAGAAATTTGTTCACAGAAATTTAGTCATTGCATACCAAACCACACTCACTTTCTGGACTGCTGCGTAAGTACCATCGAAATTTGATTTCTATGTCGTTGCTCATAATTGTAGCTTTCCTGGGCTTGCACGAAATACGCCACAACTACGCGAGAAAGCAGAGCAATATCAAGCAGGAGAGATTACTCGTGAAGATTATGACTACGCAGACACTCTCAAACGCTCTGAGTTGTCAAATATGGCCTTTTACATTCAGTCCCTTGGCGAAGTGGTCATTCTAGCTATCATTGTCGGCATCATGTTTGGACTAAACGTCAACAAATCAACCGAAAACAACAACTGGGGTCTTTCCGTGCTTATTGCTTTTGCCAGTGGTGTTTGGCTTCTTCTTGCTATTCCATGGTTTATCAAGGAGAAACGAAGGGCTGGGCAAGAAGTTCGTACCCACTCAAGCGACTGGGCTTCTTCCGCTAACGTGACCAGGTTCCTCCCGGAATGAACATCATCACTGTCGGTCTTTGGCAGCTGTACCGTGCACTTCGCCAAATCTGGCATCTTAAGCAGTCACTTATTTATCTTATCGGGTACTTTCTTCTCGGCGACTCCTTGAACACAACTGTAACAGTGATCGGCACACTCCAGAACAGCATTGTGGCTTACAACACTCTGGAACTCACTTACGTCCTGATAGTTGGTATCACAGCACAGGCCATCGGCATCTACACTTTCTGGTGGGCACAACAAAAGTGGAGATTGAGCACTAAGACAATGTTCAATATCGTTGCTTTCAATATCATCATCTTGGATTGTTGGGGAATGATTGGGATTTGGACACAAAAGTTTGGCTTCCATCACTTATGGGAAGTCTGGGCCTACCAAGCCTTCTATGGACTCTTCGTCTGTCCTTGGTACTCATACTCTCAAATCATGATCAGTGAAGTCACGCCTCGTGGCCGGGAGTTCCTCTTCTTCAGCTTGTTCAGCATTATCGGCAAGACGAGCAGTTTCATTGGCCCTCTGGTCAGCTCAGCCATTATCGACGCTACACCGAGCGGGAACAACAGTACCCCATTTTACTTCTTGACGGCATTGAGCGCTGTTAGCTTTTTGGTGCTGGTGTTTTTTGTGGATTTGGAGAAGAGTCGGAAGGAGCAGGAAGAGTTCTTGGAGACTGAGGAGGCGGCTAAGCGTGCGTTGGTTGGTGAGGAGATTAGTAGGGAGGATATTCACGGTGGTTTTGACTCCAGACCGGGCAAGAAGTCGTCGGATGTGTGAGAAGTGTGTCTGGGGAGAAGTGTTGAAGGAGTGGCATAGTAATTTCTCTGGTTCAGGGACCAGTGTTCGACGAACAACTTATTTTTTGTTCCAGCATGGTCATATGTTGCGAAGCACTTCACAATATTGTTTTTGGTGGAGTACATACCAAGCAAGTGAATCTCACTTCCCATATCAGGAAAAGGATATCTTGAACCGAATATGTACAGGACTTTGTTTGGCTCTCTGCATTGTGGATATCTCGTCCCTCAGTGTCTAGTATCTTTCTTCAAGTTCCAGCTTATTACCGTAATATACAATCACTGCCTCCATACAGCAGTCTTTACTTTCCTATCCCAAGACCTCAAAGCCTCATCTCTAATTAGAGGCCCCTTTTCATCCTCCCTCGGCAATCTCCAAACAGTAAACCCAAATCCACTCTGCTTCAAACTCGTGACCATCGGTCCCAACGTCATCCTCCTAACAACAATACCCTGATCCTCCAGCTCAGCGATTGCCAACTCGGCGAACCGAGCGAGCACTTCATCGGAGGTACTCCCGGAACTGTTGACCAAGAGAATAGCTTCATCTTTCTCGCTTTTCGAGAATGGGATGAATGCTCGGTCCGCGTCAGAGGTGTCGGTGACGAGATTAATCATTGCTTTTGTGAGTGCCTCCGGGCTTGGGATGGGGGAAATTTGACGAAGTCCTGGCTCGCCGTGGCAGCCGAGGCCAAGCTCGATGGTATCTGGAGGGATGATCTGGATTTCAGTTATAATGTTGTTTGGAAGTGCAACTCTGTAATAAATCATTAGTCAAGGATTTTCTTTCTCAAAAATGAGGAGGACCAACCGATCGAAAGCCACAGCAATAGTCCCGGAATTCGCAGCAATATACTCCATCACATCACCGACTCTCTCCAAGCTCTCTCCTTGATCAGCCAGGGCACAAGCTATCTTCAGACCAACAACATGGCCGCTCAATCCTCGTCTCCCAACTTTGCCGCCTTTCTTTCTACCGACGGCTACATCGTCACCAACTGGAATGAATCTGACTTTATATCCAGCGGCTGTGGCGCGAGTAATTGCTAAACCTGCATTGAGAATGTCGCCAGTATAGTTCCCACAGACGATCAAGATCCCTTTCGAGGGACCATCTGTCGGCTGACAGAGTTTGATAGCTTCGAATATCTGAGCTGCTGTGGGTGAGGCGAAGATGTTTCCGGATACTGAACAAGAGAGAAAGGAAGGGCCGACGAAACCTGAAAACATAGGCTCGCTAGAGATGAGTTAGTCAATTGGGTTCAAGATACTCGTACTGGTTAGATGTAAATATGAAGAGCGTTGTTACTCACTGTCCCCCTCCTGCAAACCCAATAGTCGTTACATGGTCTTTCCGGAAAGTATCAAGATCACTTCGATACACTATCTTGTGCGCAAGTGCATAAGAAAGATTGGGATTATGCTCTGTCAGGCCAATTGCAGCCTCATTGATCGCATCTGCAGGATCGTTAATAAAGTGGAAGGTTTCTTTTGTGGGTTGTTTTGTTTGAGTTTCTGTTGCCATTATTGTGGAATGCGGGGTTGCGGGGTAGAAGTTCGTCTGATGTTTGGAGAGTAGATGAAGACTCAATGATATATATTTTCTGCAATTAGGACAGCATGTAAAGGTGGTTAAAGAAAACGTAGAACTACTGCTTGTATTCAAAATGGCATTCCGTTGAAGGCGAATCTTTTCGTACAGCCTAGACTCGTAAAGTATGGCAATGGTTCTTCAGGAGGGAGCTCACCCCGCAGTTCGGATTGCCGGTTTGGGCATTCCGTTGACGATCAAGTGGAGAAGCTCTGGTCATTTTATGACCGAAGCACAAGACCTTTTGTGATCATGGTTGTATATTGTATCTTTTTATTTTCTGTCGCTTCTCAGAGCCAAATCCTGTATCATATCTTCAACCATGTCTCTTATCGTCGAGCAAACTATTCCATACAGCCCCTCGCAACTCAAACTTGATGATCCTAAACGATGGAGTCGCCTGTTTCCTCTCATGCGACCTTCCACCAAAGTTGTTGAGACAGCTAGTGGACAAGCTGTTGTCATTGATACTGCTCTTGCCAAAAGTCGAGATGTCTTGATTGCTGCTGTTGGAAATCTTGGTAACCTCTCGAGTAAGATCTTGAACGAGTCTCATCTGGCGGCTTTCACAGTAGAGCTGAGCGAAAAAGCTGTATCGACACAAGAATTGGTAAAGGTTTTGAAAGATAGCGGATTCCCGGTGGAGAATGGAGTCCTTGTGATTAGGACTGGAACGAAGCAGGACTTGAAATCTGCTTCGGGGGTTGCAGAACATATTGTTGAAGGAGAACTGAAATTCGATCATGCTTTGTCTTTGCTGCTCGCTGCCAAACCTGAAGTGAAGTAAGTGTATTCCAAAGCTGCGAATTATTCGAGCGAAACTGACTGTATCCAGAGCGTCTTTTGAGGAAACGCAAGAACTTCTGGGACTTTTTGTCAAGGCGACTGCAAAAAGTACATCCAAGTTCCATGAGCAGAAGACCGGAGACGCACCTTCTGTTACCCATGGAGATGGCGTGGTAGCTTTCAAATCGGCCAAGTCATCAATCGACAAAGATTTGAGTGCTCTTCTTGCATCCACTACTTCAACTGGGACCGGAAATGTGTACTCAGTTCACTATTCTGATATCAACGGGCTTTCTCGTTTAGAAAACAATATTCTGGCTCACGAGATCTCGAAATTTCTGGGTATGCTAAGAAGAAATCATGGAAAAGGACTGTGCTAACAGACAATAGCGAACAAGAAAATAGAATATTATATTACCCAGTCCACAATTGTCAACAAGCAGTCACCAGCTAGAGGATGGTCTATATCACTCTGCGCGGTTCCATCCAAATTTCTGGCGCCACAAGTCAAAGCAACAAATGCTTTGGCCAATAGCAGTGGTTCTGCATTGACAAAGCCAAGGGAATTTACATCCAAGCTCACATTCTCGGACCCTCAAGTACGCAAAGTTATCACTGCAGGATGCGAGCGTGTCATCAAAGAAGAACCGACAATCACAGAGTACGACACAATCGTCGGCGATGGAGATTGTGGATACACGTTGCGAGACGGCGCAAAGCAGGTATTGTCATATATCAGCAAAGCAGATCTCTCCAAACTGCCATCGACTCTGAGCGATCTCGTCGACGATCTTGAAGTCAACATGGGCGGCACATCTGGTGCCCTGTACTGCATTTTCCTCTCATCACTAGCTCAAAGCCTTCAAGAATCGTCAAACTTTGCCGAAGCATTAGATGGTGCTCTCCAGTCTCTTCTGAAATATACGCGAGCGAGATTGGGAGACAGGACGTGTCTGGATTGTCTTATTCCATTTGTGGAGACATTGACGAAGACTGGTGATTCGAAGAAGGCTTTGGTAGATGCGGAGAAAGGAGTGGATATTACGAAGAACTTGGAGGCTAAGCTGGGGAGGTCGAGCTATCTGGATGAGTCTACTACTAGGGGAGTGCCTGATCCTGGTGCGTATGGGCTTCTGATGTTGTTGGAGGGAATGGTTGGTGCGCTGTAAGTTGAGTTCCTGGAACCTAGTCGATGCAATATTTTTGTAATGCCGACTTCTTGGGCTGAAGACATCTCGTCATCCAAAGACTGGAGCCGAATACTGAATAGTGTACATGGATTAAAGGTAGTCGTAATAAACTTCTTTCTCAAGTACAAAAGATTGGCCCAGCTGTTTGCCTTTGCTAAATAGGTAGCTAGCACGGGAAAATTGAATGGTAGGAAGAGAGGGAAATAAATCCTGGAAAGAGGGGGCTAGTAGCGAAAAGAGTCTCGAAGAGAAAAAAAAAACAGACGAACAAGGTACCTCCGATCAGATAACTCTCGAACAAAGAAGCTGGGCCGACTGAGAAGAAGAGCATCTGCAAAAGGGGGGGTTGGAGCGGGGCAGGGGCAGGCTAGCGAAGCCCCTAATCGTTAAGCGAAGCGAGCCCACACTTCAGTAGATAGTTTTTGTAGCTAATATAAACTCAAATAAGCAGAATTTCGTCATCAAACAACAATAACTTGTCGTTTAAAGTCACCCAAAACCGATCGCTTAGCTCAGTTGGTTAGAGCGTGGTGCTAATAACGCCAAGGTCGCGAGTTCGACCCTCGTAGTGATCACACAAATCAATTTCCCTTTTGTATTTTGTGGCTTTTGTCTTGGTAGGACCCAAATCTTTTTGCGGCAAAACTTTTCCAAGCAGAATAGCTTTACCCCTCTCAGTGACTAGGCGAGATCAAGGACATAGCAGGCAAGACGGTCATGAAGAGAAATAGAGAATAGAGAACTGGATCATTCTGGCTCATCTTCTACCTGTCCTCATCTAAAGGCTTAATTATTTCACATGACATCACTACTTACAATAGCAGTGCTTTATTTCGTGACGCAAGTGATGATCAAGCCAGCCTCCGTTGTGGAAGCTCAACTTTAGAGTCAGTAATGTTTTTCAAGTGAGACGCTGAAGCTCATCCAGTGACTGTCCCCGCAGAACCCCCCTGAAAGAAGCTCGCTTAGAGGAGCTTCTGTATTTCTATTACTCAACAAGTGTACCTTCCCACACGTTGCCTCTAAAAAGTTTCACGAAATGGACATTTGTTCTAACATGTGCGTTAAAAAGGGCACTGAATCCTTATAAGCCTTAATTGTATATGAGCTGGCAAATATTACATTAATTCCAGACGCGACGCCTTTCAAAAAAGAGTGGGGTACAAGGGCGTCGTGATGACACAATCTATCAGATCAGCGAGCGGAAGTGAGAGGCCATTGACTCATACTTCAGAAGAATAAAAGGTCGAAAACATACTTACCAATCTCAATTGAAGCAAGTGAACTGCCCAAACCAGACTCCGACCTCTTCCGCCAATTCGACGTCGCACACCTCTCGGACCCATCGCCTCATGAGGAAGCCTTGCAGAATAACCTCAGCGTCTTCAATCCAACTCAGATTCCATTTGCAAGTCACAATGACATCTACTGTGACTGCTCTCAAGAGCCGAACATGGACTCGAGATGATTATCTCATAACGACCAACTCATCACTCATCTCTGTCTCCGACGTCAACGCCGCATTCGCAACCAAAGAGATGTACTGGGCAACTCCCCTTCCCGGAGAAGTCATTCGTGCCTTCCTAGCCAACAATCTCTCTTTCGGCGTCTATTCCCTCCCATCTGCTTCCACCACTGAAGAAACCTCAAATGGGACGAATATGACCTCCCTCCCTCCAAACGCAACATTCATCGGATTCGGCCGCCTCATGACGGACTTCGTAACCATGGCATATCTCACAGATGTGTTTATCCAGCCTGCACATCAAGGAAAGGGACTCGGTCGCTGGATGCTGTCGTGTATTCAAGAGAGTCTGGAGTCGATGCCGTATCTGAGGGGTAGTATGTTGTACACTGGTGATTGGAAGAGGAGCGTTCCACTGTATGAGGAGATGCTGGGGATGAGTGTGCTTGAGGGTAAGAGGGGTGAAGATGGCGGAGGGGAAGGTTTGGCTAGTATGTTGAAGACGTGGAAGGGCAGCCCGCTGCATGAAGATAATGGAGGCGAGATTCCGAATGACCATTGAGGAGGTGGCTTGGTCGGAGGCTCGCTGTTCTCGAGGATATCAAGGTTCCAAAATGCACTCATTTTCGGTAAGGAGCAAGGCAAACGACGGAAGGCCCCCATTTTCTACTATTACATACTGTACACTATCATACACGATTAAGATATTCGCAGATTCAGTTCCCTGTCTCGATCCCAAGTTTACAACGGCCGATTGGAGAGCCGATCAGGACTCGTACCCATCGGACTCAATTCCAATCCTCCTTGAGAATGCCTTCGTGCCCAGAGTATGGGACTTCTTCTGAGCCTTACTCATCTTGTTGATATCATAATGCGTTCCTCCGGGATGACTTCCACTCTTCTGAAAGACATCATACTATTCAAGTAGTCAGCAGACTGCCCCAACTCCGCATCATCAACAAAACAAACTTACCTCAAGCTTCCAATCCCACCCGTACCACATCTTGCACTCATTCTCCAAGTCATCTTCCAGCTTCCAATCCTTTTTCTCGGCAAAATGCTTATACCCATTCCCACCATCCTCTTTACTTGCATATTTACTCTTCGTCTGCTTCTTCTTGTACTCATCTCTCCATTTCTTGATATCCTTCTTGTCAACCTTGACCTGCTTCCTCACAACATCATCAAGCTTGATACCCGCCTCATCACACAGTCGCACAACTTCAGGAGCCCAATCACAGTCCAAATCAACAGCGTCGCATTCCACGAACTGGAGAAGAATCAATGAGATGATACCGATATTATTGACTTCCGAGTCGGGTTTGAACAAGTCATGCTCTTGGAGGGCTTCGAAGGCAGTGAGGATCATGGTTCCGAAGAGCTGGGCAATCTCTCTTGTGCGGTCACCATCCTCGTTGTCTGATTGAATGTTAGAACTCTGCGGGACGATATTGATGGGGAACGTACTGATGAAGTATACCAATTCCATCTGGGCACCAAAGAGGAACACCGCTAGTCCTTCAATGTACGCCCACTTCTGGAACGGACTTGCTGTCTTCTTGAGAATATCCTTGTTGAAATCTTTCAACTAGCACATCATTAGCTTCTAACAACTGACCAAGTGAATACCATTTAGGAAGCACGAACATAATTCTCCAACAGCTCGCACATGCCCCATCCATTCCAGTCATTGTAGATATGCATGTCATGTCTATCTTGATCCCTCTTCGAATACTCCTTGTCCAGTTTCTCGCACTGCTTCATTCCATCTTCTGTGACGGGAATGCCGAGGTCAGATACCCGGTAGCAAAACTCGTCTAGAAGTTGCCCATCCTCGGGCATATCTTGGTCCTCGTCGTCGAGGAAATCGCCGATATTCGGCCATTGGAGGTTCGCCCATTCGGGTTTCTTGGAGAGCTGGAAGACAATCAATCATTAAGTCTCAAATGATTGGGCTTGTGGGCAACTGGAAGATGGGCGAACGTACGGTATTTGCATTGCTGTACTTTACATCCTGTGCCTTCGGTTTACTCGCATCCTTTGTGGCAGAAGCTTTCTCTTTCGGTGACTCAGTAGCTTTTGAGCTTGGTTTAACCCCTGCTTTCGCGTTAGAAGTTTTCGAAGTATCAGATTTCGCTGTGGTCTTTGCAGCCTTTGCATTGCGAGGTTTGGTGGCAGCATCCTTGTTGGAGCTGGATTCCGCGAGTGCTTTGCGCTTTGGTGATTTTGTGAATGATAATTGTCCAATTAATCACTAGAACTGTAGTTTATGTAATTGCGGGAAGGAAAGAATGGGATGTAGAATAATGCAGTCCGTTGTTAAGTACCTTGAAGCTGTTTTGATCAGCGTGGTATGACGAGTGTTTACCTTGCGTCATAGGGCATTATTTACGCGTTGGCGAGACAGGGATCAAAAGCGCGTTCTTGTGGCTCGCCCGAGCTCGCTTCCCCAGATTTTGACCTTGGCGTCTCATGTGGCTGATCTCAATCTCGATGATGAATAGAGTATTGAGATATTAGTTGACTCGGCTCTCTTGCAGTGATTGCGATCTTGTTACTATGTACAAAGGCCAGATATACTATTTCTCACCATGCTAACTGTTCTTCAATCACCATCTATCTCACTTTATACTTTTCCAAGAATCCACAGCTCACCCTCAGCAGTCGCATCACTCGTGACATACATCCGTTCAGAAGCATCGAAAGCAATACCAACAGGTCTGAAGCAAGAAGTGGCACCACAAGAAGTCATATCAGCATTGGACCAAATATCAACGTACCCAGTCGCACTATTCGACGGAGCAGTAGGTTTGTACGAGCCATCATCAGCTCGTGTGAATGGCACAGCAACAACTTTGTACCCGGTAGTCGGCGAACGATTCCAAGAGCCATGGAGAGCTATATATAGGTTCTCGAAAGAGAAATCAAATTTCGCGTCCAGAGGTGCAGAGTGGGCTTGGAAGGCAAGACGTGCAGGCTCGGATTTTGTCTTGCAGGTTTCGTCGCTGAAGGTTTCATTGGGTGCTAGAACGAATTGATCACCAATTGCAAAAGCTTTGTCGGTGAAATCGCTTGGTTTCCATACAGTGTAGCATGTAGGATACCCATACCATTTCGTGTTTGGTACCGAGACGTCGCCAAGGTAATTCAGTTCATCAGCGGGGTTGTCTTGGTGGATATCAAGTGCAGAGTCGTTAACCGTCCGTCGGATATCATCTGCTCCATTTTCAACTCCCCACAACCTAGGATCGAGTTAGACAGTATCAAACATCAGAGTTTGAGAAGACATACATGTTGTTTCCATCAAATGCAAGCCCAACTTCATTCCGAAGTCCGTACCCAGCCTGATAGCCATCTGTAACAAACTTGTATCCCGTTGCCGGAATAGCACTCATGTCGAAAACTTTGATAACCGCACGTTGAGTTTTCATATCTCCTGAAGGATAATCAAAGTTGTCACCTGAACCATGACTGACAATAAGCAGATTAGGATGATGTGGCGGGATTATGAGAGTGCGTGATGGATGTCCGGAATTTGACATCCCTGAAATTACAACCTTAGATGCCCCAACCACTGCCATAGCCCTCGGATCGTACGTCCAACTCCAAACACTTGTCATTGAGCTCGCGTACAGCGTGGTCCCATTTCTATCTAACGCAATTCCGTGGCTGAGACTTCGTTGAGGGATGATTGTTTTGCTGGAGGTGATACAACCATCAGTACCAAGGGTATGTGCGATGATTCCCTTACCACTTTCGACGACGAGAAGATTTCCCACACTATCGAAAATGAGGCCTCGTGCTGCTCCCATACCGCCTTTGACCTTTGTAGCTCTCCATCCGCTAGTAATTACTCCTGCATATTTGGCATTGGCAACTCCTGGGCAAGATGTTGGAATGGGCACAACTGAGTGTGTAGATACAAGCCTAGTCGAGCTCACTGAGTTCGTGGGAGATAGTGACGAGGTTACTAGTGAGGTCGAAGTTGGGCCCCCAGTGGTGCTGGGTGTGGTCGAAGAGTCTGATGACAGCAAATTTGCTTTCACCCATGCATCAAAGAATGGACTTCGTGCTGCCTTGATGTCATGCTCCCATTTATTAAAGCTATCGTGAAAGTTGAACGATGTTGCATTATCTGTTGAGTCCACAACAGGCATCTTCGCCTGGGCACAGGCAACGTTCGATGTGCCAGTGTAATTGATTGATGCAATAGATTCGTCGTTGCTAGGCCAAGCGGTGCAGCCTCGACAAAGAGTAGTCAGAGTCCAGTGAGTAGCATTTGTGCCTGTTCCACGCAAATAGAAATATTCTGCGCCATCATATGTTCCTGGTTGACTCAAGCCACTGCACTTGTTAGTGATGAACACTTTTTGGGAAGAGTTTTCAGCTTACTATGCAAATCTTGAAGAGACCACCGCGCCAGTGCCATTTGCCCAGCCCATTGTTAAGGGATTCCATACCATGGTACCTCCCCACGCAAACGCCGCCCAGCCGAACTCAATTGGAGCGACGATTTGGATGATGGCATCAGATGGTGCCGCTGCCACATCAGGAAGTGCAACCCGGTACGAGATTCCCCACTCGTTTGTGTACGAAGAGTAACATATTGTTGTGAAAGAATCGCAATATGGAGTGCTCACACTTTGACCATATACTGCCCTGAATCAGCGCAAAAACTACGTAAGTTGAGAATCTTATACCTGATCCCATGAAATACACAACTCCAGCAACGTAGCGAAATAACCTCATGGCAACTGTCTTGAAGAGCTCGTTGAAGCTCAGAAAATGTTAAGAGGTACCATGCTTCCCTTTTCACGGGTCACTGCTAGACATTATGAAATGTATTAACGATAGCGTCATGCTAATATAAACAGCTTTGCCGATACCAAACGGAATCAAGGAGAGATTCTGCATGGGTATTTAGGAAGATATCAAACTGATAATGTCGTGTTATGCAATATCCGATAGTGGCCTGGCTCTGACACAATTTCCGGCTGGAACTCGAAAGCTTCTACCGCTGGGCAGAAGATCGGCACAAAGATAATTTCGTCAAACAACGACAGGTAGAGATATCAACTTGCTTGAAATGTACCTGGAGCCAACCTTTTTATCTTTTCACACAATTCATTTGTCATCGTGGCTTCACGACAACATGTTCGGCCAGCAAAACGATATGCCATTGAACAGTTAAGACAGTCAGATGAACTTGCTCTAGGATGGATAAATAAATTTTCGATAGTGAACAAGAAAAAAATGTGGGAACAGACATCTGACGAGGTGAAACGAGGCTTCTCGGGCTGAGCAGCCGCGACATTAGCTTAAATGCAGAATACCGACAGAGCGGCTCCATTCGGGATGAAACGAAAATCTGGGATCGATGTGTAAAAGCCACCCATGGACAGATTTGAAACTGAGTTTAGCCAACAGTCCGAAATATGTTGAATTGGCGAAGGGCAAGGGTACGTCGCGTAGATCGGATAAAGAAGAAATCTCGTAGGTATTAAGATGTGTGGATAAATATCTTGTTCGACTCATGGCACCTACTCGTTGCCAGACTCACTGCCAGTTCGGAACGTCGACCGTCCTCAGTCCACGCCAGAACTTGGTTAGAGGATATACGTTCAGAGAGATGATGCTTCGCAAACGGTCATTTTGTCGATCTCGTCGGATTGATATTCATCATGACAACCTTCATGAGAACTATCATGTGCTCTTGAGATGTTTATTTGAACTGGATTAACGAGAAGAGCTATCCCTGAATCGTGACATTCAATACCAAATAAAGAGGTTGCCTGGTGGCAGGCATCGGATAATGCTGTATCTCGAGATCGTCTCGAGATCGTCTCGACTAAAGAATAGATTGTCTGCCATGAGAAAGAGGCTGTCTTAGGCAGAGCGAGTTGAGAGTGGAGGTCGAACTAGGCAGATTGCTACCTCATGAGTTCAACGGAATACTGTAACTCGCTCAGGGATGATGTGGAGAGGAGGAATCTCGGTACAGCTGCCGGAGACATGTCAATAATGGTACTAAGCCCGAAGAGGCAAGCTCAGGTACCACTACCGCTACTGGTACTCGTGGCATCTTCCTCAGCCTCGCGAGCCGATCAAGCCTCGTCATCATGAAAGTGGAACCAAATATGAACATTTAATCGCCAGCCGACATTTCTTGTCTCCCTTCACATTCACTCTTTTACATATTTATACCGGTTACCAGAATGGTGATACGGAATACTCCAATGGCCACTTCAACGGCATCCGCACTCTCCTTCACTGAATCCCTCAGCCTCCTCTCCCTGACACTCGCCTGCGTGGGCATTATCTCGAACACCTTTCGCGGCGATGGCGAACCTCTCATCGCATCACTGGCGTTCAGCGGAATTGCGTTCGCGGCGTCGTATTCGATGATAAGATGGCTTGGGCCGACATTCATGAAGGCAGGCTTGAAGGGGAAGGACATGTCGAAGGTTCATAAGAAGGAGATTCCTGAGACAATGGGCGCGGTATGCGCAGTTGTTTATCTGATGATGATCATTGTTTTCATACCGTTTCCGTTCTACAAGGATATTGTGGCAGCTACATCGGGAGGTGGAAATCGAGATGTAGTTCTGGAGATGGAGAATGTGCAGACTGGGAGGTTCTTGCATAGATTCCCACATAGCAAGGTACGGACATTCCTGTATTTGTTCAATATTCTTTGTTTGCATACTGAGGATTGTCCTACTTCTCACAATTATAAACTCCAACTGTCATGGATCAGTGTTCATCAAATTGGTTCCATTCTCCCATCCAGTTGAAATTAAACCACAGTCTCCTCTGTTGTATCTACCTTTTTATGTATTGCATATTTCTTGTACTGTGACATTTGGCGATTGAATGTCCAAAACTCGTTTATATGTCAGAAATACCAGAGCTATTCTCCAAACGTAGCAAGTGGCGGTCTTGTTTCCCTTGCTGTTATTTCAGATACTCTGTCAGACCAGTTGAGAAATCTTAGTTTAATGGAATGTCCTATATGTTTTTGCCTACCTTTTCAGATTGTCACCTTCCACTCTCAAATTAACGACTCCTAGTTAGCATCCTACCTCTCAGCAATCCTCTCCCTCCAATCCGTCTGCATCCTAGGCGTCGGCGACGACCTCTTTGACATCCGCTGGCGCCACAAATTCTTCATCCCCGGAATCGCCAGCATCCCCCTCCTAATCGTCTACTTCGTCGACTTCGGCGTCACACAGATCGTGATCCCAATCCCGCTCCGGCCCTACCTAGGCGGGCTCTTCGACCTCGGCTTCCTCTACTACGTCTACATGGCGGCCGTCGCCATCTTCTGCCCCAACAGCATCAACATCCTCGCCGGCATCAACGGTATCGAAGTCTCCCAATCCCTCGTAATCGCCTTCCTCCTCGTCATCAACGACGCCTTCTACCTCATCGGACCATTCCCCCCTCTCCACCCAGCAACGGACTCCCATCTCTTCTCGCTGTACATGCTCCTCCCCTTCATCGGCGTGTCCCTCGCGCTGCTCTGCCACAACTGGTACCCCGCCAAGGTCTTTGTCGGAGACACATACTGCTACTTCGCTGGCATGGTTTTCGCCGTTGTGGGAATCTGTGGTCATTTCTCGAAGACGCTACTCTTGCTATTCATTCCCCAGATCTTCAACTTCGTATACTCCGCGCCTCAGCTCTTCCGCTTGATTCCCTGCCCGCGTCACCGTCTCCCGCGCTTCAATGCCCGAACGGGACTCATGGAAGCGTCTGTGACGGAGTATACGTACCCGCCAAAGAAACACGTGGCGCTCATCCTTACGGTACTGCATAAACTGAGGTTATCGAGAGTGCAGTGGAATGAAGAAGGTGTGATAGTGACAAGTACTAATTTCACGATTTTGAATCTGTGGTTGGTGTGGTGGGGTGCTAAGAGAGAAGATAGACTTGCGTTGGAAATTCTGGCGATGCAGACTGCTGTGGGATTGTTCGGGTTATTCGTGAGGCATAATTTCGCGCTGTTGATTTTCGAGTCGGATAATCTGGGTCGGAAGTGATGAGTGTGGGTGGACAGCTGGGCAGTTTGTGTGTTGTGAAGAGAATCGTGATAAATAGGAAAGGAAATCCAGGTATCGTCCTGTTCAAGAGTTGGACAAGGTAAGAGAGAGGGAAATGTACAGATATCCAAGCCTCAAAGAAGGATGGATGACTGGATTCGTAGTCCATCAACTTATGGAGAGATAGATGGAGATGTACACTACACCACAGACATATCAAACTACCTCAACGTAGATTAAATCCAAAAGACCAAAAGCCACTTATCCATCCATCCTAGGCAGCTGGTTTAATCTCCTCTGCCCAAGTACCTACCTACCTACCAACCTACCTACCTACCCATACCGCCTGAAGCACCCATCGTATTAGAAATAAACCCCACTCTCACAGCACCACAGCACCACCTTGCCTGTACCTGTACCTCTACCCATCCTCAGACGACCCACCCAAAACTCAGTCCAAAGTTCAACAGAACGACTAAAAAAAAGAGAGAGAGAGGGAGTAGCGACGTCTGGAAATTACTTCAATTAATAAATGCCAAGTTCAAGATCCAGATATCGTGACGACAAAAGGTCTTACTCGTGACATCTACCTACCGTGTGACTCGACAATGTCGACTCGACATTGGGTGTGTGAGGTGGATACACTCACAAGGCACCCATCGGGACGTACCTACATCACGCGAGGTCGGGGTGGCTCATGACTTACTTACTTGACAAAGAGAGTCATGAGTAATCACCCCCTTCTCTCTACTTCGCACTTACTTACTTGACTTCCCTCTCATTTCTCCCTCTTCTACAAACCATTCATTCCGCATTTCCTCTCACACACATCATATTTGAGAAGTTACTAGTTCGTTTATTTACTTTGATTTGAATTTGGATTTGATTTGATTCTTTTTTTGCCGTTGAGGCTTCTTCATCAGCTACTGGTACAAACAAAGGGGTATCTGCCCTATCTCCCCTCCCCTGATCTCTCTGTGTGTGGGTCTTCTTCCCCTTGCTCTCTCATCATCATCTCATCTCATCTCAGATATCGTATCCCATCTCCATGCATCCCATGCCTTGGTTCCACGAGAGCAAGCCCAACCCCAACCCACCACATCAATGGTGGTGCTATCCAGTAGAGGATCAAACACACGAACGACCAAAGGTCAGTCCAGACCCATCTCATCTCACCTGATCCGTCAATCAAGCAGCAAAGTGAAAAGAAGGCCTCCCTAATACGCCAACCAACCAGCTAGCCCACCAGACCAGCCAGTCTAGTCCAGAGACTATCCCAAGCCCCGTTTTGACCCCATGGTAGAAGTAGCCATGCCGTGCCATCCCAGACCCGAAAAAAACGCTCAAAATCCCATAAACAAGAAAAGGGACCACTAAAAAGCATCTGAAAGAAAAGAAAAGAAGATTCTCAATGAGAGGTAACGACGACCAGCAATATAAATGCTGTGACGAAATCTATGTATGTTACAACGCGCCATTAGACTTTTCCGACGGCGAGGTATTCGGTTGAGGCTCCGAAGTTGGCCCAGCTACCGCTAGAGGGTTCACCGTCTTCTCTATCGCCGCTGGCGACTCGACAATTGTGGAGCCCTCTAGACCGCCTTGCGCTTTCACCTCCTCGATTGTCGATAAAGAGGGCTTGAGAGCCGCTGGGGTGAGAATTGGACTACTTCCTTGTGCAGACTTTACTACACTGGACGTGTCTGTTTTCTTCCTCCTGGCCGCGTAATCGCTCAAGCTGAGTTTCTTTGTCGCCTTGACTGGACTTGGAGTAATACCGTTGACAACAGTAGCACCAAGAGGTGGAAACTGCCCAGTCCCGAAAGGAGATTGTGCAGCAGATGAAGCAGAGGATGGAGTCGCGGTACCAGTTCCAGAGAGTGGTGCCGACATATTAGGAGTGGAGAAGACGGGGGCGGGTGGCATTTGAACTCTCAGGTCGGGGGACTTGTGCCCTAGCACAGGATTGGCGCCAGCATTATTGGATTGACTGGGCCAAGGTGGTGGGGGAGGTTTAATGGTGGTGGCAGACGTAGCGGCCGGCGCATCGGTCATGGCTACATCTACTGAGCCCGGCGCATCAACTGAAGGTGTTGAAGATGCAATGCTCATGTTTCGACCCTTCGTCTCGGTCGGCGATTGAGTTTGAGGGCGATCATCATGGTTGGCTTGATCAAGGTCCATGGAAACCGTAGGAGAGGTCCGAACGCCACCATCCTCACCAATACTTGGAGAAACTGCCTGTTGAGCAGCCCGTGCTTCCTGTTGCTTTTGTATGTTATGCCGATTCCTCAGCAGACGCTTTGATAACGGCAAAATCGAGCGCTTCGACTTCGGAGTAGACTCGTTCCACCAGGCGTTCTCGACCTCATCGGTTTGAGTACTGGCCTCTGCATATGTAGGCTTGGGATTGGCAGAGTTGTGCCGTGAGCGGTATGCCGCCGAGTGCCCCGGGGAAACGCGAGGATCCGGGGAGCGGACGGCACCTGTAGGCGAGGTTGCAGTAACGGGAGATCCAGACGGCCTTCTTGATGCTGTGCTTGCATCAACGTACTTGTGCGAACGAGCACCATTGGTAGGAGGTCCAGCGGCTTGCGAGACTGATGGTCGAGGCGCCACAGAACGCTGCCTTGGTTTTGGCACAGCATGGTTTCCTGCAGTGTGAGAGGATACGGACATGTTGGAGCCATCAGACGCTCGCTTCTTCTTTCTCGCTGGCTGTCCTTGCTCCATCTTCCTGAAGGAGTCCTCAAGAGCTGCTAACTTTCTCTTTTCTCGCTCCGAGTTCTCCGTCAAGATGCCATTGGAATCACCATTATGCGAAGGTGTCATGTCCCGACTGTGAGGTTTGCTTCGAACCGACCCAGACACCGACTGGTTGTCGTCGTCCTCGTACTGATCACCTTGCCCCTCACTCGCAGCTCGACTGTTCGTGGCATGGCCGGTACTTGTAGGCGATACATGGTTCTGCTTTGACTTCCGACCCTTTTTCGGCTTAATGCCGTTGGTTTGAGGGTGCGACCGCCCGAGATAATCTCGATGGAATCGAACAAACGCGCAATCACTCCCGAGATCACACGCACAACCGCCATGATCGGAGAGGACGGTATATGCAAGGGTTGATAGCGTTTCGTACTCTTCATCTGTCATATCAGAGTGATCTGTAACTGGGCCCTCATCTTCCAGTCCTAGCAGACGCTTGCATCGATTGCCATCTTCGGTGTTGGGAAATCGGAAGTCCCATGGGATTGTAACCTGCTCGTTGGCTGCCAAAGGTCGCTCACTTGTCAACCAGAAGTGGTATTCTGTGTCATGCGCGAGGAAGGACTCCATTCCTGTGTTGGGCCGACAACTCCGTCGCACATAACGAGATGTTGAGCCCTCCATCCGCATATCGATGACCAAGGGTAATTGGGGATGAAAGAAGACAAATGGTTGAGGATGAGCGGCCTCTGCCCAGCGATTCGTAGGGTCGTTGCAATAATCTACCTGAAATGTGATGACACCATGCATGGGACATATCCGTCCGGCTTCAGATAGGTGTGTCGTGTTCCGTACAGATCGCCAGGTAAGCGTCGGACCTTGCTCCTGAGGAACTTTCTTGGTTTCAATTCGTAGAGCGGGCCACTTCAGAGTCTCAACTGGAACTTTGAGTACCTGGAAAACGTCCTTCTTGACGACGTTGGCGTCCTCTTTTAATTTGTCTGGACTACGCAGCCACGTCGCGATGCGATTCGACACATCTAAGCTTGCAAAAGCATCAGATGTGGTAATGTTGACGGAATCATCGCCATCGTAAAGAGTTAGAAATCGAGCGTTGTAATCGTGAATACGGACATCGCCAACTTCAGGGGGTGTATGTGCAGGACTTGGGGGGTGGCCATGATTGTGCGGTCTAGCATTTAGAGGAGGACTGCGCTTCATCTGGGAGCTGACGGATTGAGTCGATCGATGGCCTTTCGAATTCTTTGTGTGAGGGTGGTGATCAGAGGGGCTGCCATGTTTGTGATGATCGTGATCATGATGACCGTTTACTTGAAGATCCGATGGCTTCGACTTCTTCTTGTGACTTTTCGAGGGCGGTCGCTTTATCTTCTTGTCCGGGCTGTCATTAATGGCTTTGTTCTGTCGTTGCATTCGCTGCCGCTCGGTCGCATGCCGCCGGTCTAATGTTAACGGTCGCGGTTTGCAATCAGCACAAGAATGATCAAACTCATCTCGCGACGCATCATCAACCTGGCCGGGGTAGAAGCATTCTATGTGCTGCCATGTATCGCACTTTTCGCAATAAATCGTGTTTCCATCGTCGTCGAGGTAATCGCAGATGCACTTGATGGTGTAAGGCTCCTCCTCAGCAGACTCGATGACGGGACGCGCATCGCTGGCGGAGCTCAAAGCTGTTGAATGGAAAGCCGTCTGAGTCGGAGTCGCGTTCTGCGTTGAGATTGAAAGGGGCCTTTCTGTCATCATCTAGCAGGAGCCTCCAGGTGGCTGTACAAGTGGGAGGTTCAAGGTGAGTTCACTGATCCTTTGGCCTGAGTCGCATGACGAAGACGGCCGCGACTCGATCGAAAGAGGTGTCGCAGAGCGAGCAGATGGAGCGAGGAAGACAACGGCTGTCATCAGTTGTTGGAAAAGACTGTGGAGGCTTCCTGTTACGGATCCTCGTCGACGCGGTGGACTCGAGCTACGGAGAGGTCGGAGACGACGCAGGCAATTCAACGATTGTAGACCCCTTCCAGAGGATGTGTATGGCCGTCAACGGTGCTGCAATGGTCGTAGATCGAGGTGTAGGCCCCGTAATCGACTCGAGGGTGCGAGAGAAGACTCTTCAAGGCGGGTGGAGGCGAAGGACGTGAGGATGGAAGAGGAGATCTCGAAGGACGAGGACGATCGTTGAAGTTGACGAATCGCTGTTGATGAGATGGCGATAATCCTAAGGAGTCCTGTACCTAGATAGTAGCCGGATGAGAAAGCCCAAGGGATTGTTGGAGTGAACGGCTGCAGTGGAGAGCAGAGAGTAAAATGGTGATGTGAATGCGAAATGCGAGGAGAGAGAGGGGGAGACAAGATGGTGAGTGGCCCTTCCTCAGGAAAGAGCGACCTAGCGAACATGAGCCTGGCCGCTTTTGGCACTGGACCTTGAGCGCTACGGCCGTCGACAACAGCCGGCTTAGCAGTATGCGAGCAAGTCGCAGTCGGGCAGTCGGGCAGTCGGGCGCACTCTCTCTTACCGTACTACGACTGTGCTGTGCTGTGCTGTGCTCAACTCACCACCACGCTGCAGGGCCACCACCACAGGCACTTGCAGCACTCGCGCTTGCGTGGTTTGGTAGTAACAGAAGTCGACAGATATAAGTATCTGGCTAGGCTGGGCTCGGGCTCGTTGTATGTCGGTATGGCTTTCTTCCTGATAACCTGCCAATATCTGCTGCGACTATCAGTGATAGTAGGGCAGACTTGACTTACCTTAACAGCTGCCAGCTGCCACTTCCAATACTGCTGTTTGCAGCAAAGTTGACTTGTGCTATGTGTCTGTGAAAGGAAGGGGAGGGGAGGGGAGGGGAGGGGAGGGGAGGGGAGGGGATGGGATGGGATGATGGAGAGTTGTGAGAGAGAGGTGTCGGGGGAGGCAGATGACGAGGGCTGGCCCGGCTGGGAGGGGCGAGTGGGTGAGTGGGCGAGGGCGAGTGCGAGTGCGTTGGTCAAAGAGAACAACAGTGCATGGAGGCATGTGGGCCCTTGTTCAGTCGCAGACGGCATTGCCCTCACAAAGCGGCGAGATATGCTTGAACCAAAGGCGTTCTGGTCGTAGCGTTGAGAGCAGCATCCAATCACCACCGCACTGCCCTAGTGCGCAGTCTGCGCAGTCTGCGCGACCGAGAAACGGATGCCGCTGCCTGAATTTGAGCCAGGGCGGCGATTTGCGGTGGAGGCATGAGGCATGAGGCATGAGGCATGGTATGTATGTCTTCGGCCTATGGTATGGCGGCGGCGTGCAATAAGAAAAGGCATAATAAATTAGGTGTGAGGTCAAAGAGATCTCTGTGACATTCAAGTGTAGGAAAGGAAAGCACCTGCAGTCGCCGTCAAGAAAAATGAGCATGTGTTGCTCCGACTCTCTTCGTCAGAGTTCGAGGCTATCGATCGAGCCTTTACGTCGAAGAGTGGACCTTTGTTCGATAAGGGGGAAACACTAGCGTCGAGAGATCGAAGAAACTTTCCCAGTTTGAAGGTTGGTCCGGTCACGTGTGTATCTATATTTGTGTCAGACATTCAGGGGTTGGGTTTTGGGCTTTGAAGCCTGGGCCCTTTTGATCCGAGATCTGGGTAAGAGACTCACATAGGATCCCTGGGATGAATGATATCAATGAAATCCTATCCAAAGGCGTTGATGTGTGTAAGTATCAGAATTTGGATACAGAGTCGTAAGGTAGGGAGGGTTGCTGAGCAAGATATATCAGACCAATGAGTGAATAAAGTCCCGGAAGCTGTGTTGCTGCTTCCCCAACGCCGCCCTAAACGTGCCTTCTACACCGCAGCTATGTTGCCTGCACTCCCACGTCCAATGCCAACCCAGAAAGGCAACTTGACCCCTGCCGCGTTCACGCACGGAAGCACGAGTAAACCTCCGCGCCGCGTGCAATCTTATATCGAACTCGTGAGCCTCACTCACAGTTTCTTACCACTCAAGAAGCTTCCCCTAACAACACTCCCCAGCCTCGGGCCAGCTGATCCAGCTTCATTTTCAAAATGGGTCTCTCATCAGCGCTCTCCAATGCAACAATCACCCACCCCTACTTCCCGCAATCCGTGATTCTCTCCGGCGGAACCTACCTCCCCAACAACTGGGATGTCGTGACCTTAATTGCAGTATTCGGCCTAGGATGGGCCGCCATCATGTTCGTCACGCTCTTGATAGTCAAGCAAGTTAATCCGAATCTCAAAAAGTCGGATCGGGCTTTAGTGTTGTGGTTTGTACTTTGTAAGTAGTGTTTTTTCTTTGTATTTACTTAGTTCCCTCAACCACCAATCAACGACTCAGGGAAGTTAATTTTGAATTGTGAGGACGGGATGAGATGATATGAGATGACGATGAGGATGAGGACGATATGACTTATTGACTGACTGGTTCAAGGTGGTGCGATCCATCTCTTTTTCGAAGGATACTTCATGTACAACCACCACCGCATGGCCAGCATGAACGATTTCTTCGGGCAGCTCTGGAAAGAATACGCACTATCCGACTCCCGCTACATGGCATCCGACCCTTTCGTCCTCTGCATGGAATCCTGGACAGCTGTACGTCCCTCCCTTCCTTCCCCCCACTCTCACCTCCCAAATCTACCCCCACAACCTCCCACCTATCCATCCCAAACTCAACTCACCCTCTCAACCCCACCAAACAGATATTCTGGGGCCCCCTCTCCTTCCTCACCGCCCTCCTCATAACCACCAACTCGCCGTATCGCCACCCCGTCCAAGCGCTCGTCTCAACAGGCCAGTTCTACGGCGATATCCTGTATTACACCACCAGTCTGTTCGATGACATTTACAAGCAGCAGAGGCACTATCGGCCGGAGCCGTATTACTTTTGGTTTTATTTCGTGTTTATGAATGGTGCTTGGATTGTGATTCCGTTGTGTGAGTTTTTGAGTTTTCTTCTTTTGCTTCAGATTCTTGCCTGTTAATTTGGTGTATGGCGGTGGCAATGGCATGGGGATTTGGGGAAGGATGTCTGTGAGATGGCATGAATGGGAGAGGTTTGAGATGAGTTAGTAAATGGATAATTTGCTGACGATTGATGCTTTAGGTTGTGTATTCAGCAGTATGAGAGCGACTGGAAAGGCATTCGCTGTTGCTCAGAAAGTCGAGCAAGGGAAGAAGAAGTTGTAATGCGTGAGTTTGTAAGAGCCAGGAATCATTGTAAGCATGCATAGAGAGCGGCTTGTTAAGGGTGAAGTGACTACTTCTAGACCGTAAAATCGGATCGGAAGAGAGAGTAAAATGTACAGTAGAAGAGAGCAGAAGAAGAAAAGATATATGAGAAAATAGACTAATACTTGTAGACTATATCAAAAGAGAAAAATTGAAAGATTGAACTGTACCAAATCGGTTTAGAGCACAGTATTGGCTTTTGTTTGTTTACCTCGTCTATCCTATTCACGCTTCCTTCATCTCAGCTCGGTAAACATCCAAGCTGGTCCGTCACCTATCAGCCAATCGACAACTCCTTACTTGGCCCTATCATCAAGATATCCACCCATTCTCCGTCTCCAACACTCATTTTCCCTCCCCATCTTTCCCGAACCTCACCTTCCGCTCAAGATCAACAAAGCAACAACCTCCACTTAACCCTAAACCACCCCGCCACCGTCCAACTCCTCGCATCCCACGGCTGGCCCCCTCCACCAGCATACTCATCCCTTTTACACACCAGCCCACCCATCACGATATCCATCTTCAATTCTCTTGGGTCGAAAAGTCTAGGATTCGTGTTGGCCCCTGTATCAGAAACCCCCAAGGAAGAGGACAAATCAGCAATACATTCTCAATATCTCAAGAACTTCCAATTGAGTATATCTCATCCCATCCTTTTAAATTACAACTGAGAATTATATACATCCAGAAAGAACAATAAAGGAAAAGGGTATGTATCAAATAAAAAAAATCTTACAAGCAATCGCCCTCTCCCTCAACCTCTCAAACGGCAAGAGATCCAAATAAGCATGATGTCTAAACAACACCTGCGGCAGCGTGGGCCTCAAATGCGGCGGATAGTGCGTTGGTAGCGAAGCCATCAATGCGGTTGTTGATGTGGATGTGTTGGTTGGTCGGTAGAAGGGTGAGACTGGGGAGTTGGTGAGGAGTTCGTGTCGCGCGATGGAAAGGACGCGGGCGTTGGTGATGAAGGCGGAGATTATGCCGGTTTGGTAGGGGGTTAGGAGGTTGAGGTAGGGGGAGGGGAAGGGGATTGTGGGCGTGGAGAGGGGGTGGGGGAGTGAGTGAGAGAACGAGGAGGAGGGGGAGTGATAGAGGGTGAGGGTGGCGAGGTTGTGTTGATCGGGGGAGGGGTTGGTCGATATGGTGGGTTGGGTGGTGGGATCTTGGGTTGGGAGTTCCTCGAAAGTAGAGGAACTGGTCGTATAGTTGTGAGATGTCGAAGAGTCTAGGGATGAGTTGGAGGATGTTGACGAAACTGGCATGGAGAATTCTCCCGTCAAAGCATTCTGGGTGTTCTCATCTTGGAAAGAAGATGTTGGTATTGACTGAGCAATAGAGTCAAGCGGGGTCATAGAATCGTCATAAGCTAAGGATCGACCTGACAAGTCCGCCGCCGATGGAGCAGCAGCAAGTTCAATGTTGCTGTAATCTCCGAAATCCGCAAATGGAATCCCCATATATCCAAATACTGGGGTCCTAACGATTGTCGAATCAGTATCGGCGATGAACCTGGCTGTGGACAAGGTAGCTTCGTAGACTTCATCCGAATTGAGAGTCTGGGTCGGTAGGTCAGACCATAGCATTGATCCAGAGCCCGTTGCTTCCTGTAGATGTACTATTGGATCACCATCTGCATATGTGCTGGCTTGAGATTCGGCAGTACTTTGTACGTGGTCTTGAGTAGAGCCAGTTACAGGGGGGCAGCTGAGTCTGTTCGGTACCTCTGCCCTGACGTCTAGTTCGTCTATCTCATCAGGTTGACGAGGCTGACGAGGCCGAAGTTCATGCAGTCTATGCGGTAGAGCTTTTGTGCCTTGCGAGCTCCTTGATATTTCTTTCTGCCTCTGCCCTAAATATGTAGTTTGAGCTCTATCTCGGAAGCATCGTTGATCGTCAGAAATGTGGCTTACGGTATGCTCTCTGAGCTAATCTATTCTGTGTTTTCCTGGCATCTGTGAGAACTCGCTTCTTCTGCTGGCCCCCTTGAACTGATCCATTTTGGATGACTGTCTCAGTCATGTTGGATTGCTCAAAGTCGAGCGATAGTTAATGCGGAGATTTGTTCACTGATTGGTGGAATCCTGGTCGGAGCAAGCAAATTGAGACGGGTCAACCTCGATGCCGTTAGCTGCTCAGTCTTTCCAGTATGTATTGAACATCAAAGACTGAGTGGCATGAAACCCATAAGCCAACAGATTTCTCGTTTCTTCTCTGTGTGATGTTCCTGATTGAAGTCCTCGGGGTTGAGCTTTATGTCCGAGAGGATTGGCTTACGCTGGAGATCCAATGAGATCAAGCGAAGCCTCATAAGCCTAGCGTGTGTTGACATAAGTCTCTTCTGTACCCTGGCTCGCCTGGTAAGCCAGTTGATGTTCGCTCGTTTACTAGTTTTCATCCAATGAGCAAATGGATATGTTTATGTTCGCAGTTTGAGGTTCTTCCGACTTCGAAAATACCGTGAGTGAAGGAGGTATTAGGGAAATTGGAACATGTGAGAAGCATATATAAGTAGCTCTCTCATGCCCAAAAGCAGGAATCTTTCTACCTCGAGTTCACATTCCTTGAATTCGGTACCATCAATCTGCTAGTTGAATTGCTTCTCACCTCTTTTCGAAACCGTCCTTGATCATGTCCTCAGCGCAAAAAATCATCGTCGTAGTTGGTGCGACAGGGAATCAAGGCTCATCTGTGGCCAACACTTTCCTCAAACTTCCCAATTGGCACGTCCGATGCCTGACGAGAAACACCGCTTCTCCAGCGGCACAAAATCTGTCATCTCAGGGAGCCGAACTCGTCAAAGCAGACCTCTCAGACCTCTCGTCCCTCTCCAAGGCTTTCGAGCACGCCAATGCGATATTCGTCAACACCGATTTCTGGGCACAATACCGCAACGACACATCCAAGACTAAAGACAAGAGCGAGGAGTCCTACGAACTCGAAGTCTCTCACGGAAAGAATGCCGCTGTCGCAGCTGCAGGCGTGAAGACGCTGGAGAGATTCATATATTCTGCTCTCGGACCAATGAAGAAAGCCTCGAAAGGGAAATATCCGCACTCTTACCACTGGGAGAGCAAGAACGCCATTGTCGACTACATCGAGAACGAGCAGCCTGAGTTGGCGAAGAAGACTTCCTTCATATATTTGGGAGCTTACGCTACCAACGCTTTTCTCGTCCCCAAGCTCGACCCAAGCACGGGGAAATATGCTTTGGTCATTCCTATGAAGAAAGATACCAAGATACCGATCATCGATCCTGGCAAGTCAACCGGTCCATTCGTTCAGGCTCTCGTTGAAACAGAGGAGCCGGGGCAAAAGCTGTTAGCTTATGATAGTAACTTGAGCATGGGCGAAATTGTGGATGTCTGGTCCAGAGCCACTGGGAAGGAGGCTGTCCTAAACGAGGTGACGGTGGATTTCATGCACAAGCAGTTTGGTGTTCCATTGGAAGTTCTTGGTGGTCCTGCTTTCATTGAGGAGTTTGGGTATATGGCTGGACTCACTGGGGTCATTGAGCCACATCAACTGAAAAGGAAGGTTGTGACGACTTCCTTCGAAGACTTCCTGAAGACAAGAAATCATGATGAGCTTATGAGCGAGGCCAAAGCTGAAATGGATGGTATCAAAAATTGAAAGCTGGATAGGTGGATAATGAGAAATGATATCTTCGACACATTATCTCGCTGTCACTCTGAAATGCAACTGTCCTCGATCGACTTCTCGTTTGCTAATGTTGTGAAACACTTCTGAGATTTGACTTAACATAATGGGACAGTGGCCTCAAAGCTGCATAGAATGTACAAGTACAACCTTGCTGATTTTGAGATAATGGATGATCTGACGAAATGGCACAAGGAATATTCGCATCCAGGCTGTGGAGCGATCCTTTCGTGCTGTATGACGAACTGTGGTGTTCCATAGCTTTTCCGAGATTGTGTGAGGCCTTTTCGGAACGATCTAGTAATTATCGATCGAAGAGGATAACTAATTGTAGCGCGACCATCTTGATTTATAGTAGCAACGATCGCAAGCTTTAGAACGAGGAAGCTTGAGTTTTGTTGTCGCGATTCAGTTCCTGTCCCCGGTATAGTGCACTGGGTAAGGTAACCTCGCCTCGACCAAGGCTTGGCTTGGCTTCGAACCTTAGCACAGCACAGGCTTCCTGCATCTTCTGACCACCGTCGTCATCCACCCACCAGCGACGCTAAAACCAGCCCCCGCCACTCTTTGACAGGCGCTTCTCCAGCTTCCAATCGTCCAGACCTCTGACCTCCAACTTCTCCAACAAACAACCCATTCTACACTCTACACTTCACCGTAGAAACCGATCCCAAGATGAAGTTCTCCCTCAGTGTGATCTCTTTGCTCCTCAGCGGCTTCGTTGCTGTGGAGGGCTTATCGCTCTTCGGCGACAGTCAGAAGATCCTTGGTGGTGGAGAAGTCCCTGGCAATAACCCTCTCACCTTCTGCCAAGAGCAACACGACGATGATATCCTCACCCTGGAGAAGGTTGACCTGTCTCCCAACCCACCTAAAGCGTGCGTATCCCCAAAGAAGAAAAAGTGTCGTGTTGTACAAGCTGATCTGTTCACAGAGGCGCTCCACTGCTCATCAAGGCTACCGGAACCCTGAAGCGGGATATTACCGTCGAGGACAACGCTGTTGTCGATATTGTAGTGAAATATGGCTTCATCAAGCTACTCAGCACTCAGGCCGATCTCTGCGAGCAAATCAAGAATGTAGATATGGAGTGCCCGATCAAGAAGGGACCGATTACAATCACGAAGGAGGTTCAGCTGCCAAAGGAGATCCCACCTGTAAGTTGCCATGCTACGACCCCGGTGATATTGTTTACATATTTAATACTAATTATCATTCAGGGAAAATACTCCGTCCACGCCAATGCCATTACTACCGATGACGACAAGAAGGAGAAGGACCACATCACTTGCTTGGAAGCAAACGTTGCATTCGGGGGTTAAACGATGATCAAAGATGGAGGTATGGAGGCCGTAGTCGAGGACGAGCATAGTACGGGAGGTCGAGAAGTGACGTTAATGAATGGAGCGTCTGGTTGATTTCGATTGCATTACTGGTATCAGATACCTCTGGCCATGGAGTTTTCCCTTTGGAGCGCATTTGTATCTACGGCGGATTCTTATAATCATAAATTCGAGCAATAAATTGGGATTTGATGACTTCAGCATTTCCATAATAGACTCAAGACGTAACATAAGCCATGTTGTTATACAGCTCTATTCTTTGCGATCATTCTTGATCATGGAAATCGTCCTATTCGGACTCCTAACAATGCAATTTACAGGCCCATTAAACGGAACATCTGAACAGGACGAAGTGGGCTTGTAAGATGTCAATGGTGTATTGGCTCAGTAAACGCCTGTCTCTTCTCTGACATATGGCCCAATGCCAAACCAGGTAGCAATACAGATATCATAAGGTCATATATTCTTCTATTCTCCAAAGAGTCTTCGCACACGTCTAAGAACACTATCCTTCTCGGGATCATATGGGTGGTCCTTGCTGGGAATCTCGAGGAGAGCTGGGAAGGCGGCTGTATATTGATCGACTCGGTGACGAATCCGCTCAGCGATCTGTATTCGTATTAGTACTTTGATGCCGCCGATACGCTTGCAAGATTCGTACATGTTGGTTGATTAACAGAATTCCAATATCCTTCCTCTCAGTTGTGAATCTCTCGAATGCCTCCTCAATAGTCGCATTGTCCGTCTTGCTGTCGACAACTAGGAAGTTCTTCTGCGAATCCGGTGGCTCTGTAACGTGCTACATCTCCATCAGCTCCCAGCCTATGTAGGATGTCCAAGGCAATCATACACCAACACCTGCAAGTAGCAGTCCAGTAACAGAGTCCTATGTCGCTGGTAAGATAGCTGGGTGGCTAGGCGCAATGAATACACTTACCTCGTCTCCAATCACAGCAAGGAACTGCCTGTCCTTGTAGGCAGATGCTGGAGCTGCCATATTTATCTGTTCTTTGTTGGTGTCGAGTGATTGAAGTGACCTCAACTCATCCAGCCTACCCAGCATGAATGATGGAGCGGGAGCTTCAACAGGGCGGCATCCCACTAGCGCTAGCGCTCCTCAACCCCTGTCTGCAAGCAGCCCAAGCTCCAGCAAGAAATATCCGAACATCAGGCGCCTGTAAACAAAGGACACTCACTCAGTGTCACCAACGCAACTCTCGACATTCGACCATGTGAGGGAAACATCGCAATTCGCCCACCATGCCGAGACTTGTGCGCAGAAAGCCGACCATCGAGCGAGTCAAGGACTACCTGAACCCCGGCGACTGGTGGTTGTATCTTGCGGAGGAGTTCGAGACGGCGGATTGGGACAAGCAATATGCTTCTCCACTTGCTCTTGGATTGCATGTAGTACTTTTGATTGCGAGGGCAAACTCTGAGAGTTCGCTGGGAAGTGGGAAAGACGATATCTTCGGAGATGACTACTCTAGGTCGGGCTGGTTGAGCTCATTTGTAAGTAAACAAACATTGCCCCACCACGAAGAGTACTTTTTTGACGGTTGTCCAGGCCACATTTACAGTCTATCTTTTGACTGCCTTTTCCATTGCAAATGCTACATACACGTTCGCACGAAAACGACATTACCGCTTATTCGAAAGCTCTATCGATGCCCCTCAAAGTACCCCCTCCGCACATCGAGTACGCGTGGACTCTTCTCCAGTTTCTTCCTCACCACTACGATTTCTTACGAACATATTGGGGGATACCAGCGCAGACTCAAGAGCATACCCGGATCCGACCCGTGATGTTTGGGAACTTGCTGTTTGGGATCCAATACCAATTTGTCTCCGCCTGTTCTGCCTCTTCAGCCCCGGCCATGTCCTGGTATACTGGCTTTTCCTTCCCACTGCGTCAGCAGACCCTCGACCAAGCGTCACGGTCTTCACAACACTCCTTTTACAAGCGCTGTTATCTTCACAGCTATATCTCATTTCTTCATTCTTCTCCCAGCAGGAGAAGGACTCTGCTATCATTCATAAAGAAGTTATGAGCGAGTACGATATTAAATATGTACATCCTCGATTGAATCCTCTCACCCGCGATGTTGCCACTCAATACTCAGATGCTGGTGCTGGTACGGATTATGAAGGTGATGGCGAGGTTGACACATACACACCTGCTGTCCTTTTGAGACGAGGCTTCCGGACGAATCCAAATCCAAATTATGCCAAACATGTTGATCCAGAGAATTCGACTCATATTTCGAGGCAGTCATCACCTGCTCCAGCATTTACACCATCAGCTTACACTTCCCGAGAACCCACACCATTCAGTGGCATCACACCTCGTCCTGCCATCAGGCAGCCCCAGTTCCGCAAAAGCATGGGCGGAGCTGTCTCTTCAAGCACAAGCACAGGAGACGGTGGTAGTCTTGGGATCTACAGTCATGCGAACTCCCCGCTTAAAAAGGCTACGAGCATGTACGATATCCAGGCTCGAGAGCCTCCTAGAAACTCGTTCGACATGGCCAGTCGGGAAATCCAGGAGCAACGAGAGAGGAGCAAGAGCCCCGCGAAAAGGCAGAGTGATGCTCCAAGAGCTTTCTTACAGGGCAGAGTTCCGTTCCCAGAGATTGGCGACGATCGACGGTCAAGTACTCCTGCAGGGTTGCAAAGGAGACTCGGGAATGTTGACAGTCCTTATAAGAGGGGGCCGTCAAGATTTTGACTTGTACACTAGGTTTGGGTAGCATTGGTAGGCGTTTGGGTCTTGGAAACATTCCATGACAGGATATCATAGTAATTCATGCATTTTCGTAAGCCACCCAGTTCTGTGTTAGTTTAATGTGCTTGAGGTAAACAAATCGCTCCTTCCCTTTGCGGTTCATCGAGTACCTTCCATCCACACGAAGTACTACATCCCAGCCACTCTTATCCACCCTCTGCTTAACTATTCTTTCTACAGCAAACACAATTACCACTCCATAGCAATGTCCACAGAGGTTCAACCATCGCATACTCCTGCTCCACAACCAACCTCACCAATCGCACCACCTCGCTCCAGCTCCTGGCACCCATCTTCGATCTTCCCGAGAAACAAACGAGGCAAGTCGCCACCACCGGCTGCTCTCAATACTCAGGGTCAGAAGAGACATCATCGTCGATCGTCAAGTTTGGGGGAAGCATTGGCAAAGTTGAAGCCTAGTAATCGTCCTGAAAGAGGAGGCACGTTGAGAATTAGGAACGAAGATGGGGAACATCCTATCGAAAACGATGATGGGGCCGAGAGTAACGGCAATGGGCGTGCTTTTGATATGCCAGGTCCTGCCACTCTGGCAAATCATTCGCAGCATGTTCAATCTGGTCTGGTTGTCAGCTCGTCTGGCGAAGGGAACTGGAAATCTAGCCATCCAGGGCATAATTTTGAACACCCCGCGCTGGCTAGCCCATCCAAGTATGCGAGCTGGAGTCTGGATAGATCTCAGCGGAAGTGGACAGATGCACGTCTCGCGCGTGAGAGGGATTCCCGGAGCAATGCTACTGGAAGCCCGGAGAGGCAATTGGCGAGCGATGCTTCGAGAGCTGTTGAAAGACGTCCTGGATGGGAATCAACATCTCAGGGACATGCCGCAGCCGTTGATCCTGGCACTCATGGCGGAGATCACGACGCAGCATACCAGAGGCTGGCGACCACTGCAGCATTATCCACAAGAGTTAGCCACGGAAGTCCTAAACCAATTGGCGCTTCAGCTTTTAGAGGGACAAATAGATCTGCACAGTATACCGACAGACCTGAAAGTGGAGGTAGAAACCGCGGCACGCAGGGAGATGGAAAGGAGACGATTCATCCAACTGCATCAGAGACAGCTCAATCGGGAACAGAGATGGATGAAACAAGCACAAATGAAAAACCTGGACATGGATCTGGAAGAGGGAACGGATTGAGGAAGCTCTTGGGATCGTGGGGTAAGAAGACCAACCCGGAGAAGTCCAGTGCGAGCCCGGATATCGAGCGAATGAAGAAACCCGTACCTGCGCTACCTCCAATGGCACAAGATGATCTAGGATTCCGCGTCTCAGTCCCGAACTTCTCTGAAGACAAACAGATCTCCACAGCACAGCAGATGTTCGAGGACAAGAAAGCTAGACGAGAACAAAGACGCAGTCTCAAAGAGAGCGGAGATTATCTCGGAGTTCAAGGTGCTAATCCAAGAACTGGGTACTGGGATGTCAGCAGTGGAAGTGAACCAAGTCAGATGAGTGAGGAGACCAAGCAAAAGCTCGACGAAGAAGCGAGGGAGGTAGCTGAGCGGAAGCGGCGGTACGAAGAAGCTGAGAAGAAACACCGAATCGAGCTCGATCGTGTTCAGACTATGAGAGAGAACAAAAAGAAAATGGAGAAGAAGATGAAGCAAAGAAGGCGCGGGAAGTGGCAGTTGAGTGAGAATGGCTGGAGTAGTGTTGCCGAACCAGAACTGAGTCCAATTTTACAGTCCGTGGTTGGAACTCCAATTGCTGGTGAGTCGCCAGCTTGAGACACTTCCGACTTGACTGACTGTCGCCAGACTTATCTCCGGCTGATCGCCTCTTTCCTATGCCCACCGCTGCTGATCCTACGCCTTATGTCGACCCAACTGCAATTAATGAAAAGGACTATTTTGGCCATAGGCCTGTTTCCTCTCCTTTGAGGCATGAATATCGGTCGACTGAAGCAGGATCGACACACTCTATACCTCGAAAACCTGTTGGTTCTCCTTCGCGTCGACAGAATAACGAGTCTTCAATCACTACCATTCATAACCCTGCGATCTCAAGCCCAGCTCGTCTCACGCCTGGAACACCAAATGGAGGAGAACAAAACGCTATACAGGCAGGCTTGGGCATATCCATAGCAGGCAACACATCACCATTACCAAAGTTGGATTTCCCTCCATCGACCAGATCTCCTTCGCAAAGATTGGAGTCTTTTTTAGAGAAGGCAGCTCAAATGGAGGTGTCCGAAGACCCATGCGAAAAAAGAGCTTCAGTGATCTCATACCAATCAGTCTCGACGAAACAGGTCCAGATCCACCGGCCGTCGGTCCAAAACCAGAGAAACCCAAGCAGGCAGGCCAGAATCATCACTTGCCTGAACGAACTACCACCGGTCATACTGAAAGATCCTTTCGCAGCCGGGCTCCCGTCGAACTCCCCGATGAAAGAGACGTACCAGGTGGTATGCTGTAAATCCGCTCTTGTTTTGTTCGACCTTAAGTGCTGACCTCGCTTTTATAGTGGATGCCACCCACCATCATAAGGACAGAGCCAGACCCAATATCATCCACCAACATGTCCACCACCACCACTACTGGAAACGATCTTCGTCAGTCCCATCCCGCCCAGCTCGACGGCCAAGATACGAACGAAGGTCGAGCGAGAGTGCCATTGCTACAGCACAAATTAAGCCGGATACCCTTGAGAAAGGACGCTTTTCACGACGGCCAACAGAGACAGCAGCAGAGCATATCGTGCCAAACTCAACCAGCAGACACCGTTACATCATCGGTACACCAACTCGGGCAGATGAAGGAGCGGACCGCAAGATTATGTCAAATGCCTTCTCCCGAAGGGGAAAAGGTGGAAATGAAGAGCACACCCATATCCATATCTACGTCCCTCAGTCCAGAGGAGGACAAACAAGCAGCCCGAAACGCTGCGCAAATGGCATTTCAGCACCTCAGACATACACTAGCTGTCAAGAAAGCAGAAAAGCGGAACGGGGACCAGCTTATACCCCCAAAATTGAGAAAGCAGAAGGTAGAAATCAGGAGAGAAGCCAACCGGGTAGTCCCAGACGGCAGAGGAGGCATAGGAAGTCCTTTGAAAACCAAACAAACAATCAAAGTTGAGCCGAGTCCGATCCGAAAGAAACCTGGTTCAGAAGACAAGCTCATGGTCCGTCATCCCCATCCAAGTTCAGCGCCGAAAGCGGAGAATGCGGGGAGAATGAAGGGTAGGGACAGGAAAGCTGTTGTGTTACATCAAGCTGGCATGTCTCCAGTCAATAGAGCCCTGAGACAAGCACAGGCGCAGCTGTCAGTCGGTCAGGTGGTTCTCGGGCTGCTGCAGAATGCATGGCTATTCGTAGAACCTGTTTTCAACCCTGACTCTGGTATCAGGAAGAGATTCGACAAGCAGAGCCTGACATGGCAAGATATCGGATTATTCTTTGCGGCCGCACTCTTCTGCGGAGGTATGTTTATTGTATTGGTTATTCTTGCTCGGGTGGTGGGGATCGGATTACAGGCGTTGAGATCATTTGGTGTTGTCTTTCGGCTCTTGATAGGAGTCTAAAGATGGGGTATGTTGGTATTGTTGGGGTGTATGTCTGGGTTCTCCACTCAGCTATGGAAGAGGAAGGTCTGTTGTTGATTGCCAGGTACGTCTTATTGGATTATGATTGCGTTTGTGATAGGATTATGATAGGAGACTTGGGACTTGCTTCTGTTTGTACCGGCCTTTGCGGCTGCCCACAAAAGCGGTGTACTTCATGGAATGCGGCATCGCTGGGTTCGGGTTATATTATAGGAGGGCTTTACTTCGCCTTGCCATGCATATGCAGACGCAGACGATTGAGAGGTACGGTTCAAGGCTGCATATAGATTATGCAGGCGGTTGGAAGAGGCTAGGAGGCTCACTCCCAAGACTGAATGGAATCCTCGGAATAGTAATAACAGTAGTAGTGTTATGCCTCAATTGAACTATGGTTATCAGCTGTGTGTTCAATAACTGGTTGATACCTATACTTTCCTTTTTCAATCTATATCTAGGTACATCCATCCGTTAATTGAACATCAGACCATAAGAACGCATGCACTCGTCTCAGCACCTGCCGTGCTCCAGACCCTACGACGATGCATGGGCGATCATTCACACAGAGCGAGCTCGGGTGGACGTATCCGACTTGCGAATAGTGACATAGCGTTCACATTCGACTTACCTACCTAGACCTGGCAAACAACAAAGTCCAGTGCGGGAAGTGTCAAGGACGGCGAACCCGTTCGTGCCGAATCGGAGCATTGAATTCCACAAGCTCCGACAAACGCTTGCATTATTCCAGTGCATGTTATGTTATGTTTTTCTTCACTTGACGAACGACTCGATTCCTGCCCCTCACCAACACCCAAACACCCTTCCTGCGTCGCAGCGTTGCAGGACCTGGTGGACCCCATCATTGAATCATTCATGCGAGATTCAGCCACGACGGATTATCGAGAAATTGATTGACGAAGGTAATCCTTTGCTCGTGATTGGCCACTGCCAGTCCTGCCCCGCCTCGCCCCTCGCCCCCCGCCAAAAACTACCTACAACGGGCAGGGATTAGATCCCGATGTCGGCGGCCGAGATGCAAAGCAATGGATGGAATCGAGGAGAGGAGAGGAGAGGAGAGGAGAGGAGAGGCGGAAGACACCCCGCACAAAGTCACCTCGAGAGACATTTAAGCTGTTCTTCTTCCTTTCTCTCTACACAATCTACTACTACTCTCTTCCTCTTCCTCTTCCTCTTCCTCTTCCTCTTCCTCTTCCTCTTCTTCGACCTTTGATTTCCTACTTCTTCTTTAACTTGATTGTGAGAGGATACTGAGAAAGGAAGCTTTACACAGAAACTACCGTTGCCCAAAATGCCGACTGCTGAGGGACGTCCGCAGACCTTGTATGACAAGGTTTTCCAGGACCATATCGTGGATGAGAGACTTGATGGAACGATTCTTCTTTATATCGGTATGTGTAATTGGTTCTAAAGGTGAGCATTGTACTGACTTGAAGGGTTCACAGACAGACATTTGGTTCATGAGGTCACTTCTCCTGTAGGTAGTCCCTGGTATTGATTACGAGTGCCACCGACTAATTGAGAACACAGCAAGCTTTCGAGGGATTGAAGAATGCTGGCCGGAAAGTCAGAAGACCTGATTGCACTCTTGCTACGACCGATCACGTATGTTCAATCCCACAATTGGCTCCTACCTACCTGTTCAATGGCAGAGTACTGACTGGCTGCCGCCACAGAATGTCCCCACCACTTCGCGGAAAAACATGAAGAATATCGAGACCTTCGTCGAGGAGGAGGATTCCCGACTTCAGTGCATGACTCTCGAGGACAATGTCAAGGACTTCGGCATCACATATTTCGGTCTTGGAGACAAGCGTCAAGGAATCGTACACATTATCGGCCCAGAGCAAGGTTTCACTCTCCCAGGCACAACCGTCGTCTGCGGCGACTCACATACTTCTACACATGGCGCCTTCGGAGCCCTTGCATTCGGTATTGGTACCAGTGAAGTTGAGCACGTCCTCGCCACACAAACTATCATCACCAAGCGCAGCAAAAACATGCGTATCCAGGTCGATGGCGAGCTTGCTCCTGGCGTCAGCTCCAAGGACATCATCCTCCATGCTATCGGACAGATCGGTACGGCTGGTGGAACAGGCGCCGTGATTGAATTCTGCGGATCGGCTATTGAGTCTCTTAGTATGGAGGCACGTATGTCGATTTGTAATATGTCGATTGAAGGTGGTGCGAGAGCTGGTATGGTTGCTCCAGATGAGGTTACCTTTGAGTACCTTAAGGGCAGACCACTTGCGCCAAAATACGATTCCGAGGAGTGGCACAAGGCTATTAAGTATTGGAACGGACTCAAGTCTGATCCAGGCGCGAAATACGATATCGATGTCTTCATAAATGCAAAGGATATCACTCCTACTGTCACATGGGGTACTTCACCCGAGGATGTCGTCCCTATTACTGGCTCTGTTCCCGACCCGACCAAGTTCGCTACCAAGGAGAAGCAAGATGCTGGAAAGAGAATGCTCGAGTACATGGGTCTTACTGCTGGTACACCTATGGAGGAAATTGTCTTGGACAAGGTCTTCATCGGCTCCTGCACGAATGCTCGTATTGAGGATCTCCGGGCAGCTGCTTCAGTCGTAAAGGGTAGAAAGGTCGCTGCAAATATCAAGCGAGCTATGATTGTTCCTGGCAGTGGTCTCGTCAAGGATAAGGCGGAGTCAGAAGGTCTCGACAAGATTTTCACCGATGCTGGTTTTGAGTGGCGTGAAGCTGGCTGCAGTATGTGTCTTGGCATGAACCCAGATATCCTCGCACCCAAGGAGCGCTGTGCTAGTACGAGCAACCGAAACTTTGAAGGTAGACAGGGTGCTGGTTCGAGAACTCACTTGGTTTCGCCTGTTACTGCTGCTGCTTGTGCAATCGTGGGCAAGCTCACTGATGTACGGAAACTCGCTGATTGGAACGCTACCCCACGGAAAGCTTCTCCTCAGCCACCGATGGAAGTCAAGCCTCATGTTGACGAGCGAGTTGAGACTAGCGAAGAGGAGCGAGAGGCAATTGGTGATCAACCAGAAGATGGTGGATTGTCCACAAATACCATTTCCGCCGGTACTTCAGTAGCCCAACCAAAATTCACCGTCTACAAGGGCATCGCAGCACCATTAGACCGCTCAAACGTCGACACTGACGCCATCATTCCCAAACAATTCCTCAAGACCATCAAGCGCACTGGTCTCGGCTCCGCCCTCTTCTACGCCCTCCGCTACAACGAGGATGGTTCCGAAAAGCCCGACTTCGTCCTCAACCAACCCCAATACCGCAACTCCAAGATCCTCGTCGTCACTGGCCCCAACTTCGGCTGTGGCTCGTCTCGAGAACACGCTCCATGGGCTCTCCTAGATTTCGGCATCAAGTGTGTCATCGCACCCTCTTACGCAGATATCTTCTTCAACAACACCTTCAAGAACGGCATGCTCCCCATCGCCATCACCAACAAAGAGCACCTATCCACTATCGCCGCCGAAGCCTCAGCCGGCCGCGAAATCGAAGTCGATCTCCCCAACCAAGTCATCAACGACGCGTCCGGCAACAAGATCTGTTCCTTCGACGTCGAGGAGTTCCGCAAACACTGTCTTGTCAACGGACTCGATGATATTGGATTGACTATGCAGATGGAGGAGAAGATCCTCGCGTTTGAGAAGAAGATGAGTGCAGAGACGCCGTGGTTGGATGGCAGTGGGTATTTGAAGAGAGGCAAGAATGGGAGGTTGGCTGCTAAGGCTGTTCCTGTCAAGAAGACGAATAGAGGGGAGGAGATCAAGGAGCCGCTTGATTGGTAGAGGTAGATGGGTCGGGCATTTTTTGGTTTTTTTTTTCCTTTCTGGCGCATTGGCTTCTCTTGGAGTGAGTTAGCTGGCGGCGATCGATGGTTTTCTCGAGCGGCCTGAAATGAATTGGCTTGTACGATGTGCACGACGCGGAGTTTTATGAAAATCCTTATCTTCTTCTTCTCCTTCTCCCTTCTGGTGAGATTAGATGAGATTGAATGAATGAATGGATGGGGGTTCTTTTCCTTTTCCCTCCAGATCTTACATCATGACGCGGTAACTGCGATACGTTGTGTTTGGAGCCTGCCAAATGGAGGGTTGCGATGATCTTTATTTAAGGTATGCATCATTGAAATGGAAGTGGAAATAGTGGTACAGTAGGGACGACGCAGCGCTGAATGAATGCATGAATGCATGGTATTTCTATGATGATGAGCGTCAATCAATCAAAAATAGGTAGTGTTTTTTTGGGGGGGGGATTACAAAAGCGCTAGCTGCTAAAAGCGAATTGCCTGAAACTGGGTAGTATGCAATACAATTCAATGCAGACCGGATTTAGGCTGAATAAATAAAATCGATCGAGAAAGAGAAGAGTGAAGTTATTAGGAAAGAACTTGGGAGTTCGGGTTGATCTGTCCGTAGGTACGGACCGGCCCGCTTATGGTAAGAATTGTCTGGGGCACAAGCGGTTTGCATAACAAAGTGCCATAGAGGGGAGCGCGGGACCAAGTACACTATTATACCCATAATTGTTGCGCAGGCGATAATCAATTTATCAGTTGGGGACTGTCAATAATTTATCTAAGTAACTGTTAGTTATTAATTTGGATTTGATTGTTTTAGGACAGTGTATCCAGGGCAGCACTTTCCTTTAAGGTAAGTAGGTACAACATGTTGCAAACGTGATTACCTCAGCCTGCAGGTCATCATACATCATCCAGGCAGCCGCGACCTTGGATTTTGTTGAAACACTTGCCCAGGTTGCCGACCGTGTTTGTGCTTACTTTGAATTCCCAAACAGTGTTACCATGCCATTTAGCCTTCATACAAGGCTATTTAAGAGGAAGGACAAGGGTATAGATCGAGATGAGAGAGACACTGAACGCGACGTTCTGTCCCAGCCAGATGCTCCAATTGACACGAGCCAATTTGGGATGTTCATTCTCGAGGATAAGCCATCCGACTTAGCTAAAGCCGTGGATGTAGTTGCCGTCCATGGTCTGAATGGTCATTATCTCAATACCTGGACCGCAACGAATGCGGCGGGTCAGAAAGTGGTCTGGCTGAAAGACCTCTTGCCCAAACAGCTTCCAGACGCTCGAATCATGTCTTATGGCTACAATTCCGCGCTTCAGTTCAGCAAAAGTGTAGCTGGGATCGGGACGTTTGCTGAGCAACTTCTTGAGGACTTGCGCTCCTGGAGGGGAACCCAGGCCGAGCGCGATCGACCCATTATTTTCATCTGCCATAGCCTAGGAGGCCTCGTGGTCAAACAAGTAAGAGATCTGGGCAGATCGATTTCCATTGTCAAATAATTCGTAGTATATCACTGATGCCAAAATATAGGCTCTAGTCCGAGCTCACGAGCGAGATCGTTTCTCGAGCCTCCTTGCGCATGTTTGTGGTATTGCCTTCTTTGGCACGCCACACCGAGGGTCGGATCTCGCCAGCTGGGCTGCCATGATGGGCAATTTATTGAAGGCAGCAAGCTTTGGAACAAGTACCAATACGAAATTTGCGAAAGAATTGACAAGTAGATCAGAGGTCTTGGAAAATATCTCAAAGTCATTTGTGGAACGAGGAAAAGGGCTCAAAATCTTGAGTTTCTACGAGACAGATAGACTGGAGAATCTCAACTGCCTTGCAAGCACCTGTCCCCATGCTTGCATTTACGAAAGGCTAACGTGAAATAAGGTCGTTGAGAAGCAGTCTGCAACGCTGGACCTGCCGAACGAGGCGCCTATTGCTTTGAGTGGCAATCATCGATCCATCTGCAGGTTCGCCTCGGAAAACGAGCAGAGATATCGTACTGTATGGTCTAATCTGCAGGAAATGATCACGACGGTCATCATTAATGAGAGTGAGTCTCAAAGAAGGACGTAGTGCTTTGTATCTCATGCTAATAGTATCTTAGCTTTAACAGAAGCAGAGACTGCATGCCTTTCGGCTTTATATATCAGTGATTACGAAGGACATCGTGATCGCATTGAACGTCCGCTCCCGGGGACATGTGCATGGATCCTCAACCATCCCAAGTACAAAGAATGGCTCCAGATAAAAGAGTCGAGCATGCTATGGGTCTCTGCCGATCCGGGATGTGGAAAGTCTGTCTTGACCTCGTTCTTGGTTGATGCTCAGGCTTCTGACAACACTCGCGCCACCATCTGCTACTTCTTTTTCAAGGACGACAACGACCAGCAACGAAGGTCAAATTACGCGATTGCAGCCATCCTTCATCAGATATATACGTCGCAGCCTGGCTTGATCAAACATGCGTTGAAGTGGCATCAGGCCAAAAAACTTTCTGCCTCCGTCAGCTTTGCAAACTTGTGGGCGATTTTCCTTGACACAGTGGAAGACGAGCACGCACGGGACATCGTATGCCTTATTGATGCTCTTGACGAGTGCCAAGCAGCATCTTGTGAAGAATTCATGGCCGCCCTGGTCACTTATATTTCATCATCGGCAAGCCAGCGTCGATCTCGGTCGTCTAGCCTCAAGGTGCTGGTCACAAGCCGACCAGAGAACTCCATCAAGCGAGGTTTCCAAAAGCTTCCAAGGATTCGGCTGAGAGGCGAGGACGAAACAGACTCTATAAGCAGAGATGTTGCAATGTTGGTCCAAGCCAACATCGACCAACTTCAAGACGCGGGATTGCCCCAAGGATTACTGGCGAATCTTCAGAAGCAACTCATCGAGGGGGCCGATCGCACTTTCCTCTGGGTCACATTGATCATTCAACTTCTCAAGGACGCTTCAGAGTCAGGCGCATCTCAGAACCAGCTTGATGCTATCATTCGGAGTCGCGACATCGATGAGGTTTACAATCGTCTCCTGTCCCGCAGTGCTGCACCCCTGAAAGCCAAATCGATGCTGCAGATTGTTCTGGCAGCCACTAGTCCTTTGAGTTTAGATGAGTTGTCTGTCGCAACAGCTATTGGCTGGAAGCACAAGACATTGAAGGACTTGGAAGGCGATCTCATCTATCCTTTCGACAACTATATTCGTACTCTTTGTGGCAACTTCCTCCGCATTGTCCAGGGGAAGGTATACCTGGTTCACCAAACTGCGAGGCAATTCTTGCTCAAGCCTCATCGATCCGAAGCACCTGAAGCTGTGGTAGACGCTGGACTCCGAGATCTGGAATCTGAGACAAAATACGGCAGGGCCGCTTTGGAGGAGCTGCTCGATGAAGTGGTTCCAGGCTTCCAAATTGACGATGGAGAAAAATACAAAAATGTCGGTGTCCAGAAGCTCGAGGTCGCTCGTTTCTCCGAAGATTTCAAGAGCAAAGTCCTCGATAAGGTTGGGAGGATTCTCGCCGAGGTCAATGTGCTGGACGAATCCTCATTCGTACAAAACAACATCACAAAGATACTTACCGGCGTCAAAAAGAAGGAAGACGAGAAACTGTGTCTACAAAAACTTCAAACGCTACTCAATGAAGCAAGGGAAAAGACTGCCAGGAGGAAATATCGCGAGGTCACAACGGCATTCGAGAAACCGAAGAAGCCGGACAAACAAGCGAGGTATACCAAACCATTAAGGTCTACCAAACAAGGATTTTTCAATCAATCAATGTCTCTGTCCGAAGCACATTACTACCTGCTAAAGGCCTGCATCCACTTTCTCTGCCTCGTGCCAACCGACTCCCAGAGATCATTTCTCGGCTCGACAATAAAATGGACAAGTACATCAATGGAACTCTTCTCCACCTACGCAGCAAGTGCCTGGCCAATACATTACAGCGAAAGCAGGAGCGAGCAAAGCACTCCGACAATCGAACTGTGCAAAGCGCTCTGCTCACCCTCCTCCCCCGCTTTCTCCTTCTGGACAACCCACAACGAACTCTACAGCCTGAAATTCCCGCCGGGCCGCATGGACATCAAGGGCGAGAGCACCGACCACGGCAGCGAGGTGTCGAAGACCTTCCTGGGACTCATCGTCCCCAGGCAAGCGATCTTCGACGAGAAGCACGTAGGAAACTATGATCTCGTACTAGAGGCCCCAGACAGTGATGTGGAGGAAGATGATGATGATGATGATGACGAAGATGGTGCTGGTGCACAAATGAGCTGGAAGAAGAAGAAGAAGAAGCGGACAGAAGCCGAACAGTGCAGTTTCGAGGGCCAGGAGCACCTGGGCTATTCGTATCGCTTTCGGGAGTATAGGAAGGCGGAGATGAGATCGTCTGATTCGATTGTGACTTCTGGGGGATACATCCCGAACAGCTTTTTGGAGCAGGTGAGTTTCTCCCAACCCAAAGTTGTTTTTTGCGTGCGATGGAAATTCAGATTTGACTGGCTGATTGACTGGCTGACTGAGGGGGAACCAGTCGATGCATGAAGCACTTGGCAAAACTCTAGAATCTCACAAGTGATGGATAGCTCTCCTCCTCTATCCGGGGGAGCATTTCTATCATGGAAAGGAGGCAAAGTCGTATCAGATTGCGCAACGATCTTGGAGATGATCTTCTTGATGTGGGCGGAAACGAGAAGCTGCTCTACTGACGTCAAAACTGGAAGACAGAAGTGCAGGAAACGCTCCCAACGTTCGAGCTACGATTGACCCACTATCAAATAAGCCCAGTTCGGCGTGCACCGAACCAAAAGCAGTCAGGGGGGAGTGGGGAACGACGTGAGTAATGATTCCCCCAGGTCACTAGCAATGAGGCACATGAACGGTACTCTCAATTGGTCGGTGTCTTGTGGAAGGCAACCGGAGTCCCCGTTGTCCCTACAAATGCCAGGAACGCCACGCCACAAAATCGACCCGCAACAAGCCCTTCGAGAATTGAAAACTGCTTCTCCTAACTCACATCCTTCGGCGGAACGACACCTAGAGTGTAAACAGCTATACCGAACTTTTGTGAGTTCTCGTCCTCTGCGTATACACAGTTGTCATCAGCTGTGTTGTAGCGACTAGCCTTCCTTCCTTCTTTTCTTTCTCTCCTCTTCTCCCAATGCATATTCCCTTCCGCGTTAATGCCATGCGTATCAAACAGAGAGACCGAAATGTGACGAAACCAAATCCACGCTATGCATCCAAAACGCAATGCCAAACATCCAAAAATATTCCATGCCTCTGCCCTCATTACATGCGCCAGCCAGACGCCAAAGCAGAAAAGAGACTTATATCAGCCTCACCCAACGCCGTCCATTAAGTAAAAATGACATTACAGTACTACGGTCGGTGTCACATTATCACATTCGGTGCACTGCGCCGTCTCACAACCTCACCGGATACTCCTTCCTAATCTTCCCACCAAACCTATATATCAGCAACGGCGCGGGTATCAACCCAATGGCAATAAACCCCAGCACGGAGTTCCCCCAACCAAGACCTAACGCCTCATACATAGATGGGCCGGCTAGAGGGAGGAAGGCCCCAAAGAGGGAGCGCGAGACGGTCAGGGCGGCGGTGCCGGAGGCGGCGAAGGTGGGGAAGGAGTCGATGGTGTAGGTTTGGATGGGGATGAAGATGCCCATCATGCCGAAGCCGAAGGGGATGAGGCCGATTACCGGGACGATCCACTGTGAAAAGGGAGGGAGTGTTAGCTTATGTGCTTTTGTTAAGATTGATTTGGGCTGTTTTCGTTTGTTTTGTTTTGGTCAAGCGGCCAAGGATATAAGCGAGCGAGATGAATAAGAAAATAGGGGAACGGGAGCAGGAACGGCAACGTACATGGACTCCCTTATCAGCGCTCCATCCATACCAGAAAAAGGTGATGGGGATGAAGCACGCGAAGAATATACAAGCTGGCAAGCGCATCTCTGGCTCGAATTGCCCGTCATTTGCTTTCGTCATACGGACTACTGTTGCGTCTGAGATTTTCGCGACGACCGCTAAGCCGGCGAAAAAGCCTATGCCGAGCCCGATGTATGCTAGGCCGCAGATATCGGGGTCCCAGCCGTAGGTTTGTTGGAATACTTGCGTGATTGTTGTGAAGAGGAGGTAGAGGAGGCCGTAGGTTACGGCCATGTAGAGGGAGAGGAGGAAAACGATTGGAGAGAGGAAAAGCATTTTGAGGGGACGGACGATGCCGTTGAGGAGGATTTGGCTTGGAGTGTGGACTGGGCCGTCAGGGTCGTAACAACTGCGGAGAGAAGGACGGTTGAGCTCCTTTTGGAGGCCTGGGTGTATCAGTGACAGATATCCGGTGTCGGGAAAGACAGGATGACTAACGCTTGACTTTTCGTTGCATCAATACTCTATGGTTAGTCTCGCGGTTGAAGAGCTCAATCCCAAGAGAGACACATGCCCCAGATATGAGTAAGATCCAAAATACCCATCTCCATCCAACTCGTTGGGCAATGAAACCTCCGCATACGGGTCCGACGACGGGACCAAATAAGGGTCCTATGCTGTATACTGCTGATGCAAGACCTCTTCGATCTGGATGAAATAGATCCGCGATCACACCACCGCCGATTGTCAAACATCCGGATCCTCCAATACCTGCTAGGAAACGAAATGCGATGAGAGCCGACAGATTCGGAGCTAGAGCACAACCAACTTGCCACTAAAAGAGCAAATATTCAGTTAAAGATCTCAATCTTTAATTTGGCCGTGACTTACAGCACAGAAGAACGCATTTGCCCCAGTCAAGACGAATCTTCGGCCATAGATCTCCGACAGTGGTGCAAGTAGAAGAGGCCCAACCGCATACCCAAGAACGAAGATCGAAACTGTAAGTGAACTGAGGATGAGCGATGTATTATGGAAGTCTTTGTTCATGAAAGAAACACCCGGCGCAAACATTGACGATGCGAGAGGCGATATAAATGTAATGCTTCCCAACAGCGAGATGAGCAGCCACTTTCGCTTCTCCGAGAAGTTGAGGGGCATCTCCGGATCATCCTGCGATTCCCATCCCACGATATCATTATCCAAATCCGAAAGTGGCAGAGGCGCAGGAGCCAGGCGTGCCTTTTTACTCTTCGACGTGAGGTTTGTAGCTATTCGAGATAATCGACTTCGCGTACTCGCTCTGATATTGATGTGGGAGAGGTCGTTCTCGTCTTTTCGAGGGCCAGCCTTGATGGAGACGCGGGACTGTTCTCTGTCAATGGAGTTCCAGCTTTGGAGGGGTAGGAGCACCAACGCGTTCTCTTTCGAGATCATTCAAATGTCCCCGGTCCATCTGCTCTGCCTCTTCATGGTCGATGTCTGGCTCGCCTGTGGTTCCCTCATGTAGAGCCTTCTCGTAATCAGAGTTGTCCACCGTAGATCCAGTTCCAGTTTCAGTCCCAGTCGTTCCGTTTTCTAGGTCTGCGCCCTTTTCGGGGTCTGGCGGAGAGGCCATAATGCGAGTTTTGTGTCGTAGTCAATTGGGAAGGTGGGGTTGTGTTCACACGAATTGTCCTTGGTCGATGAGGCTGGCAATCAGTAGAGAATGTCGCGTTGGGCAATACCGTAGGTAGAAAGTTGTGAATAGTCGCGGTCAGACGAAGGGGAGGAAAGACAAGAGGAACGTAGCAGAGAGATGAGAGAGAGAGAGAGAGAGAGAGAGAGAGAGAGAGAGGAAACCAACATGCAGATACAAACCAACGCAACCTGCCCTTCTTAACCTGGCCTGTCTGGCTGGCTTCATCTTTGTGCAGATCGTGCAGTGCAAGGTCGGCAAAGTTGTTGCCGGGTTGTAGAGTGGAAAGTTGAACCATAGCTGGGTATGGCTCGCCCCCAGCTGCGGGCAGGAAGGAGGGCGGGAAGCGAGGCAGGGGACCAACGACGACCAAGTGCATGGGAAGACCACTGAGAGCATCGAGAGCACCAAGCTTCCAGCCGAGACTCGATCTGATACGTGACTAGCCCTGGACAGATAGATCTGCACAACTTGGCCGTGTGCATGCATAACTTATGGCTTTGTGCTATTTTATGCTATTTTATGATGATTTGTGCAATTCATCGGTTCCGCGCCACTGACCCTGGGCTTCTGTACCTACTCGAGCTACTTTCCTTAGCTTGAACAACATGAAATATAAAAAACCACGATCCGGATCCGGAGCTTTGTTTACGTCTGTCGTTGAAGTCGAAGTCCTCCAGCCGGTAATGACATTTCACGAAGGTATCAGACTTTGGATCAGACTTGCACATGAACCTTCGTGTTTCTAGAAGGCCATGCCCTGCTCGGTCTCCGCTGCAGCCCTGGCCACGACGGAGATGACCCACGATCCAAATAGCCCCTCTCCCTCCCAATAATCTCCTCCCATATAGGCATGGATGGGAGCTTCACCGCAACAAGTCCAAAAAAAATGGCCGATGAAGCCTCTCCACGATATCTGGCGAGTTAGCAACTGCTGTGTACCCCCACCATGTTTGGTCAACTTCACACTCATCATCGGATCCGGATCCATGGGTTGCTTCTACTGGACTCCCATCCCGCATTCTCGGGACGCCAAAGCCTTGGAATGGGATCTTGAGGTAACAAGCTCATTTTGCGTGCAAAGTGCGTTGGTTGCACATGGACCCGAGTGGTGCATAGTATCACACACCAAAATGGGGGCTCGTCATTTGGCTGCAAGCATCCGCTTTTGAATACAACAAGTTGTTTTCATGCACGCTTTGGTCTCTTCCGTCGGAAATGCATCATGCCCTTGACGGCTGTACCTGTTTTTAATGCCTAGTTGGATGGCATCTCATCTAAGTAAGGAGAGGGGTGCAGTCACCTTCCCTACTGGCAACGTGAAACCCCCGCAACTTTGTCCCGGGTATGTTCACATCCACGGGAAGTACTTTCTTGAATTCTTTTTCCACTGCTAGTATTTTGAGCCCGGTGGTTTATTATGCTTGGATAAAGTACATATTATACTGTTCAACCCGTCCATCTTGACTATTTGCTTGTCCCATCTCGTTGACTAGTGTCAAGATATCCATATTTGGCGCGTCTGGTCATCCTAGCAAAGCGACATTTACACTTCCTTTTCTAAATGTTGCAGCTCCTGATGCAGATTTCAAGTCAAGCCAGAAACGATGACTGGCCGAATGCGGACAGCGTACATTCCAATGCTTCTTTCCATGCAGCTTACAATGAGAATGTGCGGGTGCAAAGATATCGACCATGATTTTCTCGGCATTCGCCAGGCGCGTCCTTCAATCGCTTTTGCTAATAGCAAATCAGCAAACTGTTAAGGGGCGTCCACGACATAGCCGTAACAAGATTGTTCATCGAAATGGAAGATACTGAGACGCAACCGACTTCAGCTGCGCTTGAGAGCAAACCGTGGGATCCTGTTGACTTGGTTCTTGCTTCAGCGAAAGGTAGATGATCTGTAACACGACATTAGCTCCGCTAGACTGATGAGTCGTAGATTATGGCCCTTTTAAGCCGAGTAACTTACGAGCCACTGACGAATTCCCTCTTCATGCCTTTTTCAACCGAGAATCTTGGTCGTCAGTGAGTGATGAGGACTACAACATTCTCCGCCCCAGCATGCAGTTCGCATCGAATCTGATCCAAGCCGGCATGCATTACCTCTGCTCGTTTGTTCCATCAAGCAGAGCTCACGACCACTTGGCGGATGAACGAGTCGGCGTCCAGGGCTCATATCAGGTAGATCCACAGTCGTGGACCGAAGAAGATTTCCATGAAACCAGAGAAGAACTTGTAGAAATAGCCAAATGCGTCGAGTGGGAATTGAATGGCACGATAGCGAAAGACAACAAATGGCTGGGAATTACCAGACTGGTCACAAGCGAGAAATGGGGGCCGCGGCCGTGGAAAGATCTCTCACGAGATGAAATCATCAAATCAGACAGCGAATTGATGGACCAGGGCGCGTTTCGTCGACATCTGAAGGTGGGAATCATGCAGGAATATGTTGACGCTCTGAAGAGGTACTCGGTCTCCAGTGAGGAACACCTACGCGCAACGTTTCTAGCTGCTATCACCATGGCGCATGAAGTCGGGCACATAGTCTGGCATGTCAGTATTTCGTACTTTTGACTCCTTCACCTGCATATTGATCTAGTACTGACAAGTGCACCATATGTAGCAAGATTTCCGGTCTATGGGTTATGATAAAGATGGAGCAGAGCCTTACTTCGCGGACTACAGCATCTCGGAACTAGGATGCGGCTTCATTGCCAGCATATTTGATGGCAAGAACCCCTATGAATGTGGTAAACAAGTTCCAACCGACTTCACTCAAGCACTGTACTGGGAGAGAGTACCCAGAATGGACACCGATGAACTATATCGCACTGATTACTCGATGTCCATCCCGTATTTAGAGCAGATTCTCTCGCAAGAATCATGGGACCAATTTGATCCTATGGACCCTGACTTTTTGATTGATGTTAGGGATTTGCTCCATCCTGAAGATGACTGTTCGGGGGAAGAAATCGGGTCAGGAGACGCCTACGGGTTTGGGATAAAGCTTGCATCAGCGAACACACGAGAGTGGACGGTCTCGCAATTCGATGGGACCGAAAAAGTCATTTGGAAATCAAGCTATCTTGATCGAAGGATTCGGAGTGATGAAAAACTCAAAGACGTGTCGGAGGCAGAGAAGGAATTGGCAATGTACGAGATTGGTTTGACGACCCATGGCGCCTCTGACGAGATAGGCGACTCGTCCGATCCCTCTCACACGAGAAACCCTCTTACCCACGGTTTTCGGAATTGTACTAGACTGGTTGATGATGGTGTTGTTGACCTGGACTTAGTTAGTGCCGGACGGCCCGTAGATCTTAACATTTTGAAGAGAATTGAGATACGGTTCAGAAACAAATCTGGGGATTTGAGAGACAAGCCCCAAGCACGCGCACATCGCCGACGTCATCGAGAAAGTGGCACACAGAATTTCAATATCTCAAAACTTGATTGGTTCAGCAAAACGTATAATAGCCAATTCCCTCGAGACTTTCAATTCGGAGGTGCTGGCGAAGAATATGAACCTGCCAATGTGCTAGAGCTCATGGCGAACAAGCAACCCGAGATCATCGCAAAAACAACAATCAAGGATGCATACCAATTCTGCATCGAACGGAGCATTGGCTTCGATCGACCACTACCAAGGACATACGTCGAGCAGAACCAAAAGCTTGATCTCACAAAGAAAGCAGATCGAGCTCTCATCGAGCGGATACGGCAATTCTGCTTGGGTGAAGCGGAGAAGTTGTTTGAAGGCAACAATCAAGCACTCTTGTACATCTATTATGCTGAGACCAAGTACATCGATGATTGGAGCGAAGAGACTTGCTTAAGAAATGCCATTGCGATGGAATAGAAGATAGTGGTGATGTGGATGTCCTTCAACAGCTCGTTAAAGACCATCTGCTGAGCCATCTTCGGATGTTTGCGCAAGGAAACAAACTGTCGGCAAGTGATGAGGCTTTCCGAGCCGTAGGACTTGTTGATGATGATGATCTGGTATCGTGGACAGACTCGAACTTTCTCCATTTCTTCCGCATAAATCATCTGCCAACATGGGGTAGTAGACGGATCTGGATGGAACGACATGCTAGATTTGAGAGGGAACAAAATTACAGTTCCCAAGGTAGACATCACGAAGTCATCTTCGACAGTAAAGGTGTGGTCCAAAGGTCTGTTAGAGGAGTCGAAACTTATGCCTGGGATGCGGTTCTCGCGGGAAGCTCTGTCCAAGCTTTGAAAGGGTCCCTGTTCGAGGCGGGTCACTTCCCCTCTGACAGCATGTTGAATCTGTACTTTGGCAGAAATCGTGGAACCCCGCTGGAGGACGACACACCTCTTTCATTCTACGAGCCAGCTGACTGGAGAAAGCTCTCCTTGGAAATTACGAGGACGTCCCAGGCTGAAAATACCGACAAAACAACGGCACATACTGAACCTCCTGTCGTCTTTTACAAGCCAAGAATACCCGGCACTAAACACTGGCTAGGAGAAGACAGAAATGGTACACCCATTTCTGATCACAGCAACGACGATATCACCAACATCGCGCACCTCCCCAAGCGTCCCCTTATCCCCAAAGACGTCCAACGCATCTACGACCTCACACACCACAAATCCCAGCCCACCGTCACCGAACTCCTCGACTCAATCCACACCCGCGCTCAGGAGCTAATCCAGATCCAAAACGCCCTCGGGGCTCGCGACACGCTTCCTCCACACCTCAAAACCGTGCGCTCGAAGTCAGTAGTTGAGATGCTGGATAATTTTCGTGATTTGCAGGAGGTGAGGGAGGAGAGACAGAGGCTTGTTGATTTGCAGGTTGAGACTGAGGAGGTGAGGGAGGGGGATAGGATGAAGAGGGTTAAGTTGGGGCAGGAGATGGGGTTGGATGTGGGGGCTGGGGATGGTGGGATGGGTGGCGTGGGTGGGCAAGTGAGGGGGAGGAGTTATATTGGAGATATTTCTAGGGAGTTAAATGGGAGGGAGTGAAGAGCGAGGGAAAGCATTCATTTTGTTTACGAGGGTGAGGTAGGGGCTTGCTAAGCGAGACTGGAGGAATTGGGAAAGTAGCGTCTATTATTTAGCCAACTGATCGTAAGGTGAAGCATTAGTGGGCTAAAGATGTACAACTTGGATGTGGAGAGATGGCTATTTGATCTCATATTAAGTGATGTAAGAGTCGACTGGCTCTGTGTAACAACTTTTCTCATTTTTAGTTTGGGTCTTTTCCTTCGAATTTAGCTATCTTCTAAGTTCAATTGTCTTCGAAGTCTTCCGTTATCATTCATTCTGCATTATGTCTTCCCTACTTTCAGCGGTGAAGATACGATCGATTTGAGGCTCTTAATGTGTCATTTTTGGGACGTGAGGTTGAAGTAACGCTGAGTTCTCCTTCCCAGCTCAACCTGTAAGCACGAGACGGTTCCGATTCACTCAAGAAACGTTCGGGGAAGAGCGTTGCAGCCTAGGTTCCCCCTCAACTATCTTGTAGATTTCGTCTATTTAAAGCCTCTCATTTCCAGCTCTCAGCCATTCTTCTTCAACCTTCAACCCCAACCTCTTCCCATCTTCTTCTCCTACCTTCACCACTCTCCTTCAATTACCATCATAGAGCAATACACGTCACTACTCAAGCTTATACTTGAGCTCTCTTGAGCGAGCACGCTTGAGATCTGATTCAAAACTCTCATCTCCCACTCATCTGAGCTTCTTCTCTAGCACTTTTTCATATCTTGAGCTCTACACCTTTAAACCTCAACTCATCTCCCAGTCAGCCTCACACACATCTCCTCGACTCTCCATCGGCGCTCAACTACCATCTCACCTCAAATCTCCACTTTGCTATTCGACTAGCTACGCAACACTCATCTTCTCGACTGGCTACTCTGTTTGCTTTCAACTACCATCTCACCTCAACTCTCCACTCATATCACCAACAATCTACTCAAACACCCACAACTCCCCATCAACTCCGCCTCTTCACCATAATTCTCAACTCCAAACACAACACCACTCTCATCTCCTCTCAAAACCACCTCACCAACTCGCAAATTACCAAGGTCTTACCACAGATCCGCTACATTCCCTCCCGGATTTCAAGCCAAACAGCTGTTCACCACTGGCGCCATTACAGATTAGCAACCCAGATTCAGAGCAGACTGGGTATTTGTAGAAGATTCTGGGATCTGGTTCTTTAACCTGCTTCGAAAGACGCTGGGGAGGTTTAAAGTACTGGGAAAGTGTTACGACATTGAGTCGGGATTATGAGGTTAGGTGTCCTTGGGGATTGAGAATCAGAGTTGGAGAGGATTAGATCCAGAGGCTGCAGGTTAGGGCGAAGATGTCTTATAAGGCGGCAGATTGGGTATGTCTCGATGTTCAGCTTATGAATATTGTCATTAATGAAATTAACTAACGCAACAAATAGAAAAGTGGGGTTGAAGATGTTACTCTAAATGGCAATCCTGATTTCGCTATCTTAGCAACTGAGTATGAAAGGGACTATGGAACCAAGATGGTACGCCGCACGAGAACATTCAAAGTCTCTGGGGATTCTATGTCAGCCACTGCTGCTTCAAATGACTTCAAATCAGCCTGTCAGCAGGGTCTCACGGGATTTACAATTGAAGGAATTCGACTATGGCTGCGAATCATACACAATTCTGTTGTCGCTGATCAACTGGATCTCTCCATTGAAGAAGTCTGGAATGCATTGGCATTTGGAACGAGATACGGCCTTCCCTTTCAGAAGATGGAGCCATGGTACAACAAATGGTTCCAACAATCCTATCCAAATCGACATAGCATAGCCCTGAGCGATCTCAAAATGCTTTTGTTTCCAAGCTACACCATAGGATCTTGGAGACACTTTGCGTATGTGACAAAACAATCGTCATATCTTGCCACAGGATTCATGAAGGAAGACAACCCAAGCCGGTACGACGGACTACATACGCCTAGCCGTGTCCTTGGTAGACTGAGTACTTGTCCCCGTCGTTCATTTCCAGTGCTCACCAAGAAACAGATCAGATCAATGCCGCTAGAGGCAGCATGAGACGCGAACTCAACGAAGCTCTCCTGGACATTGCTTGCCCCGATAATTTCTGTCTCCGGAAATGCAAGAAACGTGCTGAATGCTACATCACCTACATGGAAGAAGTCACCCTCACCAAACTCTGGCCATTCTCAACACAACACCGAATCCCGATTCAGACGGTCCTCGACAGCCCCGGAATGACAAATTGGACACACAAGAAGATCCTTGATTCCTGCATGGACTGCTTCAGACGCTTGAAAGGTGACCATGTTCACGAGGCCAGAGAAAAAGTGGAGAAGTACTGGGAGGGCATGTGCTTGGATTGCGTCAAGCTCTCGTTGGATAAAGCTGGCACCAGATATGCGGCATACTTCAGCAAGGACAAATCTGAACGCTGGGGTGCTGGCTGTCAAGTCTTTCATGGCCGGAATGAATGGTACTTTTCCTTCATGGGCTCTCAAGATGTTATGGTTCAGCACCAAGAAGATAGGGGTGACTTCTAAACCCGGGCGACCTAGCAAGGTTTTCATCTCAACGCTGCCTCGAGGTCTTGTATAGCTATTATGGCTTGATGGAGGACAGAAATCAGTTTTTTTCAGCATTCCTTTACCTTGCAGTGCTTTACGACTGGCGAGAGATTATGATAACCGGGACGTTTCGTCTTCGGGACTAGAGTGGAGGACAACAGCTAGCGCTCGCTATCTGCAATTATCTACTGGGAGGGCGTATTATGGTGCTTTCTACTACACAGTCGGCGTCTTATGGAGCTTGACGGGTTTTATCCACGAATCTCCTACAATTCTTCCTCATGATGGGCGGCGTTCAACACCTTCTTCATACTATCTCAACATCCATCTTCTCTCACAGATTTACACATCACACTCCCGGCGTTTACCGTGCTGGGTCGGTACTCATGGCGTCACGGAGGACTTACCCTTTTTTAATATTTCTATTTACAAATTCAATCTACCTTAGTTAGCTCTTACTTTCTCGGAAGGTGCTGCTTCTAATAGCTACATAGAGGAAATACGATGATTTTACCAAAGCTACTTAGAGTCCTTGTTGCGTAATTGCGTTGATTGCGTGGTGCGTTGGTTGCGTGGGTTGCATGTTGTGTGTGTGTGTGTAGAGGAAGGTGAACAACCCAGTCGCTTTGCTGAAGCGAGTGGCAAACCTGTAATCAATGAATGCGCTGGCTCTAGGACAGAGGGTCATTGGTTATGGTAGGAGGAATAGCTGTGAGATGAGATGAACCTTACTTTGAATGGCATCAGCAGAGATAGAAATTTACCAGTTGGATACATAAAGGCAATTAATAAGTGGAAGAACTAGCAGTCCAAATCACTGTCATCATTTCTCAATCAACGCTACGGAGTATAATGCCCATCCATTCTCCCATTCTTCCCTCACCGTCACTCCCCGCCCCAGTCAGTCAGTCAACCATCCGAAAATATGTCACAATCTATGTACTTCCGCCCTCTCCCCCCCTCTCCCATTTCCCTCCTCTCTCCCATCTCCTTTCCCCCACCAATTGCGACCTCTCACCCCATCACTTCTTCTCATCCCCATCTAAAAGATCTAGTTATCATCACCAACCAAATTCGTCCCCTCTCTCAAGCCCTCAACAACCAAATCATGGCCCTCGACCCGACGGTAGATATCCCTGACATCATCGGTGGTGGTCTCGAAGTGGCTGGTCGCGTCGTAGCTCTTGGAGATGAAGATGTTGTCGTTGACGCCGCTCTCGAGGGGCTCGTAAAGTGGGATTGGTGGACCCTGGTTGGTGCGTTAGTTTGTGTGTGTGTGGTTTCTTGTTTGGTAGGAGGGAGGGGAATGGGGAGTGTGCGGTTTGAAAAGGGCAAGAGGGGAAAGAGAAGGGTAAGGAATTCTTACCATGAACTTCTCCTCGATCTTGCCGAGACGCTCAAAGCCTGGGGCGAGCTCGAGGTGGTGGTTGGCGTTTGTCTCGGCGATAGTGGAGACGATAGCAATGTAGTATCCCTTGGGGCAAACGCTGTGTGCAGATGAGACGACTGCGATGTAGATATCTATTCTTGTTAGCCCAGAACAAGTCTTTACTGGATTCACAACATACCATTCTTTCGTCCGACTTGCGATTGAGGAATGATCAACTGGCAAGAATCACTGTTGTCTGTTCCCGCAAGCGGATGGTTCAAGATACAGATAGCCTTCAAGACATGACCTGTAACCTGAACCTTGCCAGGGAAGTACGAAGGATCCGCGAGGATCTTCTTCGCCTTTGTCTCAAACTTCATGGGCTCCTCTCCCCCACGGTCTTGCATCGTAGCCTTGATACCAATAGCCTTGTTGCCATCGTAGATGACCTCGTCGATGTTGGTATTGAGCATGTATGTTCCTCCATAGATGGCAGACAGACGAGCGAATCCCTGAGGCAGCTCGCCGAGACCGTAGAGTGGGTAGATGTAAGGTGATTTGCCGTAGCGGGAGACGGAGTTTCCGTATAGGCGGATTCGCTCGATGGCTTCTGGGGCGCGGCCCTTCTCGTTGAGGTAGGCATCGGTTTGGTAGAGCGCCATGGCGTGCCCGATGAAGTCTCGAGTTCCCGCCTCGAGGCCAAACTTGTCGTATACATCCTTCATTGTGCATGTGTTGATGTTGAGACCTTTGTCTGTCAGCTATATCCTCCCTAATTATAGTATCCAACCCTACCCTTGTGACTAGCAGAATCCGACTCCTTGAATGTACCAATCCACTCAATGAAGCTCTTCATCCGTCTCTTCTCGAAAAGACCCATCAACGAAGACCGGAGGGCTTCACCGGCATCTGAGGGGACCTTCGCAACAGTGGCTTTGGCTCCAGAGTATTGTTGCACATAGCTTCCTGCTACCTGTCTGAACTCAAGATATCTGGTGACGTCGGTGGAGACGAGGATATTGGTCAACTCTCCGCTGGACATAAGGAGCTTGGGCACGAGGTCAATGTTCCAGTCGTTGACGCGGCCGTACTTCTTCCATGGCTCCTCCCCCTTGTTATAGTTGCCATATTTCTTGAAAAGCTGGCAGATGTTAGGATAGATTCGCAGATTCGAGGACAGTACTCACAGTCTCGATGTTGACTGAAGCCGCTTCACTGCGTGCCGTTAGCGGACTACGTAAAGTTGGGGGTGTCGAACTGACCCTCCATAGTGGTCATTTCGGTCAATGTGCAGGACCTTCTTGCCCTTCACACTCAATACACTATACGGCTTGTCAGTTCGAGCCTCGAAAGAGATTGTTTCGCCCAGTAGCATACCCAGAGAGCACACATTCCGTCAAACCTGGGGGTTGTGTGTTAGCTTGAATCCCTTCATATCGTGGGCTCTGCTTTGCCCCTCCATGCGGGGTCGAGTCCTACCTGTTCCCAGAACAACGACATCGTACTCGGGGGCAATCTCATCCATGGCGAATAGCTGATTGAAGGGGCGGGGACGGTATTAAGAAAAAAGAGAAGTAAACAGCTGGAAAGGCAAGCTGCGAATGATCGGTGAACACAAGCTTGAGGCTTTCTGCTTCGAGACTGGGACGTTGGGTCGGGTCCTGGTCGATTGGAGTGAAGGGACTCCGCTCATTGGTCTCGCCTAAGGACCCATCTGGAAATGGTTACCGCCTATTTCGTTTGTGTCAGAATGTGAACGTCGTTATGCTATGCTACAAGGTTGGCTTTTCTATTGATTTGGAATAATGTCAAGTTTATTCTGAAGGTGAATTAGAATTCATTTCGGGCTGTGTATTGATACAAGTTTCTATACATTTATCTGTTTGCAGCTTCCGCTGAAAATTGCCGTGATATGCCTCGCTACTCTATGCATCCAAAAATCATACAGCTTTTGGGTATCCACTTATTGTACAAGTCACTCACCAAGCGCTTTCTATGCAGTTGGTGAAGCCTTCTGCTCCGTCTTGGCTCCTGTGTCCAGTGAAATCTCCGGCTGGACCTCCGATTCAAGACTCTCTCCTACCTCCTCCTCCTCAAACTCCATAGGCGTGTACAATGGTCCGTCTCCCGATAGGTCAATCTCAGGATCGTCCCTTGCCAGAATTTCCGCTTCCTGCCAGGAGTAGTACCTCTCCGTCAAGGCGTGCTTGATAGCTTTCTGTGTCATTCTCACCTGCAACCAGTTAGCCATCTCCTAAACCATATGAAATCTACTTCCATTCCCCAGACCCAAGCAAAACATCCCAACTCGTAAAAGAAAACGTAAGAACTCACAACCCGATCCCTCGTCTTCGACTCATCCTCTCCATATCCCGCCTTCAGAGTTTTCCTCTCATACGCCTCCGTCGCAATGCGATTCCTCTCCTTCGCACAAACCCACCATAGCGAATGTAGATCCTCCCAGCTCTTGCTCCTCAGCTCCTCCGTCGTCCACGCCCGGCCGTGCTCCGCGTCCTCCTCAGGCGTGTTCATCGGCTTGTCCTTGCTGTGGAAGAACTGCCAGAGGCCGTGGTTGGGGTCTACGGCTACCTTTGTGCGCTTCGTGGTATCGAGGACGGGCTTGGGGAGCTCGGTTTTCGAGACTGAGAGAGGTTGGCGGAGGCCAGTGCGGCGTGTTGTTGAGACGCCGCGTTCGCGGTTCATGTCTCGTGGGTAGAGGGTTGATGGTGTACTGGAGAAGGAGGAGGTTTGTTGCTGGGTAGGAGGGAGGAGGGAAGGTAGGAGGAAGGTTGGCGGGAATTGTGTTGGTCGGTGGGATTTTAGAAGACCCCTTATGCTGGGCCGTATAACTGAAGATGTTGACATGGTGAAGTGGTTGCAATTGGTAATTGCTGGCGTTTGACAGCTCGAGGATGAAGCTTGTCTGGAAATATTTCGATGCGTGATGGATGCGGAAGGGTTGCCGGATTCGCTACGGTAAGCGGGTCTAAGACCAGTTGTGCAACATTCTCTCCGAATTTCTTCGATCGATTGAAGCTTTCAGATGTCGGGACTTACGATCAATTTCATTCGATTAGCAATGAATACGTCAACAGAGGCAGAGAAGGTCTTAGCCCACATGATTTTTGACTTTATTGGATATTTTCTGAGAAGCCCTGGAATTCACCTACCTCGTATGGAATTGGCGAGTCCTGAAAGTAAACAAAGACCGACGAGATACATTGGAAGTTCCTCTGATTCAGACAGTTTCAGCAGAGAGAGTTGAGAACCGTCTCTAAGCGTTCAGGTCACAAACTGCAGCTTATGTTGGCTGTCATAGAGTAGGCGGACAGCATTGCTAGCATTGGCCTTCTAGCATTGGCCTTCGATCCCGTAGAAGGAGAAGATTATCATCAAAGCCATAGGCAGTCCACTGTATCCAAAACGAAGAAGCACATGAAAATACCATGCTCCCAGCAGCCAATGCCGGCGGCACGACGGGAGAAATAATACAGTTTGGCTTTGGATTGTGATTCAGCGGCTATCCCCTGAATGTTAAGCGAGCCACAGCTGAAATGTTGACTTTCTCCTTCATAAGATGCGAGCTTAAATAACGAGATGTGTACATAGTCAGTCAGAATCAGTACCAATCTTGTTGCTCTGATGAAAATAACTAGTCAATTATGTCGGTCGAACCGGACTTCATCCTCTTTACACGTTGTCAATGGAACCCAAATATAGGGTCGTTTTGAGGCTTCAACAATCAGTGTCACTCTCACAGGCTAAGCTCCCAGACGATCAGATGTCGATGTAGCATATTCACATGCCGAACTGACCAGAAATCTGGCAAATATGGTTCGAAACTTACCACTCGCAAGAAACAGTCCTATCTTATCATATCATATCAAAATCAATCTAACTCCCATGTGAGAATGCACAATGAGTTGTCCTCCGTTCCCACCCGTCTTGGATCGAAGATCGCACTCACAGCAACTCATCTCAAATATCAAATTTCAAAGCACTTTGACCACAACCCTCTCGGCCAAGTAAACTCTATCCAATCCGCATGCGCTTCACCGCCTGTGAAGTCGTACCACTCTTCAGTCCTTATCGCTCGCACGTGTCACACTGATCAGTTATGTATCAAATCAATTCAACCACTTACAACTGATAGAGCATTCCAAAAGAGTTGGCAGGTTCTGCATCCGGATTTCCCTGACGATGGTCTTGATCGGCAAGATGGAGAACCCGGGCCGGGCCTCACATGTCGCAGATAGAGTAGAAGACATCCAAATTCCTATGGTCGGTCGCACTAGAAACGCCTATCTCTCCCTCTGCATCTATAACCTGGTAAGACTTTCGCTATCGCGGTATATGTATGTATGTCGTTGCTGCAGCATCGCTGAAGGTGCATGTCGGACCTTGAAATGCGAATGGATGGAGGTTGGGTGGCTTGCAGATGGAAAAAATCGGAGGGGAGCCGGACCGTTGGATCTTGATATTAAGCGACAAGGAACAGAGGTGTTTGTACGACTGGTACGATGGGATTTATGAAGTGGCCTGATTTCATACCACGGTTGTCTGTTATCGACATGTGAAGGAGCCAGTGATGATCTGGAAAGCAGGAATTGTAGATGATAAGAGGAGTGTTGATATCAATGCTCACCGCCACGTACGCCACGAGTTCCGGAGTAGTGAGGGAGCCTGGGAGCGAAAGAGTGGAAAGCTTGGATCTGTATGCAGACCGTGCATCATGTTTTTATTGACGGTTGCATCCGCTGAAGCGATTTCGGCTGATGTGATCCCTGCTCTGATCCAAAAGTTTTTGGGTTTCTCGAGAGAGTTGTTCAACCCTTCTCAACGCCGAACCTCTTCATGCCCTTGACCATGACCATGACCAGACCAGATGTCAGGTTCTCGGTATGGATGGACATCAAATTGTAATGAGGACAACGCAGTGGCGGGCGGGTATGGGAACAAAACCTCCTCCTGCACAAGTCTCGTGGTGTCCTTGACTCGTATTTGCTGCTTTCTCTCACGTAACAGGTCGGTTGTGAAGAGATCGGCTGGCCTTGCTGGTCACAACAACCTGATGGCGGCGCTGCTTCCAGACGACAAAGACAAAGCCCGCCTAGTGTTGTCCTTGGTGCATTGTGGCTCGCGGTCCTTTCCTCCCGTCACACCCTCACACCGCAGAAAATTTGGCTGCCATGCAATCGGCAGACCATTTCAGCCAATGAGTATGCCGCTCTACAGTACTATCTTAGGTCCAGGTCCAGGTCCCGGAATGCATATTGGCTGCAGTGGCAGGCTGGCAGCAGAAACATGCAGATCCGGATTCCAGCCTCGAGTGGAAATGGACATTATTATTGTTCCTTTCCGCTCGCTTCTCGCTCTGCATGTGCCGCGTGCATGCATGCATTGCATGGTGGGGCAAGAGACATGCCGCGACGAGGCTGGACGCGGGAACTGGAACTGGAACTGGGGGTAAAACATTCTCACCCAGGAAAACTAGGTAGACGAGGACGAGGACGAGGACGAGGGGCGAAAGATAGACAGAACACACAAGCGTTTTGCAGGGACAAGCAGCACATGCAACTGCCCATTTGCTTGCCAATCCGAGCGAGTCAATAATAGTGCTATAGGTCGGTACAAGTTGAAGACCCAGGTTGTTTTGCTTTAATTTCTTTGGCTCCGAGGTCGTCGACCACACCAAGGGCACGGCACCTTCACTTAGTCTGGTCCAGCCAGGACCCCTCCACCGTCCCGTTCCTATATTTCTATGCCCCCTCCAGACAACAATTTGATCTCTCTTCCTTCCCCCTCCTTTCTCTTCTACACTCTTTACAAAATTCAGATCTGCCTCTCGCACTTCTCAATTCCTTCTCCACGAATCCCTTCTCTTTCCTCCTTTCAGAAAGAGAAGGACAAGTCGCATTGAGTCCATTCTGCCACGCAAATCTCACCGACTTGGCACAGAGTCTCAATCCGCGACTTGCGAAGCCGTAAGATCAAAGCCAGGAAAGAAAGCAATGACCCTAACAAGACAGAGATCGAGATCGAATCGAGATCGAGACCCCGACAAGTTTCCCACTGCACAGTTGTTTCTCCTTGGTATGTCTTGTCCTCCTGGCGATGTCATTCCAGATTTGAGACATCGCACAACATCTGCAGTGCGACTTCGAAAGAGAGACACAGGCTGACGTCTATACTTCTCTAGCTATTGTACGACTCGCGGAACCCATTGCTCTTACGTCCATCTTTCCCTACGCGTGGCCCCTCGTCAAGAAATTCAATGTCGGCGACGAAAATGACGCTTCTTTCTACGCCGGGCTGCTCATCTCGGCTTTTGCCCTGGCCGAATCCTTGACGGGCATGTTCTGGGGTTCTCTGAGCGACAGAGTGGGACGAAAGCCTGTGCTACTGGCCGGCTGCGCGGGTACAATGCTGTCTATGATCATTGTGGGAATGTCATCGAACATATGGATCGCGCTGGCAGGTAGAGCGATCGGGGGTTTCTTGAATGGCAATATTGGCGTTATCCAGACGATGGTTGCTGAACTGGTTACCAAGCCAGAACACGAACCAAGGGCATACTGCGTTATGCCATTTGTCTGGTCGATTGGAACGATTATCGGGCCTGCGTTGGGTGGCACATTCGCGGATCCCGCTGTTGGATTTCCAAACACTTTCTCCAAGGATGGACTTTTTGGACGATTCCCATATCTGTTACCAAATTTGCTGTGCTCCAGTTTACTACTTGTTAGTATTCTGGCGGGCTATTTCCTCCTCGAAGAAACACACCCGGATATGCAACCACGAGTGAACCTCCCAGATTCGACTTACGTCTCCGATGAGACCCCCCTCATCGCGACCGCCGATGCAATCAAGACCCCAGCTGTCGATCTACGAGCAGATACGTACGGCACATTTGAAGGCAGCGATGACAGCAAATGGCGACGTGCGACCACCAAGTCTCGCTCAAGTCCTCAAATCTTCACCAAACGAGTAATAGCCCTCATCATCGCGCTAGGAATCTTCACCTACCACTCCATGACCTACGACCACCTCCTTCCCATCTTCCTCGAGGACGACCGCGGCGAACTCACAGTCTCCGCGCTCTCCAATACCCCTCTCACAAATCCATTCTTCATCCCCGGCGGTCTAGGCCTCACGGTTCAGAAAGTAGGCGTCATAATGTCCATCAACGGCATTATTGCGCTCTTCGTACAAGCCGTCGTGTTCCCACTCGCAGCTGAAGCCCTCGGAATCCATAAACTCTTCATTATGGTTTCAGTTCTGCATCCAGTCTCCTACCTCATCATGCCATACCTGATCTATCTCCCGGACTCTTGGCTCATGGTGGGCATCTATTCATGTCTCACAATCCGGAATCTGCTGTCCATTCTCGCATACCCCGTCCTGCTCATCCTTATCAAGGAAGCTACACCTTCTCCCTGCGTACTGGGCAAGATCAACGGGCTCGCCGCTTCAGCAGGCGCAGCATGTCGAACTGTCGCACCGCCTGTAGCGGGATATCTGTACACGCTCGGCTCGCGGATGGATTTCACGGGTCTGGCGTGGTACGGAAGTGCCTTCGTGGCTATCATTGGTGCTATGCAATCTTTTACTGTCAAGAGAACGAAAAGAGATACAGACTCGGATATTGAGGACTGGAAGCCGGAGCAGATTTCTGTTGTTGTGGCGGTGCATTGAGCGAGTCCTGGGTTATGAGTGCAATGGGGCAGATTTTGGAATTTGATTTCGAAGCGCTGGAAGGATTTCAAGTTATTTTCGTACGTCTTATAGATGAGAAAGAACGCTCGACAGATAGAAAGATGGGACCGGATGGGATGCGACAGAGGATACATGCATGCATAGAGCGGCGTTTTGCTTGGTTTGGTCTGGTGTTTTAGCGGGCGTTTTTTACTTGCTGGAGATTTCCTTTGGCTATTGAGCTGCTGGATTCATACCGTCCTGTTTCTTATGATTGGAGTTTGATTCCATCGCTGCAAATTTTTGGTTTGTGCTGTATATACGTACTTTCGATCTCGCCTTGGGAATGGGGATGGACCATCAGAATCGGGTCCGAAAGCTCCGGGCTGGCAGTCAGATGGGAATTTTAGACGGAGGAAGAAGTGTGGCTAGGAAAAGGAAGGAAGGAGAGGAGGGGAAAGAGAACAATGTGGCGTTCTCTGTAGAAAGTAGAAAGACAAGCAAACAAGTCCTTGAAACATAATCAAAACCCAAACTGTATAGTTCCCTCACTTTCTGTACTTTTTAGTGTCATGATTTTATTGGATAAGGAGAGGCATTTGAACGCAATAGCCGGAATGCGATGCGTACTAAGTGGTGAGTGATAAGTGGGTGAGTGGGTGAGTGGGTGAGTGGGTGGGGAGGTCCTTTGTTTACGTACTTAGGTACCTTAAAAAGTGAACTGTGCACCGTAAGCGAGATTCTCGGGGGAGCTGGGGAGAGTGAGGGTTTAGGGATGGAGTATAGAGAGACGATTCATTACCGGATGAGAGATGGAAACAGTGAGACGAAGGGTATGTTTACAGTAGTAGTAGCAGTGGTATGGTATATAGAGAAAGAATCACCATCAAACTTCGAAATGATACTCGGGTCTTGAAAGTAAGAAGGAATGGATCAATTTTACATTTTCCTGCGTTGACCCCGTTTCTCTCAGATCTCATATCTGCCTTTTCTTTCCTTGCCTCATTTTCTGGAGGAAAGAAACCGTCTTGGAGACAGAGACAGAGACAGAGCTTTCTCGCTCTTCTCATAACTCACCCCTCTGCAATCACGAAATCATGGCTATGTTCATCGACTGTTTTCTTGGGTATTCTGTGCTGGAAATATATATACACGGCAATTTAGATAGCATGCACCTTGTACTCTGACGGCTTTTTAAATATGAAGTGAAGTGAAGCGAAGTGAAGTGAAAAGAAAAGTGGTGGGAGTGAGGAATTTTAGGAAGGAGATCCTTGGGACTTTGTAGGTAGGTAGATATATGCTTGTGTGTTGAAGATACTGGGCTTGGTGTATCTACTGTAGGAAAGAAGGAGATGGGACTAATATGCCATATTGCGATAAAGAGAGTATTTTTGTTATCCAAGCGTTCGTGTTTATATGTTATGCTTGTGTCTAAGGATGGGCTAGCATGTGCGAATACCGAACGGAGAAGCGGGGGTGGGGACTTCCACATTTGTAGTGTTTCCCCTTTGAATATATAGACGCTAAGAAAGATTTAATAGCAGGGGTGATGTAGTTAAAGGCATGAAGTGAGCGGCAGTAAAACTGGTCAAAACCTGAGGATAGAACGAAGACCAGGAAGTGAACTAGGAATCTGACCAAGCTTGAAGTCAATTACAGATATAGTCACTAAAGCATTATGTGGGTTTAGAAACGGCACAGGTGTCAATATAGAAATGCATTTACTGAAATTCCGTAACGAAAGATTAACGATCATAACAACGAGGATAATCACAGGAAGTTGATTGATTGATGCTCGAAGACCCAAAGATAGAGCCATCCTCATTGGTTCGCTTCGGATGGATCCAAGGCGCTTCCAAAACAACCCTCCACATGCGATTTGAAACCGTTGGTCTGCTCGATCCAGGCAGCAATTGTTGGTTTCTGTACCATTACCTCGTGTTGTAAGGGTAGCATGGCTGGTCCAATGTTTTCAGTTGCATCCTACCCTGTCAATTTCCGAGGTTGGTAGCCTGATTTGGAGGACACATATCAAGAGCGGGAGGATAATTATTGTCAGAATTTATTCTCAAACTTCTCTTCGTGAATGATCTTTAAGTTCAGTCGCTAAAATCCAAACTGCCAGTAAACAGGGAGCTCAGAACCGCGGTGTTGATGTGGTTGGGTATATTAGTACTTCTATTCGTGGCCCAGAAAGTACACCAATTCGGATATGAACCGTATGAAAATGAATTTCCCCCTCGCGTCAAGTATGGCCATGGTATGCGTTCATCTAGGTCTACTATTACGAATATCTTCAAAATTCTGACTTTCCATAGTAATCGGGATAGATTTTGGAAGAGAATACGTGCGTGTTGGTATCGCCAGAGGACATAAATTTGAGCCGATTCCCGACGAGCAAGGTCGTACCGCCATTCCGAACTATGTCGCTTTTCCAAAAGCCGAGAAGAATGTTGGACCTCCCATTGCTGGTTTCGAGTCAAAAGAGCAAGCTGAGAGTAATCCCATGAATACTTTCTATGATCTCAGGTAGATACATTCTGGACCTTTTCAACCTTGGGTGCTGATATTGGATCTTAGACGGCTTCTGAGTCGTAATGGCTCTGATCCCGAGGTGCAAAGAGCTATCAAAGAGCTCCCATATAAAATCCTTGATGACTTTGAACCAGTAATGGTCCGAGTTGGCGTTAAGAATGACTACATAGCGTATGGTTTGGACGAATTAACAGCCATGATCTTGAAGAAGTTGAAAGATATGGCGGAACGATATTTGAATAGCACGCTTGAAAATGCTGTTATAACTGTTCCGTACGAGTTCAATATACAGCAACGCAATGTTTTGATCGAGGCTGCGTGGCAGGCAGGTCTGAATGTGGTGAGGTTGGTGGATGAGCCGACTGCGATTGCGACGGCGTATCATCTTGGGTCTACTTATTGTGATGGGAAAGGAGAGAAGGTGGATTGTAGGTACATTATCTACGAGGATGATGGTAGGGACGCACATTTGAGTCTGTATGAGGCTGGAAGCGACGGGGGTGGGGTCTTAGGTACCATTGTTGACGATCAGGAGAAACATCTGAAAAGCTCCCGATGGACATCACTACTCGACCAGTTTTCTCTTACGAGAACAGAACCACCGACAATCGAATCGCAGGAGAAACGGATCTTCGAACTTGTTGATCGACTTCTCTTCGTCTCGCACAAAGCAAAGGAAGACGTCGATGGACTCATCGTCATCACCAGCGTTGAAGAACATACTTCTTCCGTCCAACAACTTCTAGAACGACAATACCCCACATCGAAATCCATCAAACCCAATGCTGATTTCACACCCGACCAAGCACTCGTCTACGGCGCATCCATGTTGGCGAATGACATTTCGGGCCCAGATGGAGAGCCCCAAGTCATGGATAAGCTGCTCCTTAGTCTTGGTGTGGAGACCAAGAATGGCTCATTCCATCGAATCATTCAGCGGGATTCTGTGACGCCTTTGAAGAAAAGTGTTACTCTGTACCTGGATTCATATTTCCAGAGTAGCGTATATCTTCCTCTCTACGAAGGCGAGCGTGAGCTAGCAAAGAAGAATCATCGATTGTGGAATATGCGGATTGACCTTTTCTATTTCGCCTATGAGATGCGGGATATGCAGGAGATATGGAATCAGGAGGAAGATGATTATGGAGGTAAGGTAAAAATCCAGCTCGATTTTGAGTTCGATGCAAATGAAGTCTTGACGGTGTATGGAAGCAAAGGGCGGGACCGTCTTCGTGTTTTCAAAGGACCTATAATTGGGAAACAGTGGAGGTGGAGAGAGGTAGAGGATATAGTGAAGGAGGCAGACGAGGCGAGGGAAGAAGATTTCAGGGTTTTGAGGGAGGGGACACTTGTCGGTGAAGGTCAGGTTGAGGTTAAGGACGGTAGTAGCTAAGATGTGACATGGCCTATGAGAGAAAGATCCTAGTGATAAACATCACAGTAAACAGAGAATATTCAATTTAAATCTCAATTCATTTCCTCTGGACGACAAAAACACCAAGACGTTCAAACTAAAGCTCAAGGTTGTTTTCCTGCCCCACCTCGCCGCCGTCTCCATGGTTCGTCGATTCCTTGCCAGCTTTGCCCTTCACTGCCTTGCCTTGCCTGCCCTTCACTGCCTTGCCTTGCCTGCCCCTCACCTCATCCCGCATTTTCTCCACACCCCCCAAAATTAAAGCCAAACCCAAAGCCAAAAAGCCAAAAGGAAAACCTCCTACTCCACTACAAACCCCATAATTCCAGGAACCCGTCTTTGTTCCTCGTGGCCGTCGCCGTCTCCACACTTTCTCCCATCCAACCTAGTAATTAACCTTTAAAATCACTCCACTCATATGTCCTGACTGTCTAGGTACGTACAACAGGTACCTATCGCGTATCGACATCAAATCCCGGACCAAGACGTCTCACTACCTTAGGAAACCAGCCTCCTGGATTCGCGAGCACGCCCCCATTGCTAGAAACCTACTAACTTAACTTCTCGCCATTTTAACAAACAGTCTGGCAGTGGTGCATGTAAAATCTACCTAGCTAAGTAGCATCCATGGGCCGTCGGTCCTTCAACCCAGCTCTCGAGTCTCGACACTCCATTCCATTCCAACCCTGCCATGCGAGCTCAAGTTTTGTGATATTATTACAGGGCATAAACAAGCGAGGGCAGACGGGAGAGGTGCGCTTCTACGCAGCAGCGTTATCACATCACACTGCTTGCTTGCTTGCTTGCTTGCTTGCTTGCTGCTGCTTGGTATTGCGTGGCGTGGCTGGCGGCTTTGCAAGGTGTGCCTGGGTCTGGGTGCATGCAAGGATAAATTCGGTTTCTAGATAGGGTTGGTACGACTGCGTTTGCTGAGACGTTATGTTTTTTTGGGGGAGGGGGGGGGGGGAGGGGGTGGATGGATGGATGCAGCCGAGTGAATGAATGAAATGTATACAAATTCGGATAATTTTGCTGGATATCTAGGTAGGTCTGCTTTTTGCCGTTCCAGTTGGTCCCGAAATATTATTTATTGTTTTAGTTTGTGTTTGTACGAATTCCATATTTTCGTTTCTATTTGGAAGGCTTGAGCTGGATCTTGAAATTGTTTTTGTTCAGCTGTTGTTGATTCTGTGATGTACATGATGCAATGCAGGCTTACATGCTACCTCGTCAGCTTCCTTCTAAGGGAGGCGATGTTTACTATCTAGCTTTTGGGAGAGATCGGATGGGATGGTATGACTGTGGCGAAGAGCATTGTGTTGAGACAAGCAGGATTGGCGAAGTCATTGCCGCTTTCGGATCATTGGCAGCCTTAGTGGTTTGTTCACAGATTTGGAGTGATTTTACAGTTATAATGGCAAGAGATTCGCGATGGGGATATGGTGGAGGAGTGAAGGATAGTAGGTTAGGTCATTTGACTTGGTATAATATTTTTCATGTTCTACACAGCTGACTGCTGCGTATCACCCTTGCCTCGGTTCTAGAATACATTCTATGCTGTTGTACTTCCTGAGATGGCATGCCGGCCAAGTAAACGATCACTCTCTAATTTTCCAAAGTGCTTCTTATATTCTTCGACACCATTCCCCAACCGTTTTTGATCCCCAATTTAATTTCCTCCTGGAAACATAACAACGCTTTTGTCCGTATAATACAAAGCAATGCCCGATTTCCGTCCTGTTCGGACTCGCCGCATGTGATCGAATGGTCGAGTCAATGCCGAATCAAGTCCTGTTTGCCTCCTTCCCTTCTTCCCTTCTTCCCTTCCTTTCCGTTGCCGTTCGATCAGAAGTGAGTAATCAGATCTCGCCCCCATCTCTCTCATCCCCTTTTTCTCTTTCTCCCGTCTTCTACAACAAAAAGGCAATACCAGCCGCCACAGCACCAACAACGCCATTCACCGCATTCATAGAGCCGGAATTGGTATTCGTTGCGCCCGCAGCCGTTCCCGTTGAAGTTCCTGATCCGGCTACAGATCCAGTGCTAGACCTAGCTGATAAACCTGATGATGCACTTTGCGATGCGGCGCTTCCAGAAGGTGTGCTACTGCTGATGGCCGTGATAGTGCTGCCACCTGCGACTGCAGAGGACTGCGAAGAGACATTCACCGATTCCGATACCAATGTTGAACTCGAACTCACAGTCCCCGTCAACGTAACCGCACTCCCTCCTGCACCTGTCCCCGTGATCACAGGACTCGGGCTGCTCGTTGACGCAACCAAAACACTCGTCGGCGTACTAGTCGCAACCACTCCACCAGCGCCAAATCCAGGCAAGAAACTGGGTGAATAGGTAGCTGTTCCGACGTATTGAGGACAGCCTGGGACGGTGGTCTTTGGAGGAGCGCGTCCGCCGCCGCAGTCGAGGAAGTCGCAGAGTTCGCCGGTGCCGGGCACGAAGAAGATGATGGAGGCGCCGGAGGTGGTGGATGTGCAGCCTGAGTGGTCGGTTCGCGCGAGGGCGAGGGGGAGGAGGGTGACGATGAGGGAGAGGGAGAGGGATAGGGTGCTGGTGGAGTGCATTGTGAGAATTGGAGATTTGTTTTGAGATGAGGTGAGGTTGAATAGAAACTTTGAATTTGAGTAGAGTAGCGAAGAAACCAGTGAGTATGAAAACGATTGAAACTTGATCGTAACGACGGTGCAAAACAAAATCGAATGTAGAAATCGAGAAAAATTTGTTTGAAGCGAAAGGAAGCAAAGACAAACCAAAATCGGAAGTCTCCCCTTTGTAATGAATGACGTTGCACTGGCTCAGTTCAACAAAACAAAGACGGCACACCAAATTGCAGTACATTAGCTAAAAGTAAGGGGCTCAGGCGAGAGACAAACGCATTTGGATACGAGTTATAAACATCACGTGCCCTCAAAATTGCGATATCAAAAGCGATACAAAATCAGGATGCACTATGCTGAATTTTCCATTGAAATCTTGAACTAGGTGAGTTTATTGCAGATATACTTTTGAGTGAAGTCATAGAGGGGTTTGGTGGGGTGGTTGAGGCTGGACTGGCTTTTTTGGGCAAATTCAAAAGCTCTGGTCTTTTCTCGCTCGGAAAAGATGCCGAGGCACCTGCTAATCAGACAATCTATCTATTTACCGAGTTCCAGGTTCTTTGGTAAAGAGGTCTAATGTTTTAGGCCCGAGAACAACCAGAAGGCAGCTCGATAGAAACTTAATCTAATGATATGATGAATCGATCGTGCAGTGAGTTCGGATGATACCTAGATAAGTAATTAATATTCGTTTACGATTCTCAAGATGCACGGAGGCAGTTGGCCGCCTCAACTCAAACTGTCCGTGTTTGTGCCTTGTTGCGTGCTTCCTGCCACCAGCACGGTGGGGAGCAACCAATCCACTTATTTATTGCGGCACTGGATTGACCTGCATGGGCCCAAATCAGCATGACTCGAGCGGGAAGTGGGCACCAGAGTGGGTGTTGCGGGTAAGGGTTAGGAAAACCTCCCACCCACCAGAGTTCCATTAAATATTCCAGTAGAATTAGTAGTCAGTCCAGAAGCTCCCAAGGTCAAGGTCCTGGTCCTCTTTTCACAAAGCAGCAACCGTCGGGACGTGTCATGCCAGTCATCCATTAGTCGCCCACCAAAGCAGCCATCGTGCCATCACCTCATCCAGCCATCGTTCGTACCGTGGACTGGACGACAATAATGGGACCCTCGGCGTCGGCAAAGCACGGTGAAGTCAGAAACCTTGCTGCTCTAATGTCTTCCCATACAGTAAGAACTAAAACTAAGAGCTAAAACCTCCCAGCAAGCGGAAACCGCGCGCCACTGTAAAAATAAAGAAGAAAAAAATTGCAAAAGAGCGTTCGCCCAGAGGTGTTTTTCGGTCGGTCGAAGAAGGCCCGCCAGAGCACGTTTTTACCCTGCTCGACTAGGTAGGGAAGTCCCCCTGGCGACTGTCCATTCACCAGTCCCCTGTTGTGGAATCTGGTTTGGATAGATGGAAGGATCACGAATGGCTGGGCTGGAGAAAGGGAACCTGGTCCTGGTAAGGTCCTGGGCATGGTCTATGCAGATCTGGCGTTCCGAAACAGAGGAAATAATAATGGCGGCAGCTTTTTTCACGGGTTGAGGTGTCACGAGTGACGAAAGCAATTTTATGTGGAGCGCGCGCGGCGACGGGGGATTTTCTTTTTTCTTTTTTTGATAATGGATGGCGGTTTTGGCCCCCTAAGTTTCTTCATGCGGAAGTTTTTTTTGGGGGTGTGGTTTGACTCGACAAAAGCTTCAACGGGTAGTTGCATTTATGGGGAGTGGGTTTCTGTCACATCGAGGATTTGGAATACGAGAGTACGTAAACGGAAAAGGGATTTCGGAGAGGACAGTTTATCGTCCATCCCATTTCAGATGCCGGGACCCTGAATCCTTGGCACGTCTGAAAGGTGGAACTGAACAGTTGGGGATATCGTAAATTTGCGGACCCATGGTAAAGGAGCGCGCGCGTGTTCGTCTTTCACCTTTGTTGCTGGACGGAAGAGGAGCTTGCCATGAAGGCGAGAACGATCTGATCTGCTGAGCGTGGAATGGGATGGTTGGATGAATGATCTGCATTATAAATTTCCACCAGCATGTTTAGACGAGCCGAGAACGAGAGCCAAGAGCGAGTCAAGATTTAAGACAAGACAGGACAAGGAGACTGCACTTGCTGAGTTGAAGTTTGTAATGTCTTTGATTGCTGAAGCTTCGGCAAAATATGCGGTGTGAAGTCCGAAAAGCTGAAGATGTGAGAAATTACAGCCGAAGAGCATCGAGGGGGGAATTGCCGCGTTGGCCGTTTTGAGCTTGGCCTGTTGCGTGGCCTTCGGAGATGGAAAATTGGTGGCGGGCAAGTGGTGCGTTTATCGATAATTTAGTCGAGAATCGTGAGCAGCACTGAGCAGGCAAGGTACGAATCGTGCGTTGCAACGCGACGTGATATCACGACGGGCAAAAGTCGGCAGATGTAATGTTGCACATGTGGTTAGGGAGGTACCTAGGTAAATTACATGGTTGATGACCAGAGCTGTGGTTTGATGCTAGGCCGCTCCTCGTTTAGCATGAGGTTGTTTGATCTTGAAGCGGCATCGAGTACAGGGCAGGGCAGGGCAGGGCAGGGCAGGCATGGGCAAGATGAGATATGATCGGATCACTGAAGTGATGTGATGTCAAGGGAAGAAGGAAGTGTTTGAAACGATGTCCGCGCGATACTTGGAATTAAAGGAGCGCTTGGTGTCAGTACATAACATCGGGAGGAAGATCTTATGATTCTTTTATGGGTGTTGATAACCCCGAGTGTCTGGGCTAGGGAATATTTTTAGGTGCCTACTGTAATGGGTGGGAAAGGTTGGGGAAGATGGAGCCCATAGTTCCTTTTTGACAGGACTTCTGGAGCCCTTTCCAGGCTTCTACGACTCTTCCATAAGGTTAAATTTATGGAGAGTGGTCCTGTCTCTAGCATGCCTGACAAGCTGGCTGGCATGTTTGGTGGAAGAGTGGGCTCTGAGATGAGCTGTGATTTGTGAGGGGAATTAATTGTGAGGGGGATGGATGAAAGGGTTGGCTGGCATCGAGCCTTAAGCCTGCAGGCACTCGGCAGCCGGCTCACACGAAAAGTCAGGCCCTACCTAATCAAGGTGAGGCGTGCCTTTGTGGCAGGCTTGGCCACTCGATAAGATACCGCCACCAGGAGAAGAAGGAGACGAAGATGACAGGGACAAGCAGAGAGGATGGTTGGTGGAAAGGATGCTTCTGCGACTTGAGCGAGTCGCTAGCGTAGTGCAGCTTTCGGATGTCTTCTCAACCTGAATCGTATCGCATCGTACCGCTTCGTGATCGTGATCGTGATCGTGATCGTGATCGTGATCGTGATCATGATGTGATTTTGCCTCACCGTCTTTGCCTTGAATGTCTACACCTCTGTTGATCAGTAAACTCTCCGTATCTTCCTCTAGAAGAAGATTCCTCTCAATGATTGTCTTTGGACGTATCAATGTACTACTCTTCCTTCGCACTGCTGTCCGAATTCGTTTCCGTGCGCAATGCGCACTTCACGGCAACAGCGTCACGGCCGATCACCGCTGTCCTGTCATGTCAAGTCAAGTCAAGTCAAGTCATTGACTCGTCGTCTGCTTCTCACTCGCATCTTGCCTCTTCCGCAGCCGGCCATCTTTGCCAGCTTGCCTGCTTGCTTGCCTGCCTGTCTCTCGCTTTTCATTGCAGGGCGAGCTTGTTTGCTGGCTGCTTGCTGTTTTATCACCAGCGTGAACCGCGGATTAGCCTGGCTGGCCTGTCCTGTCCTGTCCTGTCCTGTCCTGTGTTGCTCTCGTCGGCACACCTGCCGATTAGGTCCACGGGCCCCCTAGTCGATGCCTGCGTCATCGGGTTTGTTGGAGCGCAGCTCGGCGTTTGGTAAAAGACGGTAAGGAATTCGAAGTCGAATTGAATTCGAATTAAGATTGACTAGAAGTGCCGAGTGTGATATCCATTCCAGTTTGGAAGCTTGGAACTATACTTCCAGAAAATCTGTCTCTCACTTATCGAATACGATAAACGCTGTGCGACAATACCACCCTGATGAAATCTACCCGTTTCTATTTCCAGCGCCAAAACATAGATTACCAGCTTGTCAGTGCCAAATGAGAGTTGCCAGGTCCTGGCCTGTCAATCGGGATTAACGGCCTTCTTTGGTTTCACCTCCAACGACATGGGTCTTGGCAGCATGAACGACTGAACGACTGAACGACATCGTGACTTGTTTTCCTGACCGGATCGCGCTTGCGAGCCACGTAACAAGATGTTTGGGATGTGCTGTACGAGAGTGTTCTTGTATCAGAGCCTCGGTGCATCGCCTCGTACGGTATGGCATGGTACGGGAGCATGGGCAGGGCATCAGCTCCTTTGGTCCGGATCTAGTCGGCATTGGCTGCGAAATTGATGAGTGCCCTGAATATTTTCAAAGAATACTGAAGCATAGTGTACAAGCAAGCCCTACTCTTTCTGTGAATGTGCTCAATGCAGGATGAAGCGTGATACGCGATAGCTTACGGAGGCAGTCACAGCTAGATCTAGTCGAAGATGTTCCGACAAGAAGAACTAAGGTAGTAGTTAGTTCATTGCACCTAGCTGATTAGCTGACGAATGTATCTGTTTTAGGATGCGTTCTCATAGTGCTAGATTCTGTAATTAATCTAGCCTCGGCATTCGCTCGTAAGATATTTTCTCGTTGAGCAGCGCCGTCTCTCATGCTAGTTCTAGAGTGCACAAGGTGAAAATGCAGTAGTTGGCGAGTAGTTCGCAGATTCGATAGCAAGCGTTTGCGTAGCTCTCCTTATCCTATCAATTCAATTGTCATCTAGCCCAGTAGTCCAATCGAGTCCAGTCCAGTCCAGTCCAATTCGGTCCTGCTCCCAGAGTATTAACGGAAGAAGCCGTTTGCAATTGTGAGCATTCTTCTTGTGAATTGCACTTCGGCAAGTCCTCTCGAGTTCTAGTCATCTCTACCTACTTTCTGCTGGAAGCCAGTAGGCAAAGTAATCATTGATCTGGCCATCATGATCAATCATATGTTCGCCTGAGCCGATTTCAATCCCGGCGCCGACTTGCTTCACTCTATGCTACAAGATACATGATGTACTCTGTACCAAGAGCAGAAAGTTCGAAGTATTGCCAGCGAGTATGCGGCCAAATAGAGCCCTTGCAGAAGCGGGCAACGGTGGCTGGTCAAAAGCCTTGGGCATAACGAATTAAACATCGCAACCCTTCACCTTGTATTGCTCTTCGATCACCGTGTGTCCTGTCCTGTCAGTCGTCCAGCGTTGCGCTGTGTTGTGTTGTGTCGTGCAGACGAGTCCAAGGACTGACTGACTGGCCGAAAGGGTCGGGGTCACCGGGGTTGGGGGGCAGGAGGCAGGGCAATGAGGCGAGCGGTGGGCGAAAGTATCCTTGTCCATCGCCAGATCCCAGTGCCCCCATCCCATCCCATCCCAGCAGCGCGTGCGTCAGGGTCCTGGTCCTGGTGGCCCTTGCCAGGCCCTTAAAGCGGCACCGCACGCCTCTTCGCTTTCGTCCTACCTTCTTTCCCTCTCTGATTTTTCCTGAACATCTTTTTTTTCATCACCGCAAAAACCCAAGACATTCGCGGAGACAGAAACCTGCTATACCCTCGACCATTGTTTGTGCTTTCGACGCGTCTGCGAGCCTCCGCTGCCCCCAGATATCAATTGAATTGTGCAGCCAGCCAGCCAGATCCGCTGCAGTGTGGGCATGTTCGCGCAAAGAGGCTGACTTTCTACGTTTCTCTGGGCCGTCCCCGTTCCATCTGATCGGCTTCCTCGAGTCGTCAAAGAGTCTCCACCAGGCGCCGGCCTTGATCCCGCTGCCCACCCACCTTCCTTCTACCACCATCCACTCAAACCCTCAGGGCCCTTGGATGGATAAAGTCCTCGACAGCTCCACTTTACTTCAACACCAGCACACTTGAGCCTCATAGACTTCTCGTCTTCAATTCATCGCGCTCGTCAACGCGCCGTTCTTCATCCGTCGTCGAAATCAACGTCATCGTTCCGCTAACGAAACCACTGTTGAGCTTCTTCGGAACCGAAATTGCAAAGCGCCGTCAACACAATCGATCTTACAGAGATAACCCTACTTTTCGCGTCGACACAATACTCGACAACGGTTCCATCTAGACACCGGACCGCTCCCAGCACGAAAGCTGTGACGAACTAATTCCGTGGATAAAAGACAATCGCCACAGAAATCCACACAGTCTCCTCCACAATCCTCCACATTTGGATATCTGCCTCATTATGGACGGGTCTCAATACCATCCAGGCAACGGAATGAGCAACAACAACTCCCCATACCTGCCCAATATTGCACCCCACCAACTACAGCAATCGAATATCCACCACGCCGCAACATTGCCTCCATTACAAGCGACTCAGCACGCTACCATGCCAGCCCATCTTCAACAGCATCCCGGCAGTGCGCCTCACACCCCAAGAACTCCCGCAACTCCTGTTACTCCCGTCTCGGGAAACAATATGGGGAATTTCCCACAGATGCCGGGTCAGTATCAGCAGCAACAGCAACAACAGCAGCAGCAGCAGCAGCGACAATACCAAATGATGCCTACAAGTACTTACCAGCAACCAACTCAATCTTACAGAACTGCTGGATCTATGATGCCCCAGTCTTCCATGTCAATGTCCCACCCACAGCCAATTGCTCCAGCTCCATTGCAGAACCGAGCCAACCAACCGCTGAGACCCATGCCTCCACATGGACTTCAGCACATGCAAGGTGGAATGCAAGGCTATGGCCAGAACAACATGGGCATGATGCAGGATATGGAACCTCCTACTCATGTAGTTGGATCTCAAGGTAGGAGAGGTATCTTGCCCAGTGCTCCAGGTAGACCCGCGGTATCCGCGACAGGCACTGGTAAGAACGCGTTGATTCCTGCCAAGGACGCTGATGGAAAATTTCCTTGCCCTCATTGCACAAAGACATACCTTCATGCCAAGCATTTGAAGCGCCATCTTCTCCGACGTAAGTTGACCATTTTGCCAGTAGCGAGAAAAGCTCTAATCTTGAGCAGACACTGGAGACCGACCATATATGTGTGTTCTGTGCCGCGATACCTTCTCCAGAAGTGATATTTTGAAAAGACATTTTCAGAAATGCTCCATCCGTCGTGGTAACCCAACAGGTGCCAGTCATCTTTCGCACGCTCAAGCCCACTTGAAGAAGTCACACCCAGGCCCACACAAGCCCCAGAACCAAATGCCCAACGAGAACGAGCTCATGGGTGTTAACGGAATGAACGGCGGACCTATGGGTCCTAACCTTTTCGGTATCTCCCCAGACGGCACTGTACCCGACGCCGGTTCCAACATGACCGATCAACAATCCGAACAGTTACGAGCACGAGCTGCTGGCATTGGAGGAGGAAGAGATGACAATCGCATGACTGGGCCTAGCCCAGGAAGCTCAAACCGTGCTAGTTTCGATCAGCAGAACTATGCCGGTCCAGTAGCGAGCATGCCTTCCGGTATGAATCCTTCAGTCGCGTTCAATTTGCATCAAGCACAAAACGGTCACTCATACAATCAGGGCTATGATTATGCCTCTCACGGCAACAGCAATAACACCATGCAACCACACCCACAACCCGCCGGACAAGACTGGTCACACATGTTCCACCAGCAAACACCTCAAACCGGCTATTTGCCATATAATTCGACTATCGCCAACCCCCAAGTCCCAACCAAAACAGAGTTCAAGACCGAATTCAAAAGCGAACCATCACTAAGCAACTCTAACGGCTTGTACACAGCTATCTATCCTGGCATTCATCCTAACGGTTCTAGCCAGACCCCGCCTCTCCCAGGCTGGAATCTCCAGAACGATCCACTTGAAGAGATCTCGAGCCGATTGATTTTCTTCTGCTTCCCAAACAACCAGATTATCGGCCGATCTAACGACATTCGAAGGTACCTCTCTGCGCAGAATATCAAGCACTTTTTGGATCTCTTCACTAGCTTTCAGGGTCACCTCCCAATCATCCATATGCCAACTTGTCGAATTGTCGATACCTTCGATGGTCTGCTGCTAGCGATGATCTGTATCGGTGCTGTTTATTCTGACCGGGTGTCAGCCTCTCAGGCTCGTGAGATAATGGAGCTGTCCAAGAGTGCTATTGAGCGAAACTCCCAGGTCTTTTCCGTTGTTTCGCGAGAGCAAACTGGTGACTCTGGCTTTGGAGGAGAGACCATCGGTTCAAGCAAGTCAGAGCTGGAACAGATTACTGCAATTTTCCTGATGCAGATCATGTCCTGCTGGCATGGTACCCCGATCCACAGAGAGAAAGCGCGAAGAGAGTTCCACCTTACTGTCGAGATTGCGAGACGTGCTGGATTGACAAAGCCAATGACAATATCTCCTTTCAGTGTTCTTCACCAACCAAATGTTACCGTTGAGAACTTCAGCGCAGCTAGCTTCGACTGGAGCGCTTGGGTTGAGCAGGAGAAACGTTCTAGGTTGATGTTTGCAATTTACCTTTTGGACTGTGCTATGGTCATCTTCTTCAACGCATCACCAAAATTCGAGAGAGACGAGATTCGACTTCCTCTTCCAGCAGACGACGCTGCTTGGGATGCTACGTCCTCTTCTGAATGCGCCGAAGCACTCGGTCTCCACGGCCCTGCAGCTGCACGAACTAAGAACTCCGAGGGCAGTCGTCGTCCAAAGCAACCTGAATTCCCTGCTGCTATGAAGACGCTCATGCATGGCGACTGGCTCCAGCCTGGCACAACAAATCTATACTCTAAGTTTATTCTAATCCACGCGCTGCACATCCAATTGTGGAGCACTCAAAGACAGCTGGCATTGCAGGAAGCTGGCCCTAATTCCTTGGCGTTCCCCACCAGTGGCACGACTACACCCGTTTCTCAGGATTGGGCAAGAAATGATCCTACAGGAAGCGGTCCCCACAGTGCGAACACTAGCGGCAGAGCGACTCCAGTCGATTCTGCAGGGCAATTGGCCTCATCCATTAAGTCTATCAATAACGCATTCGACAAGTGGAAGAAGGCTTGGGATGAGGATATGTCTACTCAATACCCTCCATCGTCATCTACCTATCGCCGATTTGGATTTTGCAGGGATGCCGTGCATTATTACTGGCTCGCCAAGTACCTTCTCCAAAGTGGACGCACAATGGATTTCCAGATGGCTCCGGATCAACGCTTCGGCCAAGTTATGAACTTGTTGAAGTCAGTCAAGAATTGGGTGCAAACTGATAGTGCAAAGCGTGGCGAGGAACTTGGTTCTGTTAACGATATCGACAAGGATTACGGTGTCTCCAACCTGACGCTCGACATGGCTCAGCTCTTTAAGCCAATCAATCGGCAGATCGATTCTCCGGTTCCTGGTGTACAAACGAATATGGGATAGAAATTGGGAGGAATGGGCATTATAGACGGGTTTCGCCTCAGTTGGGGCTGCATTGCATTGGGAGTTTTTGCTTTATTTCGACTCGATGTCATCATTGCATCCACCCTGGCATGGTGCATATTTTCGACTGGCGACAAAAGTCTGCTAAATACGTTGTTCCCTATTTTGCATTGGTGGCGAAACAAAGAAGGCAGGATCTTTAGATTTGTAGGTTTGATGCGTTTCTTGATGATGAAATTTTCGCCCGAGCTATTACTACGAGGAGGGTTGATGACGCTGCATATAGACTGGTGGGCTGGCTTGCTTGGTGGGCTGCTTGTGTTCTTCTGTTGCTTTGGTTTGGTTGCATGCATGGAAGGTTGCTGTTGTTGTTGTGAGGGCATTCAGCTAAATAGTTGATTTGTTTTGAAGGGAGGCGGTTGCTAGTCTTGCTTGGAATGACTGACTGAACTCCTTTTTTCTGAAAATGACTTGTGCATTGCTTGTTGGTGGGTGGCTATCGTTGCTTTTTGCTGTTGGAGTCTGCCTGGTAAATCTGCCTGTTAAAGATGTGCATAGCTTAGACTAGAAGATGAGTATTGCTACTGTACATAGTCGTAGAAAACTAAATATATTGTTGCTGTCTATGAACATTCCTCTAAGATTTTGAATTTACATTCTATCCGTTAGTCGACACTTGTATTCGGCACAATGTGAGTAAACTATCACAACAGGCGAACGACTTCAGCTAGCTAGTGTCAAAGCTATCTTAGATAGTCCGAGGGATCTCCACCCAGCTAAAACAGCCATATCATCCAGAGCATATCTTCTTGTTGGCGCATATTTAGCCCTACTTCCCCTTGCAGCTAAACATATATTCCCCATATTCCTATGCTCATGTGACCGAGCAAGGGCACAAATAATTGGCCCTGTTCCTCGTCCACGTAGAGCAAGAAGCTTCTCAGCTAAGAGTTCAGGAGGCGTCCTTCTTCTTAACATCCATGCGGCCACACATAGACAGATTTCGCGAACCAATCCTCCCCGTGTCTTGCTGCGAGTATCATGTGTCTTCCTTCTTTCACCACATCCTCCTCACCTTCCCTGCCCAAGTCGTGTCTCGTGTCTCGTTCAAAACCATCTATGTGATCCTCAGCTCATTCAAATCCCATCAATATCCAGTCCAGTCCAGTCCAGTCCAGTCCAGTCCAGTTCAACATCACCGACCGCACCGACTGCATTGCATAACATCGCCCCTCTACCCCAATACAATGCCATCTCGCGCTTCTCATCCCAGCAGAATTTCCAAACCCCCGTGTTCCCTCATCTCATCTGATCTCACCTCTCCTCCCGTTCGACAATCTGTATCCTAGGCAGCCCGCTCTTCAACGCCTGGCGATCTTCCTCCGTGGCTGCTAGTCCGAGTCTTGATTCGGCGCGGTCGGTGACGTATAGGCCGACGGTGCCCCAGGCGAGGAAGCCGATGCCGACGAGGATGCGGGTTTGGGGCTTTAGGTTCAGGAAGGATCTGTGGTGGGGAAGGGTTAGAGAGGGGTGAGATGAGGAGGAGAGCGGGGAGAGGGGAGCAGTACTGGAAGAAGGACATTTTTTTTCTGGTGGTAAGGTTGAGCTTGCCGGGTGGACGAGATATGTGAAGTGATAAGGAGAGTCGGAGTTGTAGGTTGACAGTTCTAAGAGTTTGTGGAGTTAATTGAAGATAAAATTGCCTCCTTTCCAGGTAATTGAGGCAGGATTGAAGTATGGTGGAATGAGATGTCGTTGAACTTTCAATGTGAGGCTGAAGAAGTTCGAATGAATTTGGGGGCCGGCGTTATTGTAGACGGGGGATCCCTGTCATTGGAATCTGGGTTGTGGAACCTGAGCCTGCCCCTCATTGTTGAGGTACGTACCTTACCGTCATGACAGCTGTGTTACACGGCTGGGGCGATCTTTCGTAAATAAGCACATCAGAATTTGGAAACAGCCTTGTACACACTCAAATTCTCTCGACATACATCTCTGGCTGCTTCAAGGATATCATCGAGTACTTAAGATCAAGCCCAGCCCGTCACAGTTATCCTTCATTCGACTTACAGACCTGTAACCGATAGCCACGCTGCTTGATCTGATTTACCCAGCTTTATGAAGCAAACAGATATCACAGAAGGTGCGTCGCGTTGAGAAATACTACAAATATTCTCCTTCATTTCCACTCAGAAACGTTCAACTCACCTCCCTGATCAAGTAAGCTAAACCTCTCAAACTTAGATGGAAAGTCTCCCCAACGAACTCCGCCGAGTTATCCTCCAACACCTCCCTATCTCAGACCTCAAGTCAATCCGACGAGCCTCCAAGTCCTGGTCCATCCTAGGACAAGAGTACCTCCTCGCCCCAATCTTCAGAACCCTGCCTCACCGGCCCGACACTCTCCATCTCAAGGGCATCTCCACCCATCCAGCGTTCAATCATCGCATCCAGTCCATCCACTTCAACCATGGCGAAGTGAACGAGTACTCTGGCCGGCACAACTCTTACTTCCTGCAGTATCTCATGGTACCCGAAGAGCGGCTCACCCAGCAATATGCCGCATGGAAAGCCTACGAGCACTTCAAGCAGCTGACAAACACCTACCTGCCAACATCTTGTGACGAGGATATGTTAACAGAGATATTTGCCAATCTCCCGAACCTAACGAGTCTCAAGATCAGTTTGATGCTGTGCCCATTCATAAAATGGGACCCAGAAGTCCCGGAATTACTGGTCAATATCTGGGGTTTCCCGTCTACTCGCCTACTTCCTCGCGTAGCAACCGTGGAGCGCATGACATCGATCATGAACGCCATAGCTGCCAACTCAGCAACTCTAACCATCAATTCACTCTCCCACGATCGTCTACCCTTCGAATTCTTCTTCCAGAATCAGAAAAAGATGGCCGTCATCTCAACTTCATTCAGGAATTTGACAACACTGGAACTCCTCATCGAATACAGCGATCTCCCAAACGACACACACGCCGCTCAAGCCTTCTCCAATCTCAGGAAATGTCTCCGTGCTGCCCCATTACTTAAAGACCTCTCGTTGGGATTCCAAGGTCGTCGGAAAGTCGATATCGCACCCCTCCTCGCTTCCTTCGCAGCAGATGAATACACATTCCTGCACCTCTCAACCCTCCAACTCCAAGGCATGATAACCACCGAAACTGACCTCTGCGATTTCCTCGTCCGCCAAAAGTCCACTCTAACAAGAGTAATACTCGGCGGTCCGGGAGTAGTAGCCGTTCGCCAGCCTGCCAATGGCGGGATTTTCCTCGACACAGGCAGTTGGAAGGGACTAGTGAGTCGATTGAGCGAGGAGTTGAAACTTGATAAGGCGGGTGCGTGTGTGGTTTTGTTGCAGGGTGATTTGAAGGGTTTGGAGAGTGGGGAGAGGTGGGTTTTTGAGAAGGCGGTTGCGGCGAGGGAGGCGATGGGGGAGGAGAGGCATGAGGAGGAGGTGGGAGTGGGTGAGGATGAGTTGATTATTATGGATGAGAGTGATGCGCCTTGGCCTGTTTAGGGTGAGGAGTGTGTTTAGATGGACGCTTATATGAGAAGATCCTAGTCTGGGAGCTTCAGAGAGTCATGGAAAAGAGTTGGTGTTAGCGAACTCTTTGTTCATTTCACCGGCGGTACAGCGCATTAGGAATAAACATGTAGCGATGTAACATTCTCATCATCCTCTACGTCAGAGAATACAGTTCGTAAGAATTATGTTGGTGGGAAGGACAGACTGCAGGCACAGATAGTGCGTAGGAACCGATAAATGTCATCAATCTGTACATCCAAAGACCATGTCTCGATTCTTTTAAAGTAAAAAAATACTAATAAGAAGGTGCTGAAGCGATATTTGCCAATATCGGCCAGCAAGTACTGTATCAGTACCCTCGCTAAACACATCACAACTCCTTTTCACTCTCTCCAGAGCTCAGAGCATCCTGAGTAGCTCTCCACCTCAGCGTATAGACCGAGCAAACTGGACCTTTAGAAAGAGCCCTCAACCTCACTCTCTCCGCACACCTCTCATTCGGCGGATCCGCAACCCGACACTGAGAAACCCCCGAACAATAAGGACAAACCTGCGACCACCAACACATCGGCCCCTGCCAGGTCTGCACCCCCTTCGCACGCACCCCTTCCGTACTCAAAACCCTCCCATCTTTCAACGGGAACCTCCACCCCTTAGCCCACTCCACAATAGCCATTAACTCATCAACCTTATCATCCGACGTCTCAAGCTCAATCTCCACCTCCTTCAAAACCGGCAACTTCCCCAACGCAGCTCCCCACCCCTCCGCGTTCCACTCTGGAACGTTCCCCTCTTTACTAGCAACCATATCCCCCATCATCTGACTCGTATCCGCATTCCCTCTATACGGGTTAATCGCCAACGGATGATTGCGCTCATTCCACCACCAATCGCACCGCCTAATCGCAATCTTAACTTTCTCCACACCCCTCAAAAACCCTTCCTCGCAAAACTTGGGGAAGTACTCCTCAAGCCAGAACTGCTGCGTGAAGATGTGGATCTCCCTCACGAGATCAACCTGCCAGGACGTCATCCGGAACTTGAACATCTCCCTCTCGCGCTCCCATCCGTTCCGATCTCGGTAAAATCGTCCATGGGGTCCTGTCTCGGGTGGGTGCCAGAACACGTGCTGCTTGGTTGCTGGAGGGAGGTGGTACGTCTCAAGGTAGATGAGCCGGCAGGTTTGCAGGAGTGCGGTATTGACTCCTTTTCTGTGCGTGTAGCCTGGGCGGGAATAGCCGTTATTTGGCTCATAGGCGGTAGTGTCTTCTTCTGTGAGGGTGAATTGGAAGATGCTGTTGCGGATTTCGGGGGGGATGCGGCCGTCGTAGAGGGGGGAGGTCTTTTGAGGGTTGGCGGCTTGTTGACTTTCTTGGATGGGAGGTTTTTCTGGCTGGGGTTGCGGCTCGATGTAGCGAGGCCCTTCGACTTGGGGGGAGCGGATTGGTCTGAAATGACCGAATCTTCTTCGGCGGCCGTCCATGATTTATGTGTCTTGTGAAGTAAACAAAATACTCAGCCTGGTAACCTCGTTATGGAATTGATTGTTTTGGTTCTGGATGCTATTTCAGATGTTGTCTGTTTGAGTCGAAAGCGTAATTAAAAGGAATTTATGTATGGGAATGAGTTATGAGGCTGCGTGACTGTTCTTTGAAGTCGTAATGGGTGGCGACTCTGAAAGTTGGATGTTGGCTACTGGTTGCCTGCCTAACTGAGTCGAAGCGAGGAAGATCCCCGCCACCTCAAGCGATGTTCAGCCTTGTCTTGGCTTCAGGGTGTCTCAGCCTTGCAGATTTCCATAGTCCCCCACTCCTCGACAAGCCGAAGCCGGTGACGAAATTGAGTTTTGTGTCATGGGAATCCATACCAAAAATAACTTGACCAGTAAAATTATCTTTAACTGCTTTGATGAAGAAGCTTATCAACAGCTAAGATGTTGTCTAAGACTTTGCGGAGTCGACTGTTAAAGACGTCATGCCGAGGCTTTGCATCAACAGCAAAGCGAGAGGCTGACTTCACTCATGCGGTAAGGCTGTGGACTGGGCATACAACATCTATTGATATATCAGACTGACAAAATTCAACAGGTTATAGGTGGAGGAGCTGTTGGGCTAGCCATTGCACGCCAATTGGCAGCTCGAGATGGAACTAGCACAGTGTTGATCGAGAGGAATCAAGCTGTAGGAATGGAAACCAGTTCGCGGAATTCAGAAGTCAACTGCCTCTCACTTTTCTCTTTAATTCAGTCTGCTAACATTCTAATTGTAGGTAATTCACGCAGGTTTGTATTATGGCGCTGATTCGCTGAAAACAAAACTCTGCGTCCGCGGCAGACAAATGCTCTATGCCCTCTGCCAAGAACATAACATCCCACACTCCAACATGGGGAAATGGATTGTCGCCCAGACAAACGAGCAATGGGATGAACTTGTTAAAGTGCACAAGTTCAGTCGTACTCTCACAGATGTTCCCACAGAGTTTGTCTCCCTGGAACGTGCTGCTCGTGAAGAGCCTTTCGTACAAGCCAAGACTGGGATCTTGGAGAGTCCAACCACAGGGATAGTGGATAGTCATTCGTACATGCAGTTCTTACTCGGGGATTTCGAAGATAAAGGAGGAGACGTCGCCTACATGTCACCAGTAGTAAGCATCGAAGCTCTCGGAGAAAAAGGAACCGCCGGCTGGGCAATTACCACAAGAGACAAAGCCAGCGGAGAAGAAAGCACCGTCACAGCCGAAGTCATCATCAACTCCGCTGGCCTAGGAGCCTGTGATATCAACAACATGATTCTCCCCCCAGCCAGACACAAGACCCAATACTACGCCAAAGGCAACTACTTCTCCTACGCGGCCTCCACCCCCACCACCAAACACCTCATCTACCCCGCCCCAGAACCCGGCCTCGGCGGCCTAGGAACCCACCTCACTCTCGACATCACCGGACGGATCCGTTTCGGGCCCGACATAGAATGGGTTGACAACCCGGACAACCTCGCCGTCAACAGCGAGCGGTTACCGCAGGCCATCGAGCAGATCAAGAAGTTCCTGCCGGATGTAAAGGTCGATGCTATTCAGCCGGACTATGCGGGGATCAGGCCGAAGCTGGGCAAGGCGAGCGCGGTGGGGAGTGGGAAGGGGTTTTTGGATTTTGTGATTAGGAGGGAGGAGGGGTTTGAGGGGTTTGTGAATTTGTTGGGGATTGAGAGTCCGGGGTTGACGAGCAGTTTGGCGATTGCGGAGATGGTGGAGGGGTTGCTTTATAAATAGATTTTGGTACAGCTGGGAAACTTGGGTAGATATTGGATTAGAGTATGGCTTGAAAATGTATCTAGGTCGGAATGCTGATGTATGTGAGTAGATTATAGCATATGAGTATCAGAATGTCATTTTGGTATGTCTGACATGATATAAAGTGTATCTCTTAACCTCTAAAATTATCCAACAGAATAGCTAGCAATACATCTGACCTGAGAGCCAGCAATTAGATTTCTCAGCTGTAGTACCTATGGTCATAACCTTCCAGTCGAGCGCGCCACGTACCGCCAGGAAAATGTAACCTCCAGCCTCGCTCGCTAAACGACTCCTCCAAACCAAACCAGAACAAACCAAACAAATAACCAACCAGAACATCATCCCCGCCTCTGCCCCGCATCCGATATACCCGCATAAGCAAAAGAACAACAGAATAAAACTCAGATCCATAAGCCCAAGAGTGAGTTAATGTGAAGCTGCCCCCGATGCTCGGAGATGGGGAAGGATGAGACGGCAGGGGAGGGGAGGGAAATTGTGCCGTTTGACATGTTAACAGGGACTTTGAAATCAGATTAAGTTTGGGCATAGCTTGAGGCAGAACGGTGGCTGTGGGGAGACGGGGAGGATATGTCGGTAAGAGTGTTTAGTGTAGATCTTATTGAGACGGCAGTTTTAGCTGGTGAAAGAGCAGAGGTGATGTACCTCTATGACTGTAAAAAAGCCACTTTACCGTGCAGCTTGTTTCAAATATGCCATTCCTCCTAACCTTGGGTAGTAACGCGGTTGGACTGCTTGCTCATGCCAGAAGAAGAAGACGAAGAAAATTATTTGTACTGTGAGGCGCGAGCCGCTATTTACACCAATCATTCCCAGCAGAAATCCAACAACGCCAAGGCTCTCAACCACCCAAATGAATCCCCCGCTGAAAATCAACACCCCAAACACCATCCAATGCACGCAAAATCGTAACCTATTAACACACTCTACATCCTCAATCACCATTCCACCAACCACCCAATCTCACCTCCCACTCATCTCAAAAGTCTGCACCACCAAAATCCCCTCCACACTCTCCTCACTCTCACTCTCCCTCTCGCCCTCTCCTTTCTCCCTCGCACTAGCCAACCCCCTTCCCCTCCCACCCCCTCTCTTCCCCGTAACGCTCACTTCCCTCCTAACCATCTTCTCCCCCTTCCCATCACCACCACCACCACCAACAACAGCAACAGCAACCGCACTTCCCCCCTCCGCAAGACTCTTCTCCAGATCCCACAAAGCCTCCTCACTACGCGGCGTGACAATCCCACTTCTCTGGCCGTACTGCTTCCTGCGATGCGAGTTTGAGTTCGAGTTTGAGGTTGTGTGCGATGATGATGATGATGTACTACCGGATGAGACGGATGTCAGGGAGCCGAAGAGGGCGGGGAGGTAGGTGGAGAAGAAGGGTTTGGTTGCGGGGATGGAGGCACATATCTATTTTCAAGAACCAAATTGTGATTAGCTGCGTTCTCCTCTCAGTTTTCAATAAAATCAAATCCCATCCCAGACTAAAAAATTTCTAATCTTCACCCAAGGAGGAAAGCAGCAAACTTACAATCCCAATATACAACTCCAACGCACTAGTCACCCAGACGGGATAACTCCTCCAAGTCTGGTCCCACCCGGTGGTAACCTCGTACATGTAATACGTGCGGATGATGCCTGCGATGCAGGAGATGAATCCCAGTCCGAAGAGGATGGCTACGATGATTACCTGGTGCCGAGGGAGTTGGAGCGTCCAGACTGTGCGGATGGGGAGGAGGACGGTGGCGAGGTCGGTGAAGGTGTTGATTATTCCGGCGGCGAGGAGAGTGGCTGGTTGGGAGATGCAGTTGGGTTGGGGGCCTTTGGTTACTTTCCAGTAGTCGTGGATTGGGCTGTTTACTGATTAGTGTTGAACCTTTGTCATTCCGCCTTCTCTTTCCCCTTCCCCTTTGTATGTGGAGGTTGGATGTGAACTGGTTTACTTACCGACATTGGAAAATCACCGTCAAGCAAAACACACTTCCTTGAATTGTCACTATGACGATAGCAGCCAGGGTCACTCTCCGCCATAACAGCGACGCATTGATCAGAAGTCTCCGTACGAGCATCAGCATGGAAAGTTTAGTGAGCGTGATGGCTGCTGCAAACGTGACTTCGGCTGCGAGAACCATTTTGAGACCACCCGTTACATGGCTGATTGGGATGTCGTACTGCTTGACATTAGCTTTGTCGTGATATGAATATGGGAGGGGAGGAGACATACTGTGTGTCTGATCCAGAGATACTTGGTATCTTTCAGGATGCTGATGACGAAGAAACCTGTTGTTGGCACCTATATTGTCTCTCAATCAGCCATCCGCTCGAGCTCTAAAACTATAAACGACAGTGTAATCGAATTACAAAATATAGAGTAAGACATACCAAAGCAAGTAGGATGAAGGTATCATCAACACCAAAAGCATTCTTGAGACATTTCCTCGTCCATATCCGCAACCCCACAAAGCTGAGTAAGATGATGTAAAGAATGATGTTCAATACGACATTGGAATATCCTCTGGTCTCAGGATCGATATAGTTCGGCTCCGGCCAAGACTGGATCACACTGAGCGGCGGCTGCTGCATACTTGCTTTCTTGGTATAAGTTACTTTCCAAGCAAGTCCAGCGATGTGGTAGGTAGGTAGGTAGGGTAGTATCGAGGCAGGCCGAATCAACCAATGCCAATACCGAGTACCGAGTAAGACACAAAAGCAAAGTTTATTTATTCTCGAGCGAGGGAAGACCTGGGATGAGCTGGCATATCAAAGGGAAGGGAGCAGAGCGCGCACGCGCGCAACGAAAGTTATGTCGTAAGGGAGCGAGCGGCGACGCTACTGTAACGGACCGACTGAGCAGAGCAGTGAATGCGTGAAAAATGAATCAAGGGATCTGTCGGTGGGTGGAGAACAGGTAGGCTCTAAGTTATATGCTGAACAGACCGTCAGACCGTCAGACCGTCAGACTTGCGAAAGCTAGATCCGTCCAAACTCTCTTTTGTCTACTATATCGCGAATTGCCATATCCACCTACCGCCGACCACCTACCTACTACCTACTACCGCACGCTCCGAACGCACTTACTTGAATTTAATTTACTTACATTAGCTCAACCAGTCTATCCATGTCCATCCTTCTATCGCGGGATGCGATGTGATGGGTTGAGATGCGATGCGATGCGATGGCCACATGGCAGGCCTGAGCGGTGGTTCGTTCGTTCGTTCGTTTGTTCCTTCGTTCACAATGGCATAGTACTGTATCACCTACCTTACCTTACCCTAGTTCGTTCTCCTTCAGCCCTCCTCGCCTCCACTTGTCTCTCCCCCAAAGCCACCCCATTCACTCATTTCCGCCAACAAACCAATCACCACTCTCCCCCTCACCTCCCAAACCTCCCGAACCATCCAAAACAACCCCCAATAGTCACATTCCCCATTCCCCATTCCCCATCTCTCTTCCTCCCCGTCGTGAGGTCTCCAGGTCTCAGAGGTTAAGGTCAAGAACAAATGCATCCATGTCCATCTACGAGTAGGCTGGGCTGGCCCAGGGAGCTCCAGAGTCCAGGGTGCGCACTGCACCTGCAGGCAGGGCACCAGGGGAGTGTTCGGACCCCATGTGGGGTGTTGTCAGGTTTGGCACCAGCGCGGGTCTAGAGTCTAGAGCCTAGAGTCTACCTTAGACAGATGCGCTGACAGAGACCAGAGACAGAGCACCATACTTTACCGTTTGCAGTGCTAGAGGGGGCGAGGGGGTAGTTACTAGATTAAGCACTAGGTACATACAGTATTCGTCCCAACTTGGGGCTTGAACAATAATCTTGAATTTGAATGGAAGAAACTTGAAAGGAAGGGAGGCTGCCATGCGATGCCCATGCGGTGTACTACTGCGCTGGCGGAAATATTGGCAAGGTGCATGGCGTTGTTAGGGTTGGGTGGGTGGGTGAAGTGAGGTGAGGTGAGGCGGTGCGTCTGGATAAGGTAAGGTAAGGTAAGGTAAAGCAAGGCGAGGCAAGGCATGGCAGGTTACGAGGAGTGAGTTTGTTTGGGAGTGTGAGTGTGAATGTGAGTGTGAGTGAGTGAGTGAGTGGTAAGTGGTATGTGAGGGATACAGTCCCTGAGAGGGGGGGGTGGATGAGGCAGTGTGAGTATGAGGTGAGAAGAGAATTTGGGGTCGGAACGGAAGGAAAGCATGTTGTTGATGTTGGTGGGAGATGGTAACAGATGATAGGTCGAGATTGAGAGGTAAGGAGGATACTTCAGTTTGACAAGATGACAGGAAAGGCAATAGTAACAAAAGTACCCAGTACCCCCCTATCTACTATCTATCTCCTACATCCCTATGAATAGGTAAATTCACGAGGATGAACTGATTCTTTGGGGGCGGTCTCGAATGGCTGTGCTCACTTCTAAGCTGTCATATGACTCGCCTGAGACGGCGTCTACCTACTGAACAGCGCCAGAGTCGGAAAGAAAATGAGGTGGACGGAACTTGGAACGCCTGTTCTAGATCTATTGAACTGATTAGAAAGGAAGAGGAAAAGCTGTGCCCAGTGCTCAACGATAGCTCGATGTCATTCTTCGGCAGTCCTACTTTGCTTCTAGAAGGTAATGTTATCTGAGACCTCACAATTCTTCGAGAAAGGCTTCGGTGGGAAGAGCAATGGTCGTGAATACGTTATTACAAGAAGATCCATTCTGAGGACATCTGTTGGTAGGTATGTATGGTATCTCATCTCCTGCATGCATAATCACCGTCGTCATCTCGAGATCTAAGCAGCCTTCTTCGCAAACTCCACTCTCAGAATCAGATGCTTGAAACCATACCCATCCATCTTCTCGCACGCCTTCGCCGCATCCGTCCGCTCCTGGAAACTGATGAACGCAAACCCCTTCGCCATACCCGTCTCCCGATCCTTCGCGAGGAAGACTCTAGTGACGCGACCGAACCGCTCAAACATGTCGCGCAGCTCCTGCTCCTCTGCCATCTCCGAGACGTTCGTGACGCGCAGCGTGGCCAGGTCGTCGCGCTCGTACTTGCCGCCGCCCATGCGGTCGCCTGCTGCTGCTGCTCCGCCGCCGTTGCGCATGTGTGGTGGTACGTATGAGCTCTTTCCTGTGCCGAGACCTCCGGGACCCTCGACGACGTCTGCGGCTCCGGCGGCGACGTCTGCTCCTGCTCCCTCCTCGCCGACGGGTGCCATGGTGTCTTTGAATGGACATCTTGCGGTGAAATGCTCGCCGTTACAAATACGACACTTGACTTTCTTGTCCTTCAGCTTGTCCTTCATGCTTCCGGCCTCGGTCTTCTCCTCCTTTGCGTCCTTGCGCCAGTTGCTGCTGGGTCTGAAGATGATGTTCTCTCCTACACTCGTGGTATCTGTTGCTGGCTGTCACACTGTTAATTTCCATCTCCGTAACTGTAGACTCCAGATCAATCATACCCCTGAACCATCTTTAGCAGAAAGACCGAACTTTGACCATTGCTTGCGCTCTGCAACTCTTGGGTTGACCACCTCCTTGTGTACAGTAAACCGGATTCTACGTGTCGTCTTGACCTTCTTTCCATCATCGGTGAATCTCCACGAGACGATCGTCTTGGTGCCATCTTTGTTTGTAGTTGTAGTGGATGCGGGGAGCTCGTTCACGGTATCATCAAGATCCTCATCGTCAGCCCAGTCGGCACGGCTGTTCAAAATTGTCAGTATGTAAAGCTCGCACAATCTTGGTGGGCGGTTGAGGAGGGGAGCTCAGGTGGCAACTTACGCAGCTGATTTCGACATCTTGCTGTTGGAATTACGCGCTCTTTTTTGGTGCGGCGAAAACTGACTATTCAGAGGTTTCTGGAGTTGCGGGAAGTTGATGCGATCGTGTATCGTGAAGGTAGAAATTCGATGTCCCGGTCAAGGCGGGGGAGATTTCGGCAGCGAAAACTCCAAAAATATCGAGTGGGAATTTCCATAGCCCCGCTAGGGCTGCACGTGACCGATGACTGCGGTACAAATCAAAATGGATGTCTTCGGCCCCTTCGAGACTATTCCTTCCCGTCCGCCACTTTCTTTCGAGTCATCTTCGAGTCACGTCTATTGGATGTATGCCATGCAGAAGGTATATGCGGGATGCATTATTGCAGCTATCATCATCACCTAAGCAGAAGGATTCCTCGCTTTGGCCACATTTTGACATCAAAGCGGATCGCATCTGCAACGCTCCCCAGATTCACAATATAGGCTGAATGGATCTCCTAAGATGACCGATATTATATAGTTGAGCGTATCCAGGACTCACTTTTGTGACGTTTCTTGAGGTGAAGTCAAGGTCTAGATGTGTGCCGAAAGAGGTCGATTTAAACTTCTTGAAGTGGTTTCGAGCAAAGCAAAAAACCCGGTGGAGATCAAGGCTAAATGAAAGCACTGAATCATGATCGGAGATAGTTATTTGAATTAGAAGAACCCTGAAACTCACTATGAAAATGCGACGTGCAACAAACTGAGGAAATGAGCTTCTATTCCTCCTAGTTTTTACTTCGTGAAAAATAACCACGTGCTGACAAGCCGCATTGACGCACGAAAGGCCTTGCGTCGAGGAGGATCACAAGGCTGGTATTATGAGAGGGGATGTCATATTATTCGTCGTCTTATCCTAGTTTTTATACAGCCACAGTAAAACCCTTTTCCGTGTCAAGGTATCCACCACCAGCCCACGCTGCATGACACCGCAATGCGTGCTCTGAACGCCTTTTTGCCCCAAAGCTATGAAGAACATGAAGTAGCTATGACAACAGAGAAGAGTCGCCAATGTGCAACATATGAGTACAGAGATGAATACAGGAGTGGTCTATCTGAACCACTCAAAACGCTAAAGATTCAAGGAAATTTTTGCCGATATTGGTCGTCTATTGCTTCTTCTCGCCGTCCTTAGCCTCGCCCTCTGGCTTGGCCTCCTCACCAGCTGGTGGGGTCTCGCCTGACTCGGCACGGGCCTTGTGCATCTTGTCGAAGAGGTTCAAGCTGGCCATTTGGAGCTCATCGGTCTTCTCCTTGATCTCAGCGGCGGTGGCGGTACCCTCACCAGACTGGGACTTGCTGACAAACTCGCGGAGGGTGGTAATCTTCTCACGGATTTGGTCAGCCTCAGTCTTGTCGAGTCTGTCGGCGAACTCGTTCAAGGCCTTCTCGGTATCGTTCAAGACACTGTCGGAACGGTTGGCAGCCTCGATGGCGTTCTTGCGCTCCTTGTCAGACTCGGCATATCGCTCCGAGTCGTCAACCATGCTCTGGATCTCCTCATCGGAGAGACCGGATCCGGAAGCAATGGTGATAGATTGATCCTTGTTGGTGGACTTGTCCTTGGCGTGGACATGGACAATTGCATCGGCATCAATGTCGAAGGTGACCTCAACTTGTGGGACACCACGGTGCGCAGGTGGGATACCAGTGAGCTGGAAGTTTCCGAGCATCTTGTTATCACGGACAAGCTCACGCTCACCCTGGTAGACCTTAATCTCAACAGCAGTCTGGAAATCAGCTGCGGTGGAGAAGACCTGGGACTTCTTGGTTGGGATGGTGGTGTTTCGGTTGATCAAACGAGTGAAGACACCTCCGAGGGTCTCAATACCGAGAGAAAGAGGAGTGACATCCAAGAGAAGGACATCAGTGACGTTACCGGCGAGGACACCACCTTGGATCGCAGCTCCCATAGCAACAGCCTCATCTGGGTTAACGGACTTGGCAGGGTCACGGCCGAAGATGCTCTTAACGGACTCGGCAACCTTTGGCATACGGGTCATGCCACCAACCAAGATAACCTCTTGAATGTCCTTGGCAGCAAGGTTGGCATCCTTCAGAGCCTTTCGGACTGGCTCAACGGTACGGCTGATGAGAGGGTCAACGAGCTTCTCAAGTTGCGATCTGGAAAGCTTCTGGTTGATGTGCTTTGGTCCGGAAGAATCGGCGGTGATGAAAGGAAGGTTGATATCGGTTTGCATAGATGAAGACAGCTCAATCTTAGCCTTCTCAGCAGCCTCACGGATACGCTGGATAGCCATGCGATCGTTGGAGATATCGATGCCAGAATCCTTCTTGAATTGTTGAACCAAGTGGCGGACCAAGTGAATATCGAAATCTTCACCACCCAAGTGGGTATCACCGTTGGTGGACTTGACCTCGAAAACACCCTTCTGGATCTCGAGAACGGAGATATCGAAGGTTCCTCCACCTAGATCGTAGACAGCAATGATCTTGTCCTCATCCTTCTCCAGACCGTAAGCAAGAGCAGCAGCAGTTGGCTCATTGACCACACGCAGAACGTTAAGACCAGCAATTTGACCGGCATCCTTGGTGGCTTGACGTTGCGAGTCGTTGAAGTAAGCTGGGACGGTAACAACGGCGTTCTGGATAGGCTTGGTGAGGTAAGCCTCAGCAGTCTCCTTCATCTTTTGCAAAACGAAACCACCAATTTGCGATGGAGAGTATTTCTCGCCACGAGCAGAAACCCAGGCATCGCCGTTTGTGTGTTGAACGATCTTGTATGGGACCTCCTTGATATCGCGTTGAACCTCGACATCAGTGAACTTTCGTCCGATCAAACGCTTAGTGGCAAACAAGGTGTTCTCTGGGTTTACAACAGCTTGACGCTTTGCTGATACACCGACTAATCTCTCGCCATCCTGTGCGAACGCCACTACCGAGGGTGTTGTTCGGGCACCTGGGGAAAAGTTAGAAGGTCAGGAAACAAAAAGTGGCAAATGCTGGAAAAATACCTTCTGAGTTCTCAATAATCTTAGCTGTGGGGCCTTCCATAATTGCTACCGCCGAGTTTGTGGTTCCTATGATAACTGTGAGCATGCGACCACATTGAGACCCCTTGAAGCGCCGGAAGTGGAAACTTACCCAGATCGATACCGATGACTGGGCCGCGAACCTTCTTGTCTGCATCATCTGCATATCTGCGCACAAATGAGGAGCCAAGTGGTGTGCGGATGAGGTTTGAGGATCGTGTGGCGGAAGAGGTAGCTCGGGGAAGCTGTTCAAGTCAGATGGTGATGCAATGACAACAATGGAACATGCAGATAGGGAGATCTTACAGCTCTGGACAATCTTGAAGACAACATATTGACGGGTGCTGTGAAGAACAAGAGAATGTGTGTGAGGGAGCTGATGTAGATGAGAGAGAGATATTACAAAAAGAAGAGATGGAGGTTGATTGATGGTTTCGAGAAGAAATGGAAGAAGGCAGATGCACGGCTGCGAAGAATATTTTCGAAATGGCGCTAAGACGGCTAGTAGCTACGGGTGGAATTGGAGAGAAAACTACGGTGGGCCGAAGTGGAGTGGAGCGCAGAAGGCAGGGGAAGCGGGCATCAATGATTGCAAAAGCAGCACGAAAACGCCTCTCTGTGATCTGTTATGTCTGTAATAAGTGGTTTATGACAGTCGACACAGTAACATGGAAAAAGACAAATACAGACACAATGGACCAAAAACTCAAGATTGTACGATTAAAGGATGAAATGCATTTCACGACCTTCCAACATTTCTTGAGTAGCATTTTGTTTACTCCAGTATTTAGAGCAATGCTCCTGTCTGGGTGCCGCCTTTCCGGGACGAAATGGTCCTTGTTCCAGCCTCGATCCTCAGGCAGGCCTGCAGGTGCTTGTTGGTATCCACCCTCAGCCTTGACGTCGTTGCAAGCTGGATGATGCGACAGGAAAGGAAAAGCCCAAAACAACTACTTTGTAACCAATCTCGAGCCTTTTGTTTATATTCAACTCGAGGGCATATTTGCAAGCCTTCCAGACTATTTTTAAGCATTACATCCTTGTATTCCTACCACTGCTACCCAAGGTCCAACGCCACTTTGTATCGTTACAGAGCTTCATGAAAGCACGCGCTGTAGCGCATGGCAGCCATGGCTGTCAAAGAAGAAAGCTTGTACGATTGTGCAGTTTCTCTATGTCTGCAAGCAACGACTAATGTAATGCTCGTAGGCATCATGCCACTGAGAACCTCATCTTGCCGAATCCGAGAAAGTACTACAGGGCTACGATAGACACCAGGTGCGTTGGTTCAGAGGAAGTCCCAGGATGCTATCTTTAAATTGCAGGCTGTGAGCATTATATTCGCTGGAACATACTTGGATATTTGAATATATTCTTATCTGCATAATACTCGAAAGCCATTAGATGAATACGGGTTGCTGACAATGTGCTTCAAGTCACTGGCAGTTACGGTCCTTAATAAGCTCCCCAGAGCAAGATATCATATACTTCCCCAATGGCACAGACATTATATCAATCAACTCCAAAACTCGGGAACGCGAACTCATAGCCTCGCTTACCTTCCTCCCACGATGTCTCGTTGCCTCGAAAGACTGGTTGTGTTGCGGAGGAGATAATGGAAACTACACTGCCATATCATTGAAGAACAGGTCAACAGCTTTCGATACTTCTTCTTTTCTAGATGCTGATCCGGATGCTCGGTTACCGCTGGACCTGGATCCTACCCGACGCCCCAACATCGGAGAGATGATTGATGCGTATCGAAGGATTCGGGGTCGAGCGATGACAACACAGAGTGAGAAGATCGGAGCGGAAATCGTCAATTGCATCACTCTTTGGTCGCCGAGGGATGATTTATCAGAACGTGTTTACAAGGTTCCAGTGGCTGTAACATCGAATAATGACTGTACCGTTTCGATTCTGAACGTGGCAACCTCGGATACAATTGAGACATTGAAGCTACCAGATTTCGTCAATCGGTCCGCGATATCCCCGGACGGCGAGCTGCTCGTTGCGATATGCGATGACCCGTTTCTATATATTCACAAGCGAATGCAGAAGACGGAGCCGAGAAGCGAACGTTTTGAAAGCAAACGAGGTCCGACATATCATTGGGTCCTTGCTGGGAGGATACAATTGGAGAGTCAACGACAGGCAGATAAATCTCAGATGAGAGGAAGCTTTGCCCTTTCTTTTTCGAGATCGGGAAAGTATCTGGCCGTGGCAACTCAATATGGGATTATATCCATTTTCGATGCGGAATGTCTCACAGAAACACAATCACTGATGGTGTCATTTACCACATCAAGACCCGGTCGGCAAGCTGGAGCTGTTCGAGCAATGGAGTTTTCCCCAGGACCGTTTGGTCTTCTTGTAAGTGAAAATCTGCATATTTGGGAATGCACATCCAAAGATTATTTGCTTTGCTTCATGATTCTCCAAACTCAAAGCCTCGTCAACCATAAACTAAAATCCACGGCTAATCGTTAAAGGCCTGGACAGAATCAAGCGGCCGAGTGGGAATCGCTGATGTCCGTACACTCTTCAACTCCCGCCAACTAATTCTCATCAACTCCAATGAAGTGAACGTAGAAAGAGTCCACCTCTCAGACCGATCCGGTCAAAGATACGGCCTCCGCAATCTACGCACTGAATCGCCACCATCAGCTGGTATCCCAGACTATCTTGGAGCCGACCTAGAAGGACGGCATCTGAGAAGTCTTCTTTTGGATAGAGACCAAGATCCACCTACAGCAGCCGAGCTAGACGTCCTGGAAGTGTCTCGAATTGCAAGACGGCAACGGGATGCCGCGAACACAGCCCGAGAAGTCCTAGCCGAAGCATCAGCAACATCACGCTGGGGCCCATGGGCTGACGGACGTCGCTCAGCAAATACTAATACAACGCCCAATGGCGAAGGAAGTTCGAGCAGCGGCACCACCCGTCTTGTCAACAATGCCGGGCTCCCATCCTCCCTCCGCGATTTCGTCTCACATGACCGTTCTGCGGCCTCATTCCGCGCATTCATGGACGAACGCAACCGCGAAAGCGCCCGCCGCACCCAACTCCAACAGCAAGAACCTAGAAGACGCAGTTCCATGCTCTTAGCCGCAGCCGAAACAGCCATCGAGCGGGAGACGCTCGGCGCGCCCCGGAACGACGATACCTTCTCCGGCCTCGAACGCCTCAGCCTCACTCCTGGTCGACGAGACCGTGACCGTGAACGAGAACGCGATCGAGAACGAGAAAGAGAACGAGAACGCGACACCCCCACAGAATCCGGCTCTGGTTCAGGCAGAGCGCCTGAGTCCAACAACCCCTGGGCGGACATCGATTCCATATACCGAGCTGCCTACGCACCTATCACGCGCTCGACTCGACTTCGCGTCGAAGTAGGTGTCGAAGACGACGACCAGACGATCAGTATCAACCCGCGGGAGTTTGCGCACAGGTTACGACAGCCGTGGCGGCCGACGGATGATGGCACGACGTTTGGGTTGGGGACGATGACGAGGGATGAGAATGGATTATTGGATGGGGTGTTGAGGGCTGCGGAGACGATGGGCTGTTGTTGGAGTCCTGATGGGAGGATTTTGTGAGTGACCGACTGCCCTTTTGATCTGGTTCCCTATCTCCCTTGCTCGCTCTTGAAAGGCCAGATGTCAATCAAGTAGATAGACTAACGAATTTCATAGGTACGCAGCAACACTCGAAGGAATCCACGAATACCACGTCAACATCGCCGGTCGAAAAAAGTTCCCGAGTATCGTATTCCGTTGAGCGTGTACACCGCACCTGCTCTAATACCAGTACTCCTACTAAATGGAGGTTCTCTATGTATGCATGCATGCATGCATGTATGTTTGCTCAAGGCGTCCTGGAGTTCCTTGGTTATGTATGCCACTTCGAGCATTCTGCATTGTGCGGGCATTTGTATTTTTTCTTGGTTTGATTGATTTGAATGAATGGCTTGCTGGTACTGTTGGAGGAAGGGAGGAAGGGCAAATTCAAGGCAAACAAGCAGAAAAGCAGAACTAGGAACAGGTAGCATTAAGGGAAGAGCCCGGACGGCACGGGACAGAATGGAATGGGGTGAGAAATGTAGAAATAGCACGCCACAGGGCAGTACCGTTGTGAGAATAAGAATTGTAACTGGAGTGACTCGGATAAGCTGAGTATAAGTACGTAAGTAAGCATTTAAGCATTTATGTAGCATTTATGAATGTATTTATCTATCAAAGCGTATACCAATTGAGGGTTAAGCTCAGATCAGTCGATGTCAGGGAGTCAAAAAACATTGAGGTCCCATTGATATAGAATTGGTGAGGGGGTAGGGGAGGGAGAGGGATCACTAAAAACGAATTTAAGCGAAGCGAGGCTAAGTGGTTGTTGATGTAAACACACATATTTGCGCCACAGTCTGCGCGGTACACAAGCTGGGGTTGGAACGGATATTCAGCGATATATTATTCCTCATACCTCTAAGCCAAAGCCACGCCAATGTATTCTCGTTTCATTAATTCAAGCGATTGATTCACACCCTCTCCATCCTATCACCTCTCTCTCCCACCCAGGGGAAACAAACCTGACCTAGTCATTGCAAGTATCCATTCCTTGCACTGCGTCTCATGGCTCTCATTCGACTGCTTGCTTGCTCATCATCCACCATTTCTCAGTTCCATGCAATAATTCATTTCACGACCTACGCCACCAATGCTGACTAGACCGCACGGACACGGACTTATAGCTTCTAGACCAAACACTAGAATTGCCCAAACTCACGCCCAGAACAATATGGAAAGACCAGAGTAGATGTAGAAATGGCTCCGCGCCACTCTTGAGAACGCCTGAAATACTTGACTAGCTGACCTCATTAAGATTTGCAAAGCAGCTTCAGTCATTTTTGACTTCCTCTGCAGCTGTGGGATTTGCAGAAGTTGGAGCCGGCGCTGTACTTGTAGCAGCTGAGATCTCGGGTGGTGCTTCTTCAGAAACGGATTGAGAGCGGAGGAGGTGAGAAGGCGTGGCAGGTTCATTGGTGATTGCTGAGTTGGTATGAAGTTCGCTGACTTGGCGCTCTGCAGATTGGGTTAGCATTGTACTTGCGTGTCATAGCTGCGAAGTAGCATACCCAATTCTCTGATCCTCTGTCTCAACATCTGATTCTCTCTAATCATCATCTGAGTCTCTGCTTGATAGAAGGCGCTCTCGTCACGACCACCAAGATTCCAAGTCTCACCACCTTCGCCGCTGATTGAAGTTGATCTCAATCTTGGTGATGCTGTCCTGCTAGGTGTTCTTGATCGTCTATGTTGGAGGTCTGCTCGAGCAAGATCAAATGAGCTGCGTGGATGGAGGGCTGCGGATGGAGAGCGAGGAGTGGACATGGTTGAATGACGAGGGTTTTGATTGGAGAAGGACATTGAGCGTTCTGAAGTTGGTGTGGACTCGTCGATTACAGGTGGTGTCGAGTGGCTTGGATCAGCGCCCCGAGCAAGTTGTAGTTGCTGAAGCTCCTGCTGTTGGGTGCGGATCATTTGTAAGAGTCGGTTCTATTGTTCAGTCAGTCTCAATACATGGTGATAGCCCTTTGCGCGCCAACCCAACCAGACTATCCAGGTCTATTGTTCACTTGAACCAAGACACAGACAATATTCTTGCCTGATCATATTTCATTCTCCAAAAGCATTGTGAAATGACGTGGACAACATACAACTTGCGCCTCTTGCTCCTGCTCTATTTCCTGATGTATTTCTCCCAGACTCGGAGCACGAAAGTGGTGAGGATCTCCACTAGAAATGATCGGCGAGCCTGTGAGAGAATGTGGACTGGATGTTCGATAACCTGAGACGTGGGGTTCGTGGACCATTTCACCTGGCGCAGGTAGGGAGGGATCGTTGAGTTGCAAGTTCATCAAGACTGTGGATCGTCTTCTGCCAGCATGGGATGGTTGTCGATTCCTTGTAATGGAGCCGCTCGAAGAACCTAGACCTGTATTGTTAGCACAAAATTTTTGACTGTGTCTTGTGAAAAGAGGTCTGGACCCTCATGCAACTGCAAGGGGATAGATAGTCTTTTGACTGCCCTCAACATGCCCATTGCAGGTAGAAGGAGCTCAGGAGCACCGCTGTTCCTGATAGAATTGAAAGAAAACGGTGTAAAGATTGTAAATAGAACCATACATACGTCTGGAATCTTCTTGTTGTAGTCCAGCGTTTACAGCCGCAGCTGCTTGGAGGGAGGTCGATGCGGTTCGTGGGGAAGGAGAGGGTGTTTGACCCCGCAGGGCGGCAGCACCAGATTCTCCAGAGCTTGAGAGTGTTCGTGCCATGGTCGGTGATCCTGAAAGAGATATTGATCTTGAGGGAGGGAGGGAGTTGAGGTCGGGCGCCATTGGGCTTTTATATTAAGCAGAGTATGCTAGAAAGGGCGCTGATGGTGGGGAGTATCGGAATGGATCGAGGGATGAATGCAGGCGACTTGCAAAGTGGTATGGACGTTGTCGGAAGTGAAAAGCAGTCGAGGGATTGGAGGAAGGAGAGCCGCCAGCAATCGAATCAAATTATGGCGTGGATTCTAGGGGTTTCGGTGAGTCAAATGTGTGGAGAGAATGTGAGCGTGATCGTGATCGTGATGTTCGAGGCAGACAGGAAGGAGCTCTGCCCGCCCTGTGACGATGATCGCTTAGGATTTGGCAGGGGTCCAAGTCCAGTCCCTGAGAGCGTCGAACTTCAAACTGAACCTCGGAACGGTCGATTTCTCACTTTCAATTGCAACAAATAGCATGATTCATAAGCGCAATCTTTACCTACCTTGTCTGCTTGTGTGCTTATACGAATCTTTCTACACAACTTCTAGCAGCCAGCCACCCCAAGAAGACCACCGTTTGCAACACCGCTTTTCTCTCCAAAACAACAAACTTATGGCAGCCTGCTCTGGGGAATTCTCATCTCTCCCGGATCCATCGTCCGCTAGAGTCTTCTTGTATAAATCGTATGCAAAATATCCGAGTAATCACGGGATATATTTGGGGAGTTCGGGTTCTGGCCGTCAACTCGCTGCTTAACCTTACGAAATGGCACCATCAGACCACCAAAGCACCTGACAAGTTGACATTGACGGCCAGCCACCACTCTGGATCAACCGAGAATGACAGATTGTTCTCAAGATAGAGTATGAATTTTCATCATTGTGGCAACAGAATACTCAGATACTCAACGCCATCCGAATTCGTGAAAATTCAACAGGGAGCTCGTGACTGCCCTACCTATGAACAAGACCATTCTTCTGACAGCCAAAGGCTTCATCGATAGAAGTGAAATCAACCCGCCCCAAAGTCCCTGGTGTGCTGTACGGAACCGGTTTGATAAGCTGATCTCCAGATCTAGAACATACCTTCCTGGGTAGCAATAGCAGTACTAGCATGCCTAGTCCCGTTGACCTGTACCAGGTTATCAAATTTGAGGCTCGGGGAATCTGATCAACAAAATCCAGAAACAACAGTCCAAACTCACAGAGAGGCTTCGTTAATAGTCCCACTTCTGGGGCAATCGTTCCTCCGAAGCAGAATCACGAGGACAGATACGACGAAGCGGCCCATTATTTAATCGCCGTGCTCATGTTGGTGACTGATCCATCGTTGAGATCACAAAATCAATACTTGCTCTACCCCACATATGTTCATCCGAACCATGGACATTGTTCGGGTCTGAAAAGTCATGGACGATCCCTCCTTACAACCCAATAGTGCGGTCATAGTCACCACTGCGACAAATGGATTCGCACCAGCACTCTCAAGAAGTTTTGGATAATACCAACGCCAAAAAGCAAAAATATCACCAGCGCGAGGTGCTGCTTCTCTCCTATCAAGTCCAGTCGAATTCCTTTTCCTTCCAACGTCCCGACCTCGGTAGCACGGACTTCAGCACCATCCTAGTATCTTATCAAGTATCCTTGGACCTTACAGTACAGTAGGGCTCAATGATCCGGATGTAATTTCTGAAAGAACACTTCACAGCCCCTTTCGGCTTGCAGACAAGTCACAAGCTGGCCATATGCAACTCTTTTCCGCCTCTCAGGAGTCTTGATCGACTTGCCTTGAGTCTTGCGCCCGAGACAAGTGCCGAGACTCCCAAAGCATTCCCCCAGATAGACTTTATCTCAACTCCTCGATTGTTGGGAAAAGTCAAATCAAACAACAGTCTACAGTACAAATATTATTGTCCTCGATCCGGGTCGCATCGCACCGTAGGTAGGTGATTCTTGTGCAGAAGTCCAGAGCTCCGATCAGCCATTAGACTTTCCTTGTGGGTGGCCCTAATGCAGGCACGATGCCACCATGATGTCGCTTTTCCCACCCAAGTAAGCCGCAGCGGATGGTGAGGGAGCATCCCGCAACAGCTGCGCTGAAGTTTCCTGTCCTCGATCTTAACTTGAGACACCGGCACGGAGTAAATTATATCTAAAGGACGTCTGGCTCAAGTCGCCCAAGCGACCTTCAAGCCATCATTGCCTATCGCACTGTCTGCAAAGCAATTCAATAACGATGTTTTGCTGAATTGACATTCTTCGCTCGAATTCTGCTCTGTTGGGCACTGCACTGCACTGCACCCCCTGTGTGCCCTGGCCCTGCTTGGGCTCGAGTGTTGGTGCTTCGGAGGATTTGCTGTTCGCATGCACTAAAGTACTGTAGAGCCGCTAAACCCAACGCCTCACGCCAGATCCACAGGCTACTGTGACGCCCGCCGTGCTGTGATTTGGCAATGGAGCGCTCCCCTTGCCAGCCCTTGCCAGCCCTTGCCAGCCCTTGCCAGCCCTTCCCAGCCCTGGCCTTGCTGCTGCAGGGGAACGGCAGGGCACAGCATGTGCCTCGACCTAAAATAATCATCATCCTGGACCGGACCTGGAATACCTGATGGATCGGACAGCACTGGCACCCGTGCGTCAGCTTCGTGTTCTCCTCCATATCAAGAGACGGGCCCATCTCCTCCTGCATGTCATGTCATGTTTTTTCTCCTATCTCCCTGCGAACTTCCCCCCCTCCCCGCGGTCTGTCTCGTCGCGTCTTCGTCTTCGTCTTATTGCCTGCCATATCATTGATTTGCGATTGCTTCTGCTTCTGCTTCTGCTCTCAATGTCTTCAATTCTACGCCTGCGCTTTACAGTCTTTCGTTCTCGACCTGCCTAGGTGCCGGATGCGACCCCGACCTTTCTTTTTCCCCTCAGAACCAACCCCACACGCGTCAGTCAGGACAACCGTCCCAAATACCAGCCAACCAACTTCGCGGTCAGCTTTCTTTTGACGACTTTGAACCTATCCTTGTGCCTGGGTAGTTCCTGGTACTGAACACATTTCGATTGTTGTTTGCGCGCTTCTTGGCCAACCGTGGAGTACCTGGCCAATATTTTCTTCAATATTGGATCAACAATTCGAGCAATCTGAATGTTTGCGACATCCGACTTGCCCTACAGTAACGAAACGAAACGAAATCTTCAAGTTTGCAAAGCACACTTCCCCATATCCATCCAATTGGGTGAAGCGGCACAAGGAGTCGACGGCCAATTCAGGCAGTAACGAAAGGGACTTGGCTAGGCCCTCGTGTCTAGCACGCCAAAACAAGACACATTGAGGACAAGGTCAACAATTTTTGGTTTCCAAAAGACCAGGCAAGGGAGAAGGCGCCAACAATGGGAGACATCAATGAATCGGAGCGAAGTGAAGCAGGAGGTTTGCATGATCTACCGCAACTAAATTCAGCAATCAACTCCAATCGCAGAGAGCGGCCACCAATGATCAACTTATCAACTGGAGATGTCGCCAGTCGCGTTCCCTTGCGGCAGCCAAAGGTCCTGAGGAAGGATTCGAAGGGTGGACTCCGCGGTATGTTCACACGAAACAAGACTGAAAAAGCGGTCGTCATATCGCCATTGATTGAGGAGACCCCTTCATTATCTGGATTCTCGGAGAGGTCTATGAAAGCTGCAGCGGAAGCAAACTTACCCCGTAGCCTTTCCATGAAAATGGTCATGCAGAAAGCCGAGAAACCTACTCCAGTAACAGAAATCATCATGCCTGCTACGCCAGCACAATCCACTGCCAAAGCTTCGCGGATGAATCTCAGGTCTAAATCAGTGAAATCGATGAAGACCCCCAGCAAACCAACCCCAAAGTCACCGAGTACAAAGTCTTCGCCCCGGCCACCCACGCGGACGTCGGCAGCTTGGGATCCACCGCCACTCTTTCAAGCCTACCCGCAGGCTATAAAGCATGCTCAGCTTTCCGCTTCAACACTTTCCGCTGATGCTATCCTTCGCATGAGCAACCACAAGAGAAATAACAGTCTCCGGGACGAAATCGCTCAGGTTGAAGCCACGGATCTTACGAGCGCAGCAGCTAGGAAAGCTGAAAAGGCGAAAAGTAAACACAAACGACAAATCTCGGGATCACTGTCTAAGGCGGACTGGACTCAAAAGATTTTCGTTTTAGTAACTTCTGGCTATTTATTGCAATATGCAGGTGACGGATCATTCGATAGGTTACCAGAGAAGATGATGCAACTTGGGAAGGATTCTGGTATGTTGCAAATTCTTTTGGTCATGCCAGGAAACAATGCTAACCGAGAAAGTTGCTTTCGCTAGCGACGTAATCCCAGGGAAGCACTGGGTACTACAAATTTCGCAAGCTATGGATTCCGATGGTACACCAGCTTCAGATTCGAGATCTCTATTATCGCGGCTTGCTTTTAGGGGCGCTGATTACCGAAGATCTGCAACTAGCTTGTTGCTTGTCCTCAATAGTGCCGAGGATATGGACTCATGGATTGCCGTTGTAAGGAGGGAGATCGAAGCATTAGGCGGCAAGAAACATGTTTCGGAAACAGGAAAACCCAAACCGGACGACAAAGTTATGCAACTGAGAGCGCAGCCAAGCCATCGATACCTCATCCACAGGAATACGGACGAGACGTCTAATCCAGCCTCGCCCCAGATCCCATCGTTCGGACCACCTCCATGGGTTAAGGAGAAAGACAATGAACTACAGAAAAAGCTAGAGGAGGCAACATCGGAATTAATACGACCGCAGTCGTCATCAGTCCGTCCTTCGACTAGTTACCACTCGAGGGCTGGCAGTGTCACTTCAAACGATGGACGTCAACTTGAGAGTCTAAGAGATAGCTCAAACAGATTCTCTTATGTTTCTTCTGGCCAACGAACACTGATCACTTCTCAAGACTCTTCACCAGCTACTTCGCCAACTAGAGAAAGCGGAAACTTCGACGACATCATTCCCAAGCCTTCTATCGAAGATCTACACCTCCGACCAAATGCAGCAGCTGTGAATGAACGTAGGAGATCCATGCAGACCATGCACGCCCCTCTCCTGGAACCGCAAGCCACGGCAAAGCTCCATCGACATTCAACATACGGTGGTCCAGCCAATCCAAGTCGAAGCCGCTCTCCAGGCCTAACACCAAATTTCAGCGTTCCAAATTCTTCGATTAAACGCTATTCTATGGCTAAGAGTCCATCGCCCACACCACCCGTACCAAGCAAAACTCTTGGATCCGGGCAACGGGATTCCATTCTGAGGGGACCTCGCAAAGCACCCCCCTCCGCGCTTCACGTTCCACGCCCTCTTTCTCCAGTAAAAGCCTCGCCGAAAAAGGCTGCCCCCATGATCGTCATGCCCGTGGACTCAGACCCAATCTCAGGTCCAAGCACCACCCAATCCTTCTCGCTAGTCCAAAACGCCAAGCTATCCGTGATTACCATCCCACCACGCTCACCTACTACACCATCCAACGCCATGCCCACCCCTCCACCCCGCCGCATGTCAAGTCTCACGCCGCTTGCTCCCCATGAAGCAGCACACATTGACTTCCACCTGCCTCGCAGGTACTCGAGCATGCAGACACTTCGCGAAATAAGCGAGAAACATGCGTTGAATAACAACAATCTCGATGCACCGCTACGCCCTGCGCCTCTACCACCGGCGGCACTTTCAACACCATTGCCGAGCTCGCCGTTTGTATCAACGTTTGAGCTTCCTATCTCAACTACACAACAGAGTCAAAGTCAACGCCACGGTCAGGATCAGACTCAAAATCATTCACACTCCCACTCGCAAAGACCTCGAAGCAGAGCCAGTGCCCGCTCACCACAGCCCGTTCCCGTCCTCGTACCCGCCCTAGCAAACACCAAGTCCAAAGTCAAACGCCCAATCAGCATGCAAATCGCCCCCGCCGCCGCCCACAGAAACAACCCGTACCTTTCTCTCAAGACCAAATCTCCCCATATTGCATCTCAAGCCAACACCCTCTCGCCTCGACCTTTCTCCTCATCTTCAAACACCTCCTCTACCTCAACATTGTATTCGCACTCTTCTACCAACGGCCACGTCTTGACGCCGCTGACTTCAGTGTCGATGCTTTCACCTGGTTTGCAGCGGGTGAAAGAGCATGAGATTAGCAGGACGGTGATCAATAGGCGGAGTATGCCGGCGTTGGTTAATGGACCACCGCCTGCGCCGCCGCCAGATTGCGCGTTACCTCCTATACCGCCGCCTGGGAGTTCGAGGGGAAGTGTGGGGAGTAGGGGGAGTTTGGTGAGGTGAGATGGTAGGGGCTGAGAGTGAGACGAAAGTGTTGAGATGGGGTGATATGAGATGAACGACACGGGCACGACACGACTCACCAACATACGACACAACAGACTGACCTGGATCCAGGACACTTCCACTTTTTCATTACTATAATTTCCTCTCGTCCATGATTCTGTATAGATATATTGTACAGACGCATACCTACATACAACACACCGGTGCATAAATACATGCTTCAGGACGGCACATACACAAAATACAACATATAGCGAGCAATCGCACTCTCACTCTCCTACACCTGTATACGAACGGACGAACTCACATACGACAATCAATCACTCTCACAAACAGTCAAACACTTTCCTCTCTTTTACCTTTCCTTATATATTCTTCCCTTTCATTCTAGCTACACGCTTCTTTCTTTCTTTCATTTTGTTACTCGATCCCCTTTCATCCTACCGAGATGAGCGTTTTGGATATGTACATTTGCTGTATCAACTCCTTTTTCTTTTTAAGTGTCTTGCGAAGATAGCGGAGGCACGCGGCGTTACGGACCCACGGACTGGGTGGCCGGCGTGTTATGATATCCATGTACCATGTACCTTGTACCAACAATCCGTTCAGCGATGTATTGGGCGTATTGTATTGTATTGTACTGCATTGCAATTGTATGAGTATGATATAATCGGATGAGGCTGGGGAAAGGCGAGGGAGCGGGATCATCAGGGAGTTTCCAGTGCTCGGAATTCATAGGTGCCGAGGCGGGGTTCTCAATGGACGTGAGAATAAGTAGTTAAAGATGAGATAAAATAGACAATTCAGAAATCAAAGTTAAAAAAAAGTTGAGTTAGTGGATTATGAGGATCGCTACAGCTCAGAAGGTTTGATTTTCAAGTTGTTTGATCCACGGAGTATGTACAATGTTTGTGGTATTTAGCTGGGAATGAAGCGGTTAAGGGATGGGAAGTTAGAAGAACAATAAATGTAGGTGTGCCGGTACCCAAGATATGTTACTGAATGTAAGCAGAAGTCTCACGCTCTAGCTTTTTTTTTTTCAGTTCCTGCAAGAAGGGGATAGAGACAGTGGCAATGAGAAGATGGTGTTTTGTTACTTAAATAGGACAAGATGAAATCATCATGACGAAGTCCTCTTGCTTTTCATGTAGGATAGGTAGAGGTAAAGGTAGAGTAGGTGGTACCTGAATCTGGAAGTACAAGTAGACCAGTCAGGAAATTAAGTTATATTTTAATATCCGACGCAAATCTCACAGACATTAGAATAAAATAAAAAAATCGTGAGGTGTCGAAACCTACGTATTGACTTGATATGATATGATGTACATAATGCAAGCACCAGCACACAGGACACTCTTCTCTGCTTAGACTTAAAGTTGGTTTTTAACTCTTCGGCAAGCCAGGAAAGAGCAAGATTGATTACCTCGGTTATCTCGACGCAGAACAGGTGAGATGACGAAGGTTCCAAAGTTTATGCATATTGCAGGCACTAATTAACTTCGCTCGAGAAGAAGAACATGCAAACGCCAAAAGCTAGTTTTACATATGTTCCTATTTCCCGGGAGGTACTCGACATACCATTCCCAATCCCATCCAACACTTCCAATGCCATTCCTGTTATAGTCCACCACACCGTCGCAACCACAGAGACCTGGGTAGGAATCTAATCCTCGTCAAACACCTCCTCGACTCGAGGCGCCATGTGTCGTTGCGTGGTATTCGAGGAAGTCTGGATTTGAGGAGCGGCGGAGGAAGTTGTAGCTGTGGCGGGGGCGGGTTGTCCTGTCATGGCAGCCATTGTAGCGCCTGCGTTTGCGGAACCGGATTGCTTGGACTTCTTCTTGCCTTTCTTCTTCTCCTGTTTGCTATTAGCTCCACTGACTTTTACAACACGGACATGTAATGATAGTGACATACCTCTTGCCAACCCCAAAGCGGTCTAAAACTATCAAAGAATCCAACATCCTCAAACAGATTCGGGTACAGCCACAGTCCGGGCGGGACAGCGAACATGGTGATTGCGAAGAGAATGAGTCGGAAGATGGCCATTACAAAGAACAGTCCGATGAGGCCGAGCATGCCCATACTGAGATACCAGACACCGAGACGAAGCTTCATTGGCCAGAGCGGGAACATGACAACCGTGAAAACCAAGGCCAGAGCACCAAGAGCGTACAGTTTCTGCTTAACCTGAGCGCCCTCATAGAACCAGACGAAATGGAGATCCTCGCGGCATTCCTGCTGTTGCTCGATCTTGACGGTCCAGAGGCCTTTGACTCGCTTTGTCTTGTGTGCGCCTGGGGCATGGTTGTGGCCTTCGTGGGGATCGGCCTTGGAGACGCGGAGAGCGAGGAGGGACATGGGGAGGAGCTTGAAGGTGTTTTCGAGGGAGGCGCGGTCGGTGATCTCTGGTAGGAGAGGGTTCTTGGAGCGAGCTTTGGCGTAGGCTGGAGATTCAAGGGCTCGGAGTGCGCGTTTGACTGTGTCTCTGTTAGAACAGCACTGGTAATTACAGAAGATGGACTACGTACCCTTGAACATATCCTTTCGCTGTCCATTGAGAATACATGTCCTTGGTTTCAAGTCCTGCCCTTTCAAGAAATTTGCGACTGCAAGTGCCTCTGGCTTCGGAGGACCAGGCTGGATAGGTTGCTGCTGTTGTTGCTGTGCTTGAGCCTGTTGCGCCTGAGCTTCCTGTTGCTGTCTCTGCGCTTCCTGCATCTTCTGAATGAACTGCGGAACAGTCAATCCTTGCTTTGCGGCTTCAGCAGCCAGCTGCTTCTTCATGATCTCGATTTGTTCTGGTGTTGGCTGTGGTTGTCCTGGCGGGGCCTGGAAATTGATTTGTGGCTCGCCTTGTTGTTCGGCTGGCGGGCCTTGAGGAGGTGCTTGTTCTGCCATGTTTTTTGTCGGCTATGGTGAGTCGAGATGTGGTGGTGGTGAAATGTCCAGACTTTGCGATGCGAAGGTGAAGTGGAAGTCGCAGAGAAGGCTGAGAATTATTGAGACCTGTCCAGTTCAGATTAAAACAGTGGAGCTATGATCCGGTCGTCTTTGCCAGGTGGTTGGAAACGAGACGCCACTGTGGCTTGTCGGTCCGTGCGTTTTTCCGATGATCTAACAGGGATCGAGGTCAAGCTCCAAACATCCACTAAGAGGTTCACCATCTCACTCTAACATATTTCCTTTCCAGCAGGTTCTCGTGTCCTATATCCTGGAGTTCGCATATTTGTCGGCTCAATGCCTATTTCTACTATATGAATCTAACCAATTGCTATCCTAATGTCCACGACTTAGTACCTCTATCCACTCGCTTCCGGCTCCTCCGATGAAATATCAACCATTATTCCTGAGCTTAATGTCTGTGTTTTCTGTGGAAGATGAGTGAGAACTATACACCAGGGGCTGATGCCCTACCTGTACCACCATATACGACAGTAATCTTAGTGTGTAACGCCGTGCTCCCCCAATATCGTGTTTACTCACGTGCTGACGTATGTGTCATCCAGTCTCAACGAGATTTGGGATTGAGAGTCCCAATCAACTTCGTTACAGATCCTGGGGTATCTTTGAGAGCCGCTTGCTTCTCCGACAATAAATACGAAGATGATAATGCTGGAATCTGTGTGTCCAATCTCCTCGCTGCTGGGTTCCGGAGCTTCGAGCTTGACCTTTATTGGGATCAAGGACGTGGTGTTTGGTCTTTCTGTCCGGTTTCCATTCCGACTTGGATTCAAGATGTCAACCCGTCATCGACCGTGACGGTATTCCCAGGTTCTTCTTCAGCATTAAATCTTTCCCAATCAACGAGCCCGGCTACCGCATCCAACTTATCTGAGTTAACAAGTCGAGCAACACTTTCAGCACAAAGTTCTGCTTCGCGTAGTCCTAATTTACTCGCTAGACAGCAGGCTACGACTGCACCGACTCTTACCAACCCATCTCCGGCGACTTCAGTGGATAGTACTCTCGGCCAACTCCTTCCCAGCATTTCAGCCATCCCAGACACCCCAAACAGCCCATTGGTAGCAATCGGACCATATGTCTGCACCACATCCATCAATCTTTCAGCATTCACTTCTCTACTTCTCGACTATATCCAAAAGTCAGAGAACACCTTAGGTGCTCATCTTATCTACCTAATACTAAATCTCCACGCCGCAGCGTCAGAACAAGATCCTGATGCCCCTGCTCCTCAGCCATCACGCCTACCTCTTGGGCTTGACCTCCTAGGAAACCAATTTGCAGGAAATCTAACAGAATATATATACACCGAGTCTGAGTTACTTTCTGATAGAAGGAACCTCAACGACTCATGGTACAATATTCAAAATGAGCTTTACAGACCAGTGGAAGGTTACTACGAGATGACTCGTACACCTAATGGGATTCTCACAACAGAAGATGGATGGCCGTCAGAAGCGTACATTGAGTTCGCAAACAGCAAGAGATTGCTGATAGGATGGGGAACCATTGATCCTCAAATGGAGGGATATAATTTCACTGGAGATTCTGGGACGATATTCACCGAAGGTTTCATCCAAGAGCTTCAGACGGAGGTTAGGGCGACTGATGACGGAGCGCTTACGAATGGCTGCTTCATGAACAACAGCACCGATGAGCTGGCGCAAGCTAATTCTTCATGGGCAGTTCAGAGTAGTCTATCGAGTTTTGAGTATCCGACTGCATCTTCAGCTGGTTCGTAATCCCTTTTTGGACTTTTTCTTGTTGTTCCTTGCCACCGAAGCGAAGTCAGGGGCTCGGCTGTCAAGCGACAATATTTTGTCGAACCCCTTTTGTCGTCACTTTTTATTTCATTTTCGTCAACCCTTCGGCAGGATCTTCCATACATTTCTTTTTCACATAAATCCAATATTCAACAAACCCCCCCCTCCAAGCCCAACTTGCTAATCACATCACAGACCTCACCCCCCTCCTAAACCTCACCACTTCCCTCACAAACTGCGGCATCTCCCCCCACCTGAATAATACCCTCCTCTCCGTCTCCGCTCACCAAAACTCCACCCCCTATACCCTCTTCTCCCACTCCACAATCTGGTCCTGGGCCCCCAACTCCCCCCAAAACGCCTCCACCACGCCCACCTCCCCCTCTTCCACCTCCCAAATCTTCCGCTGCGCAATATCCACCCTCACCAGTCCCGAAAACCCCTATCCCGGCCGCTGGATCGTCGACGACTGTTCCGCCCGACGCTACGCCGCTTGTCGCCGTCGCAACAAACCGTATACATGGACGCTTGCCGACGTCGCTGTGAGCTACAGTTTTGCGGACGAGAATTGTCCTGAGGAGTACGAATTTGCGGCGCCGAGGACGGCGCTGGAGAATGCGTATTTGACTGTGGCGATGAGGAGGAGTGGGAGGGACTTTGATGGGCATGGGGCGTGGGTGGATTTCAATAGTCTTGACGTGGAGGGGTGTTGGACTACCGGGGGACCGAACGCGACGTGTCCGTATAAGGAGGCGGTGGGGAAGGAGAATGAGTTGAATAGGAGGGAGATTTTGGTGGGTTGGCTTTTCCTTTCCCTTTCCCATTAGTCATACGAAACCAATTTCTAATAACCTACTCTCCCAAAATAGGTCCCAACCATAGCCGCTATAATCGTGCTCATCACGTTCGGGCTCACGATATTCGTCAAATGTGTCGGGAACAGGAGTTCCAAACGCCGTGTTAGGCGGAGGACGAAGACGGCGGGGAATGGGTTTGTGTATGAGGGTGTGCCGTCTTGAGCTTTTCTTCTAGTCAGAGATTATCTGCTTGCTTAATTTTTTGTATTTTATCATGGGGTTTTGGTTCTGTATGAAATAGGTGGACGGGCTCGGTTGGATTTGCTGGGATAAGCCATTTGTTATGTGTTCCATTTCTTTGGGGTTGTATCATATTATATTTTCAGTAGGTAGATGGTTTGATCAGGATTCGGGTGTCGGGGTGGGTAGGCTGGACTTGGGTTAGAATGGTTTGGGTAGGATGGCTTGGAGCTGGCGTTATTTCCTGGTGGATATTCGTATGCCAATGGGAAAAGATTTAGTTGGACGTTTGTGCTTCGGGCGTCGGCATCTGTTCATGGGTTCAAGCACGCGGTTCTTTTTATGTAGCTTGTACTGTACATAATACTTTCAGATTCATCAAACGAGAGAGATGTATATTTTGCTACGTGCTTATTCGTAGTATCCAAAATACGCCTACGAGCATGAGCAAAACCAAATCAACAATCACAAGCGAAGGAACTCTAAACGCCAGCCACCCAGTCCAGGCCAGAACCCCCTCATTCCCATATGTGCTCCCCCTAATGTCCATACAGCCCCATGCGCCAGCCATCAATCCAAACCCCTCTTGTGCGCAGAATAGAACAGGACAGCACGTCTAATTATGCAGCACACCAACATCATTCTCGCTAACCTCACTACCAACCTCGGTCCAAGATCCAGGCGTCGAGATCCCCTCCCCATCAACGCTCATCACGTCCGCCTCGCTCGTCGCACCACTTCTCGGAGCCCAGATTTCTTCACCAGAACCAGCTAGCGATACAGAGTCTGTAGGTGTAGCCTCGCCACTTCCTGGGACGGAAATATCTGGGTCGCTGAAAGTTGGTGAGCCGGGGACGATTTGTAGACGCGGTGATGCGGAGCGTGGTGTTACGGGTAAGGGGGAGTAGAAACTGCTGTTTGCGTTGTCGGCCCAAGCGTGAATAGATGCGTAAGCCGAATCGTCTCGTGCTGCCATGTTCGCGTAATCTGTATCTTCTCCCATGGGGTCTTCCATCATAGGGTAGGAGACTGGTGGGTCCGGAACGGCGTCCGAGGTATCGACTAATTGCTCGGCAATGGTGGCGGTTGTCTGGCGGCTTTCTCTGGGCTCTTCGTTCGCGGAGTAGAGGTCGGACATGACTTCTACTTTCTCTGATTCTTCTGGGGACATGAGACTGGAGTCTACGGCTTGCTGTTCGTCCGTGTCGATGTTGTGTTCGTCGCTGAAGGGATTGGCGTAGAATGAGCCTCGGTTCAATCCTCTGACGTTACGGCTTCGAAGGCCCTCCTCAGCCTCGCCGCGGACATCTGTGCCGGTATTGTATACGTATGTGCCTTTCTCAGCTGTAGCGTCCTCCTGCAAGAAATCATCGAAACTTGATCCACGGCTTCGATTTGCCGGTCTGTCACCATTCAACTTCCGCTCCTTCTCCAACTTCTCCAAATGCACAGCATTCCAGTACATCAGCTCCTCACGCTGACGACGTTTGGACTCCTCGTCTGCGTCTACGCCTAGATCTGCGCTGGCTTGGCTTTGTAGGAATCCTTCCGCGTCTTCGGGGCGGTTGAATCGAGGTTGTTGGGATGCGGGGTTGATTTCGTCACCAAGGGAGTGTAGGGCAATGGCTATTCGACGGCGGACATCTTCTGCGAATTGTCGTGCTTGAGGGGATTCGTAGACCGCGATAGCAGCCTGCGTGAAATTAATATTTATCTTGCAAGAAGAGGAGATATGCACTTACAGCAACTGCGGCGGCGACTACCACAATGGCACCTGAAACGACAACTGGGTGAGACGGCATGCCTGAAAAGTACGAAGAAATTCAAGATAGTAGGAAAATAGGTTGACGATTTGAAGGAAGAAAAGTTCTGCTCGACTGGACACTCTGGAAGATATTGATAGGAGCATGTAATGAATGTCCAGAAGTTGGTGCCTCGGAGGCGAAGGCGAAGTCGACTTGACTGACTTGCGCGTCCATGCGAGGCCCATGAGATCTGCCTTGCAGGGTGTCTGGTGATCCCACCGCCTATCAAGTCCGGGGATTGGATGCTGGATCTAGACTAACCTTTTGCGACCACGGCAGGCATCGTGCCCAGATTGCCTCCAGCGGAACAAGTTCGTGGACAAGGGAAAGGAAAAGAAGGAGAGGAGGGGGATTTAACTTGTGGGGAGGATGTGAGCAAGAATGGATGGATGTTGGATTATGGCAGACGACATTCATGCGGGTCGTTAACCCCGCTATCTTTAGCTGTGGCTCTGTGATAAGAGATGTGGCGTAAATATGAGGCTTGACTCATTCTCTTACCCTCGTCAAGTTTCGTCGATGTGGCAGCTTGAATCGGTTTATTAATCTCTGGCTTCGGGTTCCATCTCTAGAGTTGACTAGTTACTTGACATATTGTACTCCTAGGTTCATGCCTAAGCTGAGTCTCGCTTCCTTGGGTATATTGTCAGCTTCACCTTTGTGTGTCTCTTTCGACCTCCTGACTTGCGTTGCTCATTCCTGCTCTACGTAAGTCAATATTTAACAGTTATTTAACTCATTCTAGAGATTTCTGTTTGTGTCTTGTCAGATTTTGATTATTCTCTCTTTTCAGTGATCCCTTCTTTTGCGGATTTGCTAGGCATCTTGAGAATACGGTCAAAGGGAATCGCCAGTGTCACTTTAACAGGCACAATAATTATACCTGGAAAGAGCCAAAAAATACCTCGCGTCCTGGCCCAGGCAGATGGCTCTCAAGATGTATGTATGTATGGATGTTCCGACAAATGCGCACCTTCCCCATCCTCTCAGAATTGGCACCGGCTGGTAGGTAGGCTGGCTCGCCTCGCTGGGTAGGTACGAAAGGTACTTTCGAGCTCTCGGTTAAAAATAGTGTCAACCTCACCCCGGAGCCTTGTCTTCATCCTTCCACACCACAGCCAATCTTCGTCGCTCAGCCTGCATACGACTCACCCATTATTGCAGAAATGGCATTGCGGCTGAGATGGCTTGTGCAGGGTGGGGTGGGCGCCTGCGACAGTCACGATATAATTATCAGCCTAGCCGCACGCAAAGATGAATCTGCTTCATTTCAGCGCCTTGACGACAACGCTGGGAAGGAATCGACGACAAGTCCTGTCCAGCCCGGAAGTGGAATAAGACTTGACCTGATCCTGTCCTCTGAAGACACGGCTCATCTGCAACGTCGGAATCTTGTCGAACGTCGCATGAAAGCAGCGCACGTGAACTCGAATGGAGGTTCTTGGGGTTGCAAGCGGCATCGCTGGCTTGATCAGTCTTGCTGATGTTCTCGCCTTCAAGATCTCCAAATATTACACTCTCGTGAAAAGCTCACAGTCAGAAATCAGGGCGCTGTTGATTGAGGTCCAGAGCCTCTATGGAGTCTTGAACAGCCTGAAACTTCTAGCAACATGTCTAGAACATGGCCAGCAGCCGCTGGGTACGCTTCTCAATTGGCTGTCACAATTTACATGGCTGACAAGATTCTAGGACCAGCCAATATGCCACAGCTTGACCATTTTCAAACATGTCGGCAAAACCTTGATTACTTGAAGAAGTCGTTGAGCAAGCTTGACTTGGACTCCGCCACAAAACTTACTGCTTTCAAAATCAAATTACTCTGGCCATTTAAAGCTACAGAGACCAAAGAGCTTGTTGAAAGGATCGCCAGAAACAAGCGAGACCTAGCTGATGCGTTGACAGCTGATGGGCTGTGAGCTCCCCGTGTCACTCTATCGTAGCTTTATTGACACATGCACAGCACTGCATTGGTAAATGCTTTGTCGACTCAAACAGATTTGACAGAAGCAGTCGAAGATGTGCAGATGAGATTGCAGAAGATGGCGGAGGAAAAGGGGGAGAACGAACAAGGTAAGTACTTGCCTGGATCGGGAGCGGTTCTTGCTGACCTAGCTCAAGATGAGCGCAAGAAAGCAGTGTTTGGGTGGTGTTCCACAGTTACTCCTTACGAAAAACACCGTAATGCCAAAAGTCTGAGACATCCGAATACCGTGTTGTGGTTCTTCGAGTCTCCGGAGTTCAAGAAGTGGATCTCAGAACCAAATTCAGGCATTTGGCTATATGGAATACGTAAGATCCATTGTGTTGTTGAGTTGGAATTTGGATGCAAGTTAACAAACGTTTCTAGCTGGTGCGGGTAAAACGATCTTAACGTATGTGTTCTTTGTATGCTCATCGACCCAACTCAGATCTAACAGTACCAAGATCCGCTGTCATCGAAGAAGCTAAGATGCTTGCTGCAACGAAGCCAGACCATGCTATTGCATATTTCTATGTTGAATATCGATTACCAGAGACACAACTGCTCTCTAACATTTTGGGCTCGTTGATTAGGCAGCTCTGCGCAAGTTCCGAAGATGCTTTCGAAGAACTAGAGTCATTCTACCGTGAATGTAATGAAAAGTCCAAGCATCCCGTGTTACCGACTTGTGAGCAACTCGGCGAGTTACTCAGCCGGATTTCGAAATGTTTTGAATGTGTGATGGTGGTGATTGATGGTCTCGACGAAAGTTCCGACCCTCAAGAGCGAAGCTCTACAATGCATCTGCTTTCAACTCTGAATGCACCAGAAAATGGCACCATAAAGATTGTCTACACAAGCCGAGACGAGATCGACATTCGCCGGAATTTCGAGTCTTTCGAAGGGATGTCTATTGCTGCTCGAAGCAACGACTTAGAGTTGTATGTTGCTGCCGTGATTGAATTGCGCATGAAGAATAAATCCCTACGAATGCGAGATCCTGCCCTGAAAGAGGTTATTATTAACGGAATTATATCCAAAGCTAATGGAATGTAAGCACCTCGCCTCCTTAGCAGTAATCCACAAATGCTTACCCGGTATAGGTTCCAGTGGGCAAAATGTCAACTTGACTATCTCTGCACCCTTAGCACTGATAAAGAACGACGGCGGGCCCTGGAGACCTTGCCTGCCGATCTGTTTGAGACCTACACCAGAATTTTAAACCGAGTCGCTAAGAGCACCGCTGGTAATCGGCGTTTAGTTGAGAGGACCCTACGATGGATTCATCTAGCTCAGTTTCCATTACATGTTGACACCATTGCTACCGCTGTGGCTGTTGAGATCGGGTCAAGATCTATCGATGAAGACGACATCTCTGATCAGGATAGCATCCTGAAATGGTGCTCCAGTTTGGTCACAAAGAACGAACAGACTGGGATCTTGTCATTCTCTCACTTTACCGTGGAAGAATTCCTGACAGACGAGAAGCTTTTAGCCATCCCGGAGCTTCGAGACTTCTACTTGAATGAGCCTGAATCCCAGGGTATCATTGCCAAAGTCTGCCTCACGTACCTTCAGTTCCCAGAATTCTGGCATTGGGATTTGAGAGATTCAAAAAGCATCATAGACAAGGCAGACGAACTTCCTTTCTTGAAATATTGCTGTCAGGAGTGGTTATCGCATGCCAATTACGGAGAAATCGAAGATGATGAACACTACCATGACTTGACACAGCGGCTCTTCAACCCTGAAAAATCCTCAAATTTCGTCTTATGGCTACACATCTGGTGGGCTGAACACGGTCCATACAATGTCGAAGCACCAACCGCCCCAACTTTGAATGTGGCTGCCGCTCTGCAGCTGGTACATATCTGCAGTTGGCTCTTGGATACACATGGCTGCGATCTCAATTTCAATGATGCTACCCTCGGTACACCATTGATCGGCGCGATTAGAGGCATTGGTTACATGACAGCCTTCACGGCGAAGAACAAGCTCGTTCGTTTGTTGCTATCACATGGTGCCATTGGAGACGTGAACTTCAGCGGGCACGATTCACTTGTTGGTCGGGATGATAATTCCCTCCCCAGGAAGGTTATACGAACGCCCATGTCACTCGCCTTGGATATTGCTTCTAGAGATGTTGAATGTTGCTGTGCCGTATTCAGACAACTCCTTGAAGCAAACTGTATTTCTTCATGTGCAGAATCTTCTGTCTGGTCAACTTTCATCGTCCAGCGCGAATCAGGGCGACCCATTCGTAAAGCTTTGCCGCTGCCCCCTCTACCACCACGTCCAGACTATGGTGAAGGGAGGTCAGCAATAATAAGGAGATCCAGCAATGCATCGAGCCACCTCACTGGCTCGGACTCCGCGGAAAGTCCAGAGCGCATGCTTGTCGCTCTCTTTCGAGATGCCCTCAACCACCCAGAATCCAAGTTGTTGGACCTCGAATCCAGAAGCAAAATGATTGCATATATCACTACTCATGGCAATGAGACTTCTGACCAAGAGCTAATCTCCACGCTGGCGACGAAGGAAAATCCGCACGATTTTGCCAGTATTACTGTGGACTTTGCTGTCTCTGCAGCAGAGAATGGACAAACACATCTGATCAAGAACTGCATTGAAAAAGGTGTTGATCCTGAAATTTTACATGAATGCATCCCAGCTGCAGCTGAATCTGGATATGCAGATATGATAAAGCTATTGCTGGACTACTGTCCTAGGGGCAACGAAAAGCTTATCAAGCGTATCGAGGAAGCTTTCATTCTAGCAGCAAAAGCAAATTGCTGTGATGCTCTTGAAGAATTCCTCAAATATGGTGTCAATGTCAATGTCGTTGTCGCTCACGAGGATCGCAGACTGAAAGTTCGTAAGGGGCCTGCCCTCGCCTTTGCCATTCTATATGGAAACTTGGAGGCAGTCAACTTTCTACTCAAGTCTCCTGGGATTGACCTTGACATTCTCACTGAAGGTCTCACTCTGCTTCATTTGGCATTGTGCGCACGCACATGCAGGTCAGAGATCGTTGGCGTTATCCTCGGCAGAGGCGTTAGTCCTCTCCAAAACCCAGTTAGAAAAGATGAGATATCGATACTTCATATGCTTCTTGGTGCGGCCAATCCCCTTGAGCAAAGTGACGTGGAGTTGCTAAAGCGTCTGCTCAGCATTGGATGCGATCCTAAAGCCACTGATAAACATGGAAATACACTTTTACACGCAGTTTTACGAAGGCGTAACGTTCAGACAATACCAGAAGAAATCATTTTCATCCTCAATGAGAGCGAAGAAATGAAAATATTACCGGACAAGACCGGAGAGTTGCCACTCCAACTAGCTGTCAGAGGTCAAGCAACAAACGAGATTATCCGAGCTCTGCTACCTAAAGATATCTCCTTGTGGAATTCTAAGAATCTCCGTACCTTCAGTGTACTACATGCCGCTGTCTATCCAGGAAAGATAGCCCCTTCTCCTCCGCTTGCTCCTCCGCGCCGTCTGCCACTGATAAATACCAATCCAAGTACTCTTTCAATGACTGATTCAATAAGTGCTTCTTCCTCTCCCGCGCCACTACCACCAGCAGCTATCCGGCGACCAGGACCAGGGAGCATTTCTGATGACAATGAAATGCTTAGAGTCCTAGATGTGCTTCTACAGATAGCGGACATTGATGTAAATGTGATTGACGCGCTTGGTAACACGCCGCTCATGATTGCTGCCAACCATTATGACGAGCAGTCTTCCGAAACTCGAGCTAGAATTATCAAGAGACTCTTGGATCGAGGAGCTGAAGTCAACTGCTTTAATGGAGGGCGATGGACTGCTCTCCACCTCCTAGCGTCGACTGGATTTGTGCTAGGCATAAGGGAAATCTTCAAATTTGATCCCGACCTGCAGACTCTCAACGAAAACGGGTTTTCGCCACTTCACCAAGCTGTTTCTCGAGGAAAGATTGCTTGCGTCAGACTTTGGACAGATCAGGGCAATGCAAAAAGTCCACGAGCCGAAGCTTTCGCCAAAGCTTTGCAGGCTCGAACGAGCCGTGGGCTTCTTCCTTTGCACATCGCCGCATTACATAACCGGGCCGAGGTGATTCTTCTCCTCCATGATACTGGACGGCTTGGAGACGTCAATGCACCAGGACTGATCGACCAAGTCACTCCATTACATCTAGCTACCGTAGCTGGTCATATTGGTACTATGAGTATATTGATACAGCATGGGGCGGATGTAAATGCGAGAGCAAGTGTTGGGAATACACCACTCCACTATGCAGCAGAGAGAGGAGCTGTCAGCGCAGCTCGGCACCTCATAGATAATGGGGCACTGGCAGACCTGGAAAATTGGGATGGCATGAAGCCGTGGATGCTCGCTGACAAGCAAAATCACACGGAACTGAAGTTTGCACTGGAAATAGCTGCAAGGCGTGAGGTTCAAGCTGAGAACGCATATGGAGATTCAACAGAGTTGGTGGTCTCAGAGGGTGCAAATCGAGCCAGTGGTAAGGGGCTCGACATGCCGTTATTCTCAACTCTCTTCAAAATTGCGCCGATTAAGTCAAAACCTTCAAGCATGTTAGACGCGGTATCTTCTGGAACGGATACCGAAGTTCTCGCATTTCTTGCAACAGGGAGTGATCCTAATGAGGCAATGGGGAAGGAGGGAGAGGCTCCACTACATATCGCATGTCACAGAGGATACACAGAAGTGGTCGAGCTTCTTCTCGACTATGGCGCTTCTATAGATGTGTTAGATAAAGCTGATAATCAGCCACTGCACTGTGCGTCTTCGGATGGCAGGCTTGACATCGTTAAAATCCTGGTAGACCATGGAGCCAGTCTCACCGCAAGGAATACGGACATGCAGATCCCGCTTCACCTCGCAGCAGAGAATGGATGGTTGGATGTTGTCAAGATTTTACTGAAGGCATCGACTAACACAGTGACTACGATTGGTACGGATGGGAAAGTTGTAAGCGATACTGGCAAGCATGGTTGGTTCACCTCTCCCTCTTGGTACTCTGCGAAAATTTATTGATCCACAACAGATGGCATGTCCCCTCACCTAGAACTGCGTGACAAAGAAGGGAACACTGCCCTCCTCGCTGCTCTTTTCGGTGATTATACCGACGTCGCCAGATTCCTCGTCCAAGAAGGCGCAGACGTCAACGCCATAGATATCTGTGGCTGCGGACCTCCATTCTGGGCCGGCGACGCTGCCGACAAACCATTCTTCGAGCTCCTGATCTCTCGTGGCCTCGACATCAACCAAGCAGCACCCGGCGGATCTACAGCCCTCTCGCACGTGGCCGCTCGCCTGCGAGACCAAGACGAAGCCACCACTCTCGCAATCTACCTCATCGAAAACGGCGCTTCCGTCTTCCCAAAGCCACGATACAACCTCTCGCCCCTCGTGTTTGCCTGCGAGTCCGGTAATGTGGGTCTTGTTAAAGAGCTTATAAAGCGCATGACTATGGAGGAGATCAATGCACCGTCAGTGACGCTCGGCGCACCGATCTACACTGCGGCGTTTCGGGGACGCGCCGAGGTCGTGAAGGTATTGCTGGATGCGGGTGTGGATTACGAGATGAAGCATCTTGGGGAGACGGCATTTGATGCTGCGGTTAAGGAGGGGCATTCTGATGTCGTGGCTGCTTTTAAGGCGTTCTTTCGGAAGGGTGAGGGTAGTGATGGAGGAGAGGGGGACGAGGGGGGAGAGGATGTTGATGTCTCGATAACACAGCCGGCAGTTAAATCAGAGCCAAAATCTCGATTCGAGGAGTTAAGCTCAGGATCGAGAATCGAGGAGCTGGATGGTGACGATGACGAGTCGACAGAGGAGAGTAATGGCGAGCCTTTACCGCCATACTCGCCTAAGTCGTGAGAGGTGGCATTATATCAGAGGCATGGCCGATAATTTGCTATTCATGATATGGATTGAAGTTTGGATACCATTTCTAGCATATAGATACGCGAGCCGAGTACAAATTCTATAATTCTCTGAAGTAAACAAAGCGCGTCAACAAGCGATCCACTCTTTTAAGCGAGAATTGTCGATGAGTGGTTCGGACATGGTGTTGTGATACAACAAGCGTGCTGTTGTTCCCCCATCAACTTCCCCGTCAAGTGTACAGGAATTTTCTGGATACAGTCTTTTCTTCAAGTTACTAGTCGTCGAAACTAATTTAATTTTCACAGCATGCTTTTGCGGAGGGTCGCCCCACTTGGAGCTCACCGCTCTCGATACGGACACTGATCCCAATGGAAGTCACCGGAAGTGGATTCTCCCAAGGCACCAAATACGAAGTCTCCTGCGCCCTCCAAGTCACCGACTCCGAGAACTCAATCTGCCAAACCACCTAGCGCAGATTCTCCGTCACGTTCTGGTCTTTCTGCTGCTGCTGCTACTGCTTCTGGCACGAATACTTCGACGCACGATGATGGTCATCGATCTGTAGAGGACTATGCTGCTGATCCACATGTTTGGATGGCGAGGAATTCCAACGGCCGGAAGAATCCGTGGCATCCTAACTTGGATGAGTTCATGTTCTACCTACTTCGTATAGTCATTTTGTTTTCCTCCCTGCTTTTTGTGTTTTCCGTCTCCTTCTGAATTCGGGTCTTTGATTTTTGGGAGATGTGTACGATTTCTTCTTTTTTTGGTGTTTGCTTTGGAGATTCGACTCTCCCATTGCATTGTGGTGGAGTCGTCTCTTGCTTTCTGTTCTCGTGCGCTTTGTTTACATTATTCCCAGCTGGGGTTTCGGGTTGCATGTTCGGCGTCTTGGATTGATTTTGAGATCTCTGACAATACCTAGGTACTTGACCTGCCCATACGTGGGTCATGTGAACTCGTTACTACCCCGGCTGCCTTCAGTGTCTCTGTTGATGTCTGCCCTGCTGCAGTTCGATGCGTTTTCAGTATTTCACTCAGTGATAATTTCGTCTATTTCCCCTTCCATGTTAGGTCGGCGTTCTTGACTTGAAATGATTTTGATCTCGGTCTGTGTTGGAAACAGGTTGTGTATTTTTGTGTATGTCGTGTTCTCTCGCGCAAATAAAAATGAGAGGCTTGATACCTTCACGACTTGGCAGCTCTGACTTATCCCATGACATGGAAGTTTAAATCGAGACAAAGGTAACATTTGCCTACCTTGGTCTGAAATCTAGCATAAGTCTTCATATTGTCAAAACTCATGTTCTTAGCAGACCAATATCCACTATTATGCGATAACAAACGCAGTGCACAGGGGCTTTTAGTGTTGACTTTGGAATAATCGATTCATTAATACTGTACTGTACATTAAGATATCTGATTTTCTGCATGCGCGTAAGCATGTAAACAAGCATGATACGCATCGAGAGCGAAACACAGCAGCCAGAACGCCCGCCTTGGGTATTTGCCTTTCCCATCCTTCCCCTTCCTTACTTTCTTTCTCCCTCTCATTCAGTCCTTGCATAATCAAGGTTCATTTCATTACATTCCACACCTCACCCATACCCCACAGATCTCTCCCTTTCCCTCCTTCACAATTCTTGTTCAAACATGCACCGCCTGCTGCACATGCGGATAAACATGAATCAACCTCTGCCACAAATCGGGAAACTCATTAATCAGCACCTCGGGATCAAACGCCATAGCAACAAACAGCGTCGAAACACCACTCTTGATCGGCACCAAGAAGACATTAGCGATCTGCAGACCGATAAGGAACGCAAAGGCCATGACGACGGCGGTGAAAGCATTGCCCTCGTTGTAGTCTGGTGCGGTGAAGGAGAGGTAGAGATAGGAGAGGAAGGAGCAGAGGTAGGCCACGAAGACGGCGCCCATGGTGAGGACGGGGTTGATGAGGCATTCGTTGACGAGGGCGTCGATGCCGCGGTCTTTCATCATGGTCCATGTAGTCTAGTTCAGTCAGTACGGGTGCAAGCAAATAAATCAGAGAGGGAAGTAACTTACCTTAGCAGCAGGGATATAAGCTTTTCCATACAGCGCAATGTACGAGAACGCATACTCGTTGATAAACTGAATAGCCCAATCCAAGATCCCAATGAAGCACTGCAAGCAGCAGAAGAACGCCGCTCCAAGCATATTACCTTGCGCAGCTTCATTCTGCTGAGCAATGGAGCAGGCTTGACGCAAGCATTGGATGAGAGCGACTAGCAAGCTTCCGAAACTGATACTGCCGAAGCTGTATGTCATCGAGCGCTTGAAAGCACCACGCGTAGCTCCCTTGGGAACACCGCCGGGCTTTTGGGCGCAGAAGTACCACGAGCCATAAACGCCAGAGATGGTGACGTGGATGACGTTCTTGATGACTTCCGTGATCCAGTATCCTGCGAATGTGATAAAGACTAGTAGGCCGATGACCTTTGCTTGACTACATCCGCCGTCTGAACTGCAGCTGGCATTTCCAGGGTAGTAACGCACGTAGATCGTGACCATTGTGACAGAGAACCAGGCGCCGAATGCAGTAGCGATAAGACCTCCAATGGCTGATACCATGAAAACATGTCCGTAGTTCTTGGAGACATCGATGACGGTTTGGAGCATCAATACAGAGAATGGGATGCGAGGGATCCAGGAGATGAAACAGACGATATAGAATATGGAGAAGATAAGGTAGACGATCGCAGCGCTATACCAGTGGCGCGCAAAGTAGACAATAGCCGTTCCGATTCCGAAGACGATTTGAAGAATCCCCGTGATCCAGATGGCCCTGTGAGAATGTCAAGAGAAATCCAGAACTGCCGTTTTGAGGAGTACTTACTGCTTAGTAAAGGCGCGAATGATCCAGAAGTAAGCTGCCGAGGTAACGAAAGCCACAGCCAGGACAAAAGCGCTATTCCCGTCAGTACATGTACCCAACTGCCTAAAATGAAACTTACAACAAGATAATCGTGTTTGAATTCAGTGAAACTACCTGGTTCCCACCATAAATTCCCCCGCTTCCTCCAACAACATATCCACGTATCGCAATTCCCGACACAGCGCAGAATCCAAAGAAGGTAGCCAGGAACAGCAGCGCAGCCCAGAGATCATTATATTTCGGTTTATCCAGCTTGAAAGTCTGCTCGAAACCTGACAGCTTTCCACTGGGCGCGTTCTGCGGCGGCAAATTGTTTCCATAGTTCGGGGGCTGTTGAGGGTATTGCTGTGGAGGAGGACCTTGTTGTTGCTGCTGGTATGGCTGTTGCTGGTATTGGCCTTGAGGCTGTTGATAAGGTTGTTGCTGATATCCACCCTGCTGTTGTTGATCGTATGGAGCTCCTTGATATTGCCCTGGCTGTCCATATCCCTTCTGCTGATTCTGCAAACCGATATCCTCCTGCCCGGACTGGTAGTAGGCGTCTGCCTCTCCGCCGTGTTGGGGTTGATTGTATGCCATGATGTTCGTTTGTTATTGTTGTTATGATAGCTCTCCCTCAATTGGAACGCAAACAACCAGCCAGTCGAGTAATGACGCACTAGTTATTGCCCTCCAGAACATTCGCACCACTTCCCTCCTATCCAATTCACAGCAACAAAGTATATCCTTCGCGTAAGAAGGTAGCGATGATCAATTGAAGATGCGCGCGCAAAGGGATACTCTCGTGAAAACCGAGGGGAAAGAAGAGATGTCGTCGCGAGAAATTAAACACCATATGAAAGTCAGTTTAAACGCGCCTGGCCAAAGTGGTCCCAAGGTAGCTCGAAGCTATTTAGTGACGTGCCAACCCGCATTCCATCTAGACCGGGCTCTAGCTGGACTGGTTCGGCGAATCAGCTTGCCCTTTGATTGCCCCACCTCTGCCCACCAGATCTTGGTTTGAAGCAGTGCCACGGCAGCTGGGTGCCGGGCCCGACTTGGTGTGGATTCTGTAGGTGCGAGATCTCAAAATCGTGGCAATGTGCGCAATTCCTGAGCTCACATCTCTTCGCCTCTTCTCTTCATGCAATACAGTACAACGGTGACTGCTTCCAGAGAAGTCTAGGCCGGCTGTAAGTGCAGCGCTGTAGGAACTGCCTCCGTAGAGGACCTGAGAAATTCAGCTGGACAAGGTAGGTTCCGATAAGCTTGATTTAGTCCACTCTGTGCGCTATCGCCAATCTGGCTACTGGGATTGGGAATTGAGGTGTGGTTGGCAAATGAGAAGGGAGAGATTGAGCATGGGGCGTATGGTGGCTTTCGGAGTCAAATTGGATTTTCTGAATTTTGAGTGTCTGGACCTCGGAAGTTGAATATGGATATGTTGAGGCTCATTTATATTATATTGTGGATGCGCAATAAGAGCGTTATCTTGTGTCGCGGTGTTGACTTGCTGTATTTTTGGATTGGCGATAACTGAACAGTAATTGAGGAGTCGGGAAGCGGACAGACACCTCTCGCATTATTCGAAGAAAATAGACTTCATACTTCAAGACGAACTTTTGGAGAACTTCAAATTCATTTATCTGAATCTAGTACTACTCTCTTGGTAAATGGAAGGTAAACAGTAAACTTGAGGGTATTAGAAGCGAAAAGCAACAATGACCTGCACCTTGCTTAGGAAAAGCTCAGTGCAGACTCGGTATCAAATCCATCATATCCAAGCTCTCCAATGCGCCAAGATAAAATCCAACGCTCGATCGCTCGCTCACCAAACATTTCAATCCTGTAATCGTGATTTCGTATCATCATGAAATGCATCATGATATTCTCCAAGCTCATATTCAAACACCCGCTCTCCTCAAATGTGCCTCATCACTCTTCCTCGACCTCCCCCACCCCCTCGACCTATGCGTCTTTTCCGTATACTCCCTCCTCTCCTTCCTCTTCCCAATAAAGAACTCCACCACCCACGCCGTCGCCGCCAAAAACATAACCGCCACCGCAACCCACGTAATAATCAGGTACTTGGTCCCCTTGTACGCATACGCGCCGACATCGTTGCCATACTTGTTAATGATATGCACGGCTCTCGTCATGACGTATGTGACGAGTGAAGAGGCGACCAGCAGACTGAGGAAGCTGAGTGATGCGAGACTCCAGTTTCCGAAGGAGATGAGTCGGGAGCCGTGCATGAAGAAGGCGACGAGGGAGGCAATGATGGCGATTCCTGCAGCGGCGATGCCGATGGCGTAGAGGATGAAGACGGCGTTGAAGGCGACGTTGAGAGTGTCGAGGCCGTTTTGGATGTCGTCGGGCCAGTTGATATCAGAGAGATTGATCTTGAGGGGACCGACTTCGAGTTGTTGGTTGAGGACTTTGTTGAGATCGAAATCATCTGGAGGAACTATATCAGCAGTGTTGATTGTGGTGGGAGGAACCAGGACATACACATTGCAGTCTTGTTGGAGCAGTATGTTACGTTCTTGCTTGCGCCTTTGGCAGTGGCATTGGGCTTGTAGTATCCCTCGCACATGTCCAGCAAATGCAAGCTGTACCATTGTCGAATGCCAAGTTCTTGCGCCAGCTTATCCGCGACGTCTGCCACCAGCTCGTTGAACTCATTTTCGATTGTATCCGTGACATTTTCCTTGATATCCGTGAACCAATCTCCGATCTTGTCGGCGGTTGAAGTAGCTGTTGCTGCTGCGGCAGATGCAGTCGTTGTGGGACTTGGGTCGTCTGATCCAAGGATATTGTGGCCGAGTGTCGATGTGTTGAGCTGTAGAGAAAGATTAGTTTCATGGACTGGAGTCTGCGAGAGATGAAACGTACTGTGATAATGTTGTATTCTTCCATAAAGCTCTTCTTGCTCCCCGCAAAGAGACAGAGCATAGAGAGGACGAACCCCACAATGGCACAAGCCAGTGGGAAGAGAGCTGTGATCCTCATATCGAGTACCGCGCTTGCAAGTAGACAATCTAGTAAGAAACTTTTGAGTGGTGAGTAGTAACTGGTCAGAGTAGTATTGCTAGTGAGAGAAAACAAAAGCAGTTCATCAGTTCCTCCAGCCAGTACTTATCCTGCTAGCCCTGCCAGTGAATGTACCTACCGCGATTCTCCCTTTGAGCCAAATCAAGATGTCTAACAAACGACATCATTCTCAAGACGCCATACCTAACAAAGCACATTTTCCATTCCAATAAAGGAAAATACCCAACCGCCAGCAAGGCCTCTCCCCTGCCGCGCAAGGGCTGCCCTGCCACATTCCATCCGATCAATCAAGATGGCATGTTTGACTCACCTGGCCAGCTCCTCATCCAATCTCCAGGAATACGGGTGGCTGGCCCGTGGGGCTTGGTTGTGGAGGTTGTGCTGGCATGAACGTCGTCGTTATTGACTCGTCGTATATAACGGAATCTACGTCATGCGTGAGGAAAAAGCTGGCAAACGTCTGGCGATCATTGAAAACAGGCTGGAAGCGAGCGGTATCCCTGCGGGATCGAGCGCCGTTGTGGATGGGATTTCAGGGGTTCGGCGTGGCAGTTGTTCCTGGCCACTGGTTTGTGCCGGCCCGCACCTACTACTGTGAAACTTGGTTGTGAGAAACTTTATTTTTGCTTCCAGTTCTGAATGGCTTCAATTCTGACAGGTCTTGAACTTCATCCTGCTCTTGGCCTCCCTTCGTCTGTAAATAGAAAGTTTTGGCTGAGTATGCACAGCCGTGTAAGTGCCAGGCACTGAAACTTAACAAAGAAGATCAAAGGTACCTGGGTGGGTCTTCCGCTGCTATGTTTACTTTCCAGCCACGACTGTGTTATTTCAAAGCCATCTTCAGGTCAACATCTTGTGTTTCCATTAAGTTGAGAACTACAATCTAAACCGCAAGCAAACTGCAAAAGACAATTTCGGCTCGCGCATACTACTTCTGCTGCTCTCATTCTTGTGGCAAGCTTCCCTCACACAAGATCTACATGTCACTTCTTACTCAAGCCAAACGTCAGACTTCATCCATCTCATGTTTCAGATCAGAATACCTCCACTTTTCCTGCTGTAGGTCATCTAGCTGTTGAGATAGCTTCTGATAGCACCCTGCAACTTGGAGGCTCCCTCGCCCAGAGCTTGCGTAAGGTTCTCCAAATCATCGCCTGCAGTGGAACCAAATTTGCGCACAAAGTCCTTCGCAGCACTCTCCAAGTCACCATAGTCCTCCCCAGCATCCTCCTCCTCTGGCCTACCAAAATATGCGTTCGATGAGATAGATGTAGCACCCTCAAATCCTTGTAGTCTGGTTTTGGCCTCAGACTGCGCGTTTGGGTCGAACGCGCCTTTCTGGAAGAATTCGTCTGATGATATACCTTTCTGGGCCCCAAACTTTTGACGAGCATACTTTTGGTCATCATCTACATTCGTTAGCGCAAAACAATTTGACATCAACTTCCATTCTCACCTTCTGCCTTGGCTGGACCGACAGAGCCAAATCCACCCATCTTTTTGGGAGCTGCAGCGGGCTTGCTGCCACCAACTTGGCCGAATCCAAGTCGTCCCATTCCCATTCCAAGTCGCTCGACATCGCTGTTATTACGCCCTCTAGCGCTGGGACTGATTGGAGTAGGAGAGGCTATGCTCGGGAGATCTGCAGCTTTGGCAGTGATCGCCTTCTGGGTAACGGGGGCTTCTTCAGCATCTGGATCGTAGCCCAGCTTTGCAATTCTCTCGGCTTCTTCCTTCGCCTTTCGTTCGGCAGCGTCAAAATCGATAACCTCACCCGTAACCTTCTTCGCCCCCAGCTTTGTCTTCTTAGCTCCCAACACGTTCGCTTTCCGTGGTCCTGATCCAATCGCAGTTCCCTTGCGCAAGGCAGCAGAAGAGGTGGTTCGATTTGCAGTTAGCGCAGTACCTCCTGCCAAAGGAGATGCGGTTCGTGCAATGCCATTCCCGTCCCCTTTTCCATTCTTATTTCCCGCATTGAGGAAGGGTGATGGCGTTCGGCCAATAACTGCGGGTGTTGCGGTGCGAGAAGTAGGAGGTGTTGGCTTTCTGATATTCGGCGTGTCGAACTCAGAGAAGAACTCTTTTTCGGGTTTGTCAGCAGGACCATTGCCCATAACATCGGTGATGTATACGACGTGGGAATTCTCCTTCTCCTCGTCGGTTTTTGCAGCAGCCAGTCTGAATGATGTCAGTACACTGTTCTAGAGGCGACGAAATAGAGCTAGCTCACTGTTGAGCAGCATCTGCTCGCGCACGAGTAATAAGTTCTTTAGTGTATAGCTTGCAGATTCCCTCGTCCACAGGCTTGCCCGTCTCATACTTAGCATCATGGTCTAGGGTGTTGAGCAAAGCACGCCCGCGCATGTTTAACCAAAACTGCGCTGCAGATTCGTTGCCTCCAACTTTCAGTAGTCGTATAAGGTCCCAAGTCCATTTTTTTTCTGGAGATGTTATTTACTTGATATCTTCCTCGCAGCGTTTTGGGCCCATACCATCAAAAGTTGGAGATTGGATAAAACTGAAGTCGATGCCTGACTTTCGGTGCTTCCCTGCGCAGTTTTCACAAAGAAAGAGTGCTAGGTTTGTCGAGCACCACAAGGTGTTGCTCGTTTTGCAATCGAAGCATACCTGCGGAATTGGGTCAATACGCCTCAACTCATAAGCTAGTGGCGTAGAAGCGCACACGGCGCCCCTGAGCACAACGAGAACATGACTAGCTGGATCCAGGTACACTCACTTTGTTCGCAGACTTCTTCTTGAGTTTTGCGAAAATAGCCGTGCGCTCTTGTTCTGTGAGGATGTACTTGCTTCGCTCCGCTTGAGCCTGAGCCATTTCCTGTTCTGGCGTGGATGTGGACATGACGAAGACTTTAGGCTCCACTGAAGCAGTTGTCGCTATCAGGTGTGGCGTGGCATATGAACGACGAGGTGCTTTTGTTGTGTTGAGAGGTTCTCCTTTCGAGGGGCGCTGAGGTTGAAATATATCGAGGAAAGGAGCGGGCCAGATTGTCGATTGGGATTCCCATCTTGCCAAGCCTTGGACCGCTTGTGCTAAAACAGCCTAGCACTTTTCCCCACATCAAGCTTCAAGCTTCAGGGCCTTCGAACTTCAATTTCAGCTGCAACTTCACTTGGAGCTTGAACGCGAGTGTTTTCCGCCAGGAATAAATCAAAAGACTAACATGAACTCCCTCCGACATCCGATATTGCTGAAATGCCCAACCACTTTTCGGCCAATCCTTGCGGCGCGATTTTATGCAACACAGACTGGTCTAGGAACAACAAGCACTACTCCTCGGCCAAAAAGAAAAACAGTAACACCATTTAACGATGACGGCAGAGTCGCATGGGGAGAGCTCTCGACGGGGGAAAAAGCAGCAAGGACGACTCAGCAAACATTCAATTTCAGCTTCATTCTTCTCGGAGCCGTTTTAACAGTTGGTTTCTTGAAGCATCACAGGCACAGCTGCTAACCAGTGACAGGGAGGCGTAGCGTATGTCATGTACACGGAGGTTTTCTCTCTCGATAGCAAAACTGTACACTTCAACAAAGCTGTGAACAAAGTCAAGAAGGACGCAAGATGTACGGACCTGCTTGGAGACAGCAAGAAGATTACTGCCTATGGAGAGCCAACATGGAACAAGTGGGCTAGAGCCAGACCGATAGCATCTACTACACGAAAGGACCAATATGGCAGAGAGCATTTGATCATGCATTTCAATGTATGCCCCCTAACCCTTACTCTGCTGTCAGGGCTGAATGAACAAAGGTGGAAGGACCTTTGAATAAGGGCGTCGTCAACTTGCACAAGGTTAAGCCGTCGACGGAAAGCGAATCTGGAGGAGAATATGTCTACAAGTATCTCACACTGGACGTCAAGGGCCACCAGAGGATATACCTCGAGAACGCCGATGCTGCACTCGACAGTCCGGCCAAGAGCAAAGGGAAACTTTTCGGAATTTCCTGGCGATGAAGGCCAATGTGCAGGTCGAAGTGTGCCTCAGCGCCTCGCTAGTTTTCGTGGCATCAAAAAACAGATCAAAATCCCAGCGGACCAAGGTTGACAGCTTATCGTCTCCACATTTCCTAGATGAAGAGCTTGGTAGTTCCGGACGTCTCTGGGCGGTAAGACCCTACATAGATGTCAAGCTCAGGTGCGACAAGAGAAAGAAGTTGATGCACTGGCGTCAGTTTTAGAAGCCGATTGGCCAAGCAGCTTCTGTGACGGGAGAAAATCGCGCTACCTTGGAGATAGGAACACTTGCAGCGATGTGCCTCTGATGCTTTACAGAGCGTTACGTTGCTAGACTTCTTTATCCCAAAACTTGATGGCGGCATTCATAAATATCTAGATACCCATTGTCATTCTCTTGATAGCTTCGCAGCCATTTACATTCTCATCTGCTGACAGTGACACAAGATACGCATGGGTTGAGACTAGCTTTCCAATCATTCAACGTTGATGTCTCGCCCCCAAACAATATGCGCTGGGGTCCGGCCAGGCCAGGCGTGGGGGCTTCTGTTTGTTTGGAGGGTTGAGCGGTTGGCAGCAGTTGATGCTTGGAGGTTCAGGACAGGCGCTCCCGTGATATGCCTGATACGTTTCAGGTGGCTGCCAGACACATCTTTTCTTTATCAAACTTGCCGCCTGCAGTTCTGCAGGAGGCCATTTCTATCGACCTCCTTGGAGACGACTGATACGTGTACAGCCCCACTGCAATGCCACACCATCTCAATCCTCTCCTATACATATGCTGTTCTGTCCTTCTAAACATTCTATTGTACTCACAGTTTGCTTGACTACACTATGGTATGCTTCTGATGTTAGCCTCCTGTCTGTATTTTACTAACTCACTACAGCCGATCAACGTTGTGTACAACGGTAAAGGAGGAAAGGGTGATCTGGAGCCTGCTTTAGAGTAAGTACGCCTTGTCTAATATGCACTATGCAAGTATCTTGCAATCCTTCAATCGTCATTTCTCAGGCGTTTTTCGAAGGCTGGACACGACGCCCAACCAGCAGCAGATACCCCGCTAATAGTTACTATCTAGTATCATCGCCATTCATGGCTTGAACCCTTACAACAACCGAGACCATGGTTTCGAAACCTGGCGCAAAGATGGGCACCTCTGGCTCGAAGAATACCTTCCGAAAGAATTCGAACGTGCACGTATAATGCTGTACACATACAACTCGAGTCCTGTATTTGAGTCAAACAATACCACGTTCAGCAATGAGGCGTCAATACTTCTCGAGTACCTGTGGACAGAGAGATACGAGTGCTCTCGCAGACCTCTCATACTCATCGGTCACAGCCTCGGGGGGATTCTCATCAAGCAGAGCCTTGTGAACGCAGCTATAAACCCCAAACATCGTGACATTCTTGACTCGACTTTCGCTTTGGTGTTCATGGGCACACCACACTGTGGACCAGCTGCTAGACTTAAGATCTCGTTTGGGCGCTTGTGTGCCAACATTGCGAATGGTGTGAGGGGACACAAATCGAGTGAGCTCCTCGCTGCGGTGGAACATAGATCGCTATTCTCAGACACTCGAAAGAAAATTGGAAACATCAGTTGGAGAAATATGAAATCATATCTTTCTACGAGACTATTGATACCGTAAGTTTCCGAAGCTGTGTGGAGGAAGCACCAAGAGAGCTAATTGTCATCCAGATTGTTCCTTATGAGTCCGCTGTTCTAAGTTTGCCTGGCAATCGGGAGCACCCGTTCGGAAGGGCGACCAACCATGGCGGTGTCTGCAGATTCAACATTGACAACCCCGTTGATAAAGCTGAGTTCAGGGTTTTGGTAGTGAACCTAAAAAAGATTTGCGATCCTGTAATGAAGAAATGTGAGATGATGGCTCCCTCTGTGCCTGCCAACGTACCCCTTTAAAGGTACGCTGGTCTTCACAAGACTATCCAGAGGCTTTGTAGATACTAATTCAGGGATCTTCTTAGTGGACGAACCCCAGCCCTTGGCTATTGATCCATTGGAGAATGGTAAGTCTCCCATGACTTGTTTGAATATCGCTAACTACTTCCAAGACATCGTCCAGAGTCTTCGTCGATTTTCCGAAAACCCAAGATACGCATCGATAGAAGAGGGACATGTTGATACATTCGAGTGGATTGCGAAACGCAAAGCATACTGCGGACCAGGCTTCGTAGATTGGCTCTCTGATGAAGAAGGTCTATTTTGGATCAGCGGGAAGCCTGGGGCTGGCAAGTCGACTTTGATGAAATTTATCAGTGGCATCTCCGGGCCGCCAGAGTACATAGGCTCATCATTGGGTACGGAGCCTGCGAATGTTATAAGTTTTTTCTTCCACGAACTAGGCATCCCATCGGAACGAACATTTGTTGGATTACTTCATTGTCTCTTATCACAGCTCTTGGTAGCAATGCCAGAGGCCATCCCAAGCCTTCAGGCTCGATACCAGCAGCTCTATTTACGATCTGGAGATGGTTCGAGAGTATCAAGTATGTGGACGGAGCCGGAGCTTCAAGGTACTTTTGACGACATACTTCGGGCACAAGAAGGAAATACCTCCTTCTTCTGTGTTGTTGATGGACTTGATGAATGTGAACCGTCAAAGATACACGACACACTGAGATTTTTGCGCAAGTTGGCCGAACTGCCAGCCACTAGTCCGCTGAGATTCAAAGTATTGTGCTCCAGTCGCCCAGAAACCGCAATCGAGATGGGTCTTAGTAGATACCCGTCCTTCAGAATCCAAGATTACACCTCTGGCGACATCGAAAAGTTTGTCACGGAAAGCTTTGTGGCGATAACTAGAGACCTGTTCCGTGGCGATCCGATTCTGGAGGTCGTTGACGACCTGCGCAACGATATCGTACGGAAGGCCGAAGGTGTCTTCATATGGGCAAGACTAGTAGTAACAGAAGCTGTGTTTGCGATCGAGGCTGGGGACCCAATAGCACAGGAGAGTTTCTTCAGCGAACTCCCTTTAGACCTGGAAGAGCTGTACAGCAGGATACTCTCCAAGATTCCAAAACAGTATATTCGGGAAACGATCAATTACTTGCAGATACTACAGCACTACGTGTCCCGCACCCTCTTAAAGATGACAATCGTTATCCAAATGGTGAAGGAGCCGCTGCTCCAAAACATACCATACCTCACCGATCGGAGCAAGATAGAAAGCTGTATTTCGTTGAAACGAATTCTTCAAAGCAGATGCCGTGGACTTATTACTCTGCCAACGCTCAACCCCACATGGACATTCGAGCAGAACAGCAAGGAGCTGATCTCATCCTTCTGCATGGGAGGTATCTCATTTCACAGGACAGTGAGGGAATTCATATTCGCTGAGGACAGACTCGACAAGCTTCGTGCCGAATTGAACACAGCAATTCCCGACGATTCACGTCAACTGAGCATTGCATTCCACTTCCGACTCTGGCAAAGCGATCCAGTCTTGCAAGCACAAGTTTTCGGATTTATGAGTCCAGAGGAGTACATGGCCCATTATGGTGAAGAGCCAGTTTTCACCAGTATATTCCGGTGTCTTCTAAATGATGTCTCGTGCTGTGAAGGCCCCATCTCAGCGACCTGGCTATCACTGATCGACTCACACCTAAAGCGGACCTTTCCGACGCTTGCAGCATATGAAGCATTTCTGGACGAGTACTTCATACGTGATTATATCGCATTTGAACGCTTCGCCGAAGACCCAGCCATTTCCCAATGGCACACTGACATCCTCTGTATCGCCGTGAAGTACCGAAACTTATCCTATGTCCAGGCACAAGCACATCTGCACAGCGACAACATACACAGGCGAGGTCGGCCGCTTCTGCACTACGCCCTTGTACAGATTTACCCCCGTTCAGTGAACATGGTAGAGCTGCTGCTGTCTCGAGGCTGCCGCCCAGACACCGAATTTAACTGCCGTAGTACCTGGGAGATTGTGTTGATTAATTCCTTCAACTTCTATGATGGATGGGGCCATAGCGGGGCTGATCTCATTCCGATGTTCTTGCGGCATGGTGCAAACCCCAATCAACAAGTCGATTTGCATCACTACCAGTGTTTTGCTCTGCATGTCATGTTCAAACGGGGCCATCGGGACTATGCGAAAGTAGAGATAATCTTGAAAGACCTGTTGGAAAGAGGCGCAGACGTCAATGCGTTAGATTCAAAGGGTCGTTCGGTCATCGATCTGGCCAGGGAGAAACGACCAGAGGTTGTGAGCCTGCTCGAAAAATACTCAAGCACGACCAGACCACCACCGGTGTTAGATCACGAGAAGACAGTTGCGAAGAAGATAGCAATGGCAAATGGTATATCAGATGTACCAGAAACGCTAATTAGGAAACTTGAAAAAGAGGAGGGACGTTATGTGGAGTACCTAGGGAGGCGGCCGTTAAGAATCACGGATGATCGGTGGGCAGTTCATTCCGACATCCAGGCTCATGCCTCAAATACTGCCATTGAGATCTCGAATCGCCCCAGTGACAATGCAGGGGCTGTTGCTTTGCTGAATGTTGATGAGGAGGATGGGCATGGTGACGAGGTACTTGAGACTGATGCACCTGCTCCAACGGCAGAAGCGGTGACTGAAAAATTGGGCGATTTCAGAATATCGGACTCGAAATAAGAAAGATTTAAAGCTGGGATTTCAGGATTCAAATGCAAGGGCTGTAACTGGAGCGTTCCAACATGTATTATTAGATAGACAAGGGTACGGGAAATGACAATCTTGGTGTGGCCTACTCATATTTTCATCCATCATTACCTACACCTAGAATACAAAGAGACCATTTGATGTCCTTCAAGCAAAGCTAAATGCCAAATACAGAATAAAGAAAAGACTAATCAGACAATGGCCAGACAAGCCATGGCGTCCAAATCGCCTAACGCCCGCTGCAATGCCCGAAATGAGACATCGATGGCATCAAACTATACCGCAAAAGCAATAGGTAAGTTCGACTCCCCAAGTTATCAGTATGTTGTACAACTTAATCGGCCACCTCATGCTTGATGCTAGGCGCGTATTTATGTCTCGTGTTCCACTGCTGGTTGAAGTAGTTCTCGAGATTCTGGCACTGGGTGAAGATAGGATCGCCCTCCTTCCAGTAATCGTAGCAGTTCTTGAAGATCTGGCGGACATCTGCCTCAAATTCGGTGGCAGTGGTATATTCGTTCTTCTCCATCTTACCCTTGATGGTCGTCAGGTCCATCGGTTTCTTGACGATTTCCAGGTAATTGGGTACATTGTCGGCGACGGGATCAACAGGGTGCTTAAATGCCTTGACGAGTCGTGTCCAGTAACCGGGGCCAAGAACCATACGAGATATCATACCGCGGCAGTATTCGAGGTCTGCTTCGGGAGACAGTGGGGCGCCGTCGGAAGAGGAGATTTGGGCTTTGCTCTTCCGGCGCATGGGCTCGGAGCGGCGTGCTTGCTTCTTGGCTACTGGCTTGATTTCGTACAGATCGTCAGGACCTGCGGCGGTGCTCGAGCCAATATCGGACTTTCGACTACGTTTCTTGGATGGGTGGGGAGGTGCAGGGTCGAGCTCAATCTGAGGAGGTGCAATCGGTTGCACAGCAGGTTGGTGATGTCGAACAGCTTGTGGCGTAAAGACTGGAGTTGCTGGGAGCTCACTCATTACGACGACGAGTTCGCTGAGGATTTCGTGAGGTAGGGACTTGGCGAATGCGTTGCGAGCCTCAGGGGAAGTACGCACTGCATTGGGTTAGCTTTGATATGACAAAAAATTGATACACTTACTGTGCTCTGCAGCCCAACCGATCAGCATGTGTCTCAATCCACTGCCCTCGCGAGTTTCCTTCCAAGCTTGGATGAGCAGCGGTGTGCCGGGAATGCAGGAAGTCTCCTGACGGCGCTCAGACATCGTGTCGAGAACAGCCACGCGTAGGGGAGCCATTCTCAATTTTGTAGCCAGCTTCCACACACCCATCAGAAGCTGATAGTCGGGGATTGCCCTGCCATGGGCCTTATCATAAACTTTGCCAGTATATATGAAAGTTTGAAAGCAGCCGAAGATATCGACGGTTGTGTCTGGCAGCTTCACAATAAATTCAACCTGATTGTCCCCGCCATTCTTCGTGAAGTATTCGCGATAGTATGGAGATTGAGAGCATAGGAGGTCTTTTTGTACGCCGAAGGGAATCTCATCGGGACCAACGAGTATAATGACGAAGATGGGATGTGCCTCACTACATTGGGTCAGTATATCGATATTATCAACGGTATGAGAGGTTAAATGGTGGAGCGGATGGGCTTTAGCTCAACATACTGCCAAGAAACTGTACTTGAAGCTTCGCCTGCCTCAGCGATGAGATCAACACCTTGATATGACATGACTTTGAGCCTAGGAGTACTTGGCCGCGGGGCGGATTGGCGGGCAGGTTGAATTGTGCGGGGGTGGGTCTGCTTCGGAGTAGATGAAGAGGCTTGGGGGTGCAGTACGGGAGTCGAATTTTTGTATGCGATTGTACTTGAACCGTAGTACACGAGTTCTTCTGGACTGAATTTGGTATTGCTGCTTTTCAACTTTAGTCAGTAAACGTTTCGGAGCTCAGTAGTATGTGTCTCATCCTCGGAGGGACATATAGAAGTCGCTCAATTTCATCCACAATGAGTATCGACCCAGCCAGGCTCATTCAAGGCTCATTTAAAATGAGACAAACAATGAGTGTGCGCTCATATAGTGGTATATTGAACTCAATCAAGCTGATATTTGTGCGTGTTGCGTATTTGTGATGGAACATCGACCCCGTCGCCACTCATGTCAGGTCCAATCGGACAAATTAAAAAAGGGACACATGTGAGTGCATTTCATCGACATACCTTGGAGGCTCTCCGCTGTTCTCAATCAATGGCTTCATTGCATTGTTTTGATGTCCTAAGACATTGTCGTCGTTGAGGTCCATCTCAGCTATGTTTGGAAAGAGTGTTTCTCCGCATGAGATTTTACGTTCGGCTGAGAAGAACACAAGCGCGGTTCCTGCCTTGTGAGGCATCAACAGCTCCACAGCCATTACCGAGCTTGGAGTAAACAAAGACATTTTGGCTGAACGAGACTTGACGCTACTCACTGGGGGAGGAAGGAAGCATTTCTGATAATTATTTGAGTTGCAACTATACTTGTAGCATTGCTGCAGTATTGGCAGTCTAGGGGAAGTAGGTGGGCGATAAGTTCTGTCACGCCGCCCTGTGCACAGTGCACCGGTCATGAATCAGAAGAAACATATGTGGGTCCTCAATGATTGTTTCAAAAGGTAAAAGGTACTTGGGTCGACTATAAAGTGAGAAAGTCTCAAGGAATCATAGAACTATATATATACCCTCACATTAGTAGACGTCATTGACACACAATGAGCATTTGTTTTTACAGAAGAATCTGGATGGTGAAGGACAACAACATTATTTCTGCTTCAAAGAATCCAATTTTGGTCATTCTTAAAAGACCTTTCATATTTCTCGAAGCATCAAAGCTCTCAGTAAGAATCTTTCAGTATCGAGAAAGCTCCTTCTCCAGAATCAAAAGCCACCCAGGGTATCCAAGCCAGGAGCCAGCTCCTCACCTAAACCCAGATAGCTCTTGGCAATGACACCTCCCTAAAACTCGTGGTCTCTTCACCGTTTCAATCAGCTCTATTAATCCCAATCATTATCCTCATAGCCTTCCACGCAAACTCTGGTATTCCGAAACGTTGTCCGTTCCTCAACATCCGCATCCAGATGAGCATCTTGTCTCAAATTCAACTGGCCGCGCTCATCCCTACCCTCGCAGTGATGGATCCGGTATTTTCTGCCTTCATATCGTGGCTCAAGCTCTCCCAGTGTCTCCATAACGTTGGCCAGAAAGTTTACTGTCCAGTCCTGAATAGCATCGACATCCTCGTGCCACATTGAGGCAGAGTAGTCGCCAACAAAGATCCGCGGACTGAGCTGCTCTTCATCGAAAAAGATGGACTGTGAGTTCTCTGACTCATATTTGATATGACTGAAGTTCTCTCAACATTCTTTGGAGTCTCATCGTCGGACTCGTACATTTCTTTGTCGTCGGGATCGTGGCTTGCAAGGTAGTCATTGTGTAAAGCATAACCGGTGTTGATCGGATCGGTACCTATCATGATGTTGGAGAGATCAGGAAACCTCCGGCGGAGCAGAGACACCCAAAGTAGTTGGTGCCAAACACCGTTGTCATTTTTGAGGAGGGATGGAAGATGTGTCGGTTGTCAACGGCTAATTGCTGAGTTCCTTTACCAGAGAATGACATAGGGCAGAGCCAATGGAGCGATTTCTCGGGAAGACAGTTGTGGATCTTTATCGATACTTCAAGTATGTCCGGATTGAAGACCGTATATCCCCATATCAATTTTTGAAGTTCGAGTGGGAGTTTCGGGAAGTGGTGGAAGGTTTCTGGGTCTGTTCTTGGTCGAATTGAAGTAGGGAAGCTGAGGGAGTACCGCGCAGGGGCAGAAAAGCTCGATGATAGCGGACCTGAAGCCATAATTGCCTCTATTGGGTCTCGCAAGTAGTGACTATATTGAAAGAAAGCAGCATTAGAAATACGTACTGAGTACGCTGAGGAGAGAGCGCGGGGAGGTCTATTTGAGTATCAGTCTTGCGAGTTGCTGGAGATTTTAAAAGAGGCTGAGCGGACACGATCAAGCCTTGTTTGACGTTGTTGGAGTAGAAACTTTCGAAATTGATTTCTGACAGAGGGCCCCTAACCACCTGACAGGGTCAGACCGTTTTGTTTCGAGGGCATCTATGAAGTATATAGGATCAGCACCGCTGGCTTCAGTCGTACACGGAGCTTGGTAATATAGGACTAGTACTAGGATCCAGGATGTGGACTGAAGATAGAATGATCTTTTCCCACCAGATCTGTCCTATTTCGTTTCGACTAAACGTTATCGGAACGAACACAAGAGCAATTATTGGCTGCAATCCTATGAACAATGAAACCTAGCTAACTTGCGGTCTTGTATTGTCGCTCTGTAGTTTATTCTTTTGGAAAAGGTCAGTACATGATAAAGACAGGATAAGCATGCTCGCTGAGAATCACTCCCCTCAGTCCACATAACCACACAACGAATGCTAACAATTCTTAAATACTACCCCTTTCCAATAGAATGGATTTTGTACAGACACCATGTAATTCATAGTTTGTAACTGTTAACGACTTGTTAACATTCTGTATGGATCGGCTATTCGAAGCGAGCCCCTTTTGTCACACCCCATACAATTAAGGATTTGATGCAGACAAGGAACACTTCGAAGTATCTCCTCCATCAGAGTTCCTACAGACATTTCGTCTTTGTGAAATATGTTTTGGAACTTGAAGTTTCTGCTCTGTGAAGTACGTGGTGAGAGCTTGCTCAACACTCCACATTCATTCACTAAAGCACAAAATGGTGCTTGGAAAGTCCATCTCATGAGCTGCAACAAAGAACAATTGAGCGTCGGAGACTCGAAGCTCTTGAAGAGCCAATCTTTTCTGCCAACTTAAGGTGATCTCTTGGGTAGCTTAGAGGAAAGTGGAGTAAGAAAATAGTCAACTTACTGCGATAGCTTTTTATCAATTGAACCCAATGTCTGCGGAAAACTTCTCTGAATACCAGAACAAGCAGCCTCGGAGATCGAGCAAAACCACTAAAAGCGGTAATATTCCATTCATCTGTTATATTAATACATGTTATAGTGTCTCGAGAGTGCTGGTTGCTTCATAGATCATGGTTCTAAGGTCAGGATAAGCCTGCTCTGAACATCCACACCCCTTCCAAAGCTCCCAATCAAGTCTGGATTCCTGGTTGAAAGTTCTTTTGCTTTCCCAAATTCCCGCTTGTGCTCCAATACAAACTCTGAACACCATCACCGTTAGATTGATTTCATAAACAGACAAAGGCTACACTGATAGCCTGACTACTTACCTTTACTTGTCTCTGAATTTCTGCTTGGGCTCCAGTGCACGTCAGTTTACAAACGATGAGTGGCAGGTTCGCAGCATATATACAATCTTTATAACATAGCGCCTCCAAGGAAAACTTTCAGTGATGTCTGTCTGGCTGCATCGTTACATGTGATTTTATGAGCGTGAACAATAATAAATGCAGGGTGTTGCAGGGAGACTTTAGGTGCTACTTCAGCTGACGCTCAGGGGTTAGAGCCCTATAAATTCAGTGGCCTTCATGCCAAGTCAAACTGCAAAATGATGACTCAGCAAGACAACACAAAAAATGACGACTCGTCTTTGCAACACACAGCTCCATTGGCATCATCTACATCCTCATACCCGAGACGAAAAGCTTCTCACACGTACTTATATGTGCCCAGTCTTGTATCATGTGACTGACCAAATTTTCGCAGTCTGTCACGTTAATTCCCACTCTTCCAATGTTAATGACTTGCAGGTAGTCAACATGTCAGCTCCACCTCAAGTCCGAGTTGGCGTTGGTGTCTTCATCCTCGAATCTTCCTCGGAGTCACCCTCAAATCCTTCATTCCTAATAGGAAAGCGGATTGGCTCTCACGGTGCAGGAACCTACGCTCTCCCTGGCGGTCATCTCGAGTTTGGCGAGACCCCTGAAGAATGCGCCGCTCGTGAAGTTCTGGAGGAGACTGGCCTGAAGATTTCCAACATCAAGTTCTCAACAGCGACAAATGATGTGATGGAGAAGGATGAGAAGCACTATATCACGCTGTTCGTTGTTGGCGTTCGAGACGATGTGAGCCAGGTACCGGAGGTGTTGGAGAAAGAGAAGTGCGAGGGATGGGAGTGGCTTAGGTGGGAAGAACTGGTGGCGCTGGTCGAGAGGGATGGGAAGGGAGATGAGATGGAGAGGAGGTTGTTCATTCCGCTCTTGAATATGGTGAGGCAGAGACCCGGTGTGGTGCCAGCATTGAAGTAACTTGTGGAGGTCTCTGCTTAAGTATGTAATCGGATCAGGACGGGTGGGTTTTGACAAAGCAAAATTTTGATTATGTCTGTATGTTCTTTCAGCCCAAGGTATTGAGGTTCTAATCAGGTCTGATAAATACTCCTGCGTCAGCACTGAACTCAAGAAGGCAGAATGAGAAATTAAGCAGTCCCATAAAATCTTGTATTGTGGCGGACCACGACCCGAACACCCACATAACAGGAGAGGTAGCAATTCAAGGCACAAGGAGTACTTTGATACAAAGAAGCGGATTAAGCAAATCTTAAGATATCACATATCTAAAGTGCGGGATTTGTCAAATAGGGGACAGGGAAGAGAATGGATTAGGTAGAAGCTCTTTAAAGAGCGTAGTTATCGTGATAATCTCTAGTGGTGTTGTTGATGATAGTGTTATAAAGGAGTGACAGTTCAGGATCTCTAAGTACCACTGCCTGGCTGCACTGGTAACATGACCTCCCTCCACTACGCTAAGCACCAAAATCAGGTGGCCCTGCCACAGTATGACGGGCACTAAGCAGACTCCTATGAAGTTTGAAAGGATACTAAGATTTTGTCTAAAACCAATCCATGTACATCGTGCTCTGAGAAAAGATGGTTGAGCAGACATGTTGCGGGCTAGCCCAGCTCTTGGACTAGTGGTCGGGTCATAGCAAGCAGGCATGTATGTTGGTCGTTTCACCACCGGTTGGATCAATGTAACGACCTATTGTGCTGTGGGAACCGAATTTTGGGTATCAACAAGATCGACATCTAGAAGCAAGGGTGAATGGTCATAAAGTAGAGTAAATGGTACTCAAGTACCCGTCTCGTAGATTCTCAACCACAATGATCAGATGCATGTCATGTTGCCAGAAGCTTACATCTCCTATTTTAAGTTACAAAAACTATTTTGAAGAAGAAAGTCCCCTGTATACGATTTGCCAAGTCATTAAGTAATGTTCTACAGCTCAAAAACCTGAGCATTTGACGACGAATGCCGCCTTCCCGCGCCAAGATAATTGTCTTACACATTCCACTGTTCCAAAACTCTTCTCGGAACTGTGATCTTCGACACCAGCACCCTGGAATTCATCTTCATCAAGCATAAAATCATGTCCTGGATTAATTTCTGATTTGTGGAAAAATAAAGAAGGCGCAGGTGGAGAAGCTTACTTCACGGTGGGGTCAAGTTTCAATCTCCAAAAGTGGGATCTGGGGAGCAACTACTCCACAATAACCCTCGCAACAGGGATGCCAAGACGATATTCTCCACGGGGGATAAGTGATAGCCGACAACTTTTGACCCAGCAAAGGGTCATAGGTGGGGTCTACTTCAGAAATCCCCGAACTACGAGCAAACATGACTCGCAACGTGTGGAGAACCTCCGTCACTCGGACTTCTTGCCGATGTCTTCGATACTCGCCCTAGGCAAGGTATAAGAATGGGATAGCATCTCAGTATCTATTTGCAAAGTCCTTCTCATTCACATCAAGCTCTGTGAAGCGTCAGTCAAGATGGCCAACTTCTCGGACGAGACCAAGAAGGTTGATATCGACCATGAGAGCGTCGTTGGCGATGTTGAAGACACCAAAGTCGCCGCCGAGCTTCAGCGACACATCAACCAGCCGCATGCAGAAATTTATGCAGAAGCCATTGCGCGATATCCCAACGATGAAGCAATTGATCAAGCCGAAGAGGCGAGATTGAAGCGCAAACTTGACAGGCAGATCTTGCCATTGCTCGGCATTTGCTACTTTTTCTATGTGAGTCCTTCATGAAGCTGGCACTGCAAATTGCGCCGACTGACTTGTCTGCTTCAGTATGTCGACAAAACCACTCTATCATATGCAGCAATTTTTGGAATCAAAGAAGATCTTAATCTGGCCAAGACCGAGTACAGTTGGTTGTCGTCAGTCTTCTATTTTGGTTGGCTCTTCTGGGCCATTCCGTCCAACTTGATCATGCAAAGATGTCGGCCCGGATGGTGTAAGTTTATGCCCGACGAACCATCACCTTGGGCCATGCTGATATCTATGATTTTCAGACCTTTCATTCAACATCTTCATGTGGGGAGTTCTGTTGATGGCACAAGCTGCAGCAAAGAACTTCGCTTCTCTAGCAGTGCTTCGAATTCTTTCAGGTGCCTTTGAAGCTATTGCTGATCCTGCATTCATGTTAATCACTTCCATGTAGTAAGTTAAGCTCTAAAGTCAGTCTATCTCTAGATTCAATATGTTTCCCGACTTTCTAGAGAGAATTTCATCAGATCGATCGTTGACTTTTCATCCTTTCAGTTATACTAGAGCAGAGCAGCCATCAAGAATCGCAGCCTGGTACGCATGGAACGGCGTCGGTGTTGCAGGCGGTGGGCTTATTGGTGAGTCGAGACGCTTGTTATGAGAACAGTCCCGGAATCTAACTTCAAAAGGGTATGGAATCGGCAACATCAAAGGCGCTCTCCAATCCTGGAGATACGAGTTCCTCGTCGTTGGTGCAGTCTGCTCAGCCTGGGGAATCGTCTTAGCCGTCCTGCTCCCCAACTCACCTATCACATTCTGGGGATTCAACCACGAGGAAAAGCTTCTGATGATTGCACGCATGCGAAGAAACCAAACTGGTATTGAGCAACGGAAAATAAACTGGGCGCAGATCAAGGAGGCTTATATGGACTACAAGACTTGGCTCTTCGTCCTCCTTGGCTTTGTCGGTAACGTACCAAATGGCGGCATCAGCAACTTCTCGACATTGGTCATCAAAGGACTTGGTTTTAACACTTTGAATACTGCTCTTCTTGGTGTTCCGCAGGGTGTCATTGTTGTCATCTGGATTGGTCTAGGTGCCCTTTGCAATAGATACTTGCCCAAGAACAGTCGAACACTCATTTGCGCCTTGTTCATGCTTCCAACCATTGCGGGTGCTCTTGGATTCTTGCTCGCTCCTACAACTGCCTATGTTGGTCGTTTGATCTGCTTGTACGTTCCTTCCCAAATTAATCTGCTCAATCCTTGCTGACGTTTCCCAGTTATCTCACAGGCTCTTACCAAGCCTCATTCGTCCTTTCCCTGTCGCTCGTTACTTCTAATACTGGCGGCCAATCAAAGAAAATGATCGTGTCCGGCATGATTTGGTTCGGCGCATGTGTTGGTAACATCGTTTCCCCATTCTTCTACAAGACGGAGCAGGGCCCCAAGTACCCTTTGGGTATCGGTTCATTACTCGTCGCGAACTTCATCGAATTGGCACTGTTCTTTGTCTTCCGCTATGCCTTCATCTGGGAGAATAAGAAGAAGGAGAAAAGAAGAGCCGAGTTGAGAGAAAGTGGAGTGATAGAGGGTGATGATAATTTGAATGCCACGGCGTTTGGCGACATGACCGACAAGGAGAACCCAAATTTCGAGTATGTTTATTAGACGGGGGGATACATATGGTATTTTGCTGGAGCGGCCTGTAGATAATCAGGGAATTTAGTTGGCGAACATTGCAGTCTGGGCTGTTTTGCTAAGTTCACATGAAGATCACCTCAAGCAAATTCTATAGATACAAATTCTATTAGCTCTGGAGAAACATGGAACAAAATGTTCAAATATCTATATTGTGAACCGTAAAAGCACAGTTCTGAAGAGATCATTTTCATAGATAGCAGAAGCTTTGGGGCCAACTGAAACGTTCAGTCTCAGAGGCTCAATGGGTACAGATACAACGAGACTCTCCTAGTGCACTGGAACGTAACTATAAGAGTGCCCAAAGGAGATTCAAAGATAAGCCGACTCCTATTTAGCACGTTTGACCTCGCCGCACTTTAGACGCGTGGCTTCACCTCAAACAATCTTGAGACAAGTTGAGCACGCCGTGACCAAACTAACGCTCAAAGATCGAAAATAACTTTGTGCGCTTAGTAAGTCCCAACACATGGCCTTTATCAGAATATTTGTGTGCCTAAGGACAATTGCTAAGGGGCGAAACTAGGAAGGGAGCAGCAGCTACTAAGTTGAGCTGGAGCCATGTCAACATCGCTTATTTTAGTGGGTGGTCAAGTATGTTTTTGCTTTGTACAAAACTAACTAAGACATGTTGTTTCATAGCTGCACGTACAGTTATATCTAAGCTAGCAGAATGTTACATTAATAATATCTTTGAGATACTGGGCAAATCGGGTCAGTCTGAGTTCACAGCCGGTCTGCACACCTTAAACGTTAAGCAGGCTGCCCCACTTTACCTCCCGCCAAGTCTCCCTCAGCAACGTCATATCTCCCCCCAGCTCTAAAGCACTGTTTGTTGCCACTAAACGCCCCGGTGAGTGTACTCCCTTGAAATATATTCTTTGCAGTTCCTTGCGCCAAAGAGAGGGTCTGATTAACGCTCTTGAGGACCAAAAAAAGCGGCTAATACACCATCAGCGAGTGCATCTTAGTCGGTCGGAGCCACATCACTTTTGGAACATACACCCAGATGTACTGGAAACGATAAACATTTACTTTCTGAAGCATTGGTCTAGAAGCACTGCTCGTAGGGATCCCGAGATAGTGCATGGCTGGTGAGCGTTGATGCGAAAGGGTTTCATGACGGTGCAAAAAAGTCATTGGAATCTGTCTCTGGGTCTACCAATCCAAGGACTTAGTATCCAGCTTTTAGGACAACAGAATTAAGCTCAAACCACGAAGAAATTTGTGGACTGATCTCCAGGTGTGTGTCCAGCTACCTTACTTACCTGAAGACAAGAAGTTCAACCCCTGAAATCTACCCCGCGATTACCCCGCACTTAACTAAACACACTGAGGCCCGTGCTTTCAGCACACCAACTTTGAGCCATCACAGCGCTGCAGTAAACAAACTCAAACTCAAATTCAACGCTCCCAGAAATGAAGAAGAATTACCAGATGTATTTCCATTCCATTTCTTCCTTTGCTAGCCCAGCCATGCATGGATAAGATATATATACGCGAGTAAATAGCGTCAAATAAATAGGTAACGGACTCCCAGATTCCTCCCGCTTACGAAGTTACGCCCCTCCCGGTCCTCCAATATCAGTCATTAAATCGTATAGACATACACATAAAAAGTCTCAGCCTGCCTCCATCGCTTACTGAATCCTAAAAGACCTTTTACCCTCCCGAGTTCCGACCTCTGACTGAAATCCCAATGTCGAAATCTCAACTCCAAACTTCTCCCTCATCTCCTCTCATTCTCATCCAATCCTTCCGAAAAATTACTCCTCCTCTTCGTACTCTCACTCCTCAGACTTCCCTGGCTCCTCGGCTCACTTCCATTTCCACCACCGCGGCTCAAACCTGCACCCGTACTCGTACCAGCACCAGCACCAGCACCAGCACCAGCAGCAAGATAATCTCTAGAATCCGCACCCGTAGGCGGCGTCAACGGACTCACCGCCGATGGTCTCCCATCCTGACCCCTCGCCTGCCCCTGACCCTGCGGAGTAACCATTCCCGTTCCAATTCCCATCCCCTCGCCCCTCTCCATAGGCGTAGCATACGCCCCCTCCGTACTAACGCTCGTCTCACTAATCCCCCTCAAATGGCCACGGTCCGCATCACTAAGATTCGAGATCCCGCTCACAATGCGATTATGGCCCTGATTCTGGACATCAAGGGAAGGCGACGAGCCAGCGCGTGGTGATGGGAGGGGTGATATGTTAGGTCGGTGGCCGCCGGCGGCGGTACCGTCGGATTGCGACCAGTGCGAGATGCTGCTTGCTTGGGAGGTTTGCGATGTTACGGAGGGGGAGGAGGCGAGGTCGTTGTTGCGGGAGTGGGAGTGGGAGTGGCCGTTAGATTTAGCGCCCAGGGCGACGAAGCCGGTGCCAGTATCATGGAGTTCGACGGGTTTGGATGTATCTGGGGGTTGTTAGTAAGGTTGGAATTATAGGGTGGGAGATGGAGTTGTTAGGAGAAGGAGAGAAACACATACCCATCATTTCATGGACTTGCACACCAGCCATTTCTGGGACGTTAGGCCGCTCATCTTCATACGGACTGCTAACGGTGTCGTCTGTCGTCACAGTCGGTGCTTTTGCATCAGCAGGCGTGGCTCGCAGCCAGCTGGTCACCCATCGCCTGTTATCCATTGTTCCGGCTTCCGATTGCGTGCCTGTGCTGCTTCGGAGGAGTTTTCTACGGCGCCAGAGGAGGATAGCGAGGATGATGAGTGTGATGAAGAATAGACCGAGGACTACTCCTAGGACAGGAGCGAGGTATTTTGGAGTTCCAGAATGATTTGATGCAGACGGTAGAGGAAGTGTTGGGCGGGAAGTATTGACTGCTGCGGCCTTGTAGGGATACCAGTTGACGATCTTGGTGGTGTCGTATTTTGCGGTGAAGACACCTGCAAGCGAAGAGTTTGAGAACCCGCCTGATGGTGTTGTCTGGGTAGCGCTTCCAGTTGCAGTACCTCCTATCAATGCTTGCAACGTGGGAGAGACTGTATAATTACTCCATACGTTGGGGTCGTAGTTTTGAATCCATTGGTTGCTTGATAGATTGTAGATCTGAATAATACCACCCTCGACGCAGGTCAAGTCTGTTCCAGATAGAGTGCTGAATCCGCCGACTACAAGCATTTGATCTGGATACGGCTTGGTGCACCTGTGTCCAGCTCGTGCGTGAGATGGAGTCCCGTCGTTAACCTTCACCCACTTGAATGAAGGAATGGATAAGACATAAACCGCATCGCTGAACGGCTGGGCGGGATGAAGTCCATCAAAACCTCCATACCAGTAAATGTTGTGACTTGAGCCATCTTGAGCTGATGCGACAACAGTACATCCTCTCGACAATTGACCAGGCGCATCTGTTGTTTGCTGCTCGTACCAAGTATCTTTGGCAACATCATAAATGGAAACCGTGGACATGAAGAGCGGACTTTGTTTTTCCTGTTCGATCGTTAGTTACGTGAGATCAGACATGGAGAGAGAGATAGTCTCACACTCTCTGCGGTCGCTGATGCATTGTTGGTCTGATTGACGTTGGCGTATGATGGAAAGATGACTCCACCGATCGCGACCAGAATCCCTTTCTCTGATACTGGAACCCATACGACTTCGGCATTGGCTCGACCAGGTACGCTCGTTGGAAGTGTAGAATTCTTCCAAGTCTCACCCCCCTGCTTGGCCATATTGATTTCAATCAATGTTGTTGATAGTTGATCAGCATTAACCGATTGATTCCTGGGCCCAGGCAAGTTGAAAATTGATCCAGAGCTTGCTGACCTCAGACCTGCGAAGTAATAGCCCAAGTTTTCGGACGGGACACTGACAGCTGCACCATCGGTAACATATCTGGTAACTCCGTTCGGCAGAGTGCCCAGAATGAATCCGCTGTTGAATTCCTTCGGTGGACCAGAGGGATACACTTGCCAACTAGCAACGGCATCTCCAGCAGGAGCCTTGAATTGATCTGTTGTTCTCAATTTCCCTCCATAGGTAAACCATTCATAGTCATTTGCAAACATTGCTCCGTCATAGTACTGTGGACCGATGTTATTTGCTGCTCCACCACCCGAAGCTTTCGACAACGTGGTGAAGATGCCAGTCAGGTTGAAATTCGTTGAGGTGTTGAAAGGAGTGCTGAAATTTAGCATATAGACAAGGCCAAGTGGATTTCCTGGAATTTATCAGTATACATTGGCGACTTTCAAGGATATCGGTGACATTACCATCGGATACGACGGCTCCATATGATCCATCGGATAGCCCTGGCTTCCACCAGAGATATCCGCCATCAATGTATAGCGTGTCACGAACAACAGCAGCTATAGATTATCAGTACGGATTGTCGGTAAAGGCATCTCCATATTGCAAAGAGTCGCTCTCAGTATAGAGGCGGAGGGTTACTACCTCGTGGAGACTCCCATTGACACATAGTCGTATTGACCTGACCCTCTTGCCATCCTGCAGCCTGGGCCGTACATAGTTGTGCAAAACATCCCACAACAATTAACGAAAGTTGTAAGCTGAACATTATCACTACAAGACAATAAACCCAGGTTTCACTTGAGGGTGGCTGTTGAATGATGAGGATGAAGAGGCTCAGCGCATCGCACTATCGTGAATGCATAGAATGCACAACTCGATCTTCTTCCCCATGGGCCTAGTTGTAATGAACCACTGAGAAGGCACAATATAATCCGCCACCCTCTACAAAGTCAGCATTCTGCATTGTTGGTGTGCTGCAGGTTCGTCGAAGGGCTGGACCGCTTCCCTCAAAGACTCCACTGCAAGGAATGTGGCCACCCAACTTTCTAGAGATCGGTTACGGGATCCAGCCCCTCATGATCTCCCATCATCCCGCTATCACTTTACGGTGAAAGGAAGAAAGAGGGGAGGGGTGGGATGAATGCTTGCAGCCGCAGCTGTTAGTGCATGGGTGGATCCGAGTCCTTGCATGAAATACGGCTTCTCAACCCTGATTGGGACTTCGCCTCCAAGGCCCCGTAAAACTGGAAGATCGCGCAACCTTCAGCCTTGTCCATCCAGCTGGTGGTGCTATCGTGAATCTTCGTCTATTTGTTCGCACCCGGAGACGATTCTTCAGTGGTTGGCATATGTCTTGTTGGTCTTTTGAAGTGAGCGAATCTGAGGAGCGGTAATACGCCAATCCAGCCAGATTGTCATTATCTGTATCGTTCCAAGGCACAGAACTTTAACACAAAAGCCATGATGCCAATCGCGAAACAGTCAGGTCAGTATCTGTGTTGAGGGGCAAAAGCTCCTTTTCTGGTCCGGCAAATATGCACCTTTGCTCTAGATGTGTGACGCTGGGAGAGGAAAGTCGGACTACCAATTGACCAACAGCCTCTTTTATTGATTCGGGTTTTGCTGTCGCCGGATACGGGCGTTTGTGGTACAATGGCTGACTGCAGGTGCTTCTGCTGCATGTGGTGGGGAAAGAAGCAAAGGGCTGGCCATGGCGGCCATCAACCACCCCACCCGAGTTGCTGAGTGAGGCTCTTCATGGGTGGGTGTGTGTCAGCATCTCGCCGGACAAAGTACCTCAGACGAAGGGTGAAGATGTTTCCGAGCAGGTGCCTTTCATTATTGTGCCCTTTACTGAAGCTTGACTCCCGAGTGAGCGATGTGGACCCGACCACTGGGCTTCCCGCAAAAGGTTTGAGTGGACCCAGGGCTCCCGTCCAGCTCTTGAGCTGCCTCTGCCCCACTGTTTGCCGTCTCCAAGGCTCTTGAGCGAATCACACGGAGATATCGCTTAAGCAGCCAATCAAGGCGGGCTATAAGCAGTCCTCAAGCCACCTCATGTCTATTCCGGGGCTGAGGCCGGTCGAGCAACACCACACCACACCTCACCACACCTCACTCACTTCCACCAGCCATCACCCATCGGTCACCTCCTCGGTGCTCCCGCATCATCTGCAGCTGCAGCTGCATCCCTCATGCATGGCGAACCTCTCCAATCCTGTGCCTGCCACTAAGAGTCCCAACTCACCAACCAACCAAGTGATCCTCAGTTGGCTCCATGCCTATCATTTGCTTTTCTTCCCCCACTCCATGGACTGGCCAAGTCCGGTGGCCCAATTCAAGCAGATCGCCTCTGACAACCCAGTTCTTCCGAGGACGTGGGCCTAAACGGATCGTGAACTGTCGTGGCGAACCAACGGGACAATATGGTCCACTCGTAAGGGTTGCAAGCAATGTAACACTATTGTTGAGCGGCGAATGCGAACAACTGTCATTGCTTCTGGGAGCGACATATCACCCCCGCACTAGGAAGCTATGCTCCATCCCGTACCGCAAGCCTACCCACTCTTGGAATCGGATCACAGAGCCTCGAGACAGATGTCTTTCTCAGGCACAGGATCTTGCATCGACATCTCGTTGGGTGGGTTCGGGAGCGGCGTGCAACGTACCATCGTGCGTTGTCTTCGGGATGAGATTGAGGCTCACTCATGAAGTTTGTGTCTAGACTCATTCTGCCGGCCCTCTTACGCCGATACGGGCATTATCCTCAGTTCCTTCTTGGCTGGACCGACCAGGGTTAAACCCTGATCATGCAAGCCGCTGTCACTTACCTCATCGCAAGGAGCTCTGAACCTCAAGGTATCCTGGTATCTAGATTTCCATCTGTCGAGATATGCCGGAAAGAATTTCTGAGGCTGGGGTCCCATAGCTGTTTTCTTCTTTGAGCTGTTGGTTGAAAGTACTAGCATTCGTTGCCTCTTCTTATTTCTTTGTCTCTCCTCGTTCCTCGAACCTTTGGGTCGATGTCTGCATGCCATCGGAAAACTTAAAAGAACCTTGAAAGTCCCAAGGATCAGGATCGTGCGACTTTGACTGCTGATTGGACGCCTGCTTCTCGTGTGGAGTACTCGGAACCTCAGCCTTGGGCTGACCGTATAAACTCCAGCGCAGAACTCCAGGCACACCACCAGCTCAAAACCATAGTCAATCGTTCTTCGTTCTAAAGAGACGCAGGTAGCCGTCTTCTGCCACGCTCGCTCATCGTGGATCAGCAATTTGCTGCCATTGACACAATCTTTTCGACTACTTGCAACAATTGCGATGGTTCTTGGACGGACTTTGTGGGCAGTGGTGGGGTTGATTGGGGTAGCTCGAGCTCAATACGCAAATACCACTGATATCCCTTCACCAATCGACGAGGCAGCAGACCGGAGAACGCATCCTAAGCCGACCTCGAAAGCAGAAACATGTAAAGCATCAACTGTAACAGTGCCAGGCGGGTGCTATCCGATGACTACTACTGTCACGGTCCCCGCCTCATACTGCCATCCCACCACGGTTACTTGCTATGTTACCGTGACACCTTCAGCGTAAGTTTATCAATTTCTATCAATTGCTTATGCTAATGATGAATCTCAGGTCTACAAGTACAAAAACCACAACAGTCTAGTAGGTACAAATGCTACATTCCAGGGAATGACTTAACATTATTTAGTATTTCTACCACCCAAACCAAAGACCAGACCTCAACGGTATGTCAATATGCAAAAGTTACGAAATTTAGCTAATGAATTGCATCAGGTCACTCAAATATCAAAGTCGGACGTCTATATTACCCAGAAAACAACTGAGAAGGAGACGAAGACGGAGAAACAAACATCATATACCACAGCGACAGAGGAGACGACGTGAGTATACAAGCAGACTCGAAGCTAGAACCAATGACATGGTGTGATGAGTTGAGCTGAAATGCGATCTACAGTACCACCACGACAACTACGGCGATATCACTCACGACCAAGTTGATCACGACAGTATGTATCAACGCAATATATCCACCAAGAAAAGCTAACAAGTGACAGTCTTACCCTTACAATGTCACAATTACGAATTCTTATGGGTCCGTTCAATCCCTTTGATATCCCACTGGGTTGTCTTGAGCTGACTGAAACGAAGTTACCCGGTTGTCACAACACTATGGAAGACGACAACTTCTACAGTGACTTCCAAAATTCCAACCACGGTATGTTTTTTCTGTTGAGAAGAAGGAAGTAGAGCTGATCTAGCTCGCCCAGGTTCCGACGACAATCACGAAGACTACGAGCGTCCTCGTTCCGACCACTGTAAGTAACAAAACTCTTCCATACCTTCTTCGCAACCGAGCCGTTTGAGCGACAAATGATCAACACTCAGCAGTTTTAATGTTTCCGACTATTGAATCTCTTTTATTACAAGCATACTGACATTCGAAAGTACACGACGACGAGAAATATTACCTACACAACATCCTATCCGTATACAGTCATCAGCGATCATACGATCTGGAAGACCTCCACAAGGACCACGGTTACTACGTACAAGACTACAAGTACTCGCACAGTAGGCCATTCTCTCCAGTCTTCACCAATTTCCCATGATGTAAAATTCGACGGCTCTTCAATTAGGTTCTTGAATTCGACGACCATTTATTATTACGTATTTTGTGCTTCAGCTGATTTTGTTTCCAGGTTCCCACCATAGTTCCAACGACTGTAAGATCCACTCATAGGCCCTTTCATCATGCAAACTGACTCGAATAGACCACTGCGACCAAGACCTCCACGACCACGTCTGTTTCAACTTACTTCACGACACTGACTGAGTCCACGTAAGTTGCTCTGTCTTTGGTCAAACCCTGAGACCTTTAAGCTATCTTTTCCACGCCACTATTCTGGGACCAAATGCTGATACTTACGACTTTGTAGGTCGTACCCGGTGACGGTAATCAGCGATCACACAACCACGTCGACAGTATACAGCTTCAGCACATATACGACGGTCTCTACTTCGTTGACTACCCGCACTTCTAGGATCACGGATACCACCAGTATGTTAACCATGCATGCTACGATGATTGAGCTAACACCAGATAGCTGCTACAGCTACAGAGACATCCGAAGTCACAGACACCACAAGTAAGCGAAGATCCTCCGCCGTCTAAACTTTTCTGACCATGCTTTAGCAGCAACAGACACGTCATTCATTACGGACACGACTAGTGGGTGAGCATCCCGTGCCCTCCGAACCATACTAACCACTTGCTAGCGGCTACGGATACATCATTTATTACGGACTCCACAAGTAGGCTTTCTTCTGCTTCACCGTCCATGTATCTCGGCTAACCTCTGGCAGCAACGACAACCACAAGCAGTATGTCTCACTGTTGCGGATGCTTTTAGTTGCTAACTTTATTAGTTTCCACTCTACTCCTAACTACGACAACGACCTTACCTGCTTCCACTGTCACTTCGTCAATCTCAGGATCTTTGACCACGATTGTTATTCCACCGATCACCGAGACGACCACATCAACCTCGTTAATCACTCTTCCTGGCCAGGTAACCACGCTACCAGGGGAGGTAACTACACTTCCTGGAGAAATAACGACACTCCCTGGCGAGGTAACTACACTTCCTGGTGTCATTACAACAATTACACTTCCAGGTGAGGTGACGACACTTCCAGGAGATGTCACAACACTGCCAGGCGTCATTACAACGGTCACAGCTCCTGGTTCAACTGTGATTTCAACACTGCCCGGCGAGGTCACGACACTTCCAGGTGTTACCATCACACTCCCAGGTGTTGTCACAACGATCACAGCTCCTGGGTCGACTGTGATTTCGACACTTCCAGGTGAGGTGACGACGCTCCCGGGTATTACTACAATAATCACAATTCCTGGTTCAACTGTGCTGTCAACGATTCCGGGTGAGGTGACGACTCTTCCAGGTGCTATTACAACAATTACAGCTCCCGGTTCAACTGTGGTATCAACACTTCCAGGCCAGGTGACTACTCTCTCAGGTGTTATTACAATAATCACAGTTCCTGGTTCAACTGTGCTTTCAACGATTCCGGGTCAGGTGACTACCCTTCCGGGTCTAGTAACTACCATTACTGCTCTTGGGCCAACGGTTACGCTTCCCTCTGCGTTGGATACAGTCACTATCCCAGGCCCTACAGTTACCGTCCCAGGTACTACAGTCATTGGACCTGGTGTCACCGTGACCGTCAACGGCCTGGTTGTATGCCCTAAGCCTACGAATACACCAGGCGTCGTGGTCATCCCACAAGACACTGGCCCTACTGCCCTCTGGGGTTGTTCACCTGGTTATGTTTGCCATTTACCAAAGCCAGCAGGCTGCACACTCTTCGCTGATCCGCCGGATTACGATTTTCTCTGCGATGCAAAGTACTGCATTCCAAGCCCTCCATTCCCAACAGTGGTCTGGCCGAAGGGGGAAACTTCCTACTATCCAGTCACTGAAGGATACTTTAACTTGAACCCAAAAGCCTTCGGTCTGGACTTCACAATATTTGTCATAAACGTTCAAATAATCACAGTGACTGGAAAATACGGGGAAGAAACAGTCAAGACTATCACAACAGGAGACTATTCATCCAAAGCCAGTCTTACTCACTTCGGCTCAACCGACATCCCTTCCTCAACCCTCACAATTACCCCGATTCCAAAGCCAACGCCAAGCCCGGAAATTTACGTCTACGCAACCTCTTCCGCACTTGCACACCGGAACAAAGCCCGTGGCAGCCTCCACCTCCTCAAACGCGACGACACCATCGTCCCGGCCGTCTGCTACGCAACTTGCAATAATTGCTATCTTGAAGCGCAGAGCGTGGGCCTCTCACCTGAACTCTGCGCGGGCGATTCTGCATTCCAGTCTTCCTACCAAGGCTGCCAATCCTGCGTCACAGAAAACGGTGACATCCAAAAGGTTTCCCTCCAAGTCTACGTCCAACCCAAGTTTGCCATATTCGTCGACTTCTGCGATGCACAGGCACCTATTCCGGTTCTTGAACCATCGACTTCAACCTCTATTGCGACAATCATTCCAGTTGCGGCCACACAGAGCGTTGTTGGAGCCTCGGAGACCGCACCGCCTACAAGCAGTGTGGAAATCACGAGTCAAGTCCCAGCTGTTGCCAGTTCCAGCCCTGTACCTATCTCAAGTTCGGATACTCCTGCACCAATTCCGGGTACGACATCTACCACTCCTGAGTCAATTCCAAGCGCGACGTCGAGCAGTCCGCCAACAAACACTTCGGGGCTGGTGCAGATTACTGGAAATATGGCAGTCAGCTCCAGAAAGTCCTCGCTCGGTCTTATGCTTTCCGCCTTGATCTTCTCGATACTGGCTCTGTTCCTCTGAGGCTGATTCTTCGAGTTATCATTTCTGTTCAGTCTGCTCTTCTGTCATACGATATTGATCTTCAGAATATAATCGATCCCCTTTCTTTCCCAGAAATCAGCATTTACATATAACGTACCATAAATTACGACCACATACCCATCAAATCATGATATACACGATCCTTAATTAGCACATACTTCGCTCAAACAGACACTCGCAACAATGGCAATACTATTGAAACCAACACTTTTACGATCCTTCTGACACCAGCATAACAGCATATACATGGACGGCATTTACCACAAAAATACCCACTGTCCCTTACCGCACAATTTTGGAGTTTCGGGGTTTCAGTTTTGAAGGAATACCTAATGGGACTTTGGTACGGGAACATTGAAGGAAATGATACCCACACACTCTCTTCTGAAACGTATGGATCTGATTATATGACGTTTCATGGATGGAAGGGATTGGGAAAATAATAATGGGTCTTTGTTCAGGTCGTGAAGCGGCCGTAGGACCACTTTGAAACAGTCGCAATTATCTCTCTGGCAAAGAGAGAGGACAGAGAAGGATGAGAAGGGCGGAAGGGCGTGTGAGCGAGGGAGGGAAAGACCGAAGGTAGCGCAAGGCAAGGAAGCAAACAATGAGATAACGAACGATATTCACTTCTGATGTCCTTCATTTAAGTTTAATGGAGCCAGACAAATCTGAAGAGGAGAAGCAGCAAGCCATGTCATAACAGAATTCTGGATATTTGAAGAAAATGAGAAAAATCTTGATCAATCCCTCTCCGGATGCCTTGAAAGTGACAGAGTGCCCGAGAGTAGGGCCGGGCTTCAGCAGGAAGACGTCTTAGTTACAAGCTTATGTCAGGAATTTGAGGCTTGTCATCAAAATGACGCCCCGCGAAATCAGAGCGATGAGTTATTAGGGCTTTGAAGTCCGGTAACTCCTCTCTTTGGGAGGATTTTCCTGTTTCAGCCAAACACATTCCTCCTGGCGTTCCCACCTGCTCTGAGGGAAACTCGCCTCGACTCAGTTCTCTTCTGTCTCTTCCAGGCACTTCCAGCCTTTGATCCTACGTCGACCACGACATCACGAATCCTGCTCGACACATTTTCCGAGAACACCTTTGGAGTATAGCTCACAAGCACTACTTTCATCACAGTCTTGCTCCCTCGAGCCGCCAACCGAGAAAATAGGTATAAGAATGCTTCTGGCAAAGTTTTGCTTCCAGCAGATATACTACTGAGAAGTTCAACATCGATGACGATATAGATTTTGTTCATGCCCGCTACGACAGACGCCAGAAGATCAAACCATTGGTCTTCATCCATCGCAGTCTGGAACCTAGCACATGTGATAGCCATGGGTGCTTCAGCATGAAGCACCTTGTTGATCCTTAGTATCTGCCATGTGAGGTGCTTCAGGAGATCCATCGTAGAATACACCAGCGAGTACTCGTTCTCGCTTGGTGTTGGGAGTGCCCATACTACGGGAACTGCAGCAGTTCGAAGATATTCGACGATATTGACGCAAAAGTCCTTGACTTCGAAGCGCAGCCGGTAGGACCCTTTCACAGCTACAAGCGACGAGGCGGTATTTCTTTCCCAATTCTCGAGCTTAGGATCCATCGAAAATCCTTTGCTAGGCGAACCATGCTTCAGGCTGCGTTTGTTACGAAAGACCCTGTTCTTTTCAAGCGTTACTAGTGGTTCGGGGAAATTTGTTTGAGCGGAAATGCTAAGAATGTTTGATAACTGCACGTCAAACAAGCGCTGGTTCGTGTTCAAGGCTGCAGCTGCGTTCACAGCATCATATGCTGGGGAAATTATCAGCAACCGACGTACGCGAGATGCTAATATTACTCACAGATCATCATCCGCTTCATCTCAAGAATAATTCCTTCGACTCTAGTCTGGCCGCCGCTTAGCGTCTTGACTACGGAATGCATGTCTCGTTGTTCGGCTTGGGAACACGCCCAAGCCAATTTGTCAACATCAATAGAGCACTGTTGAATATCTTCCATCAAATCCTTACAGCGTATTTCAGCCGGCCTAGTAAGAGAATGTATCATGTGCGAAAGAGTTCCTTCCATGCACCAGTCTCGAGCACGGACGAAGAATCTTATGATATTGGCGTAAAGCTCCGCGACGGTCTCTTTCATGCGTTTCGTTGGATACAGAACTGCAACTAGTTCCACGCGGGGCAGGGTATTGGCAATTTGGGTGAGTGTTTTAGTGTACGCTGCAAGCAGCTGTTCGTGGTTTATTATGGCCTATTTCGAGTGATACTGTATCAGTAATATTTACTTAGTGATTGCGAGTATTTGCACGGTATTACTCACAGTGAAGCAGAATTTCATCGCCCCCCACGCAAGGGCGACGTATTCTGGATGATGAGAGACCATTACATCCATTATGTTTCCGTAGTGTTTCACACGGGTAGAAAATCTGACGAGTTGCTTCCGCACTTTTGCGTTCTTGTGATGATCATCATACTTCGCTTTCGCTTCTGAGACGCTTTTGTGTATGTCTTCCATCGTGTTGAATCTTTGCACCTCATCGCGCTTGCGTTGGTCTTTCGTCAGCTGGGTACTAAATATCCGGACCGCTTCTTTGAACGCGTCGTGGGCAGGATTAAGGCATCTACCAAAAACAAATTAGGAGTGTATTTGTTGAAGACTCGGAACTGGGAGCTAACTCATCACTCTCGTCTTTTTCATACCAGCCAGCATGTGCCATTCTTTTATCCGTCTTATTATTTCGAATCTTTCTCAAAGTCAAAATTGAATTCGAGTAGCTTCAGCATTTTCGACAAAATCGTATTCGATCCGAAACGGCGAAACTGAGTTATGCATTCGGAGTCAACACACCTTGACCTACAGCTACCTAGGTGCAGTTCGTACAGCCAGGCTACAGCCAGGCTACAGCCCCACTCCATGCGAATATGCCTCGATCAAGGGGAGTGCAGTAGTATCACAAGCCGAATACAGTTCGGCGCGTCACATCAAGTGTTGCCACTCACACATCACTCGGGCGGTTTCTTCAGCTGTCCGGATTTCTTCCAATGAAGCAGTGATAATTACAATACACGCGGTGCTACATGCATTGGCTGTCTGCATTGACAACCTGTACCTCCGGGGATCAAAAGCCACAGAAGCGGGCTGTGGGCTAATTGACATGGCCATCTATGCCGTGCAACTTAATTATTGGCCACGATGCCCTGGAGATCAGTGTACCTCCCCTTCAGCCGTACATCACGAGCCAAAAACAGCGACACTGCCCCCAGGCGGACTACACTTCTTTTCTCCATAAGCTAATGGAGGCTAACCCAGCCAGCTACTAGCAATTTCCAGTGAGCCTCAGTCTTCTTTGGAGATGCGAGTACAAAATTAATCATCCTGCCACGAGCTTAAAAAGAATGGCCTTCAATCATTGTTGATTCTCCCAGGGATGGACACGAGCCCGTTACGTGATCCTCAACTGTTGCCCTCCCTCATGCTCCAGATCCCGCCCCTGAAATCATCAGACAACCAATTTGTCGACCTACTTGCGCCTGGAACTCTCTTTGGCGACTCCAACAGCTCCAGCGGCTCCAGCGATTCCGACGAATCTTTCGAATCCGGCTTCCTTTATTCATATAAAGGCTTCAAAGTCTCGGCAGTCTGGGGTAGTGCGCCCAGTTCTCCCCAAGCATTTGAAAAATTTCGCCACGAGAGGATTGCCTCTCTGTACGAACAAGGCCAGCAGCCGACTCCTGAACAACTTTTTGACCCGGAGGCGGCGTGGGCAGTTACACGAGAGTCGTACCCTCCATACCGGCCGGGGCGGACGACCATAGATGTTGAGTCATCCTTCAGTCGAGAGTGGGAAACAGATTCAGACTCTGCGAGCGACGAAGATTCTGGGAGTGGTCGTTTGCTCATATCTCTCAATAATCTATACTCCAGAAGTCGACTCGTACTACAGTGGCAATTCCTCAACCACCTGACCATATCGAAAGACGAAACGCAGGGAAGCAAATTTTCTCAGGAACTGCTGTGTGCTGTTGATGAACGTTTGAAAGGTTATTCGACGCCACTTGCTGCTCTTTCACTTACCAGCAGATCGAGGGCTCGGGGAGACCAAAGCCCGGGAAGTTCTCCAGTACCTCGGTCAGAACTAGACGAGGGAGACGTTGAAGTCGTCAAAGTGACAGACTCAGAGTCGGAAGACAGGACAGAGTCTCCAGCGTCCACTCATCAGACATACTACGAAAGGTTGACGCAACGTGCGAGTCCTCCAACAATCAAATTTCCAGCCCATACAATGGCCACACCAACGACGTCTTATGATTCCAACCTCAACCAAGCAAACATGTCTGACGAGCTTGACGAGACCGTTTTGGCCAACTGCTCATTCGGAAGTCTGATCGATCGTATCAAATTGCTGGACTCGGAAAACAGAGCATTGAAAGTGAAGAATGCGGTGGCGGAGTCAACTGCGACGACCCTGCCTCAGCAGAAGCCTGCTATGTGGGTGACATTGTACAATGTGTTTGGTTCCACGTGTATTGGCGAGCCGGATTGGATCAAGGATGAGCGAGGAATTCCTGCTCTGAAGAAAAACCTTCCCTTGAAGGATAAAGAACGGTATCTCGACAGGCACCCTGATATATGCTTTGTTCTCGTCAAAGATTACTTAGGAGCCAAAAGTTCTTCACAAAAGAAATCAACGACTGACGAAGAAGAGATAAGTGGGCCACCTGAACCTACCAAACAGTGGATAGAGATCGAAACGGTAGAGATGGTGGAAGCTCTAATGGAATTCAAGGACAAGGCCGGAGATCTGTCCAAGCAAATTCCCAATTTTGAGCTGCACCAACCCATATATGAACCTGATTTGTTCTTTTATCATTGCTTGCTGGCATTTGATAGAATTATGGAGGAGCTATCGCCGTCGCACCAAGCGTTGATGAAACTCTTCCGAGAATGCATCGAGCAAAATCACGGCGAAGAATATCGACGAGCAGGAGAGGAGTTTGAGAAAGGGACGGTTTCACGAAAGACCATGAAGTACCTGGTGAGCCGTGAGGACGTGCTAGTCGGGCAGCGAGACCACCAAGCCGTGGCGTATATGGTGAGAGCACCCGGGGAAGTTCTCGACTCAAGCAGCAAAACCAGAGGCACGAAGCAAAGTTCTTCTGCTCCGCTATCGTCAGAGGGAGAGAAAGAAACCGTATCGTGGAACTTCAAATGCTGGTCATGGGACTTCGATGGCAACTTCGAAAAAAGGAAGAGTTTACAGACTATCAACCTGGTGATTGCTGAGGATGACGAGAAAGTTGATATTTCAAGTTTGAACCTCTATCCGCTGAAGTATGCAAGCGAAGAAACGAAAGAACTATTGAAGCGACGAGGCAGCACCTTCTGGAAATGCCGTGATAAGCTCCTCGTCTCGTATCAGGCAAGAAGCGAGGGACGTTTGCCGTTGGTATGTTCATTACGGCCTCCGCTCCTCTGACAATTATTGCTGATTAATACACAGACGGTGGAACGATTCATGATTGACATCTCAACGTACAAGACTTTGCACAAAGATACTTCCTCGTATACTATGCCCTGCCGGGATGACATGGGTACTGAAGTAATGGCACAACAAGAGCCTCCTGACGACAATACACGTCTGCTGTTTCCTTCAAAAATAAAGGGTTACCACATGCGCCTCAAAAAATGGAGTATAACAGGATTCGATTCAATCTACATCTATTGTGGCTAACTTCTCTTTCTAGTGGATCTTGAAGTTGATCAAATATCAGATGTTGTGTGGAACCCTCAAGCGTTCGAGAGCCTTGTCACGGATGAGGAATCCAAAGAGCTCATCCAGGCTTTGGTCACCAATCAACTAGAAGCCGAGAAATCCACAGATCTCATTTCAGGCAAAGGCAACGGCTTGATAATTTTGCTTCATGGGGGACCTGGCACTGGCAAGACCTTCACTGCAGGTAGGCGTGGTTTGTTAGCCCAGTCGTTCGACTTTGCTAATGATCATCTCCGAATATAGAAACTGTAGCAGAGATTGCTACAAAGCCGTTGTACCGTGTCACTTGTGGTGATATAGGCACGGAGCCGGTGGGCGTCGAGAAGGTACGACAGGAGACGCTCTTCGTACGCCATTCAAAGTTTCTAATTCTCTGCTTCTAGTACCTGGAGTCTGTTCTTCACCTAGGAAAGATATGGGATTGCGGTATGTTGGCAATCTAGGACACTATATTTCCAGTAAACATGATTAAATTGACTGACTTTCTACTCCAAGTTGTGCTCCTGGATGAAGCGGACGTCTTCTTGGAGGAACGGAATATGGGAGACCTGCAGAGAAATGCTCTAGTCTCTGGTAAGTTCCATGGCATCTAAATCTCAAATCTAGTGTTCTGAGCTAATTATACATCAGTATTTCTTCGTGTTCTCGAATACTACGATGGTATGCATAATGAACAAGAGTTCCCCTTGCCTTGCCAGAACCCCCTTAACTGAATCACTTTCTTCAGGTATTCTCATTCTAACATCCAACCGCGTGGGAACTTTCGACGAGGCTTTCATGTCCCGCATTCAACTTTCGCTTCACTACGAGAGTTTGAACTTCGAGCAGCGTCAACAAATCTGGCGAAACTTTTTGCAGCGACTAAAGACGATGCATGAGCCGAACATCGATCACCAAAGCATTGACAACCGCATCAATGATCTCGCCCGGGAAGAGTTGAATGGTCGTCAGATTCGTAACGTCATAACTACCGGGCGGCAACTGGCCCAGTACAGGGGTAAGGAGTTCGGATATGAACACTTGAGACATGTTATTAAGATAGCAACCAAGTTTGATAATTATCTCAAGGGAATGAGCAAAGGAATGACGGGTGATCAGGTTGCCAAGGATAGTGGAATTAGATAGATTATGGTCATTGTCGCAGACCAAGGGAAAATATTGGCTCGAGATATATTTTTCGTCCTTGTTATGACAGGAAATGGGGCTTGAGAAGGCTAATCTTCAATTTATACGCTTTTCAAGTTTGCCTCAGCAGCTCAAAGATTCATGTCAGGCCATGTCTCGCCGCATAGCCTTCATAACCCTCCTCGTATTTGGCGACAAGCTTCCTCATTGTCTCTTTGGCACTATTTGTGTTAGCCATGCCGCAGTCAAGTCACCGATTGTCGGAAAGGATCTCATTCAGTCATACATTTCATGGAAGCGCAGATTTCCAGGGTAGAGAGAAGAAGACATGGTGTCAAAACGCCTGATTGATATTCTGTGAGCATTCTCTCAGACACTCCAACGGGCACTTACAAGCAATACAAATCACCACGATCATCAAACTCTTCAGCGGGCTCTGAAACCTGGAAGTGTTTCGTGTACTCATCGATGTAAGCTTTCGTCATTTTGTGACGGCTTGCTCGCCATGGCGCCATCTCATCTAAACGCGATGTTAAGTCAGCAGGGAGTATTGCTTCGTCGTTGTTTCTACTCACATTCGTTATGTGCATACAGCGGGGTCCCGTCGAAGATCATCGGCTTGCCTGTGACCACATCTACAGATGCATTTCCGTCCCAAAGATCACCATGGACAAGACGTGGCGTGATGGATCTTCCTCCGGTCTCAAGAGGTCGAAGAAGGCGTGGGATAACCTTCTCAACAACGCTCTTCTTGAGCATTTCAAACTCCTCATCTATACCATGGGTTGCCACCTCATTGGCGAAGACGTGTTTTAATCCATGAGTGAAACATTCTTCCCATGTATCACTTACAGGAAATATCTGAGACGAGTTTCCCGCGAAGGTCCCTATCAGAAACCCGAATTTGCCGTTAGGAGAAACGCCACGCTTGTGCATTTCCGCCAGCATGGCTGGAAAGTCTCTGCAGTCAGGGATGTCGTGGCTCATCTCATGAAATTTACAGACGAAGAAGTGTGTATCTGCAACGTTTTCATAACTTCCCCATCCCACTGGGAGAGCGACCATTTCCGGCATGACTTTGTAAAGCTCGCTCATGGCATGAAATTCTGAAGCGACCATGTTCTTGCCATGCTCGCCCTGATGTACCTGACATTTGTTAGTCTTGAATCACTCTGATCCGTGCAGCTGACTTTCTTTCAAGAAGTAATTATGCTGCTGTCCATTCACATTGGTGGCTTCGATGTGTGCGGTTCGTGCCCAATATGAGGCTCCGCTTGGTGTTATGAGGCCGGTAGTTGTCCCTGGAGGCAATTCTGAAAAAAAATGAGTCAACCATAATTCAAAGCTTGCTCGGAAGTAGATCAAAATTTGAACATTCTCCTGGAGAGAGACACCCAGCAGGACTTACTTTTGAGGATCCCGCCATCAACATAAGAAATGGTGCTTAGCGGTACGGGAACCTCCTCGTCCCAAATGGTTTTGTCCAGAGACATGATTATTAACATTCATGTGTGGCAGCAATGGCTAAGAGAGTTGTGTTGTTTGAATCTCACCTCAATATGCTGGCGGGGGCCCAAGGATGTATATGTCGTTTATCATCATGATTGTTGGACACAGCCATCGCCAGAGTCACGCTCCTGTCCGACTGCGGCCGAGCGTCTTTGTTTGGCCACATGCATCATTCCCTTTCCGTAAATGCACCTTTCATCAGCGGTTACTTAGGAAATTTATGTCTAACAATGTAAAATTTCCCTAGAAAGAATTTGAAATCTAGTATACTGGTCATCCATACTGATGTTGGAATCCAGACCATGCCAAAACCTGCTGTATATAATCATCAGTCGAGGTCAAAATCATTCGCGTGAAGGAGGATATGTAAGAAAATGATCTTCCAATCAGCACGTGGAATTTGCAAAAACAGGGCTTCGGCCGTGATCGGATGATGTCACTATCCCTTGCTTTGTGTGTTGTCCTTAGACCTTGTTGTTTCTCAAATGCCAACCATCAAGCCTAACATTAGCTCAAATTCGTCCCAGGCAATCTCATATGGGCACTACACCGAGTGATCAAAACTCTTCTGAGGTGGCTATGTGCGACTCACAAGATAAAACAGGGAAGATTGTTCCTTACACAGCTTTTTCAGTTTCTTATCGCTGGTATCTAACCTACCTACTTGGCTTCCTTTGTCTTGCATCTTCACTCACAGCCAACATATATTTTCCACTTATCAATCTCCTTGCAGAGAACTACGATACTTCTATACAAGGAATCAACCTCACGATAACCCTCTACATTGTCGTTCAGGGAATCTCACCTTCCATTTTCTCGCCGTTGTCAGATCAATGGGGTAGAAGACCAGTCTATCTCTTGAGCTCTGCAATATACGCCATTGGCTCTCTAGGTCTAGCTTTCAGCGGTCATAGCTATGTAGCCTTACTGTTGTTAAGAGCACTCCAGAGCATGGGTGGTAGCGCCACGTTGTCACTTGCTTATGCTGTTGTGGCCGACTTTGCTCCACATTCGCAAAGAGGACGCTTTCTAAGCCCTATGATGACAGCCACCAACATTGGGCCTTGTATCGGACCAGTGATTGGCGGAGGAGCCATACTTGCCACCGGTAACGTGAGATGGGCTTTTTGGACACTGGTCATCTTCGGATTTACTTCACTAGCGCTCATTGGGTTCACAATGCGCGAGACGAACCGGAACGTGGTGGGCAATGGTGAAATTGCGGCACATGGAGTATGGAGGGCTTGGTTTGATACATGGAATTTGAAACGGCGGAGTAACAATCGAAACCACGAAGAAGGGTCAAGAAAATCGAATCTGAACCATTCGTCATATGCACATGACGAGAAACACGGCGATTCTCCAGTACTCAATGGTCCAGTTTCTGGGAACGAAGCTTGCAACAACAATGAAGAAGCCGGAAATTTCAACAACGGCAAGACGGGGAAAGGAGTTTTCAAGTTTCCCAATCCATTCGCATCCCTCAGATTACTTTTAATGAAGGATGCCTTGACAGTCCTGTGTCTGGCAGCATCCCCGTACGCTAGTTGGTATACGATCACAACCAGCATACCTCTCATATATGGATCGGAATACGGCTTCAACGATCTTCTAGTTGGCTGCTGCTATCTTACTGGAGGTGCCGGGATTATCTTGGGTGGATTCGTGGCAGGGAGAATGATGGATTGGAATTACAAGTATACTGCTAGGAAAGTTGGGATCGAGATCGACGAGGTTGTAGGAGATGACCTCCAGAATTTTCCGATCGAACACGCTCGATCACGGGGATTCTATACAATCATATCAGCCTCAACTCTGGTGTTTGTTGGTTTTGGTTGGGCAGTACAATATCACGTCCACCCCGCCGTTCCCCTCTTGCTACAATTCTACCTGGGCGCCAAATGTACAGTTACACACCAGACTTACAGCGCTCTGTTAGTCGACATATTTCCAGCTAACGCTGGTGCGGCGGGAGCATCCAACAACATCTGTCGTTGTGCTTTATCTGCTTTGGCTGTAGCGGTGCCGCAGCCGCTTGTTCAAAACATTGGGCGATCCTGGTACTTTACCCTGGTAGGGCTGCTGGACGGAGTGGGCTCTCTAGTCGGGATTTATGTGCTTCGAAGGTGGGGAGCAACTTGGAGGGCTGAAAGACAGAATTTGTGATGTGAGGGTTGGACGAGCACATATCGAGAATGACTAGGTTAGGTCAGGCTGAAGCCTCTTATCTGGTGAATATTGGTAGCATGGCAGAGTACAAGTTTAGAAGCAGCTGGTTAAGAGAACTCCCAACTGGATTTGGTCCCGAAATCTCGCTGAAGACAATGACAGTATGAAGCAAAACAGCTACCATTCGTAGGATGTTGTTTTTGTCGGCCCCACATATTAGCGATTTAGCTTCCTCGCTTGCTGGCAATGTAAATAGAACAAAGACATGAAAACTTCTTTCAGGCCCATTCGTTAATACTCTACAATACTACATAGGCAGCTCTGAGCTACACATGGTAGTAATGTCAGACTCTGGGATCTCCAGGTACTGTAGGACACCTGGACACCTCCCATGCATTCATCGTTGTCCAAGAAGTCACCTCCTGTATAGCACATTCGTCATTGAATTAAGGAAACAGATGAACGTACTCAAAAAACTCGTCCTCCGCCGTTCTCGGATTTAATCGCTCCAGATCTTCGCATAGCGAGGAGCCGTATCCCATACCTTCATACTTTACTCCTTGCCAAGGTGCCAAGACACAGCTGGACCTGATCACGTGGGAGCAGGTTTCACCCGAATTAAGCCACATATCAAGACATCGTTTTAAGACATCATTGCAAGCCGCTGAAGCATTTTCAGCGCAATATCCCGCCCGCATTCCAGACATGCCGCGAGTCAAGACCGGTCATGTTGCGCGAGCAACATGTGCTGCGGCGGTAATATGTCTGTACTTCTTTTACACGAACCCCTGGTCGTCGTCGACATCGAAAGCTGGGGTGTGGCGTGGGGGCGGGGCGGATGTCTTTCATCATGTCAACATGTTCATTGGGACTATCAATGGAGGTTAGATCTCGAGTGCCGATTGATACGAAACTCTATTAACAGCGTCATAGGACATGCTTTCCCAGGAGCCTCGTTACCTTATGGTGAGACCCACAAACTATATCAAGGGTATTGCCGCCACCAAGCTCACCAAATCAGGCATGGCAAAAGCTTCTGCAGACTGTATCGGCGAAGCTCATGGGGGATTTGCATCAGATGGAAGTGACATATCTGGATTCAGTCATATGCACGACTCAGGAACAGGTGGAGTGAGATGTCTCAATCGTCACAGATCGGGGTACCAAAGAACTGACTAAAATATCACAGACAATATCCCTTGGAAACTTTCCCATTTTCCCGCAGTACTGCGAAGATGATGATGTATCGAAGTGCAGGTTCACCAAAAGTCAACGTGTAGTTGGACGAGGCAAATATGATGCCTCACCAGGCTATTTTGACATCACTTTGGCTGATGGTATTCGTGGAGAGGCCACTGTCACAGCACATACTGCACTGTATCGATTTACATTTCCGAAAAATGTATCCACTGCTGGGGCGCCTCTTCATCCCGTTATAACTCTCGATCTGAACGACCTCGCCAACACGCGGAACGGCGATGCAAAAGCGTCAGTCGATCCCAAGACTGGCCAGATTCAAGGAAGCGGTATTTTCTCACCCAGTTTCGGAACTGGAAAATATGAAGCTTTCTTCTGCATGGACTTCAATGGTGTAGATTTACCATCTAGTTCGATCTGGGAAGGTATTGGAACTCTTGTCAACACCACGACGAAAGACTTTGCGGGATTTACTTCTGGTGGGACACTATCTATGTTCAATACGCCGCGAACTAATGGTCAGATTGTGGTCCGAATTGGCCTAAGTCTCATCAGTTCCAGTCAAGCCTGCCGTAATGCAGATGCCGAGATACCGCGTTTTGAATTCAGTAAAGTGAAGAAAGCAGCCGAGGACGAATGGAGAAAGAAGTTTGATGTTATCAAGGTGATTCCTGGGGGCATCGACAAAGACCTGGAAACCATTTTCTGGAGTGGTTTCTATAGAACAATGATCAGCCCTCAGGACTACACAGGCGAGAATCCACTATGGAACTCGACGGAGCCCTACTTCGACAGCTTTTACTGCATCTGGGATTCATTCAGATCTCAGCATCCATTTCTTACTCTGGTTGATCCGATTGAGCAATCGAGGATGGTTCGAGCACTAATCGATATCTGGAAATTTGAAGGTAAACTACCAGACTGTCGAATGAGTTTATGCCAAGGCTTTACTCAAGGAGGCTCGAATGCAGATGTCGTCCTAGCCGATGCGTATGTCAAGAAGCTGGGCGGAAACATTGACTGGGATTTAGCCTATCGAGCAGTTGTCTCGGATGCCGAGGACGAGCTGGAGACATGGAACTATGCTGGACGAGGAAGTCTTCACAGTTGGAAGCGACTGAACTTCATTCCCATACATGACAAGGATGATCATGAATCAGGACTCAAAACACGCAGTATTTCTCGAACAGTCGAGTTTGCTTACAATGACTTCTGTATTGCTGGGATGGCGGCGGGATTGGGTCATGAGGATGATAGTAGGAAGTATCTCAACAGGGCTGAGAACTGGCGCAATTTGTTCAAGTCGGACCAGAACTCGTCGATTGATGGTGTGGATACTGGGTTTGTGGGGTTCCTGCAGCCACGGTAAGAAGCCCATTCCGGTTTATGAAGCATTCACTGACACGACTTTACAGCAATGCCGATCTAACATGGGAAGAGCAAGACCCCGCTCGCTGCTCACCACTGCTAAAGCCCGACTCATGTTATCTCGATAGCGGCGGTGGAGAAACATACGAAGGCGCTTGCTGGCTCTACACTTTTTTCGTCCCTCAAGACATGGCAGCGCTCGTCACCCTTCTAGGTGGGCCTGACGAGTTCACCAAACGGCTCAACTTTCTTCACGAAAGTGGACTTTTGTATATGGGTGACGAGCAGGCTTTCCTGACCGTGTTTCTATACCACTACTCCGGCCGTCCAGGACTGAGTGCGAAACGTGCACACGCATACATTCCAAAAGAATTCAACAACACTATCAACGGCATCCCAGGCAACGACGACTCTGGAGCTATGGGCTCATTTGTTACTCTCACTATGATGGGAGTATTCCCTAATCCTGGCCAGGACGTATATTTCATCACACCTCCGTTCTTCCAGGAGATCAGTGTCCTGAATGCTCAGACAGGAAAGACGGCAACGATTAAGAATATCAATTTTGATCCTGAATACAAGAATACTTATATTCAAAGTGCGATGAGAGATGGAAAGGCTTGGACAAAGAATTGGATTGATCATAGCTTTTTTGCGGAGGGAGGAGTACTGGAGTTGACGCTTGGGCCGGAGGAAAGTAAGTGGGGAACGAGGAAAGAGGACCTACCGCCAAGTATGAGCACGAAGGCAAAAGAGAAATCATGAGAATGGGTTTAGAATATTGCTACATCCCAAATACTTCATCAAATACTGCTTGGCCAGTAGGCACTCATAAGAAGGAGAAGAGAAATCGAGGCTTCCAGGAATTGGCATCAACTCTTTCATGGGAGCTTTGCATTGGTCTCCGATCAGTGCAGGTCACTTACCATACCTATCATCGCTCCCAGAAGTCTTATGTTCTGGGAGCCATGAACGTAATCTGTTGTGTTTGAGAACAACCGAGAGTGAACTTGGTCGCTGTTCGTCGTCAGGGACGACACTTACCGATATCCACCTGATTTGTATTCTGACACGAGTTCCACATTGGTGAGAAAATACGGTACATGCATTTTTGGTGCTTCGTCGTCACTAACGAGCGTCACAGAGTGGCTGCAACATTACACCTGATTGTGAGGATTTGCTGGTGATTTGGAGGCTGGGGTTGCAAAGTTTTAGCGAGAAGTAAGAAACTTCAGCACGGCAAGCACAGTGCCTTTCAGTTAGGTGCGGGGTAATGGCGGGGTAATGGCGGGGTAATTTCAGCACGATGGGTCGCTGGAAAACAACCATGCGAGCCCCTATTGAATAACGACTTATGCTCGCGAAGGACCTCCGATCCAGAGCAAGAATATCAAAGGCAATTCTATGTTAGAACGAGATTATTTCTGCCTCTTCTGTTCCTAGAGCTAACTTCATTTCTGAAACAAGCTTTCCTGCAAACGAGCACACTGCTGCTGCACAAACTCGAACTGTCTGTTCTTCTCAGCATTATCCGCCAAAGCCTGACGAGATTTCCATTTCTCCTCATTCAACTCGTTCCTCATCCTATTCAATGTAAGAGTTCTCTCTTCTAGCACTCGAATCTTCTCTTCCAATTGTGTCTGCAATTCTTCTCGAGCCTGCTGCTGCTCCGCACTCTGCTCCCTCGAGGCAGCGACCATACACTCCAGGCCTTCCTTACTGCGTCTCAGGCTGTCCACTTCTCTTGATAATCTCTCCAGCTTATCTTGGTCCTTCGCACCCGAATGCCCAGTATTTTTTGGGGTTTGTGCCATGGTAGCAATCCTCCACCCAGAACTTCCAGGAGATGCTCGTACAGGCGTTGCTTGTTGACGATTCGGGGTGTGCACGGCGTTACTAGTACTTTTGGCCTGCAGCTCAGATCTCAAATTCTGCCGCAAAATCTGAATCTCCTCCTCTTGTTCTCGATTTCTCTTTTTCAAACCCTCAACGTCCTCGTTCCTCCATCTCTGAATATCCATAACCTTTTGATTATACCGATCTTTTTGAGCCCGTAGCTCCACATCTTTCTGAGTTTGCAAGCTTCCCTGTACTTGCTGAACCGCCGTATCATGTGCTGCATTGATCTGTGCAAGGCTGTCTTGTAAAATGGCCTGCTTCTCCAGCTGATGTTCATCATCTTTCCGCCGTAGCTCAACCTGCAATCTTGCAAGTTCCTGAGAACTACGTTCTAACTGTTGAGATAGTAGATTTGCTCGATTTGTGGCCTCGAGGCGTTGTGCGTCTGCACGTCTGAGTCTATTGAGTGCATCCTGCTTCATGTGAACCATTCGGTTGAGCTCAGTTTGCAGATTCTCGACCTGGGATGTTTGGACTGGTGCAGTATTTGATAGAGGGACATTTTGAAAAGAGTGTATGACAAAAGGTGTCTCGTTGATGGGCTGAAGTGGCCGTGGGCGAGACCTGTGACGAGGCACTGGGACCTTTTCCTTCTTGTTGGTGACGTTCACGTTGTTGTTGCTCTCGCTGACGTTTACTCGTGCCAGACTGGCCTTCTGCTTGAGTTTGTGGAACATGATCGATAAAAAAATGTCGAAAAATCTATTTCAAAAGTCTTCAGAAAAGTTTCAAGACTGCGAGAGAATTTCTCGTTGCGTGGAGAGTAAGGCTGGGATGAGAAAGCCTAACGCCAAGACCAGGCTTGCTGCTGAGGCTCACCGAGTGAAACCGCGGAAAAGTAGCGACTGATTGCTACTTTGCCTTACACTAAAGTGAAGGCTAGGCCAATGTCTGCTTTGCCCTTTCGTTTCACCGAATATTGTGTGGTTCATGAAGATGAATGCGGTCTCGCAGGGCGCACAGTGCAGCGCTTGCAAAAGGCTCTGATAATACGACATGAGGAGACTCCACACTTGGGCGGAACCCGACCGAACTATACAATATCATTCAGCTAAAGTATCAAGCAGATTGTAATCATATGAGTAGCTAAAATAAGCCTGTATAATAAATTCAAGTCACTGCACAGTGCGTCTAAGAAGCCCCTCCGCCCCGTAGCCTCATGACCAGATGAATTGTGCAATTCTGGATTGTTTTGTTAGTTGGTAAAAGAGATTTGGAAGCAAGGAGTCTTTTCATACCTCGCCGAAATTATAGCTCTCCAAAGTTCGTTCTGTTTGCATATGTAATGAGTAATTAAGTCTTCAGAGCCTTGGGAGGATTGTCGTACCGTCTTCCAGCTGTTTGCCACCCCACAAGAACCGATAGTATTCAACCTCAAGAGATTTCTCGTCACCAAGCTTTTTTCGAAGCTGTTTCACTTTCCACTGTAGCCCGACACCATGAAGTGTGAGAGTCTTTCCGTCCAGATCCCGAAACATCACGTTGTTGAGCATGACGGGGCCAGTGTTGTTTGTGGTATACGGAGGGGGATTGATTGCAGGAGCGATGGAGCGAGTAAAGAATATTGTGTCGCCCTGGTGATTTTAGCCATATGTATCAGTCCGGTGAGAACAGCAAGCACAACTTACATCCTGAACTCCGTGAGAAGAGAGTGTGGTGTTCACTGAGACGTGTTAGCCTCGCCGACTTTCATCGATTGAAGAGCACCCAGACACGTACAATCAGACAACTCTTGATCAGCGAATGCAATAGAAATATTGTTCCATCCCTGAGGATTTGAAACTTGCTCGGCAATCAATTTCTTGAGGCCTTGAACAGTCTGGGAAGTCGGAACTCCATTCAAGCGTCGGCTCAGCCCATCGTTCGAATTGACCTCTTCGATGTACAAAAAGTTCCGCACTGCCTCTTCGTCAGGTTTGAAATCGATCATAATGGCGAGGACGTAATAAATGAAATCTTGTCGCTCGAAAACGATATACAAAGTACACACAGAAAGGATAGGAAATATCTAATAATCAAAGTGAAGAAGTTGGTTGCTGAGGTTCGCCAAGGAGGACGGGCTGTGGGATTTTGGTGGCTTTCGGTGAAGAACGAGGCTTGAAGCTGTCATGGAACTTGTGACGTGTTCTGCAGTAAGGCTACATGTAACCCAAACTAATCCTACATCTCAGTCTGCCTTGCGTAAGGAATTTCTTCCGCAAAGTTAGCGTGGACTTTAGGTCAACTTGCTCGAAAATGTTCCTTGGCACCGTGCTCTATTTGAAAGGCAGTCTCTCTCAGCCCATCAACAATCGAGATCTAAAGTGCAACTATTTACTCAACGCAACAGGAGATGGATGACAACGTTTTCGACGCTTGGAAGATTTGTTGGCAGGTCAACTTACACTTCCACAAAAGGGTTTCGTCGAAACCACTCAAATGCATTGTCTGTTCACAGACGAACTCGGAGGTCCATGGCAGCATGAGATCGACCTTCTGGGTTGAAGCTACGAGGTGCTCCGCAGGTCACAGACAAGTAACATTTGCCGAGACACAACTGCCATATGCTCTCGGAGTTTGTGCAGTTTGCGACCAAAATTATATGTTGGATGTAGTGAGAGGCAAACACGGCTGCAGAAGGGAAGGCTGCCGGAGAGCTGTACGGGTACATGAAGCAGAAATCCACGCAAAGCTGCAGTCAGATGCGGAACTACTACAGTACGTCTTTCATTTCCCGATTTACGTCGCACTGACATGAAGCAGAAACTTTCTCGCTATTTTCAAGCGGTTTCGAGTGTACGAATGTGCCATCCATTGTGACGAGGTTTCATATGGCGCGAATACATCTGTTGCCCTCAAGTCTCCAACACCACAATGCAACCACGATCGCAATGTCTGCAATGACTGTATGAAAACTACATATGAGGGAGCAGTCCGAGGTGGACGACTTCAAGATTTGGTGTGTCTCGACACAGATTGTAAAAAAACTTTGCCTCTGCAGTCACTACGGCAATATGTATCAACCGAGGTATTCAAGATGTGAATAATCCTCCTGTCCTTTTAAAGAATTTCGGCTCTGACATGCTACAGCTATAATAAGAAACTTGCACTTGCCCTCATCTCCAAGGATGAGAAGTTCAGGTGGTGCGTGTGTGGCCATGGCCAAATCCATGCATTAGGAGGTAAGTAACGTCCAACTGGATTCTCGGAAGTTGATCATTAATATCTTTTACCAGAGAGTAATCCAGAGTGGAATTGCCTGTCTTGCAAGCGACGCCATTGTTACATCTGCCGAGACGAATCCTCCGAGCTCTGCGAACACCTGAGAAGCATCGACACTAAGAGGCAAATACAAAAGAACCAGCAAAGGCAAGCTGCCATAAAAGTATTCGAAGCATCGGCACATAGAGCACGTGAGAACGAGACAGCAACGAAACGAGAAATTGCGCGAACGACAAAGAAGTGTCCCAAGGCAGGATGTGGCAACAAGATCGAGCGGAACGAGGGATGTGGTCACTTCACTTGCAAAAAATGCTCTACGGAGTTCTGCTGGTGCTGTAAAGTCATTTGGAAGAACAAACAGGTGTTACATCTGGCTGGATGCAAGATTGGCACGAAGTCAACGACGTCGAAGGCTAGTCTGGACAGGACTGGATATGCCGTTGGGTGGGATACGGACCTCGGCTATGATGTTTCACTTGACCAAGGACTTTGGTTGATTGAAGGACACCAGTAGTGAAGTCAAGCCCATGTATTGTCCAATTCGCAAATAAAAAGATACACTAATCTTAAACTCGTGGTTTTGATCTCCGTACCAGAGTACCATCTTTCGGAGTCCGACGCAAACCGAGAAGTGGAGCTGCACGCCCTTTGATAACGTAACGCGAAAGCCCCCATTCTTGAGAAGTCCCGACGTCTTGGTGAGAGATGTTTTGACGAGACAAGGGTTAAAGAGAAGATAATGCATTAATTAGAAAGATTAAAAGATAGGAAGGAGACGCAGTTCATTTCTCCTTTCCTGAAATTTACACCCAAATTTGGCTATTTCCCCATTCAACAACTCACATAAAAATGGGGAGCATCGAGATTCCTGCAACCAGTTCTGGCTTGGAGCACAAGAGTATCAAAGTGTCATCGACATGGTGTGGCCCTGGTCCAGCCGCATTCGATTTCCGGACAGACACGATCACAACTCCAACATTGTCTATGCTACAGGCCATTGCGCAAACTTCACTCGGCGACGATGTCTACCAAGAAGATGATACAACCACATCATTTGAAGCATATATCGCCGACCTTGCTGGAAAAGAAGATGCACTTCTCGTTATGTCTGGGACTATGGGCAACCAGATAGCTCTGAGATCTCTGCTCACTCAGCCGCCTCACGCTATCCTTTGCCACCAGCAATCTCACATCTACACTTCTGAAGCAGGAGGTTGCTCCGCGCTATCTCAGGCACATATCCAGACTGTCACGCCAGCCAATGGTCTCTATCTTACTGTGGAAGATGTCAAGAAAGCAGCAGTCATCAGCAACAATATCCACGTCGCGCCAACTAGAGTCATATCCCTGGAAAATACGCTTGCTGGTACAGTGACGCCTCTTGCTGAAGTGCAGCGCATCTCGGAGTTTGCGAGAGCGAATGGTATCAAGATGCATTTGGATGGAGCACGTATCTGGGAAGCTGTTGCTTCAGGAGCTGGTACCCTGAAGGAATACCTTGCGTGCTTCGATACTGCTCAGATGTGTTTCTCGAAGGGCTTAGCAGCGCCCATGGGCAGTATCATTGTTGGTCCGAAATCCGTGTTGCAGCATTCTCGCTGGGTCAGAAAAAGTATAGGTGGTGGAATCCGACAAGCAGGTATTATTTCCTCGGCAGCGAGAGTTGCAGTTGAAGAGACTTTCATTGCTGGAGGTGGACAGCGGCTGCGCGACAATCATCGAAAAGCCAAGAACATTGAGAAGGCTTGGTTAGAAAGAGACGGCAAGGTTTTGAGACCGGCTGAGACGAATATGGTTATTCTGGATTTAGCTGGAAGTGGAGTTGAGGTCTCGGAATGGATTCGAGTTGGCGAAGAAGAAGGTATCAAATTGATGGGTGGAAGAGTCGTGGTTCATTTCCAGATTGTGGATGAGGCGTTTGTGAAATTGGAGAAAGTGATGACCAGAGTACTGGCGGAGTCGAAAACAGGCGTAGTCGCCGACGAACCGTCGATGTATAGAATGAGTGACAAGCGAAAGAGCTCTGGGTTGTGAAATACAACAGTTTGGGACAATACACAGTAAACTTTGTTAGATGCACACATGAATTTTGACGTTTGTTTACTATCTTCTACGTTGGGAAAGCACAATTCGGTTGGTGCAAGACTGCCAAGACCTCCACCCCATCACGCTCTTGCTCTTTCCTTTACATATATGATTGCTATATACGAGTTTGAGATTTGGTACTAGTATATTTATATTACGAAGTCATCGCGATGACCTTATCGGCCATTTCAGGGAGCGTATCACTCATGACATCCATCGTCGTGTTGAAAATCTCCAGACAAGGCTCTTTATCATATATCGAGCAATAAGCACCTCGGAATCTAGACACCCATGGTCAGCCAAATTTCACAGCTTCGAAAAGATCAGAATCAAGAGTGGATGAGAGAAGACTTAACATACCCAGCATGCACGGCAGCGCTAACATCCCACATATGTGCTGCCGCGAACCACTTCTCATCCTCCTCGGCAAACATCTTCAACATCGGCTTATACGAAGCCATCGCCGGCTTGTAAACACCCTTCTTAACCCCAGTCACGGGATCAATTTCCGCAAACTGATCACAGCTCACAAAATTCTCAATCGGCATTTCCAGCCCAGCTCTCAAAAAGTAACCTCTCACTCTCTTCACATCCCCAGTCGTCAAACACCACACCGTCCATCCTACCCCTCTCAACTTCTCCATCATTTCCACACAACCCGGTCGAAGCTCAAGCTCTGAGTAACCTGCTTGACAAGCATCACGTTCTGCCTCTGTAGCGAATTCTCTTGGATTCGATATCCCAGCCATGTGTAATGTGCGGTAGAAGACAGCTTTGAAAATCTCGTTGTAAGGAGTGTAGCGATCTGAATACAGGAGGAAGTAGAATTCCAGCTCGGCAGCTTCTTTCCAGGTGTAGCCGAAATGTTTAGCATTGACATGTTGAGCCTTAAGTCTTGGTCCAAGGATTTGATCAATACGATCATAGAACGCGTCGAAAGAGACGCAAGTCCCTACGACGTCGAAGACGATATGCTTTTTGGGTGCCATTGGATCAAGGCAGCGGTGTTCTTAAATCAATTTTTGAAAAGACTCGATGATACTTGAGATATTTGCTGTCGAAAGTCTCAATGCTGTGATACCGAATGTTATGAACCCAAACTTGTATAGTTCAGTAAATTACAAAAGGCACACGAAGTCTTTCCCCCACTCTGCCCACTTATCCCGGAATCCCGTGAAGACGTGACGCCGAGGCAGGAACAACCTGTTCAAGCATTCATCGTGAGATTGCAATAATGCGTGCTCCGAGACCCCAGGCTATGCTCCCGAGTTCATGGGGTTGTGGGTGATGATGGTTAGGAGAATGGTGGGCACTCCGAACCGTTCTCCACCTCAGCGGAGTGGTTCGTCGGAGTGGGTTGGATCCACTCCGACACCTGACGAAGACCACTGCCGGGCTTTCCGACATCTCTACAGCGTACATGGTTGAAGATAAGACAGGCATTGACTAAATTGAACCCGTTTCGTAAGGTGACAGATAAAGTGTTGAAGATAGTTGTTTAAGTCGGAACAGGCACAGTGTCGAATGGTAGGTGCCCCGAGATTGAATGACTTCGGAGTGACGGGAGGAGGCCTCGGTTAGATTAGGGTCATGTTTGGCCCATAACCTAGGTAAGATATGAAATCTGTCTACACTCGCCTCATGATCGGAGTAAAGATTGAAGTATGCAGCAGGAACTCAATGAGGGGTGACCTTGAAGGCGCCACCACTCTGTACTCTCCGAGTTTTGTCAGAGCTTGTCTTTGGCATTCAATCTCAAGTCACAGCTGTTATTGGCAGAGAGATCATGATGGAAATGTATTCATTTTCCGAATCTTCCATCGTCTTTATCTAATGTTCTAAATGCAACTCCAAAGCCTCAATGACATGCGAAGCGCTCAGTCATTCTCAGAAACTATCTATCTACCACAAAATATTGAATCTCCGCAGCCCACGCTTCCTTTCCGGGATTGGTTCCGGATTCGCATTCGCAATATCAATAAACCCCTTCATGAATTGTTAGCTTTGCTAAAGATTGAACAGAAAACACTCCTAGAGGAGGGAAGACTCCTCTACAGTGGCTGAGGAAATGGTAACTACGAAGAGTGTTGCTCACCTGAATTGGAATGTCCTCCAACGCAATAATGCTCGTCTTCTTGATAAACTTGTACCCAAAATACAAAATCGCAAACAGGGGAATATTTATATACGACGAGACAAATGTCTCATTGCTCCAATGGCCATGGATGAAGGTCGCATACCCTCCGGTAATCAACAAAAGGACAAATATTGTCGCCGACACCCACGTAATATAAGGTTGCAGTGGTGCAGACCAAGGCAGAGAACTTCTAGAAATCCCTTGCTTCTTGCACCCATAGTAGAATCTCAAGTACGTCACACAAATCGTAAGCCAATTAATCAATGTTGAAATCGACACGAGATCTTGGAGCCAGTCGAAGGCAACACTGGCGCCCTCAGAAAGGGTCATGAAGCCGAGACACATGAAGACGCTGAAGAATGCGACTGCTAAATATGGGATGGCAAAGCGATTCAGTCTTGTGAAAATCTTGGGAGCTCGACCGTCCATTGCGAGACCATAGAGAACTCGAGTTGCGCCGAGCATTTGGGAGTTGCCGGCAGACCAGGCGGAAGTGAGAATGACAGCGTTGATGATAGAGGGGACGACTTTGATTCCAGCACGTTTCGCAGCAACTAACTCATTATTAGCATTCTTCCCATTCTTCACTAAGCACAGAGCTTTCATGTCGTCTACTTACTGACAAAAGGCGAAGTGGTTGCAGTTCCGCTGTACCGCGCGAGATCGGGGTCATCCGACGGGACAGTCAAGCCAACCATGAAAATCGAGATAACTAAGAAGGAGCGTCAGTACTGTACTCGAAAGAGACCGCGATTCAAAAAATACCATAGAACAGCAATACGCGAACGAAGATTCGTTTCGCGGCATCTGGGATTGCTCGTCGAGGCGACTTGGTCTCCGCAGCAGCCATCGTGATATTCTCGATACCTGAGTACGCATACAGAGCATTGTTGAGCGCAGTCCAGACACCAAGAAATCTTCCGAGAGAGCCTGTAATCCCAAGGTATTGAACAAAGGGGCCAGGGCGACGCCAGTATTGGAATCCAATTGGCTCATGATTAGGTCCGCCGCCACAGGTAATAACGAGCGACTGAACATGTCAGTTCCAGCCCATTTTCAGAGGAGTACATATCTACCATAATGTTGACACCGACAATCAAAGCAATCTTCATCATCGAGAACCCAAATTCCAGTTCTCCATATACTCGGATGAACAGACTGGATGTGAGGATCATCAACAAGCCGAAGACTGTAATCCAGATGGCGGAGTTAATGGTCAACCAGAACTCGACGAGAACTGCAGCTGCCACGAGCCTGGACAACAGAGAGATCAGTACAGGCCAATTTCCGAGAGAATTCTATCGAGATCTCGAAAATACTTACTCAGCAGGAATCGAAACAATATACGAATACACCAAATTCCAACCATTCGCAAACGACAGCGCCGGATCAACAAAATACTCCGCATATCTCACAATCCCACCATTCAACGGAACCAACGCTCCCATCTCCGCAACAGCAAGCACAACACTACACGAAGTCCCGCCCATGATCAAATACCCAAGAAACGCACCCAGCGGACCAGACCTCGATATCGCTCGTCCAGAACTCAAAAATAGTCCTGTACCGATCGTGCCGGCAAGTGCGATCATCTGGATATGTCTCTGATGGAGCCCCTGCCGAAGTTCTTTCACTTCTTGGAATTCGCCGGGGGACTCGATATCGATTTCTGGCATGATGACGCCCGCTTCGTAGGCTGGAGATTTTTCGGTTGAGGCGGCCATGTTTGCTGATGACTTCTCGTCGCTGGACGACATTGTGTGCTTGGTTCTGAAAAGATCGCGAAATGAATCCAAGGAAGAATCGAGGTTTCTAGGAGAAGGAGGGAAAGAAGCTTTAGCTCAAGAGATGCCGAGATGTTTTTATAAGATCAAGCTTTCGGAGTAATGCAAGCCATCCTTATCTCGAGATCTCAAAAGAGCAGTACCTCGCGCCACGACTCCGAGAAGCAGCATATCGTTATCTCTATCTGAGGGTCCACGGGCGTGTAGTATGAACGACCCATATTGAGGGGAAGATACAAAGGTGGGTCGGTCATTCCAAGATAGCCAATCGTACAAATTGAGTTTCAAACGAGAGATAAGAGGAAAGATGGGGAACGTGGCTACTACTAAAGAACCTGAAAAGGGGACGCAAAAATGTTTCGCGTCGGTCCAAGAAACCGGAGTAGGCTGGGGTAAGTTACTGGCAGAGTGAAGCTTTAGTGTGAAGCTTATGGGGGGCTTTAGCGAGGTCGACCCCTGAAATTCAGTCGGAGTGGGCCGCGCCACTGGCTGTCATTTCTTGGTGGCTATGGAGGATTTCCCGTTGGACAAGGAGAGCCTGGTGATTGCGGAGGAATGGGAAGTTTATTGAGATTTGGATGCTAGGAAACAGAATTTGGGGTATTTTGAGCGATCTTTGTTTTTTCTATGTTTCTGGGTCAGATTTTCATGCATGTCAAGTGATCAATATTGGGTACTGAACAAACTTTCCCTTGGGTAAGAACCCCAGAACAGCGAAGCACTTGGACAGCTTGCGAGTGGAGTATTTGATCTTTCCAAACTCCAGATACTGAGAGAACCATCTAGTCTATTATTTTGGCGCCCTTTGAGTGATCCCGCATCTAAGCCATAATATCTCCCCCATCGTGACTACCCAACGACTTCTCAATTCTCTCTCTCGTGGTCTTAAACAACCTAGGCATACCCGTCTTTTCAAATTCCACCCCCTCAGTAACCATCTTCGCAACGCCCTTCGCAGCAAGCCAGATAACTGGCATACCATGACCATTGAACCCCGCAAGAACAAATTGGTCTTCCTTCTCTGAAGCTCCCCAAGGCCACCACCACTTCCTACTCTTCGACTTTTCTTTCCTCGGGAGCACACCAATATGTGGATTAGAATCGAAGCTGTAGCCCATCACACCGGACCAGATCTTGTCAACTCTCGCACTTGTGTTCTCCCATCCGTGGAAGAATCGCTGCATGTACGTGTCGAAGTGGTCTTTGCCAGGGTCGATCAATGTACTGTCGTCGACGTTGTTGTACCATTCCTCAGGGAAAGGCTTGAACTTGGAAGCAGCACCTCCGACAACGATGCTTCCGTCGATCTTTGGTGAGAGATAAGCAAGTGTACCATCATCTTCGCGAATGATATAAGAATTGGTGAGATGTGGTGCACGAGTTTCAGCAGGAACGGTGATATGCGAGCAGATTCCTTTGCAAGGCACAATTGCATTCCGGTACTCTGGTAGAAGTCCAGCAACATGCGCATTGTTGGCGTAGATGACCTTTTTCGCAAGAGTCGTTCCTCGCTGAGTCGTGATAATGAAGCCGCCTCTCGGATCCGGCGATACACTTACGACTGGTGTATTTGTCTGAATGTTGACCAACTTTTGCTCGATCAGAATCTCGGCAAGTCGTAAGATGAGCTTGTATGGAGAAAGAGTGCCAGCTGTGTATGTAGCGCACGCCTGAGCTCCTTTGATGCCGGAAATGTTCTCAGCATCCTCACTTCTCGAGAAGAAGACGTCATCCATATACGCCAAGTTCTTCGAGGACATGAGATCATACACCTGTCTTGCTTTCACAGCCGCACTCTTGTTGATCCAAACATCCACAGTTCTTGTCAGCGTGAAGTCGCAGTCAATGTTCTCCTTCTCAATTAATTTCTTGATGGCCTCTAAATGGGCGATCTCGAATTCAGCGATCTCCATTCCGGCTTTCACTCCTGCTCTTTCAATGTACTTCGGTATATGTCCGTACATATCTGGACGTAAGTGTCCGCCATTCCGGCCTGTTGCTCCTGAGCATATACCCCGCGCCTCCAGAATCGTGACAGAGAGATTGTTCGGACGCTCGCCCTTCTTCAGATGATATGCTGCAGCAATACCCGCATAACCTGCGCCGATGATCACAACATCGCTGGTAGGCGGTAAGTCTGGTGTCGAGCGCGCATCGTGGAGTTTATGAAGATTCTCGTGCCAGAAAGATGGAGTGGGATTCTCGACAGGAAGATAAGATGTAGGATGCTCCGGTAAGAACTGTTTATCGGAAGCCATTGCGGAATAATTACTGAGGTGGAAAGGACTGAAATTGAGTTGCAAGTCGAATTGAGAGGAAAGAGCGGCCGCTATGAAATGGAAAGCAGGAATGCAAGCGAACAATGAATCTTTTTGTGAGTGAATTGACTCAACATATGATTCCGGAAACGCAAAAAGTCGAATGACGGCAAAACATGATCCGTCAGCTGGCGAGATTCATAATCCTTGATCTGCCGTCTTGTACAACATAATGATGTCGCCATGTCTGACAAGTGAAACTCCGAAGCAATGTGGAGCTTCAAGACCAACCCTGCTATCTTTTCTGGGGCAACACTGTGCACGACTTACTCCGGTCAGACAATCTCAATCTTAACGCATCAGAGATCAAGTTTATAACCGTTGTTATCGTCCGAAAACTCGTGTTCTAGCTCCCGTCATCGACGAGAGTTGGAGCCACTTTACTCCGGAGCGAGCTCCGAACGTCCCTCTCCGAGGCCGGATGGTACACCGACACGTTGTAAAGTATAATGCGTACTTGCGCCACCTGGGATCCGATGCGGCTAGTCAGGAAACTTGACCGCTTATCTTTTATGGATCTCCCTCCATCACCCCAGAATTGTTCCAACCTCCTGTCATTTCTGACATTTATCCCAGAGACGGCATACATGATCCCTCACATCACATGATAATGAGGTTCGGCAGAGAGGCTGGGTGAAGTAAATCTTGACCGCCTTTCTCATCCGAGATTACCTTATGTCGGTTGCCGTCAGCTAGCCCTCAAGGTGGTGGGTGATCAGTGCCCTTGTGGTGAAACAATCTCGAAGATTTGACACGTGACCACTTGGAAATGCGTAGGTACACTTGGAGGCCGATTGCTTGGTTCTTTGCTCTCATGGCAAGGGCTGAAGTAGAAGCACCCATGCAGTGGTGATATGTCCAAAAAATTCTTTCCCTTCTAAGCTCCCCAATCAGCCAAGATAGTTCTGCTGGCTCAACTCCAACCAGTCGCCCTGTGTCCAATCGACAGTATTGAGCCAATCCAAGTCATCCATAGCAATCGTAGCCGGATCGAAATCGCTCATAAAATCCATCCCAGTCTGAGGCTCAGCAGCAGGCAAAGGTGTCTGCAGAAGTTGATCATGCGTTATACTTTGCGGTTGGGGGGTTTCAGAAAGTCGTTGGGCCGGCAAGGGAGTTCGTTGCTGTCCTGCGAATGTTGGGCGAGGAGCGTCAATAGCAGTGTCGATAATCCGCTTGACGACTTTCTTGAATTTGATGCACAGTTGGACGTTGTTGTCTGTTGGGCGGATCCAGCTCAGGAATGCGATGAACATCGTTAAAGTCTGCACTACTTCTGATCGAGAGAGTCGTACAGGAGTTGGTATCGGGAGTGCTTCTGTTGGTGGCATAGGTGGGGCGAGATTGCTGGCTCTGAGCAGCTCGAGACATAAGATTCCAGCACAAGGAATTCCATAAGATAGGATCTTAGGACGAGGTTAGCGCAATGTTTTGAAGCAACTGCCACACTTACAATCCAATCGAACGAATAATTATAAACTCTCAGTTGCTCTCGGTCTGACCACAATGAGAGAACAACTGATATCATCTCTTGAGCGACGTTGAAGAGTGCTTGCCCATTTGAGAGTCCACTTGAGACCAGTAGACGTTGCAATAAAAAGGCACACTGTAGAACATCCAGTTGAATTCGAGTGACCAAGTAAATTTCATGAGGCGGCCTTGTCTGAACCGGATTGGCAGTCTTTTCCAGACTTCGGTACCGGATATGCTCAGGATACGTGTTGTTGATTTGCTCAAGCTGAACCACTAAAGTCCTGAAGTGCCGCCGTCAATATGGAGAAACGATGAAGTCGATACTAACTTACTCAATTTGTGACTTCGAGTACTGTATATTTGCGCTCAATGACAATTGAAGGATCTCCTCTCGGATAGGTGTTAACAGCGAAACAGCACGAAGACACGTTACTGAGGATATTTGCTTATCGGTGTTCCAACCATCGGAGTCAAGCCTTCGTACGGCAGCCGCCAATCGTTCCGGACCAGAATACAGGTCTTCCTCGGACAGATCAAGTGGTTGAGGAATATGGCAATACCGCTGATCTAGGATTGGAGGACGGCCAAGAAATAAGCTGTCGCACTTATCAAGGTGGAAGAAAGAAGTTGCCAGCCGTGCTCTGTGCTGAGAGAGCGGTGTAATTTCTCTAGAAAACGATTGTCTGTGTAGCCCACTGGTGACAATCGCACTTCCTGTCGCCCCGAAGTGCATTCTCAAACGATCGCCTGCAGTCCACCAGTCATCAAACGGACTTCTAGATTCAAATTAGGGCTAACTTACTTTCGTCGCTAATGATCATGCTATGTAGCTTTGCGAAGTTCTTCATGAGAACTACGATAACTTCATTGATTTCTGAAAAGTCTTCACAAAGCTGCAAACAAGCTTTGGCACCAACCCTCATTTTTTCGGCTGAAGTATTTCGATTCCTTCCCTCCTGCTCGGGCAAGTCGAAAATCGAATCCCAATCCTGCTGATGCTTGAAAGCCATCCCAGCCCACGTGAACAAGATCCCAATCATCTCCCATCGTAACCGTGGACCGCCAAACCAGTTGCCCCAATTGAATTCTCTTTCTTCTGGTTGACTAGGCTGCGGTAATGAAGTCTTACCATTCTCGATCAGTTCATCCGCCAGTTCCAATACCGAAGCTCGTGAGCGATCATTCCCCAGACAATGACCGTAATCCGTCCAGAGCTGATCCAGACAATGCCGGATCATGAATGGAGAAATCCAAATATCGTGAAAGGAGTCGATGTTCTTCATCAGAATTTCACACGTACGGAATGTCGGAAAATCCAAGAGAGTGATGATGGCCAGTTCTCGCTGAGAATTGCTCATATCGACTCCTGGACCTTTCGGACTGACAAATGTGGCTCGCAAGCTTGACTCTTCAGCAACAGTGCCGATTGCAGGCCCAAAACTGGCTTGATTCTCAGAGAAGACAGCCGAATAACGTGTTGTTCCAAACGAAGCGCCTTCCTTGTCAAACAATGTGTTCTGTGGCCCGTTCTGATACTGGGCACTGGACAAAGATGGAGAAGCGGTGCCCGATGAGGAAGTCCTCGCGGAGTTATTATTGAGGTAAAGCGGCTCCGTTGGTAAGAGTATGGAACTTAATGGATTCAACTGACTGTCATTGAATCCGTTTGCACCTTGTAAGGAGGGCGGCGAAGAATATAACTCGGGATTCTTTGTCATTGGAGCTGGATGGTAGACACAGTCAAGCCGCCGTATTATACATCGCGAACATTGTGGATTTCCATGATCACATCGAACTTTTGTCTTTCGGCATGGCTCGCATGCTTGCGGCTGGCCATTCCGACGGACTCTTACTCCAGGAGGCATTCCACAATCGTCAAGGCCGAGGTCGGCTGATAAGCTTCGATTCAGGAAGAGCTTTCGCTCAATGAGGTGGAAGAGTTCGAAGAAGGAATACAACGTCTAGTAGCACAAGATGAGAGATTAGATGCTGCAAGCTACTCTCTATATACAAGCTGGCGGAGGTGCGAAGATGCAAAGAAGTGGTAAGAGGAAGAAAGTAAGCTCACGAGGTTGGAAATAAGTGGGAGAGATCCTGAGTTTTGGCCCCTGTCTAGCTGCGATAAGCCCTGCCCCACAGCTGAACGCGGGGAAATTTAGAACGAAGTAGGCAGGTGGACAGCACGATTCACGTACAAAAGGAACAGATCTCTAACCTAGCAGGCAGTTATATAAATCTATGCTCCCATCAAACCTACAGATATGAACTAGGAATGTTTTATCTAATTTACCAAGCTTTCATTCTTGCCTGGTATCCTATCAACTGCTGTATCAAACACACCTGTAGCGAGACCCTATAAATAAGCGAAGAACGCTGAAATTCATTGTCGTCCAGGCAGTCTTAGCGCCTCGCTTCAGCGCCGTGCCCTGGAAAAGTGTGTTTTCGACAGTCAAGGGGATAACAAAACAATGAACTGCCTCCGCGGCCTAAGCGAGTACCCCTGAATATTTAAGGCGGGGTAAAGCCTAACGCAAACGGATTGTTTACATGGGGAAGCGAAAATAGCCAGTTCTTCAAGAAGAATGTCATTCGCTAAATCGAGTTCTAAATCTATCAAAACACACTACAAGAAGCCTACAGACCCAATAGTCAACCCAGTCAGAACACCAAGCAAGGCAAAGTTCATCCTTGCAGTTCCACCAACGCCAGCACTTGGAGTTCCCAATGCACCATGACTACTGTCGACAGCCTTCTTGAACACTGGATCGACACTTGCCATATTTGTATTATTCATGGTCACAATGCTACCCTCGACACAGAACTGCTGCGGATCCGTCCACGTCGCATCGACTGTCCTCTTCCAGACCATCTCTGGACTACTCAACATCTGCGCAGTATAGAATATCCTACAGTTTGCAGGTTGCATGAGGAACTGTAAAGGCGTCTGAGAATCGGTCGCTGAGAACGCATTCTTCCCATTCACGGCGCCCGGACTCGTCGCTGTCGTGAGCCTTTGAAGTGCGTAGGCATCTGCGAGGAGACCAGTTTCGCCAGCTAGCAAATCAGCTTTATCTTCAGCGGGCGCAAGTTCGATTACAGCAGCTGCGGTTAGGGCTATTTCGTCGAGAGGAAAGACCTGCGCGCCTTCGACACCGGCGATGGACTGCATCATTCCTGTCTGGGGACGACCTCCGATCACTGTAGCTTTGACGTTCATTTGCAGAATCATCAGGTATGAAAAGAGCGTGCAGGTCGATCCGCATGTCCCATCTGTCAATAACACTACATTTTCAGGAGCGAATACTGAGGCTGGGGGGTTGGATCGAGTGCCAACGCCAGTGAGGTTGAAGTCGGGATCGGTCTGGTTGAGAGGCGCTTGTTGGTAAGCAGTAAAGAGATCTCCTTTCAGAGACACGGGTGCAATTATTTGTTCCACAGAGTTGAAAGCAGCACCTGCTGGAGTAAAGACACCGCCAGGAAGTAGGTTGCTAACGATGGAACTCTGCGAGAGAGCAGAGAGTGCGGCTCGCTGAGCTGCTGTTTTCGCAGTAAAGTTGTTAGGGATGGACCCCACAATTCGGGCAACATTGACGAGACTATCGGCGAGGCGAAGATTGTCTGCTTGGAACCTTTGGACAGTTGGATACAGCTGAATGCAATCATTAGGCTACGGTGAAGTTTTCAAGTCGGACAAAACACTCACCTGAGCAAAGAGCTCATATCCAGCAATCACAAAACCGCCACCATTAGCCTGCAGGTCAATCACGAGCCTCGTTTTCCCAGCGGCTTTTGACTGAGCAAGGAACGATGCAACAGTGCTCTGAAAATTGGTGAGGTATTCAGTGCCTCCTACGCTTCCCACTGGCGCAAAAGACGAAACGGCTAGAACAGCAACATTCTCGTATCCTGTTCCACTGAGAAAGTATCCAGCGGTAGTATTAGCACCGCTGTCTCGAACACTTAGAAACAAAATCAGTATAATTCTGGTAGAATATCATAGGTAATGTTTCAGGCGAGCTCACATTGGAAGAGGATAGCCTTGGATCGTAGGCGGCTGCTTTGGAAGTGTCGTATTCGTCCTTGGCGGGACGATTGGTGCCGGAGTCGTAATGTTAGAAGCAACCTGATTATTCGGATTACAGAACCGATTATAATAATCCTCTCCGTTATTGATACCAGCAAAGTTTGCCCCAGGCCTGATCTGCGCGAAACTCTGTTCTGTCCTTTCCTGTCCATTGTCGTATGTGAGAGTCACACTGGCTCCCTGGAAAGCGATTGAAGAAGCTACATTCAGGACTGCGCCCGGCCGAGCGTAGGTTCGAAATTGCGAGTTCCACTGCGAATCAGGGTCTTGGAAAGTGCTGAACTGGAGATTCAAGTCGGTTATAAACTTCGCGGCGTCTACCCCGTTGATCTTCGTGATAGCAGGTGCTGTGTCGGCAGTTCCATTGGTCCCATTTAGGGCAGCTAAAAGTGTTAGCCGAAGTGATGAAAACGGTAGAAAGTGACTGCGTACCCAAGTGGTACAGTTTCGGAACAGCCTTTCCATCTTTCGACACAGAGACAATGTCCGAAGCCAAGTTGTTCCTGAAAGCAAAAGCCTTGAACACATCGGGACGATACGCGAAATGGCCGTCGTGAGCAGAAACGATCATTTTCACCACACTGAGCTGGAAATCATATTCACTCCTGAATCCTCCTGCCGCTGCAGTTGACGAGATGTTATTTAGTCCACCCATGATATCTGTTGCTGGTAGCATGTACGATGGCGGCGGATCTTTGAGATAAGCTAGTGTGCTTTGCCACTGAACGAATGCTTTCAGACTCTTGATCATGGCCACGGCTGGGTCTGGCTTATTCGGTACGGATTGGAGACAGTCGAACGCCATTTGTGCAGAAACCTGTGGCGCAACTGAATACAGATCATTAGAATCTTCCGTATGACGGAACAAAATCAACTCTCGTGGACTTGCCTGCTCTTGGATTCTGTGACATGAACGCTGCCGCTGCAGGTCCAATCTGACCACATGCTTGTGGATTAGTTGAATTTTGAGCATTAACAATAGAAGCTACAACCAACAAGCACCAGCTTATTCTCGCAAGCACCGCGGATAGCTCAGCTATCCTAAAGCTATGAAAGCCCATAACGGTGGAAGAAAAAGAGAGAAAAAAAAGAAGAAAAAGAAGGAAGAGGCGGGAGAAGCGAAGAAAATGTCAACAAAAGATCAACCTCCAAAGACAACGACACACATCACTCTCAAGTTCATCTTAAGAACAGCAGGAGTGGCACGATTTAAGTCACTGTACGAGTCCAACAAATTGATCTCTCGCAAGGATAGGTGTTATGTGCTTCGGCCATGTCGCACACCAAACCTCATGCACCTCAAAACAGCGAGGAGCCCCTCAAAGTACTTGGCATCGCGATTAAGCCTGACAGCCGGGGCGTCGATTGGACAGGAAATTTTTAAGGTTGCAGCACGCTGTTGCAGATCAGCGGAGCTTGACATATCCGCACGGCTGGTGGATGCCTGTGGGGGTCGTCTTAAGAACCCCACCAATATACCCAAACGTCCCAAATTCTTCTTTCGCTATGCCTGACCAAATTTGAGCTGGGGGTGAGCGGTTAAGTTCCGACTGATCGACTCTTCGCTGCGAGAGTAAGGTTAATTGCATTGTGACAACCCGAAACCTTTGTTCCGATTACCGAATAGCCTAGGATGTTTTAAAGCATGCATGACACCAACACGATCTATGAAACTTCGCCAAAAATATACCAAGAGATTGTGTTGGTTAGGTGCCGCCATTAGCGTCGAGCATTGACGATAAGCGAAACATGTTTCTGGTTCTTCCCGGCGGAAAATACAAAAGGATCAAAGCATGGTGGGATGATATACTCGCGAGACCTGGTGATAAAGTTCCGGAGGAGCTGTTTGAGATGATGGCTCCTTGATCTTTGTAGATAGACTTTAAAGCCAAAACTCTCTCAAAGGAATAAGGCAAGTCGCATGATCTTCAACTACTAATAGGTCTGCCAACGAATGAAGCTTTGCAATGACAGCCAATCCCAATAGACTTATGTAATTTTAGATTAGCTGGAACCTGCTACTTCCCATCAACAACGAAGATGGTGTGGGTTGTGAATTGATTATATTCAATAGGACATTTTCCTCTGTGCTAGGTCGTCCTCGCCTGTAGCAAGATCTAACTATTGCTGAGCTCTTGAGCAAAAGCATTCCAATAGCAGCCACCTCTTCATGGAATTGAAGGTTAATCCAGTTGCTCCTGCAAAGCAGTATCGAGTAGCCTTACTTACATAAATACTTCTAGAAGCAAAATGCTTGCCCATTGAGCCGAGCAAGATATGCTGGATAAAGAATGTGTCTTGATTCAGCAAGTGATCAGAGGGATCATAAAAATGACCATACCAGCATACCACACTCACTCGAAACCACATGGCCATCCAGCAGAACCAAGTACGAGTCAGTATGACTATCATCGACCTACTTATTAGATCTCCAACTCGACCAATTCTTTTTAATTCGGCTCACTCCCAGTCGCCAATTTGAGAGTCCTCTTCTCTTCTTGCTTCAATATCCACTGATTTGTTGTCTCTCCCCACCTGAACAACGTAGCCGCCCATCTATCAGCTTTCTCAATTCTCTCCTTTACATTTGTGGAGCCATTGTCTTCCAAAAAAGCATCAGCTGCAATTGACTCTGTCGAAGGGGGGCTGTCTTGTGTCCCACTGCAGATTACGAATATCTCTCTAGAACGGAAGAACTTGAAAGCTTTCGATTTGTCAGCATGGAAGTCATGGGGTGATTGGATTGCTTCATACACCAGCAGCTGAGGACTGGCCAATCGGTTGTGACATCGACGTAGACTTCACGCAACACGCTAAACCTGGGAATGAGGGGTTGAGGTTTAAGCCACATAATAATGTTGCTTCCAAGCCGAATTCTCTTCATCAAAGATCTCTGTAGACAGTTTCGACGTCTGTACCACTGACTGTAAGTATGCGTGTCATCGATCGACCATATGTTTGATCCCCAGAGGAACCGAACCGACTCGATGTAGGTTTGTCTACAGACGGACAGAAGTTCGATGTGAAGTCGCTTTATAGGACCATGACGAAGTGCATCGTTACATACAGCATGCCGACGGTGGCAGTATCTCAAGTCACCCTGATGTACTGCCGTACTGGAATTTTTGACCACGTCCTCATAAGATACATCTCTTGACAACTCCCATGCTTGCTTTTCTGTGATTGGTGACTCGCAGACCGTGTAGAATAAACGTACTTGTAGGGTTCCCATAATGTGGTGAGGCAAATCTTGGTGAGGCAACTCTTCCATCACATGTATCAGTTGAAATCCAAGCACGTATCCCCAGATGAGGTTTCTCAATTCTCCAGGAAGACTGAGCAAAGGATATGAGCATCTGTTTCTCTCCATTCTTCATGTGGGTCAGCATGAGAATGATCAATCTTCTTACATCACACTCACATTTTCTTTGTGTGCTTGTCTGTAGTAGCTGAAAATGCCTGCCTTGGAGCCATACTTTTTGGAGCGAATGTTGATAATTCTGGTGTAGGTTAATCCAAGAAAGAATCCAGTATCAACTGAAAGCAGGCTGAGGCGAAGGTGAGTTGGTTCACAACCAGAGATACGGACTGCACGAAGCTGCAGTGGGTTGCATTCAAGATGGCCAACCCTTCGTATTCACGGGAAATAAATGAGGTTTCGTTGCGCTTGTCCCATGTCAGATAACAATAAGAATGATGATCTCCAAATTATTCATCGTACGATGCCGTGCTCGGGTGGGGATTTGACGACGTCAAAGGCTGACCAACGACTAAACCGTTCAAAACGGAAAGAACAACCCAACCCACGACATAGACACCACCAACCGCGGCCATGTAGCTGAAAGCTGATAATAAGTCCAAAAAAAAAGAACTCTAGGACACCATCAAATGTAGGGTTTGACATCGAAAAGATTATTCTAGCACGCTTGGGGTAAATACTAACCAGCAGCTCAACCATCATTCTACAAAAATCATGTTTCACTGCCGATACCCAAATCTCCTGCCTTACAGTTCCAATCAATCAACTCTCAAGCGTTGAAATTGTGTGAATATCAACTGTGCTAAAAATTGCCCAGCCTAAGGCAGTTCAGTTTTAAGAAGTTACTTGGGCGAAGGCTGCGAAACATAACCCATAGACAGTCAACAAGCTAAGCGAGCCAAGGCGCACTGAGATAATAGGTACAAACAGCCCAACCACAGCACTATTCCGGTCGTCACTCCATGGCATCAAAGATGACTGATGAAAATCGCGTCAAAAATACTTCTGAAAGCTTTTCCAGTCTTCAGAATGTACAGACCACCCCGAAGCCAGTCCGTTTATGAGCACGAGTGAATGAATCGATATTTGGCCGTGAAGTAGCGATCTTGCAATATAAAAGGCGGTTCTGTTTCATTTTTCTTTGAAATCAGCCAAAATCGAGCAATGCGACTCTCCGATTATGCGTTCGGAGTATTGGTCGTCTCTTTCCAGGAGAAGATACTCACCAAGACCAAACTGGCAGATGATCGCTGGTCACCCTTCCAAGGTCCTGATGGTCTTGCTCTCGAGTTCGATGGGGTACACCCCTATAGTGGCTCCGCAGCTTTCTCCAACAGTCTCTGACCTCGAAATTGGGAAAGCAGAAAAATGACGACAATTATCAGATTGACAAAGAATAGCAATGTTATCTCAAGTAAAAAGCTTTTAATTCGATATCCCCCAGTTCGATCTTCGTACACTCAAGGAGTTCACTACCACCTCTCGTGCCGTGTTTGCTCTATAATGTCTCTCACTCTGCACACACACAGAACGTCCCTTCTTGTTGAAGAGGCTATGCTTCATATCAAACTTACTCATGTCCGAGGACAAAATTTTATACCCCTTATTGAGAACTGTCTTTTCAAGAGTGTTTTCAAGCTCAGGGTGACAAAGTCTGGCAATTCATCACGAAATTGAAGGTTCTGGTCATATTAATCGAACTAGAGAGCTTCCTTTCCTCATCCGAGAAGTATATAAAGCACCCAAGCAACACTCGAACCAAAACACCACAAACAGAACACACATGATAGACAAATGTAGGGAAAAGATAATGTAAATCGTGACAGCCTTTCAACCCAAGCAAGCCATGGCAAGAGACGGGGTGGAACATTGAAAATGTGACGGAAAGCTCTTCATCTGACAGATCCCAAGATCTTCTTCTATTAAAATAGATTACATTAATTGGCGCGACAATGACAACAAAGCAACAATTGACGGCCACCTCACTATTTAACAGCCGCATATCACTGCAAAAGTATTTCTGGCTTTGGATTGGACATCTGATTATCATACACTGTTCTCTACCCAAAAGCTTTTGTATGTCAAGAATAAGTATAGGTGCCTTTGGGTATTCCCCTCCAGGACCACAAGGTGTTTCTGAGAAGTAGAGTAGTTGGAAGAATGCTTGAAGCTCATCTGATTCAAACAGAACAGAAACTTATATACTCTAGAAATAGTCAAGTCTGAACACTTCTTCTCCAACTTGCCCTCTCACCAGACAGGTACCGCTCCTCAGACTAACCTGCACGCATATAAACCACCGAACAACAACATCTTACAAGCAGACATCACACGAAGCGTCCAAACACGTTACAAGACTGCCAACGTAACCTGGCCTTGGATTTATTGATAACCCGCTTACATGCCGAGACACTTTTTCGGCACTTCAAAGTACCTCAAACACGATGATGTATCCGCGAAGTGCTGGGTGCGTAGCTTTGAAGTCAAATAGATACATGCTTACAGGCAGTGATTTGCTGACAACAGTAGGGAAAGTGACAACAGAAATCAGCACTTTATTTCAGCATACACTGAAGGATTCCTTTTGAGAATACAAGAAATGATGTTCAGGTGACACAAACGATCAAGCAAGAACACAATGATCATTCTCAAAGGAATTTGGGATTTAGACTAGTTGCTGGCAATTCGACAACTCTTCCATTTGAATCCATGCTATCCCTTACCATTTCTACAAAAGATCGAAGATCGTCTGTTCATATATACAATCAAGCCATTCCACACGAAGGAGATCACGCCAAGTAGTCCTCCACACTATTCACCAATTCTTCCAGCTATATTGCCCGTGTTCCCAAGAACTGCAGCTCATCTTACAACCTGTGCAGGTACAATCAATCACGTTGCATTTAATTTTCTCCCTTGTCTCTAATCCACTCACAAACCATTCCCTAATGTCTCGTAACAGACCTATATAATCACAACACCACAACCGGCTTGCCACTCTTCCAAAGATCGCAAAGCTTAGAGGCACAGACATACTCTCCTCGCTGCCAGTCTGATCTCTCAACATCCACACCCTAATCTCCCAGTGCTCAGCACATAATCCCATATCATCCCATCCCAACTCTCAGCAGAGGGCCAGTAAATTCAACTTTCTCATCCCGTCACCCATCTGATCCCCCAAAGAAAACAAAAGTCCCAGAGAGATGACACCAAAATTCGAAACTGACAACAATACCTCAACATTCTAGTCAACTGAAGCAAACGATTCTCATGCGCGGTTTATAATCCAATCTTCGAATTTCCAGATTCCGAAGCCCGTAAATGTTAATGATATCGTTCATTACCTCAGAGTCCACCACTTGCCCAGTCCTCCTCCCCAAGAGATAAAGGAGCCCTTGACCACCCCGATGGGACATGAATTGAAAGATCCGTTTCTCGGCGCAGGGAGAGGGGTTTTATAGCCAGAGCAGAAGGAGTGGGGTATGTGAGTGAGTGCGTGAGAACTCAGAGGAGGCAAGCGAGCGAGTGGAAAATATAGGGGCCAAAATCGGGAAGGATGGGGAAAGAAAGATTGAATGGAGAGGGTGGATATGAATAGATGGATAAGCGTGGAAGTATGGACTTGATTTGGAACACACAGCCGAGAAATGGGAAAGATGATGTGATGTGAATTGTTCAATGTTCAGTGTTCCTCCCACCTTACTTAACTCCACTTCATCAACTCCTCTCTCAGTTTTAATCTCAAATCCTTTTCATTCCCATCAAATATTGACCCCCCCATCATATCAAGCCCCTGCTAGAGCCCTTAGACCCAGCCTCGAACCCAAACAGAACAACCTCGCCACAGGGCCAAAGGAGAACATCGCTCGCTCGCTGTCTCGCTATTGCTCAATCTCAATAATCCCCTATGCCAGGCTAGATCTCAGTTTCATCGCAAGATTGCTAAACAAAGCCTCAATCATGAGAAATGCCCAGAATGCCGTGAGATGCTTCGTACTTCATCATCATTTCCATCATGTCCGTTTCTGGTCCCATCATCATGCCATTCCCGAAGAACAAGATGTGTTCGCAGCATTCAATATTTCCAACAGAAGTGCCAAATTGTCCCCTTATCCAGATTCCTCAATATTTCCATCTGGAAGTTAAATATCCATTCCGAATGCATTTTCCCTATTGCCTGCCCATTTATCTCATCTGATAGTGTAGCCGATGTTTCTAAGTTGTACTTTCGCAATGTATCATCACCAATCGACAGCCCAGCCATTCTCCTGCAAGAACTCCTCACACGCAGCCCTCAATGCCAGATTCGGCCGCAGATCAGAGACTTGTAGAGGTTCGCGAGTGAGAGGGTCGGTTGGAGAACGGCGGAGATGTTCCATTATTGAGGAGCGGTCGTAGGATTGTCCTGTCTTGGTCTGGCAGGCGTTAGCTACAGCCAAAGCAGAGACAGCAAGATAAGGTGCTATAATATGGAGGGGAAGGGAAATAAGACAGAGAAGAAAATTAGCAACATACCACAACAGGATCCAACATAACCGAAAACGTAATATCATCCACACACCAATCCGGCACCTTCCTCCTCCTCTCCACCTTCTCACACCCCTCCGTACTCTCCCACACCCTCCTAACCTCCTCAATCTTCCCTTCCCAAACCTCCACAATCTCCTTAACCCTCCTCTCCCTCTCCTCCCCCACCTCCTTCAAACCCCCCACCTCCCCATCCCTACTCCTCTCCATGCCCCTCACCACCTCTCCAAGCAGTCCATCCATCCCCCTAACCCTCTCATCCTCCCTCCTCTCCCAATCCTCCTTCTTCGCACGCAGTACCAACTCTGTAATCGGCCCTATACTACTCGCGCCCTTACCGCCGGAGTGGCATTCCTCGACGCAGAACCCGTGGGCTTTTTTCGCGGATGTGAGAGCTGAGGCGGGGTCGCCGAGGGCGATTTGGGCTTGTGCGAGTTGGAAGTAGGCTTTCATGTTATGGGGGAGGAGGGTGATGGCTTGGCGGGTGTCGAGGATTACGCGGGGGTAGAGGTGGAGTTTTAGGAGGGCCATGGAGCGGTTGGTGTAGAGGAGGGGGTTGGAGGGGTCGTGGTTTATGCTATGAATGAGGAGTCAGATTTATGTCATAAACGTTATCTTTCTCTGGAGAAGTGAATCTATTGAGAATGATCTGGAGAGAGTGCTGCATGATAGAAGAACTGAGGCAAGACTCACGCTTTCGAATACAAGGCTTCAGCTTGTACATAATCACCAGCCTGGAAACATTTATTCCCACTCTCCTTGTACTCCAGCGCCTTCGCCGGGTCGTGTGGGACATCGGCGTTCACCATCTCTGCTATCTTCCTTCCAACTTGCTCTATCTCCCTATGTGCGTTTGCCCAACTCGCAATCGTTCGCAGTGTGTCCTCGTTCTGTTTCTTTCAATATTCCGCTTGTGTATCCGCCTTACAGATTCAATATGCCGCACCTCGCAATCTGCGGTGCCCGCTTGGAGTATATGTAGTCGAAATATGGAGAGGTCGAGGAGGCAAATGTAACCGTAACCAACACCCCGCGATGGATCTTGGAGGCAGCGTCGTACTTTCGATTCGCAGATACTCAAGCTTCGATTATAGGAAAAAGTGAAGACCAAATACTTTGAAAAATCAAACGTCGAGTGTTGTAATACTGAAATCGATTTGTGAGGCGAGGAAAGTTGTTCGTTATTCTCCGTTGGAGTCGAGCTCAATTCACTGTTGGTTGTGAGGTGGGGCTCAGCCTTGTCGTGTGCCCATGAAATGCGGGGAAAGCTCCTGCAAGCAGCAGCTATCTGCAGGGAAAATTGCGAGGTACTGATCCTTGTTGCTACTGTAGAAAGAGACTATGTAGGATGCTGAGTGAAGAGGGACCAAAGATTGAGTGACTCAAGCTCAAGGCCGCTGGCAAACGAGTGGTGGCCGGTGGTTGAGTGTTGGTTGGTGCGGTGTGCTGCAGCAGAGTGAGTTGTCAGCCTCGTTGGTTGGTAAGACAGAAGATTCGAGAATCTACCTAGGTAGCGAGAAGCGACATGTGAGGCTGAACCTAAATTTCGGAGTAAGGTCTGACTTAATTTGAATTTATCGAACGTTTACAGTACTTCCGATTTCGGTTCTTTAGGATGTCAATTAAGATAAATAAATGTTACGGGGTGATGCTTGGTTTCTGTTTTGAGCATCGCTGGGTTGGGATACCTCCTCATCCAGAGCACCACAATCATCTCGGAACTACTTTCATCCCGTAACACAACTACTTGTAAGATCAGAGGGCAACGAGATTGAGAATAAAATTAATTATATCTGATTCGTGGTTCCCCTCTCGAGGAAGTAATTTTAGAACGTGATGAACACGTGACGTATTATGTCATATGATTGCGGACTTGGGATACGGTACTTGGTTACAAAATTGACTATAATCAAGTCTTCCAACAATGCGATAATATTTGCTGACATATTTCTCCTCAAAGCTGGATGGTTTCTTTACCCCCTGTCTCAAGCGAGAAAACATTCGACGCTGACTACCAAACCAACAACCATGTAATCTTAGGACTTGGATCTTCAGAATTCGATACTGGTTAGAAGGCTATTGAAAGTACAGATTTTTTACAAAGCTCAGTACGAATACTTTAATACTAATCTACTAAGCCCTCTCTGAGTCTTTCCAAAATCCACGTCTCGTTCAAATTCACCCCGAAAGACCATTACAATTATATTTAAGCTGTGAAGGTTCTCCAAGTCTAGTAGAATCAAAAACTTAAAATCCTAGGATTCGCGACGTTACTTTCTGGCTCGAGTACCTCAGACACACCTACGGCCCTCTTCTCGTTCAAAAGATTGGAAAGATGTGCATTTATCCTACTACTTCTTGCGAATCTATACTGCTGGTGTTCCCTTCGTATCTCTCGATACCAGTTTCCAAGTCTTGCCCTTAAAATATTATATATTGTCGACTCAAAATTGTTGCCAAATTCATCATCGCCGTCACTTACTGATCGTCTCGACGAACTCTCCACCTCTCGCTCTGGTCGAGAATTCAGTCCCGACAAGCAAAAACACATGGAATTCCCCATACCTCAACTTATTTTCTCAGATGTGGAATATCACCCACTCGCGACCTCGCAAGTACAGTAGTTGGCAGCTATGGATGTGACCTACCGTATGCGTGGAAAAAAAGGGCTGAAACGGTTGATGTCATAGGACTTTACACTTGTAACTGGATGTAACTGGAGCCAGGTGAAGGAATCCCTCATATTTGAGCGTTGGCTTCGAAACAGAAAGGGATAAGAAATATTGATTGAAATGAGTAAAGTATGTCAGCCTTGTTGGTGAGGACTTCCGCATTGACTCCTGCTTCCGAACCCCGAGAATGAGGTCTAAAGCTCTATATATATCTAAGTCACTGTCGACATTCTTCCTCATCATGCTATTCTCAATCATCGACTCGTGGTGGAACACTGGGATTCCGTCACCTTCCGATGAATTCCCTATCTTCTCGTCATCCGAAACACAGTAGTGCATCTCTATCATTCTAATCTCGCTCTCATAAGATTATCAATTCAGAACCACCTGTCTATCTCCACTTCAAAACCAACCTCAGTGCTCTGTTACCATTCCCTACCACGCCATCATTTCTATCACTTCTGTCATTCACCTTCAGCTGTCCGACTTCTCTTGCTTCTCTCACATCAACAGGATAATGTATGCCATTCACAGCTGCCGAGTCCTTTCAATCTCAATAAATCATGGCTACGCCCACACAAGAGTGGCAAGAACAACCAGACCAGCTATTGAAATTTAAACCGGATTCGTCCTTGAATTGGTCAAGGACCCAATCTAGCCTCCTTGGATTCAACCCTTAGCTACGCTTCTCTATTTGTGATACGAGCATAACAAAATCTCTTGCTCCCAAGACAGGAACGACCTTCTCTTCACTTTTCTGCCCCCAGTTCGTTACTAAAGTGAATGCTTTGGGAATGATTTGGGGGCACGCGTACCGTACTTTCTCCGTCCCTGCCTTTCTTATCTCTAATCTGCAATATATATATGAAAGTCACAGTCAGCTCATAGCCTTTCTTGTAACAATCAGAATGAACATTCAACAATAGCAAATGTACTGGGATACGTTCGTTGTACATATCACATACATTTAATCGATAAAGGTAGGAAGCAATTCTACTTTCCTGGTGCTATTCGGCTGTCCTTACGACAATATATCGCCAGCTATTTCCTCCACGAATAGATTCAGGTGCTGTAATATACTGTTGTTAAATATATTACTATTGTCAATTCTAGGGCTGAGTTATCTTGCAGAAGCTCAGTAGGCTTCAAGATAGAGTGGTGATATTGAGGAATCGGAAGACCTCGCTCGGGTAGAAGTCCAAGACGGCTCGAGACACGAGAAGCACTATTAATGAATCATAAATGATAGACACTTCACAGCCCTCCCATGCCATAACAATCTCTTTATGTATAGGTCTTTACAGAGAGAAATTTGGAGAAAACAGAGCTCTTAAATTCTAGAATTTGCCCCATGACTCACAAGCCCTTGTGGGTTCCCGAAATCGTAAAACTAAGTGAATACAACTGTCAACTGAGAAAGCAGTGACTTTGTGAGACTCAATTCCTATAATATCCCAAGAAGTCCGACGTCTTACAGTGTTAATAGTGCCAGCTTCGTGGACTTGAACTTTCAAGCTCCCAGGAGACGTTCTTGCCATGACGCTGTGGAAATGTTTCAATTCAATCGAAATTCCCCTCTGCTTTGCCCCTGCGCGATAAATCCAGTTTGAAAATAAGTCATCAAAGTAGAAGGCAGAAAGTAACATTATTTCTTTTCGCACTTGTTTTCTTCTCTGTCATGTTCTGTCTCGCTTTCACCTGTTTCTCTACTCCGCTTAACCCAGAAGTTTTCTCTCGCATTAAGAACAGCCGCCTCCCCATACCATCCTCAGCTCGCACCACTACTCGAGCGATTCTGTAAAATTTCACTATCCAGCCGCGGACTTGAACTCTCCTGCTTCTCACAATCGTCGCACTTTCTCTTCTTTCATTTGATCGTCATCGCCGGGTCCTTACATTCCTTGAACTTGAGATTCTTCTCCTTCGCTTTCTTGCACCGCCGTGCTTTAGATGCAAACAATCTAGGTCCACAACCTTGTAATTTATGAGTTCGATTTTGCACATTGCCGTGGGTCTGATATTATCGTGGTCGTACGAAGATTATGCAGTGTTGGGGGCGGACATGGCGACCCGACTTGGGAGCTTTGTGGGTCTTTGACGAGAATGTATGGACTGATTAATGGAAAAGTACTAGATGGGAGGATTTGTATCTGGTTGGTGATGAATCTTTCTGGTGGTCTTTTGACTGGATGATTACGTGCTGAGTGACGCATTTGTTTACTTCCAGCCTGTCTTGAAGTTAGAGTTTTCGCTTGGTGAAGCGAGCCCCTCTGCCCCTTTGATCTCTTTTGAGGAGCCAATCATCAAAGGGGACCCAGAAATTTCCACCAATACCCTGCTCCCTATCGCAGTACATACATCATAAGTCGTGGTTTGGTTCGCTGGTCACGACAGGCTACAGTAAAATCTTGGGGAGAGCGATTGCTCGCGAGTCACGCATTCATTTCTCGGTTCTCACTGCGGAGTGCAATATTCAATGAAAAGCTTTCGTCAGGCCTTCTACGGTCGAGTTAGAACTATAGACGTTCTCAACAGATTGTTTTGAGTCAACAATACTGCGAGTCAACGATACTGCTCAAAGCAGCTCACATTCAACACAAGCTTCGGGCTCACTACCCCGCCAAATCTTCTTGATCTTCAAACCACTCTTTGCAAGCAACTCCTTCCACTGGGTCTCATTCCTCTCCATTCCTCCAATCGGAAACATCGAAATATCTCTAATCGCCTCTTGCATTGTGACATTTGTATCCGGCAAGACTAGATCAACCAACAACAGCTTACTCTTCGGCTGCTCCTTCAACAGCGGCACAACCTGCGCCAAGAAAGACGTGCAGTCCGCATCACTCCAATCGTGGAAGATATGACGGTAGTAATATATGGCTGCATCTTTGACTGGTTGAGGTGTGAACATATCGTGCGGCATGAACTCAACTCCTTCAGGTGGACCAGAGACTGCTTCGAAGGTAGACGCCAAGTCCTGCACAATGAACCTGCCTTTCAGGTCTGGGTTTCGCTTTCTGATCTCTTCCATAATGTGACCTTGTCCACCGGCAACATCCACAATAGCGATGTCTTCATCTGCCAGATTCAACGTTCCAAGTTCGACACCCCATGGATAGGCGTCGCCAGATACGTTGCCTGCATTGTGTGATCGCATTCCAGCCACCATGTTCATAGCGCGATCTGGATGTGAGCCGAGCCATGTCCACAATTCTTCTCCATGAGCCCATTTATATGGTGTTCCAGTTTCTTTTGTTGGAGCCTTATAGTTATGTTCCTTGAGCGTACGTGGCATGGCCATAATCGAGGGGAGAATATCCACAAGCATGAGATTGTTGAAGGCACGGTGATCTGAGTTCAGGTATGGCAATCCCAGAGGAGTCAAGGCAAATTCAGGTCCTGGTTTCTCAACGAGAATGTTGGCAGCTAGTAGTTGGCGAAAGACCCGGACTGGAAATGTCAGTAAGCCACGAAAGGTTCTGTTTAATTATCACATGCTTACTGATAATGATCTCGTCGGCTTTAGTGAGCTCTAGAATCTCGGCCATCGAAACAACCTTCCCTCCCTCAAACCTTTCCCAAAGACCTAGATCTGACACGATTTCAACTGCGACACCAACATTCACCTTCGAGTATCCTCAGTAACGTTCACCCGATAAGAGGAGGATTTGATTGATTAAACTCACTTGAAAGATACGAGGCCAGACCTCGGTATTTGGCTCTTCCAAAGAGTACAGAAGCTTTCGAGCTTCGAGTTGTAAATTTCGTCGGGCAGCATGCTGGTCCCCTCCTCTAGCAGCACCAAAACTTGCAGCAGCTTTGTTCAAGTTTTCGACCAGTGGAGCTATCTCCGCAGCAGAGACATAATTATCTGCCATGGCGGGTGATCAAATTATACAAAATCAGTGGTTCAATAATAGCAGGTGAAACAATATCAGATCGAGTCTGAGAGAATGGGACGACCAGCAGGCAAGAATTTATTCTTCTATCAACACGTTATCTGCCCCTCCAAAGTTGGCTTGTTGGCTTCCAGGGTCACACCCGGATCAGAGACCGGAGCATGTCCATTTCCAGATGGCAGATCTATCAAGTTCCAAGTTCGCTTCCGAATCGGACAGAGCTGCATTCACTTGCAGCCAACCTGTACCGAGTTATATTCTATCAGCCGTCTTGGTACCTCCTTATGTTCTTGCAGATCGAGCCGTGCCGCACAGTGGGGGTGGGGCAGGTAGCTTGGACTGAAACCTCCCCCGTTCAACCACATGTATTATCCTCTGCATTTGGACGACGAAAGCTTTGGTAGAACGAGTTGAACTTAACCTGGACCGATGTCAAAAGAATTCCTAGATAGCAGACATTTTCTCAAACCACTCCTTATTGCAGTTTTCTAGCATTACTTGAGTGTGGTACCATGCAAGGATCGAAGTTGTGACAGGTTTTACCAACAGAATGCAACCAGATGGAACTGCCAAGAATAACAATACTACTTATCGCAGGGAAAAAGCTCTCGCACCAGTTGGTAAATAACAACGATCTGTCATCTCATTTACAGAACAGTGACATTTTGCCGAGGTATTTCGCTTAGATTCCCCGGCCAGCAATCAGTTTTGGATCTCTCGTGCATCCAACTCTCCTTACCTTCCTGCAAAAATAGCAAAGATCAGTCTTTTGAACGCAACTAATCTTTCGAATGGGTCCCCAAATGTTAGCATTGAATGATCAATTATAGGAAGTCAGCTTGGATATCAGACTAACATTTCGACAACAGGATGCAACTCTAGCTATACTCTATGATTGGACAACATCCCCGTTTGTTGGTGACCTCACCTGCAGGTCCCGGGGAAACTCCAACCTCCCCGGATCCTGGACCAGTCAATTTTTCAATATCTTGCATAGGAATGGATTAGATCTTCATTGTCATCGTTACTCTCAGGATTTTCATACAGTATGCCATCTTTGGTCAAAAATGGGGTCTTCGAATAGGGGCTTAAACGTCCGAAAGCCTCCCCAACTTTCCAACAAGCCCATCTTTTCTTGAATGATTAATTGCATCAGCTGTGTTTGACCACGAGGTATTTGGAGTTTGTACAGCCTATTCACGTCTTCACTGCCGTTATCATGGTCTCTAGTCAAGACTTTCCAGATGGAACAGCCAACCGGCTTGATATGCGAGTTGGGTGTTATGTGCTCTTTGCACTTGCCACGATTGCTGTGTTGACCAGGTGAGATCTCTCATGGAGTGTTTCAGGTCGGAAGTTTGACGTTCTGAAGGCTATACATTCGAACCTTCGTCGCTCATAAACTAGGTCTTGACGACGTTTTGATCGCATCATCATGGGTACAGAACTCTTCTCCTTGGCTCAGGTAGCAAGATTGAAAGAGCAGGAAAGCTAACTCTGTGTTGTAGCTAGCAGAAACTGTCCATGTTGTCGCCGTGAAGCTTCAATTCGAAAATGGTGTCGGCTGGCATGTCGCGGATTTGCAGACTCTTTCGAACGCACCTGTGATACTGTCCAGAATGATATTCGTACACTCCACATCCTTCAACTCTTCAATCAATACGCTTACGAATTCAAGTGGCCCTGGGTAACACAGGCCCTGTATTACTTTGGACTTGGATGCATCAAAGCCAGCATCGTCGCTCTATACCTGCGACTTGCCGTCACGGATCTACAGCGGAAAGTGCTATGGGTAACCTTTGTCTTCATCCTGGCCCAGGGATTAACATCAACAATTGCACGTTCTTCCATGTTTCCGAAATGTATCGATTCCTGACTCTTCCCAGGTTGTTGCGGGATTCCTCTGTTCTCCTCTCAAACAAGTATGGACAAATCCCAAAGCGATTGGTGGCCCCACCTGCATCAACATTCTGACGTTCAATTACTTCAATGCCGCGTTTTTCATCATCTCAGACATTTTTCTGGCATTGGCCCCCATATTTATCCTAAAAAATCTCCAAATGGATGCAGGAAGGAAACGTCAGTACTATCACCAGCAGCTTCAAAGCCGAGGAATGCAAGTCCGAAATCTTTTACTGATAGAATTTAGGTGCTCTTGGCATCATGTTCTCACTTGGAATTCTGGCTATTGGAGGAACAATTGCCAGACAAATCACAAACGCTGTAGCTATAACCAATGTCGATGACTTTACATGGTTAGTGTCCTCTCGCACGCCATCCACACTGCTCACCTGTTGTTCTTACTTAGGCACTGGGCACCAACAGCACTCTCCTCCATACTCGAATCAAGCCTCGGCATAATCTTCGTCTGCGTACCTGCATTGGCGCCACTCTTCAAGACATGGGTTGGGGGATCGTCAGCTGGCAAGCACACCGTTACCTCAAACTTTCCTTCGGATCGACCAGGTACATTCGGAAACCTTGGCAACAGGTTGAGACTCGTACCGGAGGATGACAGCATACTTTGCTTAACACAAGTCACGACTACAGATGCGAAAGGTCAAGGTGATGAGGAAGGCTATGAGATGGATCTTGTAGGGGAATACTCAAATGATGGAGGAAGCGAAAGGAGGATCATAACTCCACCAGACTGCGACAATATCAAGCGCCAGAGTAAGTCAAGTCGGAAGAGTCTGGGGAAGAAAGGAGTATGGGTGGATGTGGAGTACCACGTCGACAGGTCAAGCAGATGATTCAACAGCACAGAATTCTCGTAATTTACTCAATGGAGATATAAAATACCAATTGACTCGCCGTAATCCGTCTTAAAGATATTAAAGATTCGCGACACTTATTCAACAAGAAGGGTTTCCCAGTCAGAACGACAGATCGATGCTGGACAAAGCTGAGCCTGGAAGCGACGCACACCTCAGAATAGTATTTTTTTTACACACACAAATATCTGAGCGTCACTCTCTAGAGACTATTGGTATGTTCTCATCTGTCGACCCGCCATGCTCCGTAGCCCTCTGCCCATGATTTTCCTCGTCCGGATATCTCGTGTTCTCCCACGGCTCCCAGAACTTTGCTCCCCGCATCAGCGATGTGACGTTCTCCCAAATGACGATGAAGGAAATGAGAGCCATGATGATAGACAAGAACGACGTGATATCCAAATCATGAGAGAGCGGGAGACAGATGATGATGATTGCGCAGATCGGTCGAAACATTAGACGGTAATGCTGGGAATCACGTCAGCAAGAAAGAAACGGCCACAGGACCAGGGAACAAACCTTTGGAAGCATGAGTGTTCCAGGTGCATCGTTTGATCGATGCAGCAACGCAATGATGTACAAGCAGAACAATCCAATACCGAGTCCTCCGCAAAGCAACCATAATTCAGGCTCATGGAGCTCCGTCACTTTCGTGCTCGTCGCTGATACATGGCCTGCCACCAGAAGACTTGCAAGCATGGGGAGGTGAATGGTCACCCATGTGAATGATGCATATATTGAATGCCTCAGGGGGTGCTGTGATTCAAGCGATCCGTCGGCATGGATGTACAGCCAATTAAGGCAGAAAGCGATAATCAGAGTCCAAATAGCCCTCAGGAGGGACAAGTTGAATCCTATCACAGCAGGAGATCCGACGATGATTTGGTAGAGAAACTCTCCAAGCACAATGATATAGAAGGCGGCGAATCGATCGACCTCGTGTGGAATATCTACCGCAGTGGTGTACTTTGCATTCAGTAGTTTCTTGGCAACTGGTGAATACGAAAATATCCATATGGACTCTTCGACCGTGATTCCTACTGCGGCTACAGCAATTTTGCTCCTAAATGAGAGATCTTCAATGTAGAGGGGAATGTAGAGCAAGAGTGCCAAGCTTGACAAGCAGAACCAAAGACGCTGTTGAGCCCGGTGATGATAGCTTGCGAACGAGTAGATCAAATGGACGGAGTTTGTCGACAAGCGACCCACCATGTAAGCACCAACTGTTGAACGAAGAGCTCCAATATCTTCATCGACCAGAGTAGCGTTGTTTCCATAGACTTCAAATTTGTTAGCACGAGAAAGTCAAACCCCGATCAGGATAGCGGTTCTCAAATAGTAAATGCCGAGACAAATCTTTGATCCGAGATTGAATGATTGGAGAAAAAATCATGAGAGAGAAGTACATACTAACAAGCAGAGCCATGATCCAGAGAATGAGGAGACGTTGGGCTAGATCGTCGTTGTAGAACGAGTTCATCAATTCTCTGAGATCGCTCCATACGTGCCATGATGGAGCAAGAATCAACTGCAGAGAATCAGCTTCAATCTCAAGGCCTTGGTTCGGTTATTCTCACAATGTATTTCACGACTCCAACGCCAGAAGGATGTTCGGCTAAGTTCTCAGCAAAGTTTGCGAGGATAGCAACATAGAGAAGATCAAGGAACAGCTCGAACCGTCCTATTGACACTCAGTATTGCGCTTCGAAATCCACATCATCGTCGAGAAGGTCTTTCCATGTTCACTGACCTGCTTGTCTCTCATTTTCTTCCCGCTTTTTCAGCTCGCCATCCTGAAACCACTGCAACGCCAGCGGTTGACGAAATAAAGCACGTGGAGTCGCCACCTTCTGCAGCTGCACTGTCTCCGCCATTGTACTGGAGACAGATCATATAATCACGGGTCGGAGGCAATGAAAATAGAGGAATTGGACGACATGAGGTGCGGAAAGTGGTGCAGTTGTAGTCATTCAGCTCAGGGATTCGCCAAGACGGAAAGCTAAGAGATTAGTAAGATGCTTCGATGCTTGGAAATGAAGCTATTCCCAAAACGTATAATGTACTCGATGCTCCCGCTGCCAATCGCCTGTAAGCGAGCGCGGATCAAAACTCCCAGATCTTGGGGCTTCTAGAGCCAATGGCAGAATGCATAAAACTGGGTGTTTTCCGCCTTTTCGGAGCTTGTTGAGATTGGCAACAATAATGTTGCGACACCGGAAGTGTAGCACCTGCGCATGGGAGTGCAATCTCCACTCACTGCATTCTACCGAATTGCTTGACGGTTTATTTTCGTTGTTCCAAGATTCCAGAGGAACTCTGGAGGACAGATCCCCATCTGATAGCAGAACAAACCTCCAGTCTTCCTTAATCACCGTCCGTAAGTCATCAACATTCAGTACACCAACGCCTTCAACTTGTCAAACCCACGTCATTTGCACCCAAAATTTGTTTTCCGATCAACGAACGACTGTTGGGAGCAGGGTCAGGAGAGCCAAGCTCGACCTTCGGCTTTTGACAAGGCCACACTAGCCAAACACGACTTTGACGAGCTATACCTGGGTCACAATGAGGAGGCGTTTCTTTTCAATGCTTATAGAGAAGCGTCCAATAAGGTGTCTTGATGAGGTTTCGTGCCTGGATTGGTGACCACGAATCGAGCGTCTCCTGCCGCAAACTGATAAGCCATTATGATGAAGAGAAATCTGCTAATTGACGGCTCTGGGCTCGCCCCTCCAGCGACATCGAACCATTTGCACACAAGCTTACTTAAATAGACTGGTATGTAGAGGGTCTCAAATCGCTTGTGAGAATTTTCATGATTCTACTCACCGAGAATTTCGTATTCTGTACACCATTGGTGTTCAGGTCAAGTGCTTTCCTGTCAGGTGGTGCAAGATGAGCAGAATATATAATCAGGACATCAATCTGGGTATTAGATATATATGGTACAACAGCAAATTAGACTATTACTTTCCAATTACAATTCCATTCGGCAACTCTAGCCCGATCGGTAGACCCTTAATGAACTTGGCACGGAACTCTTCACCACGCTTCAACGCAAGCTGCTCCTCGATATCCATCGGAATATCATACCTAGACATCTATTAGTGTGATACGACAGATTAAATCAAAAGAATAAACGTACGCATTCATCTCTTCGATTGTAAGCTTCGCCTTCTCATCCTCAACTTTGTAAGTCGCAATTTCTTTGTTCGCCGAAAACCCTGTAAGTGGAAGGTTAGTCACATGTTGTTGACGACCATCCATTTGGGATATGCATACCAATTCGCTCATTGATGTTATAAGCAGCACGAGCAGCGGCAGATTGAACCCGGGTGACACGTGGTAATCTGATAGCGTTGTAGACGGAGAGACTCTCGTCAATGTCTCCACGGAAATACTTCTTGCTGAAAAGGACACCAAGCGCTCCGGCATCTTCGATTGCCATGCAAGCTCCTTGACTTTGATGAGGCATCATCTAATCTTGTTAGTTCGTCGTGTGATAAGCTTGTATCTACAACTCACAGGATGGCCAGCATCACCCAAAAGACACACCATATTCTTGGCGAGGTATGGGTATGGCTTGCTATTTACTCGTTAGACAAGATTGGTCTAGGACTGAAAGTGTTTGACTTACTGCATCCACAGCCTCCAGGGCTGGACCTCGATACCAATAGCAAGATGGGCCTTCACCTGAGCATCCAGCTCCGGATACGGAGCAAGGAGCTCCTCGATTGGGCGATCTTCACTTCCCCAACTCTGGTTGACATAGTCACCCTTCTCGCGAGGGAAGAAGCAGTAGTATGACAGAAGCTTGCCGCCGTTACAAGGAGATAGCACAATTTTGTCCCATTTTCCTTCCTGGCCACCCCAGTACTCGAGAGCTTCGTTCTGGGAGTAGTCTACTAGTCCTAAGGCAACAGCTTTCTCAGTCATGACGTTTGCGTGAAGGCAACTCTGATCGGATGGCGTCTTGCTTGGTGTAATCCCAAGAACACCTCTGACTACCGAGCCGATACCATCTGCGCCGACGATCAGGTCGTGGGTGACTTTGACGCCATTCTTGAACGTGATGGTGCCTGATGCTAGGTTAATTTCTTGGCACTGTGAAGGTCCGTTTGTTAGCTATTACTTTAATGAAATGAGGAGGGACTTTCTCACAGAATGATTCACTAATAACTTCGCTGGCGTTCCCTCTCCCTCCTCTTGCAGTGCGCAGTCCTTGAGCATAGAATGCATGTACTGACGATGGAACATGTTGTAAACATATCCCCACCTCTTCTCGTAATCATCCAAATCGTACACACTAACAGGCTCGCCAGTCTTCCAATCCCGGTTGATGAGCTTTTTCAGGACCACTGGGTCGCCTTTCGCTACATCGACTCCCCACTCATGCAGCCATCTCGTTCCGTTCGCCGCGCATGATACTGAAGCGCCAACTTCTCCCGCAAAATCGTGTTTCTCGTAAATCGTGACGTCGTGACCTGACCGACGCAGTGCAATGGCGACAGAAAGGCCTCCGATACCTCCTCCAATGACACCTACATTCAGCCGTCTCCAGCCGCCGACGTCGTTGGAACCCATATTATGATACGCTCAAGAAGTCGCTCGTGTAGTTTCGATGGTCAAGTACTGCTTAGCCAGGAGACAATGTTGTACTTTCAAGGTGGGTTGAACAGAAATTTGGATGTTGCCTGATGTGATGGATGATCCAGAGTCCGTTTCGAGCCACTCATATATAATGAAGACATCTTCGTCAGGAGTATCTGTGCCGACGTCTTGAAGCGGTTTGAAGCGGATAGATAGTAGAATGAACTTCGATTGGAACATATCCGCGCAGGAAGTCCACTGTCAAAGGACTCGATGCCATGAATGGGGAGCATGCTGCACCCCGCTAACACGGCTCGGTGGACAATGCTTTGGGCTTCTTTGAACGCTTCCCCGCTGTAGCTCCGTGCCATACGGATGGCGGCTTCATGTGAGAATGAGTTGTGGTTGACCGGTTTGCGGGAAAGCTTGTCGCAGGTGCACTATCCGCCGCCGGCGGCTAATGCACTTGGTGGCGGCATCGTACCACAGAGCCAATGAAGGATCTGAAGGAGACGTTAGCCCATCCGAATTTGTGTTGGATGGCAGAGATAACGGAAGCGGATGCGGAAGCAGGATAAGAGTCGTAAACTGTGATGGAAGAATGCAAAGCAAAGGGTGGAGCAAGTGTCATGTAGATCACATGCATAGTCACGTGTCTTCCATCGCGACTCTCCAATGCAGTTGATACATTGCGATGTGTTACAGCAGCCCTCTCCGCAAGTATGCACATTGCCAAGAAATTATCTGAGGATATAGAGGGAATTCGTCGGGATCTGTTACGCTCCCATGTGAAGGCTCTTTCCCGCAATATCAACACCCCTTTTCACCTCGCTTAGCAAATCCACATCCCACATCCACTTCATTCGAACGTCAAGATTCTCCTTTATCTTTTCAAAATCACGTCCGATTCCTTTACCAGAGAATCCCCAAATCTCCATGGCCTCCCTACTTGTGCGAGTGACTTCCTGTGTCCGCTTTCGTCTTACCTCATCGTAAGCTCGGAAGCATGCTTCAATTTTGGCATCCCTGGTCAGATCTTCGGGCACTTCACGGCTGCTATTAGCCGAATTCTTCTCGCTTTCGTTCAGCACCTCTCCAAGGATACTACTCAAGATGAAGGAGTCTTCAAATCCCATTCCGGCTCCCTGGCCTTGATGCGGGGTCGTGGCATGGGCTGCGTCCCCCATCAATGCAACTCGACCTTTGACATATGTTGGAGCTGGCAGATGATCATAGAGAGCCCAACGCTCGGGACGCTCGATGTGCGATAGAATGTTCTTCAGAGGAGCACCCCAATCTTCAAAGTCGGACAGCATCTCCTCCGTCGTTACTGCTTGGGTCCAGTTCGTTTCGTGCTGCGCTAGGGTATCGGCTGATGGACATTTGATATGCTTCGAAGCCACTACGTTGATCAACCTTCCCTTATCGACAGGATAGGCTATGATGTAGCCATCCTGCCCACAGAAGACGGTTCCTTTGCCTGCATTGAGAAGGTTCGATGAGATTTCCAAGAATTTGGCACGGGGAAACAATCCTCGATAGACGAAGTCGTTCGTGAATGCCGGACGAAGCACTCTTTTGTCGTCAATATCAGCAAGAACGTATTGCTGGCGGACAACGGACTTTATGCCGTCACAAGCTACGACAGCAGTCGCTTGGATGCTCGACCCATCTGCAAACTTGAGACAGAGCTTGCTTGAGGAAGCCGCTTCGGATATCGAAACCAAACTTTTCCCGAATTCTGTGATGGAAGCAGGGACCAATTTGACGAATTCGTTGAGAAATTTGGCACGATGAACACAAGCACGACTTGGTTTGGACGATCCTTTGTGATAGATTGTCGTGATTGATTTATTGAATCTAGGATCTGTTAGGAATTATTTGACATCTCCACCAGTTTTCTTTCGCTCGGAAGACCAACTGTGGCAATTTGGGTAGAATGGACTGACTCTTGCGCTTCCCCGACTCTGATATCTAGCCACTCCTCTTTTCCAGGTCCCTCCCCATCATCATCAATTCCCTCGTTGTAGGTTATGCACTTTCTAAGGGCATCTTTCATTCTCGGATCAATGAGTTCTAGGGCTTTGATGCTGTTTGGGGCAAGTGCAATACCGGCACCAATTTCTGCAAACGCAGATGCTGCTTCGTATATCTTGTGTGGTATTCCTTGTCGAGTGAGCCCGATAGATAAAGTGAGGCCTGCGAGACCACCGCCAATTATAGCGATGAATGGTTCTGTGCAAATTTCCATGCTTAGTTGTGGCGTGTATGTTGAATATGCTTCTCAGGTTATCAAAATACCCAAACCATGAAAGTCATCGAGACCGAAACCGATTTTCCATGTTATGGACAGGTCGCCGAAGCGGGAGACTATTTGTCCAACGATCTGCAGTCGGCCCAGATCTCTATTCTTCGCGGCCAGCTAGCATAAGCATGGTGCTTTGCAGGGACTGGTAATAAGCGAAACTAATCAGAAGCTGTCACCTCATCACTTCGAGATAAGCACTTGACCCTGCCTGAACCTCGCACCAGTTCTGGGGTTTCATTGGGATACTACTACACCTAAAGGCTATAAATAATCTTTGTTCTATTCTTTGTGTATGTCGGACACTGGTTTTCAGACATTTAAGAGTATGTGCAAGCTCCCACAATCTTTCATAGATTTAATAGCCCCTCAGCTGATGCTATTGATCGACGAAATATTGTCCTCGCTTATCGAGGCTTGTAATCAGTTTGAGATACGGCAAACTTCCTTTTTGCCCATGATCGTCTCCTTTTGATGGATGATACTGTTTATTGTCCTTGATTGAGTTTTATTCAGCTGCTGATTATAAACCCAATGCATATAAAGCGAAGCGGTGGCTTCTGACTAACCAGCATTGGTATGGAGAGTCACCTGACCCACGTTGGCATTTATACCTACCCCGCAGGTTCGTTCCTTGATCGTATGAACCTCATTCGAATCTTCGTATGTGCTTCAAATACATCGATATTATTTAATAAAGATTGGACTTCGATTCTCACTTCAATTTCGCCTTTTCTGGAAGCGCTTAAAAACAATTGCATTTTTGCTTTCAAAACCCTATCGCCATCCATCATGCTCTCCTTCCTCCGAGCCACTCCTCCCCCTCGAACAAACACCGCCAGCCACAACCCCATCACATACGAGGGTGGTATCGCGTCCGTTGAGTTCCACGCACCTAATTCCAAGTACATAATGACCCACCAACTCCCTCCAAATGCATCTGGGAAAGAGCCATCAATTCTGCAGCCTCCGTTTCACCTCCACATCTACCAAATCGAATACTTCAATCTCCGTTCGGGGACAGGCAATTTCTACCTTGGACTTGATCCAAAACCATTCGTAACAGTATCCGAAGAACCAGATGCTCCAAAGACAGTCACGATCCCGGCAGGGAGGTACCATCGGTTTGAAAATGCCTCGGAGACAGAAAAATTGGTTCTTGATATTCACCTGACACCGGAAGCGTATGAGAACGAGCAAAAGTTCTTTAGAAACTTCTTCGGGTATTTGGATGATTGTAAGAAGTCGAAGACGGCGCCTAGTCTTTTCCAATTGCTTGTTTTCTTGCATAGTGCGGATACGCCGTTGGCAATACCATTGCCCAACGAACGGTTGGGGGTGATTGTTAGTCGGATCTTTCTTATTGTGGTTGCGTTTTGGGGAAAATTTATGCTGGGGTACAAGGATAGCTATCCAGAATATTACGAGGAGGGAAAATCGAAGTAATAAGATTTCGCGTCTTGTTCTGGTGAAACGAGGATGAGGGCAACATCGAATGTTCGGAAATGTATTCAAAACATGTACTGGATGATACTAGGCCTTTCTGTTCGTCACCCCCATGGGGTATCTCCAGTCGTCAAAAGCAGAACGCTAGAGGAAATTGACCTTGTCCAACAAAACCCTACATAATTGCTTCAAACAATAACAAGCTCACATGCCAGTGAACAGACCCCCAGCTGCTTCATTATCAAACGTAAAGTTCTCAGATATCTGCAAAGCAAAAGTATCCCAGTCCGCAGTAAGAACATCCGTATTCTCCGGCGCAAACGGAAACTCCGAATTCCACCACTTCTCAATACTATCAGCTTCAATCCTCGAAAAGTCGGCATCGGCAGAAATTGGACTAGTTTGTTGCTGCTGTTGGTCACTCTGTACATCAAGTACAAGAATTCGATCGACGTATTGACTTGTTGCTCGTCGCCTTTCCTGGGCGATCTGCTTTCGGCGTTTGATTATGGCCTCAGAGAAACTGCTCAAGACGTCGTGATAGTGCTCTGCTTGGGGACTTTGGAGAGAAAGTTTTTTGAGTACGTCTCGGACACCGGTGAATGCATTTTCTACTTCGGAACTCACTTCGATGTTGGCAAATAGGGTGAAACCGAGCACAAGGCCTGCCGCAAAGATCCACGCCCTACAGTTCACGATTAGTACAAGAACAAGCAACAGATATTGAAGGGCTTACTTCAGAATACACATGTTATCAATAATCAGGCCTGCTGACATGGCATTCTGACAGGTCTGTGCCATATAGACGGCCACATCGATAGACGCTTGCGCCAAGGCCGATAAGTTGGCCGGCTCAGAACCGACATCAATGGTGATATTGGACTTGGATGAAAGCCTTGACATCAAGTACCGTATCAAGAATGGCCGAGTGAGAAGCATGACGGTGAAATAGTACAGACAAGCGGTGTGAATATTCCCGAGCACCTTTTCGTGCTCCGTTGACCCGATTGACGTTCCAACGGAGCAGACCCGCATTTCTGGGGACAAATTTGTTGCACTCCATGTACTAAGTTTTTGTAGCAAGGCCTGCGTTGCTTCGGAATCCAGGGTAGTTTGTTGCATGATGTACTGAAGTACTTCTTCGATAATCGAACAGATCTCGAAATTTGCGTTCGTAGCTGTTTTCGAATAGCTATAATCGCCTCCATTCAACATTGTGATAGCTGTGTCAGGCCTTGTCGAGAGTGAAGCAGATGGCCTCGCGAGAATGGAGCTGGTCATCACATCTAATATTCGCAGACTTTTCCATGTTCGTAAACTTGAACCACCTTAGCGTCTGTAAATGTTATTTGGGCATGTATGGAACTTACCGCAGGCTTTTCTCTGAACGAGAAAGTGCAGAATACTGGTCTGCGTCATGAAGTCCCAATGCATGTGCTGCTCTTGCAGCGATGCCGAGGTACATGAAAGCAGCATTTCTGCGACATGCTCCGAGCAGATAAAATGCCATGAGCAGAAAGGAATGTATCAATCGGATGCCCGGGTCTTCTAACATTCCTTCAAATGCAATCTTCTGACCACGGGAAAAGTATGTTTGTGAAAAATTCAAGCTGAGAGGGTTCGATATTCGGCATTGACCCCCAATAGCAAACACAAGATAGAGTAAGCCTATGCTCTCATTCATGTTATTCATATCAGTGAGTAGATCGTATAAGTCAGATCTCGTGTAGAGGTCTAGTATACCGCTTGACTAACCTTGTCAGATACAACAGAAACGTATCATTATAGAATCACTCACTGCAAGGAAGAAATTGTCAACCAAGATCCGTTTCTGCTCAAGGTCTTCCTCAAAATCTGGTAATCCTTCGCCTGCGATTTGAGCTTCAAGCATGACATTTCCTAGTCTGTTCTCCGTGAAATGGGACGGGCCCATGTGCTTGGAGAGGATTTGACGGAGAAACTGTAAGAATGCCAGCGCCGCAGCATTTCCAACGTAGACTGTCCCTGTCAGCTCATTCTATGAATGGAAGACGACTCGCGTACCTTTTTCTCCTTTGGCATTGAACAGCAGTCGACTTCGAGGAGCAGAATTCTCCTCCACTGGTGCGGGGTCGGCAGCAAAATTGTGCAAGGAAGGACCCCCTCCAATCTCAGGATCAATTACATCTTCATCGTTATGATCATTGAAATCATAGCTCCCATCGACGAAGACTTGATCACCAACAACTGGTCCGTCGTTGATCTGACGCCGATCTGGCAGGGTGGAGCTGATGCTTAAAGTTCTATGAGAGCCAGGATGATTTGTCGTCAACGTATTATCAGAAAGCTGTGACGGTCCATCACCATCATTTATCTGAGAATTTGTCGATATCCGTCGTTTCTTCTGCCTGCCTTCTGTGTATATGCACGCCGATTCGCATGTCCGCCGGACACACGGCCCACATGGGATTTTAGAATCACATCGCTTCTTGGATGCTTTGCAGGGAATACATGCTTTGATTGCACGCTGCCGGTCTTCTGCTCTTATTCGAGGCCGTGGCATGTCGTCTTAAGTTCAGGCTATGAGCAAACGGATCCTATGTGTAATGGAAATGAATGGCGGGGCTTTCATCACAGTCTGGGGTCGGGAGTTGGTGGATATCCCACTTCTGTACATGGGGAGTATGAAATCCACCGAAATCCACTGGAGATCTGGATGAAAGAGTTTGGTTTGTATCTGAATGATTCAAGGCGCAACAGTTGTTACGGTGATGAACAAAACATGACTAGATTTTGAGCTGATTGGAGATGGTTCCCCTCAGATAAGGAATTGGGCTAGAGTTTCCGTGAGGGGAATTGGGCTGATCCTATCGGCTATGTACCTAATCGACAAGACATTCTCAATAATACGTAGTATAGCGTATCTCTCATACCTGATTTGCCATCAACACTCTATCACGACAGTCTCGATACACATCATCGGTTTGAGTTTCTAAACTTACCATATAAGTGCCGGGAGCGGCGATATCTCATCACTTGGTGTTGTTTGCAAATCTCTGATTGTAATCCATATCAAACTCCAGGCTGGACGTTCTCATGACTGCCGCAATCAATTGCTCTGTGCGAGATATGAAGCTTGGACATACTGAAGGAGCTCCCTGGAGCGAAAAAAAAAAAAAAGATCCATGACGAACATATAGCTATGTAGTGAATATGAATACAAGCCCTGTACTAGGAGAGGTCAAGCTGCACTTTGTAGTCGAGCAGTTGATCGAGACAGTGGGTTAGTCACGTGCGCTGGGTTTGTACCTCTTCTCAACAAGCTATCGGTAGATCATGTAAGTCAATGCAAATCGATTGCTTGTTGCCATTTTCGAAGCCCAAAATCATGAACGTCAAAAACATATACTAAACCTCTTGGTCGATGTACATTGTGGTCTCAGTCCGGCTTGCATTCATTAAGCAAATCGCTTGGTTCCAGGAGAGCTCTCAACAGCCGACATGATCAGTCACCCACAGAAGCTCTATTTCTCGTGTTCTCATGTCAATTTTGTTTGTTGTGATGCAGACACACGATACCACAGACGCTCCAAGTCTATCACAAAGCTTCAAGCTTTTCAGATATTGCAAGCTGTCTAGAAACGTATCTGAATCCCATCGAAAAATTGAGAGCTTTAAAAGGCCTAATTATTGTGAAATTTCCCATTTTCCTTTGATATCTCTTCGATTTTCGCCGTCTGCTTTCGCGGTTACCTCGTCCTCGTAACCGAGGTCCAGTGTAAACATCACGTGTTGACAGCTGCACGGCGGTGGGAATGGAAGGGACTTACCAAATGCAAATACTCACTACAAATACATTAGAATTCATAATAACTATCGAGCGAAGACATTTGAATTACAGTCCGATGGAAAGACTACTGAACTAGCTCGGACTAGAGGGTTCCAGTAGACGAAGCCTACACCGACTCACTCAGGCAAGGCACAGTCACCTGATGGCAACATGCAGCATTCAGCAGTCATGTGCACCATCACCGTGAGAAACGGTGAACAACGTTAAAAATACATATTTCTCCTTAGCTGTCATACAGAAAAGCCATGCAGGTTTCAGCGGAACATTCCACACCGGACCAAGCCTCCGAGTAATGTCCACGATCCCGAGTCATGGAACTGGGACGCGAGTTATGCGAATGGAAACACTAGTCATCACAAAACCGGAATTAGCGGAAATACTGCGAGGAGTTCGTTATTTTGAGTGTCTTACTTTATTCGAGTGGTATTGGACGGTGAGCCCATCCACGCTCCGAAGCCCAGAGATGCGACAATGAGACGTAGAATGACAAGTCAGTCTGTGGATGGCAACGCAACAGCCCTGCCTTGACCGACATTTGCATTCTAGGTATATTGAGCTCTTCACATAACAACTGGCTTTGCTTGAGAAGAGAAAACAGTTGTAGTATTAATACTACAGCTAGCTCCTTTTGTGTTCGATTACGATAACCGATAATATCTCAAAGTCGCTCATCGATGAGAACATTGTACAACCTCCAAAAAGCCTTGAACGAGACGAAGGGGAAGCAAAATTCAGGATAATTGGTGCGATATAAGAAATCAATGTCACAGCCCCGGACAGAAAAGTTACTTATGCCTTTCGCTCGTGTCTGGTACTGTTGCCGTATGTCTTTCTTTAATCTCACGTCAACAGAATTTCGCAATTGCGATTCAAGGTGAAACGCATTGGTTGACATAAATCACAGTTTGCGGGAGGGCGAATCTAGAACAACTCGGAATTTGCCAGTATAGTTGTAGCCATGTTAGAAGAGAGCGAGTCTTGACTCCGAGGGGTTGGATTCGGTGCTACTGCACCTGGAGTGTTGTCGGAACTGGACCCAAACTCTGATTCCAAATCAGATTGAAATCCATATTGGGATAAAGAACAGAATGGAAGAATGAAAGAACTCCTCACAGATCCTTGAATCTACAGTCTGGGATGACTAACGAGACCAGGTTTTGCCCTCCACTATTCCGAACGGCCTTGCGTTGAACAAAACGTATGAACAGCTCCTCTCCTACATCGAAACTTGGACATGATCTCAATTCCAAAACTACCCGAAATAGTAAATACTGTACGAAGCCCCAAACCCCAACATGAAAAACCCCGCAAACATCGCCATCGGCCCAGCCCGCGTATCATCAACCTCAACATACGCTCTCCAACCCAGGAACAGAGCAGCGAAGAAACACAAATACACCAATGACACTGTTCCGGTCGTCAATTTTTCTTCACGTCCGATTCAATTTCGCAGCTCAGAAATCCCACCACCCAAGAAAATTCAAAGGGGGAAAAATATCAACTCACAACCAGGTTCCAGCCCAAAGATATCCCTCTTCGGTCTCTCCCTCTGGCTCGAGTGTACAGTCGTTGACGCCCCCTTTTTGGCATCTTTACGATTTACATGCCTGAACAAAACCGTCCCGGCCTCCCGTCCGAAAATCTCGCGATACGTCTCAATATCAAAGGACAGCATTTCCTCTCCACGACCGAGTTTCCATTTCGATGCTATTTCCTCAGCATTTTTTGCAGGAGCAGAATGGAGCGTGCTGAGGAGAGTCGAAAAATATGTTCGGACTTCGGAGGGTGTGGCTGATGTTGGTGGGACGGGAATTGTTGGCGAGGTCGAGTTGGACGACTCGGGTGGTTTCGATGAGGGAGTTGTCATGATGGGATGTTTGGGGTTGAATGGAATTGAGAGGAGCATGAGGGTAAATATTTATGGTATGGATAGCGGGTATATCGGCACCTAGGTAGTAACCGATGAGGCGTGGCTCGCTAGGCGTGATGGCATCTACTCATCCGTTCACGAAGGCAAGTGGGTCAGCAACGTCTGTCCAAGATACACCAAGAGCAAGATCAACATGGCCATATTTTTGGAAAGAAAATGAACCATCGTCATCCAATGATTGTTCACTAGTAGAACTCACAAGATTTTCCACGCGTACCTAGCCTTTTGACCCTGAATTGACCTTTGGCAATGTACTTTTCTTCTACCCCAGCATAGAAATTTCATTTCTTTGCTCAAAGGTCCAGTCTTTGTTTCGCATAAGAAAAGATGAGAATGGAAGGAGAATAAAGAGAAGAAGACCAGTTAGAGAGAACCGCCTATTGAATTCGACTAACTACCACCTATCGTGTCGTTATCCTCCGCTCCCCAATTCCAATCTCTACATATTTTCTTTTCCCTACGTTACCCACACACCGAATTTTCATTCTGTTCTTCCTCTTCCTGCCTCTTCTCTTCTCATATTCACTTCTCCACAAGTGGACAATCACCTTCGTCTCCCTCCCAACTCAATTTCCCCCGTCTCTCGACTGCTGACTAACTGACAGCCAGCCAGACAGTATCTAGATAGATAGATGAAACACGCTCGCTCGCTCGCATCAACAACAAAACACAATGCAATCTTCGTTGAAGCAGGCGAATTGCCATGGTAGAAAGATCTCTCATCCATCCGTCCATCATTTCGACCTAAGGCGATGGACCCTTTGTCGATTAAAAAAAGACAAACCGGAGAAGAATCAGGTGCGCACAATCGGAAAGAATAAATTAACATGAAAAAAAATCAAACAAGAAGGTTCTCTGACAATGAATGTAAACAAGAACGAAAAGTGTCACAGAAGTAGCAATAGAGAAACAGCGCTTTTTGCAAACCCAAAATCCTGCACCAAATCCTAACCCGAACCCCAATTTACAGCCTATCGTGGATGATAAACCCACGCCAGCTTTGCTCCGTATTTTCCATTCCATTCTTTCTTGCCCGGGTTCCCCGTACTAGCCCACTCATGAGCTGGTTCAATCCATTCATGCCAAGTTCAAATGCCGTGGGTATCTTTGGTTTCATACCATGCCATCCGTTACGCCAATCCCATCCGATCCAATCCAAATTCCCGATCCTGTTTTCTCGCGCCGTCATTCCCAATCCCAGTTCCGAGGTATATTGTTTCCTACCTATTCCGTACGCCCAGTCCGTAGATGACTGTGAATGTATGCCAGCATAACCCTTAATTCCGAGAATGAATTCGCTGATGGCGCGAAGTATATGTGAAAAAACGATGTCGTTTCCTGGAACAGCTAAAAGAAATGGCGCGCTGATTTCATCAGGGCATAAGTGCCGTTGAAAGTGCCACTTCGGCCATGTTGTAGGACGCTTCTGTGGTTCCAAGCATGCCGAGGGCAGCTCCAGTTCTCGCACTGTTCCTCTCATATTTTCTCTTTTGACCCCCCTCCTCCTCCTTTGTCTTCCCCCTTGATACCTCGCCAGCGCATTCAAAAGATAACACAGCCTCCAAAAGTAAGTTGACCACCCTCCCCGTTCCTTCAAACACTCATGTTCAGCTCCTGCTGCAGCACTTCCGTCGGATAATATCCCCGACTCCCACTCACCGCATCCCAGCGTCCGCATTGCCTTCCATATGTAAGCGGATCAGACGTACTCGACAGACTCGGCAAGACATAGCCGCTGCCATACTCGTGCTTGACCTTGCTGTTCGTGTACTGACTCACGCTAGGAAGGGTGTACTTATCCTCGTGGCCCTCGTAGATGACGGCTGGGTAGTAAGTGTAGAAAGGTGTATCAGTGATGCCCTTACCTTCGTCATGAGAAAGAATGGGCTCTTGTGGAATTTGCAGAGGGGGGATTCCGGAGCGGTAGTGGCCCCCACCACGACTGTCGTAGCTGTACCCGGAGCTAGAAAGCATGGAATTACCTCCCATGCTCATATCTCCTGGTGTTCGGGATGATGAGCCGGACGGAGTGTACGAGCCGCCTCCTTGACCAGCGGAGCCTCCCGGGCCGGCACTGCTGTTGCTTCCTCTTCGCTCGCCTTGGTAGTGGCCTGGCGAACGTCCGCGGACCACCATCGGCGCGGACATCCGAGAGGCGATCTTGACCCAACGGTCTGGATGTTGAGATCCGACATCTGCGAATAATTCGACGAGCAAGTGGTAATACTGCTGTGCTGCTCTCCGCTTTCCATTGTTGGCTGTGGCATTTTTGAACTGGATACGTTCGAAGGTTGCTTCTACGGCGGGCTGGTTTGGATTCTGAGCGAAGCCTGGGGAGTCGTAAATTCCGGCCCGGGAGCTCATCGAAGAATCACCATACATACCATGGGAGGCCGGCGGACGTGGGGCGAGGGCTATGCGAGCGGGCTTTTCTTGAGGCCCTTTGTCGCGTTTGGGGGTATGTTGGACGAGCTCAATAGATTTACCATCTCGGCCATCCACGACTGCTGCTATGGACATGGCAAAGCCATTAACTTGAGGTCCAGGCCCGTTATGTTGCACAAGATACATGGTCCCATTTGGGATGGTGGGTGTAAGGGTGTACGAGCAATTGAGAGAAAAGTAATTCCTTCGATAGCAAGTCCAGTCATTGTCGGCCATGAAGAAGCCTTTATCGATCTTGCCAAAAATCTCAGGCTTGATAATTTGCCCGTCAGACGTCTGGAGGGAGTACGAGACCTCCGTGGGGTATAGAGGGGGACATGGTGCTCCGCCGAGAGAGCCGTCCATATTGGAGATGGGACTTGTGAAGCCGCTGGTCGACGATGGTGATAGTGGCACGCCTCTCACGCTGTGCGAAAGAGACGGAGATCTCAGAAAATCGGACCCCCGGCGCAGGAGGGGTTGTGTTCCGGAATATAGATCTCGGGTATTTATTGGTGTTGATGGATGGGGCAACGCTGGGGAGCGGGATATAGGTGCTAGCCCTGAGGTTGTGCTATGCGAATATGACATTATTCTCTGATCCAAATAAAAGCGGAGGAGGGGGGGTCTCCAAGCTGGTGTATCCTGATACATAGGAAATGGGGGAGGTTCAAGCTTACAACGAGCTTAGTCGTGGCTTAATATCAGGCATAGAAAAAAGAGAGCTATTCTGAGGAAAGTGATAGGTGCCCCCACTTGCGTACGTGGATCCGTTCAGGGGCGGTTGATAGATTTGATTGTAAGGTGCAAATGCTAACGTCGATGCTGGGTTTGTATTCTGTACTGCAGGCTCAAGTGAATATACAGGGCTGTGAGATGTACCGGGTTCCGATGTAAATCTGAGCTATCAATCAGCCACCACACTGCATGACTGTAAGACAGCATTTAAGGTTCGACAAGAAGCTATGGTTTCCGATGGCCAGTGCAACTGTCGTGCATATGTAGGACGTAGGACCGCCAACTCAACCGTTCGTAACACACAGAGAGTAGAATTACTCGCGTGATGCTCACTTTGCAGAACGGGAAGAGGTCTGAGAGGTTGAGGCTTAAGCCGTGCAACCGCTGACGAGCTCCCAACTAGGATAAAGTCGTGGCATTCCGACCTTAGGCAGCGGCAGCCATGGCAACAATAAGATGGATGGGTGGATGGGGGGATAGCGTTAAACAATAAGGGGTAGTGCCCGGAAAATGCACATGTGCCTAAATGCCTGCTGCCAGGTGGCTGGGACACTGAACGAAAAAGGAAGACCAATGAAGGAGAAGGAGCGCTCACCGCACATCATCTGCGTGGATTCTGTTTATGTACTGTTGCATTCCCATGTCCGTACTCAGAGGTTGAGAGCTTGTGTATTCGTTTCTGGAAGAGCTGTCAGGCTCGGCGTCGGACCCGACGATACACGAAGGTGAATGGCCAGATGAAGCGGCTAGGTCTTGGTAGTTACCAGATTGCGAGCCCATTAAGTGATTGAGCGTCAAATTTGGGGTAGTGAGAACTATAGGACTTGAGGTTAGAAGCGGGTATTGCCATGGTACATTGTCCCGATGGAGTGTGAAGTGTGCCCAGTGGGCTGCAGGACGGAGGAGTGGGCGAGAAGAGAACACGAATCGCAGAAGAGAAAGCGTCAAATGGATCAGCCACACAAGAAGCGGCGTAAAAACATGTGGTGATGACGCTGGTGAGCAGGCCTGGTTCGATATTCAATGCTGAAGAAATGCAGGGCAGGGTGGGCAGGTCACTTTTGAGGTCGTACAAGTACGGCACCTAGAGATCCTGTTTGACCAGCAAGAATGAACACCGGAGCTCGTCTCGACGTCTTTGCCGCGACACCAATGAGAAGGGAGATAGAAGCTGCACAACGACGGATTATGTTACTGCGCAACACAAAGTAGAACAAAAAGAACAAATGGTAATCTGCGAGTAAGCAGAATATGAGCCCTCTTAATACTAGCGAAAGTCCCGTCCCCTGTGGCGGCTAGAAGTTGGGCCATGTAGGAGCTGAAAAGCTGACGGCCGATGCCGTATATATAACTTGGAAGCAGAATACAAAAACAGACTCCTAGATTGCAGAGCAGAACAGTACGGATATGCATGCGATACGATGCGGAACGGATGCGAGGATTGAGTAATAAGTGAGTGAAAAGAGTCGAATGCTTGCTTACCTTCAATCATTTGCCCCCTGTGTATGTTTCCTCATTCGCTGACTCCTGCTTCTATTCTCACTCGCTCACGACGGGCTTGTCGTTCGAGGCTGGTAAGGGCCTTGATTGAACCAGCCAAGGATTCCGGTGTGGTGGGGGTAAGGTAGGGCGATCTCCCAGGCCCGCCAGATGCTTCGGCGTAGGATCAATGATATAGTGGTAGGGAAATCAGGAGTGAAGGATTGCGCAAGGAGATATGAACATCAACTGAGTGCAGCGAGCACTTTCAGAGATGCTAAGCAGAAGTTTACCTCGAACCAGCCAGCCGGGAAAGGAAGCTCGTGTCGATTGCAGTGTTCAATGTAGAGAAGAATAGTGAAGTATGTAAGGAGAGTTAGACAGGTATGGGTACGAGTATGAGGGTTGTTGGTTTTGATGAGGCGCAAGCAACACACTTCACCCACACTTGACCTGGCTCTGCTCTTTTCTTCTTTTCTGTTTCCTCTCGTTCTCACTAACTCTTCTCAGACTCAATCCAGGCGATCGAATCAATCAAATAGACTCGACTCGAAATCGACCGACACTCACTCGACTCCCCGCAATCACGGGGAAGAAAAGGGAGGGGGAAAGGATAGTCGGGTACTGAGCTGTAGTGGTGTGCGGGATGGATGTGATCCTGGGCGAGGATACAGAAGGTTTGTCGAGGATCGAGGGGCACCTGCAGGCCGAACGACAGGGGGATAGGTCTCGCCCGACAGAGGCTTGAAAGCCTGTATGCCAGCTATTCCAGGTATGTAGAGTGCAGTACGGGCTGTTAGTCCACCCACAAAATAGAAGATGCACGCTGCCCCAAGTGGATGTTTTGTTGACTGAAGAGGACTGGCTCGACAATTGACCAGGGAGATGTGTGCCGCTAATTGAGAGCAATGCAGTTCCGTGCAGCTCAAGATCCAGGAATAGGTATTCCAGCCAAATTATCTCCAACAAAACGCTACTATATGCGAGGATGCGAACGAGGAACAATGAATCAAGATCCCAGGATGTGGTCCAAGAACCCCTGTGCAGAGGTCTTCACCGAGTGCCGGGGGCCTGAAAAGTCAAAAGATCAGACCAGATCAATTGCCCAGCGTATGGATTGATCCGTGTCAGCCTCGAATCGGCACGCCAAAAGCTGTCAAGACAATTGATACCAGAATCTCAAAACTGGTTCAGTCGGCCGGTCGTATAACTTACGGCCTCGCCCTGAATGCGCGCAATGTCGAGATAGTGGATTATTGGTCGCGGAGACGATGCAATGCGCGGCGGCGCGGCCAGCTGCGATGTGCTGCAAGGTGATGCACCAAACTGACCGTGGTGGGAATCTGGTACGACGAGATGGAGGCCACTCTTCGAGTGTTAATTTGAATTCCTTTCAGTTCGTTCGCTTGAACTGAGATTCCTGTTTCCCGGTATCACTTCGACTTTCAGCTTGCCTTCTTACAGAGCTGATCTGATCTGCTCTCTGCAGCTGGCAGCAGATATACGTCAGGATGTTCTTTTGTTTAGATCGCTGCCGTTGATTGGTGTGGAGACAACTTCCAAGCCGAGAAGCAAAATGTCCAAGGATTTGGTAGACACAGAGGGCAGCGCGCGAAGAGATTGGCTTGGGCCGGGAAGAAAGGGCTGAGGCGGCGCTGAATTTGGGGGCCGTATCTTGGGGTAAGCAAGCAAGCAGGAAAGCTAATCTGGGAAATCTCCGCCCGGTTGAAGCTCTTGCTTCCCCGGAGACCTAGCGTTGTATTTGCTTTCCCTTCTCACTGGGATGTATTCCTGGCTTCTACTCGGTGGGTCTCGGAAGTTCGGTTGGACTGTGAAGAGAGAGTGAGACTGGTAACCTTACGTTTGAGTGCGTGTAAAAGGTGTGAAGCGAGGATTCGATGTGATTGATTGATCGAGCGAGACGAGTTGAGTCGAGTCAAGGTCTCTCGTCAATTCCAATCAGGACAAAGCGCCGTTCGAAAGAAAGAAGGAAGTTCTGTCTCGATTGCGGAGAAATGTCCGGTCAGAATGAGTGGATGAGAAATGTCGACGTGGGTATTGCGGACGAGCAAATCGAGCTGGATCTGCAGGGCTGCAAAAGCAAAGACACGGGCAGGCAAGGCCTCTTGGATGGTGATGTGCTTCTGTGTGTGTGCGGTGCGGTGCGGTGCGGTGCGGTACAGTACGGGTGAGGTAGGTGCCGGTGTGATGTACTGATGGCTTGCTTGCTGCAGGTGGTGGAGGGATGTTGGGGTCCTGGTTGGATCTATAAGATGAACCCTGGGTTAGCCACCTGCAACTGAGGGAATACGGTGTGGCTGCCTGCCTCTGAGTTTTGCTACGTACGGCTGATCCAAAGTCCCGGGTAATACTGACTTCTTGCAGAGCAGAAGGATATACTCGATTCCAAAGCGAATTCGAGATGTCAGAACCGGTGAAGAAGACCCGACTCTGTCAGAGCATGATCGAGAATTTAATTTCCAAGCGTTGATGCCTTAGCGATTGGCAAATAGCTTTGGATGAGATGATGGTATTGCTAATAAGTTCGTTGGGCTTTCTTGGTGGGCGCAATTGAAAATGTGTAATCTGGAGACGAGTTCGGTACTCGTAAGTGAGCTGACAGACTCGTACTCGAATCGGAAGGTGCGACTGAATGTTCCCGAAGATGAATAATGACGACAGATTAGACGACAGTCGAAAGGACTTCAATTGTTGGTCGAATCTGGTCCTCTGATATGTACTCGGCCAGTGTCTGACTGTGTTGGCTTGTCTTGAAACGAGATCCAGGATGATGGAGGAGTTGAAGATATATGTCTGTCTCTCGCTCTAGCAGGGCTCTCAGTTGAAAGGTGGATATCCAATTGCAAGCCGAGTGAATGCCCCTAATACAATCGTGGAAAGCTTAAGTGAAGTGGCCCTGGCCCCGTATTGTCTTAGCTGTGGAGATTGCTAGACTGGCCTATGTAGGGATATTGGCACGTGGAGGCGTTGTTGATCTCTATCTGAGTTCAAATTGAATCGAATGTTAGGACGCAGCTGACTTGAGCTTGTCTGTATTTGGATCCAGACAATCTAGAATGGAAGAGCTTTGCTAGTTCGGGAGGAGCCTTGTACGCATCAGCTATTATGAAGTCGGCGAGCAGACAGGTGCAGACATTGTGATCTCCGCTGAGCTAAAGTCAGGTAGAGGACCGGTGGCGGCATTCGGAGTCTTTTCAAGACATGAAAGAAGCTTAGTCTCACCTATCAAAGAACTTGAATGAACGAATGATTTGGGAGAAAGACGATGACCCTGCCCGGGCTTGAATGAGTTTAGATTTGGGGACCTGGCTCTAACGATCTTGGCGTGTGCCGGACTGGACTTAGACGCGAAGTACCAGAATATGACAGATCAATAGGTAAGAGCGTTGAAAAATATAGTTCAGAGTGGTGTAGTCAAAATCGTGGAGAGTACTGAACCAAGGCACTGAGGCTTATTCTTGAAACGTTGACTCGAACGGAAATCACAATCGAGTATCCATGGTAATCTTTATCTGCTTCTGAGTACATGGTCCCCTAGCTTGATTCTTTCCCAGCTTGGATCGAATCGATCTACATTTAAAGTTTTACTAGCCTGACTGCGTTGACTTGCAGTTTGGCTTGCTTGCTGCTGGCTACATGCTTTGCTTGATTGATTGACAGACAGCTTGCGTTGCGTTCATCGCACAACAGTAGATCCAGAAGAGTGAGATCCACGATCCATGACCCATTCCAGCTCCCTAGTCCCCAGCTCCCAACCGCTCCACTTTTTCGGCCCTCGACAAACGCCTCTGCGCCTCCTTTCAAAGACTTGACAATATTTGGTATAGCTCTAGAACGAAAAGAAAGCTGCTTCAGCAAGGTTTCAACTGGATCTTCAATCCCGTAGCTTCCTCTTCTACCGCTGGTCCCCGAAGCAGCTCTTTGCAAAGAAACGCAAGATTAGAGGCAAGAAAGAACCAATAATTTGCACGAGACTAGACCGGAATGCCGCGAAGGGCGGAGGCAGGCAGAAGCAACGTCCCGTCAACTAACGGAGATCGCGAATTTCAAGTCATGCACCCCCTCAACGACCCACCAGGGACTATCAAAAATAGCTATCCAACACGATTTCTATTATCTTCTCTCGTTCCTAATGAACCCGAAGCAATCAGTCGAGTCCATGCAAGCTGTGAATAGATTTGGGGTCCAAACCCAACGCTTCTTAGCATGGCTGTGCTGGCAAGATCATAGGATCTCATTCCTGCAATTATACGGACGGATCCCCGAGCAGTGCAGCAAGGGCATGCAGGTGGCAAGCGTCCGGCAGGAGATGATCAGGACAGAAATGTGACAACTCATATTTCGCTCAGGCACCACGCAGCACTATGCAGAAGGTTTTCGGCAGGGCTCCCGAGGCCTTACACAGTAGCTTAAAAGTTAGATTTTGCTATTGTGAGCCTCACTACTAGGACGTCCACACGAGCATGTCACTCACTCACTACTCGCGGGGGTCGAAAATCCGAAAGATGGGGTTTTCGCTTAGCTCCTCCTTCAACTGGTCTCTTCTCCATCCCGTTCCCCTCCCACATGCGATCAAGATACTCCCCCATGTAATCGACTATCTCTCTCCAGGTCAACGTTGCGAACACTTCTCTGATTCCATGCCATAGCTTCAAAGCTGGAGAATCCCTCCGTAGTCCAAGGCAACCAATCACAGGCCAAAGCTTTACGAGTCACCTCTGCCCATTGGCCGCTGAGCGATATCAGCTAATAGAACGCCACAAGATGTCCCGCTCTCGAAGGCGCGATATACTTTTAACCAAACCCC